TATATCACATATCACTCAATGTTGTCAAGATCATCATTTTTTTCCCTCTTTCCTTTTTTTGCTTTTTATAAAGAGACCCTGTCTCATGTCTTCTTCTTGTCCTTGCTTTGTTTTCCTCATGGACAGAGATATCTCGTACATACACAATTTTGCTTCGAGATAAGGGCAGAAGATCACCAAAATTAAAAAGAAAATGGTGGTATAAAAGAACGGAACTCGCACAACCTGGTCGAGATGGATAATAACACACCGAAACACCCGCTTATCCGAACACAAATAGAATGAAAACATAGAAAATATGGATGAAAACCAGAGTGTAGAATAATAGATGAGGGGGACGAATGCATGTGCAATAATTCAAAGTGATATAACACTTCAGACAAGGCCTCCGTAGACGGGTGAAAACGCGCGGCATATGCCTGTTCAACTCCCGAGCACAGTAGAAGTCTATATCTCCAACTAGAAATGTAGTTCTATCTTCCGAACGGACGAGGGGTGACATCAGAATCTAGCTCGAGCGAGGGTGTATGTAGTGGTCGAGGCGTAGCCTCGGCGTCCAATAGCGGATCGACCTCCTCTTCGGCACCCAGAGGGGCGGAGCCCTTGGAGACATGGATTGATGGCGTATTGGGATCACCGGAGATATCATTTGTGGAGGCAGAAGGGGGAGTCACTTGGCCCATCTTGAGCGTCTCCGTGCTTCCCTCGCTGGGATCGGTCACGGTGTCATTCAGAGACAAGTCTGGGGGCACTGCTGCAGCTCCCGCCATTCTTGACTCGGAGGGACACGGAGTATGTCTGGGACTGTAGTCTTCTTCCACTGAGCCGGCAATGGCTTCTTCTGGAATTTGAAGGCCCCGGAATCGCTGTTCGATGTCCCCAGAACATCGAGACCCAGATTGATCATCACCAGGGTCGCTGAGGTTATCAGTAGCACCACTTCTGGCCCTTTCCAAAGCCTCCCGCTCTCGCTTGAGCAATTCCTCGCTGCCACTGACAACGCTGCCGCGACTGTTCGTCCTCATCATCTCTATCCCGAGCTTGGAGCCGGGGCGGTGTGGGCGATTCCGTGGACTTTGCGTGCGCGACTCCAGGTGGCCCAGCTCCTCATCTTCATCGTCACCAGACTCCGAACATTCATATCTCTTCTTCTCCAAATGTTCTTTCTTCGCTCGAATTGCGTCACTAGATCGCTGTTTCCGAGGTGTCAATGTTCCGGAAGCGTTCATCGCCGCAGGGGCAGAAGCTGGATGGAGCAAAACAGGAAGTGGCGTTGCGGCAGAGCCAGGAGATTTAGGATCCGACCCCGTGCTTTCTGGTTTTGGAGGCTCATTTTTGGAGATACCAAGCCCGGCCTTACTCGAATCCCATTCATCGGCATGCCGGTTCACGACCACCGCAGCATCATCAGGCTTGATAGGCTCCACGTCACCAAAGTAGCTGCTACCGATGGAGTCCTCACGGCTAGACCCTTGATACGAGCTCGAGGGCATGTGCATGAAGCCTGATGACGCAGCAGAGCTTGGGCTATGCTCGGCCGGGCCAGGAATCTGGCGTGCGCCGGTAGTCGGTACAGATAATGGCTGGGAAGGGTTATAATCCTTCGGAGGAGGCTTCCATTGACAGAACTTGCAGAGTGCCTCGGTCAGTTTCGTCAGGGTTGGAGGCTTTTCGATCAGGGCATCGAAATGATGAGTTTCCGGGAGATCTTTCAAATATCCAGTTACTGCTATGATGGGAGTATGTCGATTGGCACTCCTGGTTTCCCGCACCATACGGGCGACGTCGGCTCCATTGACTTGAGGTAGTTTGAACTCGGTCATGATTATATCGAATTGGACTTCGCTGAGCGCGTATCGCATGGCTTCCGCGCCATTCACGGCAGTGATGGTCCGACAGCGAAGTTTCTCGAATAGACGTTCCATCACCAGTCGGGAGACAGGGTGGTCTTCACAGATAAGCACGTCGAGGGGCCGGAAAAAAGGACCGTCGGGAATGTTTATATGCGACAGGCGCCTTGAACTTTGCCGGCGGCGTTGGACTTTTAAAAGCGCTTTGGTTCGTGGGTCCTCGTTGTCCGACGAAGAAGGTGAAATATCGAACAACTGACTGCGCCGCTTATAGTGACCAGCAACGTACGATTCCTTGGCTAGAGACGAGGACAAATCACCATCTTGAGATCCAATAGTCTGTGACCGGGCCCGTGCAGGCATGCTGCCATGACGTGGTGGCCCGGAAGGTGTCTTGTCCGGTGAATGGGTAGCAGCCCGCGTAGTCTTGATGGGCGAGGATGCAGTAGAGCTGAGTTTCAGGCTCGCCATACGGCTCGGTTCGCCGCCCGTCGGCTGGAACGACCCACTAGATTGATGAGAATTGGCCGAAGAGGACCCCGATGTCTTCCTACGCTCATGGTTGTGTTGACCAGTGCTGAATTGGACAAGCAGCGGAGAGGAAGGTTGTGAAGGACGGCTCGGAGAAGAGTTTGCTTGACTCAAACTCGACGGTGACGACGGTCGATTGTTGCCTTTGTTTTGAGACAGAGTCCGCTGCAACGACATGGGCAAAGGACTCCCCTCTAGCGATGGGCCAGAAGATGACGTGGGGCCCTGTCCTTGCCCCTGGCTTTGTGCCTGTCCTTGGATCTGATTCTGTCCTTGGCCTTGTGGCTGACCCTGCCCTTGATTGGGCGGCTGTTGCGGCGGAATCTGGCGCTGCTGTGCTTGCAACGCCTCTTGACGCAGCTTCTGGATGACGTCCTTGTTCGCCTTCTCCAGCATTGGAAGATTTTTGAAAGAGAAATTGCCAAAATCATCCGCAATGGAGGGCTCACTTAACCTTCTGCTCCGTGATTCCCGGACATGAGGAGGTATGTGCAAAGGCATTAAGGGCCGCTTCGAGTTTGCCTGTGACCGAACCTTGAATAGGGCGTCGTGTGGGCGATCGGGATACGGTCCAGTCGTCATCGGCTGTTGCGGGGGACTTGCGTCTTCGAGCTCTTCGGTGAAAGCCTGCAAGGTAGCACCACGGGCATCAAAGTACTCGGTGTCTTCAGGGTTCTCGAGAGTTGGGACGAACTGCGCCTTGTCTTCCAGGAGCGTATCCCAGTTGATGTCTGAAAACCAAGGATGACTCCGAATTTCACTTCCACCATTCGGGAACTTTTCATCAACGTTAGCACCAATACGCTCTCGTGGATTTAAAGTCATGAGTTTGTTCATGAGGTCGATAGCTTCCGGGGTGGCTAGCTCTTCAGGATCCTCCGGCCAATTGATCCTCCGGTGTAGTATATTGTCGAACACCTCGTCTGGGGTGGCCGCATTGAAAGGTGGATACCCGAATAGAAACTCGAACATAATACAGCCCAGCGACCACCAATCGCTCATCTCATCTTGACCCAGGCCGTTAATTGTCTCTGGTGCCAGGTAATCTGGGGTGCCCACAAAACGCCGGTTGTGATCCTCGGGGTCGAAAAGTGCCATTAACGGAGGCATCATCGCTTGTTGAGGTGGAGTTCCATACGACATCGAGTTGCTTAAAGTTGGTTGGAGGGGGTAAAGTCGAGGAGACTCACCCGCCTCGCTTTGTCCCTCTTCCTCAGACGGGCCTGCCGGAGACGGAACGGGTACCGGCAAAGATCCCTGGTGCTCATTGCCTTCGTTGAGAGACAGCGTTCGGAAAATGGCGTTCAGGTTGTCACTGCCTCCACTGTCGCTACGATAACCCGATGCGCGACGAGAAGTTTGCCTACTAAGTCCGCCTTGGTTGAGATTGAAGTAGGACGGTTGAGACATGCTTCCGGCTGTATCTGGCGTAATTAACGGGGTCGACCCTGGCGAAGTGCTCCCCTGGAAGTCGAACGAGGCCGATCTGGACGATGTGATGGACGTTGCCCGAGGAAACGGTCCTTGCTTCAGTAAATCCGGAGCGGGCTCGTTCATGCTTTTCAAAACTCGCTTTTGTCGTCCCACAAGTCCCATTCGCGATAGGCCAAAATCCGTCAGTTTGAGATGGCCAGTTTGGTCGATGAGGAGGTTGTCCGGCTTTAGATCGCGATGGACAATCCCTCTGCCATGGAGATGCTCGACGCCGAGGACTACTTCCGCAACATACTTTTTGGCCCAGTCCTCGGGGAGTCCCCCCAAAACCTTGACGAGCGAAGCACAATCACCCCCGTTCAGGTATTCCATCACAAGGTAGAGGTAATCTTTGCTGGAAAACGTCCAGTAAAGCTTAGCAACAAAGTTACTCTCTTCCTGCCACATCATAATGGCTCGCTCAGCCTTCACGTTCGTGACTTGATTCTTCGCAACCATGTCCGCCTTCTTGAGCACTTTGATAGCATAGTATTCCCCGGTGGATTTCTTCTTTGATAAGTAAACACTTCCGAAAGCCCCTTTGCTGATTGGTTTGATAATCTCGAAGTCTTTGATCGACGGCGGCGCAGGCCGGGGTTGGGGCTGACTTGCTGATGATAGATGGGGCGATACCGGAGGTCTCGCAGCTTCTGAAGACGTTGCTGAGGATTGACGACGGTGGTGACGATAGTGATGAAGGACGAGGTCGCTGGCATTGGTTGATGGTGATACAATGGGCGATGGCAAACTTTCGGCGCCACTGGAGAGTCGGGGCTTGGGCATCCGTAGAGGAGAATGAGGGCCGGAGATTCTGGCTGGGGAGTGCTGTCGCCGCGGGGAACTTGAGAGCCCCGGAAGAACCAAGCTTCTGCGGTTCCTATCGAGGCTGCGCTCAGAACATGGGGAGTCGGTTCGCACTCCTGTCGGAAATGCGGAAGAAAGGACACTACTATCGCTGCAATCGCCAGGATCGATGTCAGCAGAGCCGAGTCCACGTCGATAAGACTGGGAGGTTCCAAGCACAGCGGCGGCACTCTTGTGAGAACGCGGTGTAGGGCATTCCATTGGACTATTTGATCCAGTTGAGACGGCAACAGACGATGGCTTCCCTTCAGACGAGTGTGGCGATTGATGCCGTTCAGCGGAGTTCCTCATGGACATTGTCAAAGCCGACACTGACGGCGGTGGTGGAGGAAGTGTCGATTCTCGGTTTTGGATCGGGCTGGGAGCTGCTGGAAGACTGTTCTCACTTGGCAACGCTTCGTCCTCAGAGGTGCTAGAGTCACTCAGCTGACCTGCAGCGATGCGCTCAGCTTTGCTCAGCGCAGCGGTGATGCATTCCTCCACCAGCACCGTGTATTCAATGCGAATCCGTTCTGCGTACTCGACGATCCTGCGATGACGAATCACCGCATCGACCTTCGCTCTTGAGACCTGCTCGGTGTCGGTGCAGAGAGCTGCTAGGCCTTGCTCTTGCTCTAGTGTGTTAGAGCTCGGAGACTGCCACTGCAAAACTTGTGAAATTCGAGATTCCGACTGTGGAGACAGGGTTCGGAAATCACCGCCATTATCCGGCCGTGTTTCCTTGATCACCGGCATGTTAATCTCCAGGGCCGTATCGCAAAGATCAAGAATCAACTCGACCACGCGAGACAATGGGCGCCGCACGGCGAAAGATCGGCCTCGGGCGTGACCAAACCCCGAGGCGGAATGATCGCGGGACCGGGGTGGTGTTCCTGGGGCAGAACTAGAGTTCGAAACGGACCCGGACGATGGTGCTGAAGCCGTCGGTGATGGTCCGATTGGGAGACCTTTGTACTCAGGCTGTGCGGAGGGGACATTGGAGTCTCCCAGGACGAGCGGCCGGCCCTGTCTGGCTTCCAATGCATCCAGCACCTTCACGATTGCACGGCGGTGTTCATTAAGGTTTTCCTGTGCGATCTGGACATCCATCTCAGCCCGATGCTCCTGCAGACAGAGATCCGAATGCTTCTCAAACCACCAAGGTGTGATCTGTCGCTCGCAGATGCGACACAGTACAGGAGTTGGGGCGGGATATTTCGAGGGATCTGGTTCATTTGCCGCCGCTTCTGCCAACGTCGTGAGGTAGTTCGCCAAAACCTCTGCACCAACCCCGAGAGATTCAACCAACAGAGGAGGCAGGTCGATCGTGACCTCTCGTGGCTCGGTAAACGGTCGCAACATCCACATAGTCTATGATTTGTCACTCCGGTTAGCAAGCCGTTCGAAGGATTGGAAAAAGAAGAACACCTACATGACCAGCCCCCTCAGCAGTTCGGTCATACGCCATGATGCCTTGCCCTTCCATGTTCAAGACGTCGTGGTTGTGCTCCGGCAATTCTTGTGGCGGCTCGTCCTCCCTGCGCACAGCTTTCTCGTCTTGACCCTCAATCGACTCGACCTTTTGGAACTCTTGCGGTCGGGGTTCGGGCGAGTACTTTAACACCGAATCAGGACCCATCTCCAGCGCAAAGCGAATGAAACGACTGCGCGAGTCATCCTCCTTCATAGACTCGGTGGCATCGCGAAAAGCGTCTTTGTTGCCCACTAACAACTCCGTCATGTTGCGGCCCTCCACCGACTCCGGGACCGTTCCCACCACCTGTTTCCACGACGGACTGACCCATTTGATCCGACCATCGAGATCCAGGTCGACGATCACATTCAAGGTCTGTTCCGCCGCCTCCTTCAAGTCTTCCCGTTCTTCTTGCATGTTATCGCTGAGAGAGCGATTCAAGGGAGAGAAAGTCGGATCGAGAGCCCGAGCCTCCTGCCTCAGAGCCGTGACGGCAGGAGGGGCGAGAAACTGAGGGTTTGGTGTGACATTGCCCGCCATGCTGGCGAGACTGGACCACCGAGACGGCGGGGAAAGTCCCGGTGGTGATGCGGACGACGATAAGGACTTCGACAGCGGTGGGGAGTGAGAACAGAAGCGAAAATGCGGTCGACAGAAAATCGAGCTGAGCAGGACCGTCTGCCGGGCAGAGCGGGTGCCCTTGACGCGAGGCTATAGATTCATCCGCAGCATCAACTGGCCATGGCTTAGGAGCGGAGGGATGACAGTGGTCGTTGAACGAGGACAGCGGGCGGCCCTGCACGGAAATGGAAGAGGCGGACGGGAATCCCTCTAGAAGTCCAAAGGGCAGATTCGGAAAAGAATGGGGCCAGAAAGAAAAGAGGAAAACGCGACGAATGAGGCCCGTCTAACAGATAAGAAGGATAAGACCAGGAAAAAAAAGTAAAAGACCCCCCGTGATCACGTAAGGATCCCCGAGAGGAGAAGAAAGCGAAGTAGTAGTAGGAAGAGAGCGAAGTTTGGCAGCCAAGCAGCTATGCGGGGAATGGCGCGACGGGCGAGGCGTCAACGCGAAATCCAGGGAGATCGACCGAGTGGGAGGGAAACCGGGAATGAATCCACTAGGAAAGATTCGACCATGAATTGGGAGGAAGAATGGAGAAGACAGGATCTAGGAGAGAGGACGAGGGAGTTAAAAAGTCGACGAAAGATGAAGTTGAACAGGTGAAACCCAGACAGAGAAGACACAGAAGAGGGGGAGCGCATGCCTCAGGAAGGGAAATTGGTAGGCGGTCAGCGATCTCCATCCAGATCAGTCACTCAATACTACGTACTCGATCAAGAGTACTATTCCGGTCTTCTACGGAGGAGATCTTACTTTTATCTTCCCATTATCTTCCCATGTATTAATATTAATACTCGGACTACGGAGTATACGATTTTCTTGTCGATATCATGACCCGCCTAGTCCCTCATAGATCCACCCCCCTGGACCACGCCACAAGAAAAAAAAAAAAGCCCCCCATGGCTGACTTGCTGGTCAAATTCCAGTTCGCTGCAAACCATGTGCTTCAATTCCACGGGTTTCATCTGGTGTCCATCGAGCATTCTCTCAATCTCTTGGCCAGCAAATTCCTTCAACTGTCATCCCGGGTCTTAATGCGCGCATACCATTCTCCCCTCCATCGGACTCCTATCCCCTCCTTCCCCCGCGACGAGCCAATGAGACTCCCAAGAACCCAGCCAAAGCCGTTGACATCGGGAGGTGGTCGGATCTAATCCCTGCCTGTAGTCTCTCTATCGTCCGGTCGACACGGCTGGTTCCTCGGGACACCATTATTTGTTGATGAGGATGGTTGATGGTGGTTATCCCTCCCGGTTTCTCTCCATGAACGTCACCCAGCGGCGAGGGATGTCCATGCCGAACCACACGACCACCATCTAACGGTCGTGGCGCCAAATGACTGACTCTTCCTCCCGATCCTTCGATCGGTTTCAGTTGTGCTGTGGTTGGTTGCACAGATATATCACCACCCGGAGAGTGGGATTTATTTTTATCCAGTCGACAGACCATTCAGATCCAGCCTCTACTTTCTCGGGTTTTCGTTTCTCCCCTCGGCCTCGATGTATCGACCAGGATCTTCGCGGTGGTGCGACCAAAAGTACATACATCTCCCCTCACTTCTTCTTCCGGTCGTACAGGCATAACACCTACGTGGTGGTGCGGTCTGCCGGAGCCACCGGGCAGGCCACCGCCCGTCTGGTTTCCTACATCCGCTGGGTCGACGGAGCTGCTGATCGACTCGACCGTCCCATGGAATCTGTTCTTCAGAGCCAAACTCCACTTGCTCACTTGACTGTCCGGGGTCCACCACATATCATCATGGATCTGATTCTCCAGGCACTTTCAAGGACGGCTAGCATATGGACTGGGAATCTACGGAGTATGTAATTCCATGTCCCGTCCTTGGTCTTTTTTCCCCACCGTGCGGCGAGTACATCTATCATCCCGATCCTCAGAAACCCAGCGGACTGTGACCCTTCGAATGCATCTCTCCTCCTAGCTATGACACTCCTACAACGAATGGCCAAAATCCATGACTAAAATGAATCAACGAGATCGGATTGTCTCCTGCACATCCTTTCAAAAAAAAAAAAAAAAAAAAACCCAGTACCTAGATTAAGGTCAGTCATCCGACCCAACAGCGATGCCAACTCCCGTCACTGGCCGCCTGCGGGGTAAAAGGCGGGGAGGACAGACATTGGGCGAAGGTGCTTATAGCATCGACCATTATGATCATTGACATGCGTTCGCTCTATCTCTGTGGACCATCCCTCCTGATAGTCATGGATAAGCCGTCCCTGGATATTGCAAGCTGGCCCAATAACCAGTCGAGACCTCGTCTCCCCGGATTATCAGCCCCGAAAAGGCATGGGACTGTGCATCCTCCCACCCTTGATACGGCCTCCTGGATGCTCAATGGCAGCAGTGCTAGACGGGAATCCCCCTTCTAATCCCTTCCAAATCGTTTCCTCAAATTTGGGCCCTGTAGTCTCCTGACGCTTGTCCCTCCAATAATAGCGGGTCTTCTCCATTCTCTATCCTGAAACCCGGGATAACGGGATCGAACGATGGTGAGACTCTTGGAACTGCCGATACGTAGGTGGTACTACACTACTACGCTACTAGGTACTTACCCTCACCACGGCAATTCCTCTCATCAGGTACAGAGCCGACGTGCGTCTGTGTGTCAGCCACTGTCTGCAATTGTGTGTCATCGCGTCCACCACGACTTGGCGTCTCTTCGCTAAGTACTATTGCCCCCTGCAACGTTGTCTGCATCTTGGTAAATGGAGAGGGTCAAGATTTCCCACCCTCCATGCACCTCTCCACATTCACCAACATGCTCCGTAGAACGGTGGTGTCAATCATTACCCCCGTGGAACGTGATCGGCTTCTGTTTGCGGAGAGCGGTGATCATGTCCATCTAGAAACGAAGCACATCATTGAATCGCGGATCTTCTTTTCTCCTCCTTGAAACAGCCCCTGTCCTGGCCACTCGAGGAATGAGTCTCCATCACGTACGTGTAACATCATCTGACAACATTCTGCATGGGGATCAGCGAATGCAGACCCCAAGGAGTTACTCCTCCTACATGCATGCTGTACAAGCGTCCAAGTGAACTCCTCCGATCTGCTTGTACACTGCCTACCGATGTTGCCCTTCGTGAGGGTCGGAGAAGAGCCCTTGATTATCGATTACATGCCATGCGCCTTTGGGATTCCACCATACCTGCATACCCAAACATGTGACAGGCGCGAGGCCCGCCCTTGAGAGGCCTGGGAGAGGTCTGGGCCTCACGGCCAAATCCTACGGATGGACAAATCAGCCACATTCACTTTGTAGGTTTACTTTCGGAACCTACTTCGAAGTTCCGGTTATGATCACGTTGCTTGGTGATTGCGCAGCTCAGAATCATCTCCATCTTCTATCGTGGAGAATACTATGAGTGCACATGTTTCTTGTGTCTTAGACTGCGCGGTTTTTGTGGGTGCTACGCTGCTACCCCTTACTCACAATCCCAACCTCCTAGACTACATCATGCTCAAGTCATACGTCTCTCGCTTAGACTGACCCAGGGCCCTTGAGGCTTGGGGCGTCCTAGTGGACAATTCTGAAAGATTGATGTGTCAGAAGATGCTCATCTTCGTCCAATCCGGCCTGCCCTTAGATCCATGTAGGGTGGGCCATACAGCAGACCTGCTGAAGCTTGGACTTCGATTCGAAACCGCCATCCATTACCCGTGCTAGAGGCAATTGGTGTAATTAATTCAATTAGAGATAACGTTTTACTCCGTAAGATCTGCTCTATGAGCTACACAATGTGGAGACAATTAATTAATGCACGCATACACCGCTAGGCTTCCGCGCCGACAAGCAGTCTAAGCCGACAGCTCTCGAAAACTCAGACAGAGCGCGCAAAAGACCACAAAATTCCAGAACAATCGATAAAAGACCTAGCCCTCTAAAAACTAATCACCCTCTAGGAAATCATCCAGTCTTTCGCAATCCAAATGCCGCCACATTGACTTTCCAAACGGCCTATTCGGCGAGTATGATGTCGGCTGCTATCTTTTCTGCCAGCATATCTTCTCTGGTTAGTAATTTCGCGAACAAATGGGTCTGGGTTGATCACGTACAGATCGTTGACTGGGGATGACCGGGAGGCAAGAATGGAAATACACTCGCGTCTACCACTCTCAACCCTGTAACCCCAAAGACCCTTCCACGGCTATCTACCACAGCCATGGGGTCATCTTCAGTGCCCATTCTGCATGTACAAGCCGGATGGTACAAGGTCATCGCTGCATTGCGTATGATGTCGAGAATCTCTTCATCCGTTTGATACTCACTGCCCGGGAAGAATTCATCGCCGACAAGAACAGGCCGCATGGCCTCACTCTGAAATACATCACGAGCTCTCTTGAAAGCAGCCACTGCTACCTCCTGGTCTGTTTCTGTATCTAACCAGTTCAAATTGATCTCGGGTAGGTCGGCTGTGTCGGTGGAACGGATGGTGATATTCCCGCGGGATGTCGGTGCTGCAAGCACGACCGCTATGGATGCATACTGGTTTCCATCTCTGGGCTGCGAAAGTATGGGGTTGGAGAAGTTTCCAAGATATACATCTGCTGAGAAATACTACCAGTTGAGGTCAGCTCTAAGGCCTAGAAAGAATAGAAGCGTGCGATTTGGACTTCGGCATATACCTCAACCTCAGGCCAATCACTTGTAAGCCACGCCAAATCGCTTTTCGTCCGGTTCGATAATGTCTTTCGAGCGCTTTCTGGCAATTTTTCGAACGCTAGGTAATCGGCACCAGCATTTGTGAACGCCCCAGTGTGGGATGTCACATATTTGAATGCTTCCCTCAGCAGATATTTTAGATCCGTTGCTAGTCTGGTGTGAGTTTCGAGTAAGACCTGATGTGTCGGCCCAAAGAATACATGATCGGTCAAATTCTGACCGACTCCCGGGTGGTCAACGATCACCTCAATCTCATACTCGTCCAGCGTGCTTTCGGGACCTATCCCTGAGACCATGAGGAGCTGTGGGCTCTGAAAAGCGCCGGCAGAGAGGATTACCTCCTTATTGACGGCAAGAGTATATTCCGTCAATAAGGTCTGGACATCAACAGCGATGGCCTGCTTCTGAGGGCTGAACAATATCCGCTTTGCCATGGTGTTTTTGTAGAGGCTGAGGAAAGGTGTCCAAGAATTCCACAGAAATGAGTCGGAACCACTCCGTGTCTGATGAGAAGGCCCAATAGTGAATGGTGTAAACTGAGAGCCCAATATAGACCCGTGGCTAAAGCCTTGTGCCTCTTTGAAGCCTTTCGACTCGAATGCAAGGCTTAACCATGTAGCAAATGACGATGCAGAATTGGGATATGAGACTTGCACTGGCCCAGCGTCGTCCTCAAAAGCATCTGCGTCATATTCAGCCGTGGCGTTTTCGTCTCGAAGGGACTCATTGGGGGGCGTGAATTGGATAGTTCGTTTGAAGAAGGGGAGTACTTGGTCAAACACATAGCTTTGGTCATCAACAAGATCAGCCCATCGTTGCATGGCGCCAACATTCGGTCTGTTGCCTCCCATTGTTAGCTTGTCACCTCTGAAGTTTACAGGACATAACACTAGCCTTTGATAGATCATGTAATTTATCGCCGACCTGCGAAAAGGATAATCCCGAGTCAGTTTCGGTGCGACGCAGGTATAGCAGTGGCTCTTACGATCCCCCCAAACATTTCCCTCTGGCGAAGTGGATATCACGATGATTGACGCCGGGGACGCCCTTGGCTATGAACCCCCAATCGACGGGTGTTTTCGCATCTGGATCGGATCCGACGCCGATCGCAGTGGCCACTGGAATCTTCATGAGCGGGAATTTGATTTCGTAGTAATCGCCGGCCTCCACAAGCGCCACGCTGTAGTTTGCCTCGGCCAGACGCGCAGCAAGAGTGACGCCGGCAGTACCACCGCCGACCACAATATAGTCAAATGAAGCTTTCACTCCAGGAGTGCCATACTGGACGCGAGGTGGGCTCCAAGCTGAGTGATTGGCAGTGGAATTCACGCCGCTGAAGGGAGGAGTCTCCCGGACAAATGCATGTAGCATAGATACCAGCCAACATAGGGCCTGTGGTTGAGATCCACACTTAAGATCCAAACGGGGCCACATAACTCTGATTTACTCCTAATCCAGGAGTCTAAGAGCGATAAATTGAGACGGGAGAGAAAACAAAATGCACCTTGTACAGACCAGGGAACAAACTGGAGACACGCAAAAGCCTCCATGAAGAAGAAGTAGAAGGGGAGACAATCCAGACATATAGCGTTGTCTCCTTCCTCATTGGGAAACTGTCTGGAGTGCCAGAAGAAGCCCGATACAGTCTATTAGCATGAGCTCTTTCCGTCTTCTGTTTTGGATATGGAGACCAGAAGAAACAACATGCACGAAAGTATGAGCTGAATGAAGAGACAGCCATCTTGCTGTTTGCTTGGCAAGGTTTCTGCCAACAAACAGTAAAGGTCAAACGATGGACACCAGCTTACCTATATAGAAGGGAGATCTGTCTGTAGATGCTTCAAGCCATTGCAGGTCGCATGTTGCTGGTATTGTTCTCCTGGTTACAGCATCTTCTCAGACAGTTTCCTTGACCCATTAGAGACACATTGTCAACCACAATGTCCACAGAGGATTTCTTCGATGCCTTCCCGGACTTTGAGCTCGATCCCAATGTGCCAGTCAGCGAGGAGTTCAAGAGGCTAGCCCGCAAAAGGCAATGGAAACGAGGTTCTAAAACCTGGAACAAGATGTGGAATCGATTCGTCAATATGGAATACGACCAGCATTTCGGAGGCAACAAGTTCGCTGGTCTGAGCGATTGGCAAAGGTTATGCGAGGAGCTTGAGTTGGAAGGGCCCTTCCCTTCCATCAGACGGTGCAAGACAGTATGTCGCTGTACCCCCCATTCCCCAAATGACGTCTTGATCTAAGGGATCATGCTGTTTAGGCCCTATCGCGAGTGCACGTCAATACTGTGGATCTGCTTGAAAGCCGACAACTGGAACGCAAGCCGAAGAAATTTCCCAGCGTTGCAGCTCTGTCCGGGTATACCCGGGAGACACACATGTTTTTTTCGAGGGAGAAGGTAAAGGAAGACAAGTTACTCAGGGTTTTGCTGAGGAGGTTGGTTTGAAGGGTCTGTACATAATCATTTCTGATCGATCTATGCCAGATTGGAGATTTTTGCACGTTCTGTTTTCTGATAATCCTTCAAATTTCAGCGGTATAATAGTATTAAGACAAACTTCACATAGTTCATCTAAAATTCGTGCAATAAGTATTGACAATAGAGTCAGGAGCAAAACGGCATAGAGATCCAACAAGTGATTACGTATAGTACATCGACACACCCACCTGTTCCTCCTTCACAGGCCCTTCTTCTCAGATGCTAGACGTTCGCGTTCCACGACGTATCCCACTGCACGAGCCAGGCCTTCGTCCACTGGAACAATGGGATCGTATCCGAGCCGGTACTTCGCCTTCTCTGACGAATAATAACGAGTCATGCACGAGTACCGAACCATCCGCTGTGTCAATCGGGGTGTCTTGCCAAAGATCCCCATTACTGTCTCCAGGACTCCACCAATGGTTCCCAGGAGACCCTCAGGAAGCTGCCACACCTGGTGAGGCTCAACAACCTTGCCAGTCAGCGCCCAGGCGGCGCGAGTCATATCCCAGAAATACACGGGGGAATCGTTGGTGATGTTAAAGGCTTCTCCGTCCACACGCTCGTGGTCCAGGGGGCCGCTCTGTCCGGCATCATAACGGGCCTTTGTAGCAAGCAAGCGGAAGGCAGCCAAGACATGGGCGTACGCAATGTTACCCACGTACGTGAAGTCAAACAGGTTGTTGTTATCGCCGAGCTGCATGCGGAGGACGGTTGGGGAGGCCTTCGAGGAGTGTTCGAGGATTTTGAAAGTGAAAGTCGTATCCTTTTCACCGTAGATACCGGCCGGTCGGAGGGCGCAGGTGACCATGGAGGTGGGAGAGGCGCGGTTGTACTTCAAGACCTGCTCTTCGGCGTCCGCCTATACCAGTGACCGTCTATCAGAATCGGCTGAGCGTTGCAATAGGGGCTCAGACGACGTACCTTGGTCTCCGAATAATATTCCAGCTGTTGTCTGCCCCTGATGTAAGGCCATTCCTCGTTGACATTAATCAGATCGCTCTGCGTGTCGTGCACGACCGAGCTGGAGCTTGTATACACGAAAGCCTTGCACTTTCCGCCCCAGTCTCCCCGAGCACCACCAGCGACCTCCAAGAGGGTCTTGGTTCCGTCCACGTTCACCTTGCGCAAGAGTTCCTTGTTTCCTTCCAGGACGTTGGGGGTCGCGGTATGGATCACCACATCGGGCCGGGCTTTGCGGAAGACGGAGAGCATGTCCTCCACCGAGGTGATGTCGCCATCGTAGTACTCCGCTCCAGGCAACCGATTGTTGGAGGTCCGCAGGTCCACCACTGACACTTTCGCGACACACCGAGGAAACCGACCGGATAGTTTGGGGTAATCGAATCGGGGGTCTCCTTGCGGTTTCGGGAGGGCGACACTGGGGTCGGACTCTGAGGGGAAGTTGAGCAATTGATCGACAATATGCCAGCCCAGGAATCCACAGCCCCCGACCACAAGGACATTGCCCAGTTCGACAGTAGGGCGCTTGGTAGACATCACGGTGTACAAGAAATGCGAATTGACGGTGAGGAGAAAGAAGGAGCTAAAGGGGATCGGAGGTCGGTGGGTGGTGGAGACGAGAGCCGGCGTCGTAGTGGGTGGAACAAATTATCTTGAGGACAGAGAGAGCAAGCCGGGGACGGCAAAACTGACTAAACTAATTTGGACAGTCCGGGGTCTCCACCATAGTGTCAGAGTACGAAATAATAACTAGGTACCATCTCTAAGAGAAAAAAAAAATAGTGGCATTCTTTCTCAAGCCATTCTTTTATCAACAAATTGATGTTCATCCCAAACTCTGCAAACTAACGCCACTGCTCCGATGCACCAGGAGAAGTCGGTATCAAAAAACATAACAATAGAAATTAAGTGCGAGGAGAATCCGAAGACAAAGAAAAGAATTCAACGTACATAGATCAACGGAAATTCAAGCTTAACTCCGAGCACATGTCATGCATGGTCTGTGTGAAAGTAGATCAAGATACAACCTTTCCCCTCCCATCCGCGAATATCTTGTGTTTGGAGATCATAGGCTCACTCCCAGGTCTTCTCAATCGACCGTCTCAAGCTCCGGTAATATTTCTTCCGATCCTCTGGTGTGCCCCAGAACAATTTGGATGCTTCAGGGTTTACGTTGGTTCGCGGGTCATAAGGCGGCGATTCCTCATCAATTGCCGCCACAATAGCGTCAACATGATTCCGCATAGCATCGACACGTTGCGGCATGTAGCACAGGACGCCTGCTTTGGACACCCGGACGTGAAAGATTGGTTGATCCATGAAGACGCGTGGTTGCTCGTCTGGAAAACGGGGACTCAGGTAGATTTTGAACTTGAAGACGCCCCCGTCGAGGTGGGACATGGGCCGCCCGAAGTAGGTGAGCTCCCAGAGGAACGCGTTGTCATTAGCAAGCTCCAAAGAAATGCCAAAGTTCTTCTGGTCCTTCAGATCTTGACTGATCTGCTCGTACTGATGTCGCAGATTCACAGCAATCCCTAACTCCTGGTCCCGTGCTGCCAACCCCTCGGCTGGCCACTCTTCCGTTTCACTGATGATCTTCTCTTTGATAGCAATCAAGCGTCTTCGCAATTCAGGGTAGTCAAAGTGGCCATCCATGGAGTTTGCGGAATGTTCGAAGGGCATCTTCTTGAATCTGCGTTTAGGAGGGTTCTTGGGCTCTTCGGCGTCGATGGTCTGCATGTACGACTCGTAGTACCAGAGAAACCGTCGTTTGCGAAGATCGATGAATGATTCGCAGGTTGATTCAGTATTGCCACGTGGAGGTACTTCATTCTCATCATCATTTGGATATAATGCCCAACCCGACGCGCTCGAGATGCCTAGAGAGGTTTCCATAGGCTGAATCACTGCTATTCTAAGAGACTCGTGTTGTATCTTCGTATGCAATCAAAGGGTCAGTTTCTGCACGCTTTGTATATAGGGACACCCACCTTTTCAACGTAATCCTTCATATTTTGGTTATCTGTTTCCGACCTTGTAGACTCATAGCCGGGCTCGTTCTTATACGGGTTGTTCGACATCAGACTCTGTATAGATAGCAGTGTAGATTCTAGTCCCTGTGCAGAGGACCATTGTTCTCCGGGGTGCGATTGCCAGGTACTAGGTTAATGGAGTTAGTTCGCATAGCGGATGGCATGGAGGCGAGGTTAGTACCCAAGGATAGACCTGCAATTCGTTAACACACGTCTAGTTAACGCTGACCACGGAACTCACAAGCAAACCCGTCCCGACGCATAGATATTGGGGTTGAAGCGACATCGTCCCCTATTGGTAGTCAATGCCTGGACAGTTGGAGGCTTTGCAGGATAGTCTTGAAAGCCCCGAATTAGGTTCACTGCGACAAAATTCGACGAAGATCCGTATAGGACGTCGGGCTTACCTATCCCAAACTTGACTGAGAACTGTGAACAAGCAATCAACAATTGGATCTAATCTTCTGGTTCAAACACAGACAAGAGCCAACCTCGAAGAAAGCGAACTGATAGGGTGTCTCTGGAGGGCCGACGATCATTGCACGAATGCTCCTCAGGTCGTCATCTTTGAAGTCTATCGCAAGAGCTGAAGTTGCAGATCGGCAGGTCGCAGTTGTGTCAGTCCAATTGCGCGAACGTTGTAGAAGACATGACGGTATTATCGGAGAGCATTACTTACAGAGGTCTGAGCCCTCTTGAAGCTGTTTGACTTCCTGGTACACCACGTTGTCATCAGAACAGAACCGGTTGGACTGAAGGCAGGACAGAACTGGTGAGGATGGTTACCCTTGTAATACGAAGGATACCTTGGTCAGACATTCTAAACCGAGGCAAGTGTGGGCACTGCGCCGTATCGAACGATTGCGCAGAGGTAGGTGTGTTGAGGGCAGGTGGTGAGGTGATACAGCGGAGGTTTTGTTTATGTGGTCATTGATAGTTCATCTGGCCGCGGGGAACAACTCTCGGAAAGCTGCAGGCTGGCTATCAGTGGGCTGAAAGACCTCAACCACAGTGAGATCCCAGGATAAAATTTTGTGGCTCCGCGCTGATCTCTGGATGAAATAAGGTAGAAGCTGTCCCAGAAAAAAACATGCCAAAGCACCAGAATAGTCGAATGATGAAGTCAGGTCGGGTAAATCGAGGGGAGGGAAATCTCTTGGTCAGGATGTTGTATCTAACAGCGACCACCGCGAAAAAAGACTACGAGGGTTCGCCGGATACATAATGTACTTCTTTTGATAAGCTATTGTCTTCATACGTGAACTATCTGTTCTCAGCCACGTAACTTCTGTCGTTATACATGTCCCTCACTCGGTATTCACTTCCACAATATATATCGACCGATCGACACACCCAACCTAACCTAGAAAGCCGAACGAAAACTTAACTGAGTAGTTATATGTGAGCACCTAAAAGTCAATTCTTCGCATCTGTACTCGACAAGACCTAACCTCATCAACTTCCACTCCAATGTGTGCAATGTAGAGAGAAACTGAGTGGAATCGATGCCTGAGGCGAGCTAAAGGATCGAGGTGAAGGCCCCTGTTTCACCGCCTGCTTGATGTGGGGAGTGAGAGGAGCCCGATTCGGCATGGCGCCGTGGTGGATCCCGTTTCACTACGTTTTGGGGATGGTGAAGGGTTCCATTGTTATTATTATCTTTCGACGGGATGACTACCATGGTTTTCAGATGGATAGAGGAAAATGGCCCACTCGACGTCCATGGAGAAGGCTGCGGAAGACAATTAGCTTACGAATTCGCCTGTTGAAGAAGAAGGGCCGCGAAATCACTATCTTTGTGGTATGATGAGTGAAGGATCCACGATGGAGGACGAAGGGCGGCCCTCGGCGAAGTCATCCTACTTAGTCTACCTAGATATCAATTTCTCCACAGTGGAAAGCCCCCTTTCGATTGTCCTCAAACACCACTATGAGTCTTCCGATAGTTTTTATAGACAAATACCGCAATCACTAGTTTCTTCTTTCTGAGTCGGTGGTTACAGTCTGTGATGGTCCCTCCTACAACAATGTGGTCGGGAATTGGGGGTGGGGGCGGTGAATAAATCCTCTTGAGAAGCGGGATCGTCCTTGTCTATCTAAAAATTCACTGGGTTCTAACCCAGGTAGGCAGTAGGCGGTCCATCCATCCTCGAGAAAGGGAGCGAGGGTTTCTGCCAGACTTAAATCACTCTGTCGGTTCTATTTGTAGGGCGAGAGATCCTGGAGAAAACCATTTTACCAACCTCCTGGCATAGTATTTATCTGTCGAACGAACTACCTAGGATGGTTGGCAAGAAGGATTCTCTACATAACTGCCCCTTTCACTAAATAGGGTGTGATTCTGGCATACTTTAACATAATGGCACCCTAGACATTCCCGCTGTCACGGATTCCCAGTACAGTAATGCGTACACAATGATGGCCTGCAGTGGGAGGCGGTGAGCCCAGCGGTGAGGTTATTCACGTGACAGACCCTAGCGGTTAAACCAGCAACATGAAGCAGCATAGGGGGGCAGAGCGACAACTGCCAGTCAATCTCCCACTTCTCCCCCAAAATACACCGTCTCCTCACCTCCCCTCGACCTCCCTTTGACGAGTCCTTCTTTCCCGCCTCTTTCTGTCGCCATCCCCGCCATCTGCCATCCACGATCGAGATCTGCGACCAAGACACCGCATCAACTATAATCTAGGAGGGACCAGGAATGGTGGTGATCTCGGACAGCCTCCTCCGCCGCTCGTTGGTCTCACTTTGAGCGCCAACCCGTTTTCCCCCATTCCGCTTCCCTCGACACAGGCTGTTCACCTTGAGGGGCTCTTTCCTTGAACCCTGTCTCTCACTTGGTGGTGATTTAGGCATCGGAAAACATCGCGCTCTCTAATTCCTCTTCCTCGAGTTCCTTGGATTTCCCCGCAAGTTTCATCTACATGGCATGAGGTGAGTTGTTACTACGGGAAGGACCCTAGTCTCTCCTAAACAGCCCCGCGCAGGAAGAGCACCCAAACAAGATGATCTTGGCCTAACCTGGCGCATTTTCTCTAGAAGACTCGATTTGTTCCCTACGTCAACTGCGCCCGCCCGGTTTCGATTTCTCTAATACCCGTTTGTTTACCATACACACCCCCGTCGCTACATCGAGCCTACATTCGACCCAACACATTCCTTGGCGATCAAGCACCAGCCATATCCTTGATCAGAACGGCATCTTCGTTTTCCCCCCTAGCATTAGGCGCACGTTGACTCGATCAACCCCGGCATAGTTCAATTCGAACATGCCTCCCGGCGACGTTCCTTTGCCGGACAGCCTCGTGCCGGGCAACGGGGCTGTCCGCCCGACTTTGAACACGAGTGGTTACGGAGGAAGTTATCAAAAGCAGACGCCTACATCTCCCGCAGATAGCAATGTCCCATTCGATTCGCCCCGCGCCCTTTCAGCAGGAGGAAGAAATGGCTCGGCGAACAGTCCTATCGATGGTGGCTATAGCCCGGTCACCCCTGTGACGAGGGATCCCACAACTCCTCATGACCAGCTTGGATACTGGGATCGACCGGCGCCCCGTGAAAATTCACGTTCGAATGGCCGATCGCATACGAAATCTCCCGGCAGCACGACTAGAATCTGTAAAAAATGCGGAGATCCGCTGACCGGTCAGTTTGTACGGGCGCTCTCGGCTACATACCACCTCGAATGCTTCAAGTGTGAGGTAAGTCTTCAGAGCCCTTTCCACGCCCACCTCGGACTCAAACAACTCACCCCGACGCGTAGGACTGTGGCCAAATCGTGGCATCGAAGTTCTTCCCCGTCGACGCGGAAGACGGAAGTGGACAATATCCCCTCTGTGAAACAGATTACTTTCGCCGACTGGACCTTCTCTGTCATGAGTGTGGTGGCGCTTTGCGCGGATCGTACATCACCGCATTAGAGCGCAAGTATCATATTGAACACTTCACCTGTTCGGTTTGTCCGACGGTCTTTGGTGCACAGGACTCCTATTACGAACATGAGGGTAGGGTTTACTGTCATTTCCATTATTCGACACAATTCGCCCAAAGGTGCCATGGGTGTCATACTGCCATCTTAAAACAATTTGTGGAAATCTTCCGCAACGGTCAAAACCAACATTGGCATCCCGAGTGTTATATGATCCATAAGTTCTGGAATGTCCGTCTAGCTCCGACCGGGCAGCCTCTAGAGCCACCCCAGTTGGATCTGGACGCTACCGATGAAGAACGCAACCGAGTGCGGGAGGAAGAAGAGGTGATGGAAGAAAAGGTCTATAGGATTTGGAGCATCTTGTCCAGTTTCGAGGAATCTTCCGCCGCCTGCATCTCGGACATGCTTCTGCATGTGAGCAATGGTACATATATTGATGGGGTTATCGTCGCCAAAAGGTTCATCGGACACGTCGATGTTCTTTTCTCCGCAATTGATGAGCTCGCAGGTGCCATCAGAACCCAGGGCATGAAGGATCTCTCCTTTGGGAGAGAAGCGAAACTCTTGTGCAAGAAGATTGTCGCGTTCTTTGCACTTCTGTCAAAAACCCAAGAGGCCGGTGTTCGCAAGCTCGGTGTGACCCAGGAGCTTTTATCGTTGGTCACTGGGCTCGCTCACTACCTCAAGCTTCTTATCCGCATTGGCTTACAGGGAGCTCTGAAGTTGGAGAGAGAGAAAGGTACCGCTGATGGTCTCCACAATTTCTTGGATCATCTCGGCGATCTTGAGGCCCTCAGGCCACCGGAGGAGGAAGAAGCTACATCCGACTTGATGGCCGGTGTGGAAGTTCTCGCAGACCAACTATCAGACTGCTGCATTGCATGCAAGGAACCAATTGACGATGAGTGTGTGATGCTAGGTGACAACAGATGGCATGTTAAGCCGCCTCACTTGACCTGTGTGGCATGTCAGAAGGATCTCACTGCTACTCTGCAGGATGCCTTGTGGAGTCCCAAGGACCAAAGGTCTTTCTGTACCGACTGCGCCTCCAGCAAAGGGCTCACCCCAGAAACACAAGCTGGCTTCATCCGTGTGACCAAACTCCAGCAATTTGTCTTCTTACTACGGGTTGCCCTGGCGCGACTGCTTACGGTCTTGCGAGCTGGGGGATCACTTACATCTGCTTCTGGTATGTTGGAAACGATCCATCTACGTCTTGCTTTTCTTGGAGCCTTAACTGATTTCCCCAGGTGATATGAATGCCAGACCACAGGATGGCAATGATGACCAAAAGACATCTCCAGGAGGCCCCATCCGCCGGTCCGCAACCAGAGGGAAGGGATATCCCAGGCAAGGTTCTGAGGAATCGTCCCTCGAGCAGACTATGGGTGAGATGCGCCGCCTACGATCTATTCGAAATGAGCGAACCTTGTCCACCACCTACAAGAAGGCTCGAGCCTCGCGAATTATTGATGGACCCGAGGGGCGTAGCGTCAGGCCAGGCTCACCTGGTGGTGAAGGTTCCGATCCTCGTGGCCCCGGCTTCCAGATTGTAGAAGAGAGAGATGCGAATGGGGAGACAGTTACCGATCTCACTTTCGGAAACCAAGATGCCCTGACTCTGGACGATATTCCGAGGATTGTCGCGGCCGAGCAAGCGAAGGAACAGCGCCCCAACGCGTATAGACATGCTGGCACCAAGCTCGTGGGGACTACTGAGCCTCTCCCAAGATATAACCGTGGTCATCAACGCGACGTGTCAGGCGCTGGCATAGAAGGGCCTCTCGAACAACCCGGAAGAACAAAGAAGTACTTTTCGGAACTTTCCGCGTTGGAGTACTTCATCGTTCGACATGTCGCGGTCTTGTCAATGGAGCCCCTGCTGGAAGGCCATTTCACCTTGGAGGAACTCTTATCCCTGATCGAATCGCGGAAGCCTACGATTTGGAATATCTTTGGTCGTGCCTTCAACAAAGAGGGCAAGAAGGTTGGAAAGAAGAAGGGTGTGTTCGGCGTCAATCTCGACGTTCTTGTCGAAAGAGAGGGCACCGAGTCTAGTCACGGCGTTGGGCCCGGTGCATTACGCATTCCTGCACTGATTGACGATGCTGTCTCCGCTATGCGCCAAATGGACATGTCGGTGGAAGGAGTGTTCCGCAAAAATGGAAACATCAGGAGACTGAAGGATCTCTCGGAGCTGATCGACAACAAGTACGAACAGGTGGACTTGACCAAGGAGAACCCTGTTCAGATTGCAGCTCTCCTGAAGAAGTTCCTCCGTGAAATGCCCGACCCGCTGCTGACCTTTAAGCTCCATCGCCTGTTCGTGGTTTCTCAAAGTAAGTCATCTCAATTGACACGAAAACAAAAGAGTGGTCGCTTACACATACTTCTCCAGAAATTCCCGACCCAGAAAAGCAAAAGCGACTGCTTCACCTGACATGTTGTTTGCTCCCGAAGGCACACAGAGATACAATGGAGGTTCTTTTTGCGTTCCTGAACTGGACCTCTTCTTTCTCTCATGTGGATGAAGAGTCGGGAAGTAAGATGGACATTCATAATCTTGCAACTGTCATGACACCGAACATTCTCTATCCTAATGCCAAGAATGGTACGGTTGACGAGAGTTTCCTGGCAATTGAAGCTGTCAATGCTCTTATCACATACAATGACACCATGTGCGAGGTATGTTCTTGTCTAAGACCATCGGGCTCGCGTCCTCTGTCCATCAGATTCCCAGCCTAACTTCTTCAATAGATTCCAGATGATCTCCAAATGGTTCTCAGCGACACGAGCCTGTTGAAAGAGAACTCCGAAGTTACCACCAAGGAGATCCTCAAACGGTATGGGGACATTGCTCGCGGAAGCTTTTCTCAAAAACCCAGTAATGGCGGCGAAACTGTTACGATCACCAATGCTACCAGGGGAGCCAATGCTCCTACCTCTGCACGCATCGAGACAGACCCTTCACAGGATGGGGCCTGGCAATCCCAAAGCTCAGTACGCCAAGTGCAAGCGTCCGGCAGCCACGGACCTCCGCCGGGTGGAATGGAACTTGGGCCAGCACCAACGAATGACTACCGTGAGCGTAGCACAAGCAGCGGTAGCCAACACAATCCCATGCAACCGGAGGGACAATCGCAACAACTCCCTTATAGGGCACGTCCTAACGCAGGGCCAATGGGCGTTGCTTCATGAGATGTCCTAGGCTTTCAGTTGTATATGCAGCGATGTTGAATACCCTGCTTTTCAGTCTGTTTCGACCATTTCACCAGCCTTAACCCAGATCTTTCCCCTGTTTCGACTCTTTCTGAATCCTATTGGCGTATCATTGGGCCGTTCAGCGTCTTTATTTTACCGGGATTGGATGGAGTTTTCTTTGACTCTCCGCATTGCAACGATTCTCGAAAATTACCTTTCACGATGGTTACATCTACAAGAGGACCATGCATCTTGGTTTGCTTAATCGTTTGACGGTGCGGTAGAATCACCCGCGCCATTCGGCTGGACCCGTTCCTATTCCAATCAATCCATCGGTTCTGGTTCCTAGTTCAATTTTGTGGTATTTTCTATTCCATTCTTCAGTGGACTGCCGTGTCTATCTCCAGCCACGGCGACAGTTATTGGCTCCCCCTACCCTTCTTTCATCTACTAGCGTCTCTTCTCTTGTTTTCTCTCCTCTTCATTTCAGGCCCAGAGCCCTCGTGAAACCCCCATTGATTGCGATATGGAACAAACAAGTCCTGTTCGATTTTTCTCTTTTTTATCTTGATTTGTTAGCCGGTCAGCATGACTGCAAAGATACCTGTGCCGAGTTTTCTTCTGGCTCTTGTTTTTTAACCTTAAATTCCTCTATCACTTATCTCCTTTACTACCTCATTTCGTCGATATGCTTTGTTTTCTTGGCTTCCACTATACAGCACGAGCTGATATTCCCATTCAGTTTCCTTTTGTATCTCCTTACTCCAGCAGTACCTCTGCTTGGTCCCCGTGTCTCCTAATGTAGACAACCATGAGCGAGGGCAACAGCCTTGTCTTCTTCAGTGGAGACAACGATAAGTTGGATGTGTCCATTCGTATTTGTGTACAGGTCTTTGGCGCGGAAATCATCTGCTCTGTTGGGAACACTATGTAGAATAGACCTTGACGCGCATACAGGGCCGTGACTGCGCAATGTAAAGTATCTGTCACCGGACCCAGAATGCTAACGGGATGGATTCGTGGATCAGCTATGTGTATAGTGAACGAGAACAGCCAGACAACCATGCTTAGAAATGACATTGTTGTTGTATATGTGGGAGGCGGTGATTAATTGGTGGCTTAGGTTGGGTGCAGAATAAACGCCCCCCTCCGCATTTCCTCCGCCGACCTTCCTTAATCTACGTTCTGGATAAGAACAGTAATGACATGAAGCTGGCAGGCCCAAGGCAAATCCCTCCCCACTCTTTCAGCAAATACGCCATTTTCCAGCGATGATCAATTGTCTATATCACTGAGCATCCCCCCTAAGTACCACGCAATTGTCCCTTCATCATGTGCGTTAACCCCCCGAGCAGCTCGATCTCTCATGACAAGAGGAACCACCGTGACTGACGATTGACGCGATCAACAGGCCCGTATTCTCCCTCATCATCATCAACAAAGCCGGCGGCTTAATCTACCAGCGAGAATTCCAGCCGGGGCTCCGCAAACTCTCCACAAACGACTACCTCGTCCTGGCAGGCACGTTTCACGGGTATGTGCTGTGCTGGGCTCTGGACAGACGGAGGATCGCGAACGCGAACTCTACCACGATCGCAAGACTGCTTTGCTAACCGCCATGCTCTGCTGCAGTGTCCATGCTATCACGCGCTCCATCACCCCCAAGATCCCCTCCGCCGCCCCCGCGACAGCATCCTCCTCCAACCCGACGACTCCCACCCCCACGACATCCTCCTATCCCAACCCCGGCATCCCTGCGACAGGGCTGGAAACTCTCGAATCTGATAAATTCCGCCTCACCTGCTTCCAGACGTTGACGGGGACGAAGTTCCTATTGTTCACGGACCCGCTCATGACGAATATCGACGTGGTCATGAAGAAGGTCTACGAGCTTTACGCCGACTTCGTCATGAAGAACCCGTTCTATCAGTTGGAGATGCCGGTGCGCTGTGAGGCGTTTGATCGCCAGTTGACGGGCTGGCTGAGGGGGAGGACATAACGGGATGGAGTGAGATGGGAAGTGGATTTGCCTAGCGGCCGCATTAATGATGCCATTTGATGACCCTGGTTCTATATTGTAATTACACCTTTTGACTCTGTGCCTTTATATTGCTTTTTAAGTTGTGACGAATATACCATTATGATGGCGATAGACTCCCAAAATCAACATCCTTCAGAAGCGTATCGCTCCGAATACACCTTCTAGAGTTACAAGATCCAAGGCGAGAGATAGGAAACAAAGCACAAAGCAGTGAAAAACGCCGGGTATGCATCGACTCGTTCACGGGAATTATTATTTCTGAGACCCCTCTTAGGTGGGGATGCGCTTTACGCCGTGTCCATCTTGTCCCCATCGTCTTTCTTGTCTTTGTTCCCGCTGGACTCTACACCCGGTTGTCCTTCCTCGGGGATATTGTCGAGGTTGGCCTTGCGTTCCTGCTCCTCGCGCTCTCGCTTCTCCTTCTCCTGTCGGTTCTTCTCTTCCTCGAGTGACAGGCGCAGGGCGAACGCCAGTTCGGGGTCGTTCTCGGCCGCATCTTCGAATCCAAAGCCACTCGCATCCCCGGCATCAGCACCGGCACCACCGGCGCCGGTGTCACCGCCAAGAATGGGGGTGACCTGGAGCTCCTCGCTTAAAAGGTTGGGACCAGGGGGGATGATGGCCAGATGCGAGCCGTCGCCACCCTTGACGTTCTCCACAAAGGCTTCCAGCTTCTTCGTCTGATCGGACTCGAGATCACCGAAGGCCACCACGTCGATGGAAACGTTGTTCTTTTTCATCTTCTTTGCGAGCTTGACGAGCGTCTTCTCATCTTCTTCGATCGGAGAGCACGAGAACACGATGATGCGTTGGCGTTGGGATTTCTCGGAACGGTGTTTGAGAGCGAGCTATAGGAATGGCATTAGATCAAATTCACCAGTCAGGGATAAAGCAGATGGAGTTGCAACTAGCAGGGATAAGGCAAAGGAACGTACGCCGGCGACTTGTATGCTCGAGCTCAGATGGGCGGTGCCGTGGATCTTGGTGCGGTGCAGACCGGACAGGATACCTCCAAAGTCGGTTGTAAATGTCGAAAGAACCTCGGGACCGTTTCCGCCCATGCTCATGAGTCCGACGGCCGATTGGGGGTGTACGCGCATCTTGGCGGTGTGGATGACGCTGACGGCGTCGATCTGTGCTTGCCATCGGGTCGAGCTGGGAGCTATTAGGATCGGAAGGAAACGGCTGACGGATAGGGCGCAAAGCGAAGACATTACTTACGTGTAGTCCCCGTTTCGACTACTCTCGCTGTTGTCCACACTGTTGCAGAGGTTAGATGCTGTGCATGGAGCTCGGTTGAGAGGTGGGAGCACTGACATGATCATGGTTGCTTCGAGCGACATCTTGGCGGCGGTGTCTGGGAGGGATTGACGAAATGGAAGGACGGCGGAAGATGACGGAAGGGAATGTGTATGAGATGGAGGTAGTGATATGAAAGGAGTGGTGGGAAGGGAGGAAGAGATGGGGAGAAGAGATGACGATGGAAGGTGGAGGATGGAGCTGGACGAGGAGAAGATGTCACCCGCCCCGATCGGAGCTAACGACGAATTAAGTCAGCGCTTGTTTACACCACCACCGCTTTCTCCCATTCCACCCTCTCCCTCGTTTGCTTCTTCTCCCAACTCCTCGCACCACCACCATTTTCAATCATCTACTCTCGTCGCTTGTACTCTCTCACTCTGTATTTTTCTTTTCAGCCCTCATCGCTTGCATCCAATGGCTTCCCACGCAGCCAAGCGAAAGTCCCGCGACGACGACGCGTACCTCGACGATGAGGCTAGAACGCCCACCAACAGCCCACCGAGGAAGAAGATGCGCATTACGCGAAACCAGAAACAAGCTTTGATTGATAATCTACAACTTGAGAGTATGGTGTCCTTCAGTGAGGCCGCTGATTAGGCGCTGACTGTCCCAGTTACCGAGCGAGCACGTAAACTCCGCGCGCAATATGCCCTCCAAGCGAACGATCTTCGAGCGCGGATTGAAAGACGCGTTAACCGTATTCCCGTGGCTCTGCGCAAGGCGAATATGGGTGAACTGCTGGAAAAGCACCAGGCTGCTCTTCGAGCCGCACATGGGAGCCCGTCTCCAAGGAAACACGCTAGCCCGGCAAAGGGCGCACGCACTTTTGCGGCGATCCCTGGTAGCCATGGCAAGATAAAACCATCTGTGTCGAGCCCGAACGCCCGCCGGGTCAAAAAGCAGAGGTAAGACACAAGAAAGCCTAGTCTGTTGATCCCCTGGAGGCGCTTGCTAACGGTTGGTTTAGTCACGAGGGAATCTACTCCGACAAGGAGAACGCTCCAGCCACGGGTGAATCGCTTGACGTGCTGAAAAACCCCAAGCGTCGTGGCAAGCCGGGCGCTGCTGCAGGTGCATCGCGCGTCGTCTCTCAGGAGGTGCGAGGCGCGGACTACCGCATTCTTTCACCCAAGTCGTCCAACTCTCGGACCTATCCTCAATCGCCGTTGCGTGCTTCTCCCGAAAAGCCTCAGAATTCTTCATACCTTGCCCGGCCAATGTCACCCTTGAAACCATCCAGCCCACTCAAGTCCACGTCTGCTAGTGTCTCCCGTTCTACGAAGGGTGCTGCTTCCACTTCGATGGTCGGCAGGCCACCATCGCAGGCTAAGAGACCATTAAGTAGGGCCGCAGCGAGCACGAAAACCACACGATCACCTTTACCGCGCCCCGCAACGCGTCAACTCGAGCGCAGAGGTAGTGTTTCATCTTCTGCGTCGTCGGGGACCACCGTCGCAAGGCCTACCAGAACCGGAGCCGGGGCCAGGAAAGCGACAACAGCGTCGACAGCTAGCTCCACGAGCAAGAAGACGGCCAGCCGAAATTTGACGTCTGCAAGTGCGAAACAGACCGCTGCTTCTGTGTCCCGGAAGGCAACAGGGCCGGCAGGTGAAGCTCCAACGGGACGCCGGGTGTTGCGCAAGCGTGCCTAGAATTTAATCTGTTGGGTACCTTGTCTGGTGGGTTTGGGGAGGTTGTTTTGTATTAGCTCGGCGTGGTCTGGATGGAGTTTATCGACCAGTCTGGGATGGACTGGCTTGGTGTTCTTCTATTTGCATTGATCTTTGCGCATGGGTTTCTTCATCTTGGCGTTGGGTTCTTTTAACTGCTTTCGTGGTTGTTGCGTCTGCATCTATTCATCCCTTTGTGTTCAAGGAATACAGCTGTTCTGTGTACATCATGCGTTGAGTTCAATATATCTTTTGAGCATGGCAAACATGAATATGTTGTGCTGATCAGTGCAGACCCTGACATCCAGTGATGGTCTATCACAATCCACAGCTCCAGCTAAGCCTTCACCTCAACAACTGTGCTCACTTCCACGATTTTCTACATCATGTTAGCACATCTCTGCAACGCAAAAACATCATGTTCAGGGATCATACCGGCCATCCCTCTTCAACATCCGCCTCCAACGACCTCGTCTCCCAGCGCACCTTTCCCCCCGGCCTCCCCCCAGCCCGCACATACTCCAAGTACGCCGGCGCCCCCGGCAGATCCGTATTATCCGCAATCGCCAACGCCCCAACCCGGAACAGACCTAGATCCTCACAAAGCCGCAAATCAGGCACATAAAACTTTTCCCAGTGATCGAAGAACACCACATCAACACCGCCCTTACCGAGCGCCCCCTCGGCATGGAGCTTCTCCACCGACGCCGCCGCCGGCCCCTCCAACACGCTGACCGTGCCCTCCAACCCGGCGAGGCGGATCAGATCCCGCGCGACGCCCGCTGTGACGGCGCTCAGCTCGAACGTGTACACGCGGCAGGATGCGGCGGCGCTGGGTGGGTTCAGCTCGCGGAGCATGGCGCCCCAGGCGATCGCGGAGGCGCCGACGTAGGTGCCGAATTCGAGGAGCGTGGTAGGGGCGGGAGTCATCTGCGCTAGTTGTTGGCGGGAGAGGGTGAGCTTGGACTCGCGGAAGGTCATCATTGTGTTGGATTGGGCGAAGGAATCGATTGCGTCGATGAGGGCCCAGGGGTCGTTGGTGTAGGGGGTTGGGTCGGAGAGGATGTGGTCGCGCAGGGCGAGGGCTTTTTGTTCGATTATCTGGTGGGGGATGGGTTAGATATCGTGCGTGGGTGTGTGAGGGTGGGTGACGTACAGCTTCCATGGACATGGTGGTAGTGATGAGTGTCTTTGGGTTGGGATATAGTAGAGAGAGGTAGATTGGGATGAAAGTTGGCGAGGATGGTCCTGGGTATTGTGCGGTATTTATACTTGTGAGACAGCTAGGCAGAGTCGCATCGGGGGATTCATCTCTCGGAGGAAGCGCATTATGTCCGGTAAGATCGAGATCATCTCATATAAGACCGAGAAGCTTGTCATCATTCAACTCTATAGTCCGACACGACGTATATCTCGGAGATAGCAGCATCAGCTAGCCGGTTCGGGGTACTCGCACCGAAAGTCGGCCGACAAGGTTTGATCCATAAGGTTCGCTCTATTCTCATACTGTGGCAGTGTAATAAGTAATCGATGAATCCATTATGCCGCTGATGCTCACAGGGTTATCCATGCCAACAAACCAAACAAAGGCACAGTCGTCAGTCGTCCGATCATACATCAATAGAACATCAGTAATAACGACAGGGTATTAAACAGCCTAATTTAGAGCCCACAACACAAATAGAAAAGCATTAAGGAAAAGAAGGAAAAAAGAAACAATCAGCCCATAGACATAGAGAGTACTCATTTCTCAGCCAGCTCCAACCTCGCCGTGCCCTTGACTGGACGGAGAATGCCCTGGGCCAGCGCCCACTCGCGCAGGTCGGGGTCTTCTCTCTCCGCGTCAGCCCCCAGATCCTCCTTCTCGTAGTGACGGCCCAGATGCTCCATGCGCTGGTCCCAGCTCCGGGGGCCCGAGAAGGCCTTCCCACAGACGCCGCAGGTGCTCCGGTCGGGCAGCGTGCGCAGCTCGTGCCAGCACCGCTCCCGGACACTCTGCAGGGTGCGCTCGAAGGCGTCGCGTTCCTGCTCGCTGGCGGGCTGTTTCGGATTCCGGTTGGCCCAGGGGGCGTGCATGCGCCGCTGGTGCTGGGTGAAGAGGTCCTTGCGGTTGAACAGCTTTTCCGAACGAGACCCCGTGGTGTTGTGCTCGCCGGCGCAGCCGCCTACATCGCAGCGGTAGAAGCCCAGCTGGATGTGCTTGGAGGCGACGTGGCGCTTCCACTCGTTCTTAGATGTGAACGTGCTGGTGCACCCGTACCGCCGGAAGCTGCACACGAACAGCCTGGTCGGTCCCCTGCGCGGGGTGCTCCTGGTCTTGGAAGTCTGTCGAGCAGAGGAGGGTTTGGGTTTGGGCTGGGAGCTCGTGGTGGAGCGTTTGGTCACCCGGCCGGCGGAGGGCTTCTTCTGACGCAGGCTCGGCGGGGATGGGGGCGATATAACGGGGGAGGGAAGGGAGGTGGTCGCGTCGGCGGCGGCACCGGCTTCGAAGATCGGCTTGATCTCCGGATACTGGTGGACGGCATGGGGCGGAACAGCGTGGGAATCGAGATCGATCCCGGGGGACGGACAGCCCCAGCTGTTAGTATGGGAGAGCATGTTGGCGTTTTCTTCGTATGGAGGCGTCAAGTATCGCGGAGCATAGGACCAGCTATCGTGGATACTGTGAGGAGTGTCTGCACCGGAGGCCGACGACAGGTCGCTCTCAAACGGCGACAAGGTCGACACTGATGTTGGGGCTGCCAGCTGCATGTGGGCGAAGGGCTCTGGAGACATATCCATGCTCCATGAGCCTGAGGAGGCGCACGCTGAGACGGCTCCTTCCGCAGCGAGCTGACGTTGGATCTGAGCCATGCGAGGGTCGATGGCAGAACTGACAGGATCCGGGTGGGAGGCGTATAGTTCGGGGTCCTGGACGGAGATCTGTTCCTCCGAGGGAAGATAGGACATTGGGGGCGTATATGGGAGCAGAGCGTGCATGATGTGGTGGATATCTGCAGTTATGGAGGCATCGAGTCTGGGGGAAAGAAGAACAGGAATTTGCTCGAGGGCTTAATGGCAATTTTCGGCGTCCCCCAAGGACATTTATGTTCGGCCGGGAGATTAAGCATGATATCTGCAGACCATGAGGATGGGCTGCCACACGGCAAACGGGGCACACCAGATGGGAGGGGACGCTGTTGAGCCTCAAGTCCACCACAATCGATCGCTCCATGATTCGTCTGAACGATGATCGCTGGCTGGGGCCTCTACCTGGCAAAGGGAGCATCAGCCCCTGCAGAGTGTTTTGCGACACCACAAAAGCAAAACCAGCACCACCACGGCGTGTGTGATAGGAGGTGAGACGACCAGCACCACCGCAGACAACGGAATGAGGATCCTCGTGCTCCATCATCCATCTCGCTCTCCAATCACCACCCCAGTCAACCCCTTTTCTTCCTGGTCACTTCGCCTCGCTGCGAACCGAGTCTGGGGGTGTGTCGTCGCCTTCAGCCGCAGTCCAGGCAGTGCGAACAGCGACAGTTCCGCCTCCACGTGCATAAGTCCCAGAAAATAACTTTGGCGGCGCGTTAGTCGCAAGCCAGAAGTCCGGGATGCAGCGTTGGATGCCAACAGTTCAGACGTCCGTCATTGGCAGACAGTCCTCCGGATGGGAAAAGACGACACATCATTCGTTTTTCCCTGTCCATTATGATTAGTTCATGATTCAGGAGAGGGCGTCGAGGGGAAATACTGCCGCATGCCGCAGTCACCTTGCAGCACACCCGGGTCTTGGGCAAAATCCATTTCACCCAGGATGACCAGGACATCGCCCCAAACGGAAGGGTACTGCGACTGGACCCTCTCGAGTCAACCTTGTGAACGCCATGTGGTGGCTTGAACGACGGCTTTCACCCAAGATTGCCCTGTCTCCCCTCTCCTGAACGCCTCTCCATCCAATCGACCCCCTCATAATCGCATTCCATTCCCCGGCTCGCGTCGTTCCGCCATGCAGAACCCGAAACAGCCACCGAAGAAAAAGTGGACTCGAGATCTGGCGGTGATGTACTATCATCGTCCGCAACCCTCCAAGCGAGGAACCCACCTCCCCAGGCTATACAGATTAGCGGGCGATCCTACTTGCTCCCGCTCCCGGTCTCCCCACCGTGGTCCTTGGGAAATGACCCCGACGATTTGACTGGCCGGAGTCCTTTTCCTCGAACACTTTCCTTATCAGGCGCGCCTTCTAGCGTCCACGCAGCCCATCGCACTAGTGCGTTGGCAGAACAGCACGCGCAGGCCGAATTCCCCGGGCCACCGGACAGCGATAGAGAACAAAGGACGACGACGATCGCGCTGTAGCCATTGGGCGGACAGCAACCCCCCACCTCCCTCCTCGCATTCCCCTTCCCCGGGTGCATGGTGACGGTGATGAGAGGACGGGGCGATGCCACTTCACATCCACCTCCCTGGGGGCTTGGCTTGTCTTCACCCGGGTATGGCAGGCTTTCGTATTTTTCTGCAGGCTGCATGCTGTCGTGCAACACCGTGAGTCAGGCTGTGCCCCTGGCTTTTCTTTGTTCTTTGTTCTTTGATCCCCGGGGCTCCATCCGCGACTTCCGTCGCGTGGTCGCCGACGGTCACTTGCATAGGAACTAACCACTTGTCTGGTAACGCTTACCTTATTTCTTATCATTTTGCCCTTTTGTGATTGTCATTTGCTTAGACTTCGGGCGCAGTGGAGAACCTCTGAAACAACCCGCCAGGCTAATTTTGCCCAGCGCTTCGGCGTCGTTCGGCAGATCTGAGTAGATACGTCGCCTGTCGACAGAATGCCGTGCTATGACGATGGTCGATTGTTTTAGCAAGAAATTTATCCCCGACAAGTCCGGTTCAATTCTGCAGAAGTACAAACTAGGACATCTAGCAATACAACAACCTGGCAACGATGCCAGAATAGTCTAGTGATTAAATGACATGTCAAGAAGAGAACCCATCCCTAACTAATCCTTCTTCTCCTTGACCGACGACTTCTTCGGCACCCGAATCAGCCAGTAGAGGAATACCGCCGCCACGGCATTGAAGACCACATAAATAAACAACAAGCCCACGTTGCGCCACCGGTCGTCGAAACTCATGCTGAGCTGGGCGAGGAATTGGTCTGTCGACTGCAGGGTGCACATCTGACAGTCCGTTGTGCTCTCAGGGGTCAACAGCGTACTGTGCGCCATCTGCACAAACGGCCCGAGAAAGCTAGAACAGTTCTGTCCTTCGGGAGGGGGGATATGCAGAATTTCGTAGTCGGCGCACTTGACCTCATTCCCTGCCAACCCCACACTCAACACCGCGCTTACTAGATACGTAAACGGAGAGACTCGGTACATGAAGATCCAGAAGCCTGGAAGAGCTTTAGGGCTCGCAAGCACACTGCACGACGCGTTAGTAGTCGGATATTATTAAAAGCAAGGCCACATACCCGTTGAAGATAAGGCAGAGGGAAAACATCATCTGCGCAATATTACTGCCAGTATCTGGATGCTCAATACCCGCGATGATCATCGAGCTGAATGTGGAGGCGAACATCATGAAGATCAAGATGAGCAGGAACATTGTGCCGCCCCGGTCAACAGTTTCGCCAGGGGGTGCATTGCGGTACAGCCCAATGGGATAGTACCACGAAAAGTAAGCCGGCACCGCCATCAGGATGTTCCACGGCAATTCAACGAGAATACTAGCCATCATGAACGCCTTCCACGAATACGCCTTGGAGGGGCGCTCCCGCACTTCATACAACGCACGTTGCGTCACAAAGTACGGCATCATTTGCTGAACAAGGTTGGGGAAGATGATAAGCAGCATGAAAATAGAAAACATCTGGTTCTGCATTCCCTGTAGACTGAGGGGCTCTCTCCAGAACGTGAAACCAATAAACAGGGGCTATTGGCTTGGTTAGCAACCATCTAAGCAATGCGTATAATTGGACGGGATACTCACCGGAATTATACACATCGCAGCCTTGGAGTAGATATAGGAAGGGGTCCGCCAGTACTGCTGGAACATTCGCTGCAGACAAATGAGGAACTGCGTCCACAGAGGCATCGCAAATTCTCCATACTCCTTCGTGCGAGGAGGCAACGGTTTCTTAGATAGCTCTTCTCTCATCGTTGCCAGTTCCCGGCGCACTTCCATACGCTCTGGGCTTAGGTTCCACACCTCCGGCCAGTCTTGATCGGCATGTGACCCTGGAGCAGCGCCGATGACCTCCAGCATCCACTCTGCGGGATTAGCATTCGGAGGGCATTTAGAGGAACCCTTGTTCTCGAAGTATCTGATCAAGGTTTCCATATTCTCGCCAAGCTCTCCAAAGTAAACCGTCTTGCCGCCCTTCGCGAGGAAGAGGAGCCGATCAAACTGTTGCATCAGGATGGCAGACGGCTGATGGATCGTGCAAAGAACCGCCTGCCCATGGTCGGCTAGCTTTCGCATAAGAGAACAGATTGACCAGGCAGTCTGACTGTCCAATCCAGACGTGGGTTCGTCGAAAAAGAGCAGTAGGTCGGGTTTAGCAGCAATCTCAACTCCGATGGTCAGGCGCTTTCGCTGCTCAACATTAAGGCCTTCGCCTAACACACCCACCACTGCCTCAGCATATTCTTCCATGTTCAGCATCTTGATTACCTCTTCCACATATGCCAGTTTCTCTTTGCGCGGCACGCTTGAAGGTTGACGGAGGATTGCACTGAATATCAGAGCCTCACGAACAGTGCTTGTTTCAAGGTGCAAGTCTTGCTGCTGGACATACCCAGTCTTGCGTTGGAAAGAGTCATCTCGCGGACGTCCATCTACTAGCATATCACCCGTAATCACCCCCATGGTAATGCGATTGGCCAGAACATCAAGAAGGGACGTCTTGCCGGCTCCGGTCACTCCCATCAAAGCAGTCAGGGTTCCCGGCTTGACCCAACCATCAACATGGTCAAGGATACGCCGAGTCTCTCCTTTGATCTTGATGTCATAGCAGACGTCCTGCCAGTGGAAGATAGCTGTTTGTTTGGCAAGAGACGCGGTGTGGTCACTACTTCCAGTATCCAATGATTGCTTTTCGGACGTGGGCGCTGTCTCCAGGTCTCCAGGCGCGGCCGCTTTCTTCGCAAACGTCGGGATCTTCCCCCGAGGAAATACAAGGATTTCTCCCTTGGAAGGTTTGGCCCGGATCAATTCGCTGCATATGACATACGCAAACAGGAAGAAGAAGAAGAAGGCCACGATGATACCATAGTTGCGCCACAAATGCTCCTTGTAGTACTGGTAGGAGGTGTTAATGTACGCATCGCCGTTGATGTGGTCCTGGCCGGCCACAGCGCCGTTTCCCACGCAAACCTTCGAGCTCATGGGTACATTCTCATAACCAGGGCCAGAAGGCATATACTGTGCACATGGGAAATCCCGACCACTAAACTCGTTGATCATCAAAGATTCAAAAGCATACTAAACTTGGTTAGAGGCGATTTACGACAGTATGACATAAAGAAAGGGAGGGGAGGGCTTACAGCGATCGGGTTCAGGTAATTGAGCCAACGGAACCAAGGATGCATATTCTTCACCGGAATGGTGAATCCAGTGTAGATAACGAGAATCATCATGAATATAGACGACGGGACCATTGCCTGCGCTAATGACCGTGAGATAGCGCCAATCCACCGGAAGATGTTGGACATGGTCAACGTTGTCGTTACTGAGAAGAGGTAGAATACGAAGAAATGCCCAGGGGTCCGGCGAAGATTGGTCATGAAGTAGAGAATCAAGTTGAAGGCCACCGAGACGAGTGCTTTTGAGGGAAGGTCGACAATCAGAGCACTGATGGCTTCTGCAGACGGATGGTACAGTGCGTATTTGTCATGCTTTTCCACAATCGGACGTTGTTGCCAGAGGGTCAGGATTTCCAGTGCACTTGCGAAGGCGTTCAGCAAGATCGAGAAAAACAGGAGGGCACCTCGTGAGAAGTAACTATTCGTTGTGCCATCCAAATTGTAGAACACACTGGCAATAACGAGCGACATGATGCTATTACCGATCACTGAGGCTAGCGTCATGCTCATATCACCCTTGAGCCGCAGGAAACCCCGGTGAAGACAGAGGCGGACCTGCATAGGATATGACAGGGTATAAGGGGACGCTGCGCGGGTTGCTTTGGCCTTCTCAGCGGCACGAGAGCGGGAGAACTCCTCTTGTTTGTTGCCACCAATCGGGAACTCGTTACGGAATGCCTTGATATCAGCAAGAAGTTGTTTCCGCTCGGCGCTCTGTTGCCATCGTTCTGCGAACTCATCGGGGGTGCGGGGCACTAAATGTTCGAAGCCTTTTCGTGCCCTCCGTTCCGTTGGGCTGGTCAAAGAGGTCAGGAAGTCGGCGGTGGTCTGTCGGTCCGGACAATCAAAGCCCATTTCGATGAAAAAGCGTCTGGCGTCAGATGCACTGCCAAAGTAGATTTGACGACCTTCATAAAGCACAATTGCTTTATCAAAGCAATCGTAGATCGCTTGACTGGCTTGGTAGATGGCGACAATTGCGGTGGATCCAGTGTACTCGGTGGACAGACGAAGACACTTGACAAACTCCAGGGCCGTTGAGCTGTCCAAGCCTCTGGTGCTATTATCCCAGCATTGGAGCGGGCTACCACAGAGCATAGTCTCTGCGATACTAACTCGTTTGCGCTCACCACCAGACACGCCGCGGATGAACTCATTGCCCACTTTGGTATTCATGGTGTGGGAGAGTCCGAGCATAGCCATGACGACGTCCCGCATGTGGGTGGCATACTGCTCTCGCGTCACGCCAGGGAACCGGTTGGCCGGCGCGCGGGCATGAGCGGCAAAGAGTAGGGTGTCACCAGCGGTCAGTTGAGGGAAATGAATTTCAGTCTCTGCCTGGTAAATGACTTCACCGCGATACCGACTATGCATCTCGTCCCAGGATATCCCCTGGTACTCGATATCCGTTCCCTGATCGAGCCACAGGCCGTGGGTCTCACCGGCGATTGTCTTCAAGAAGGTTGAACAACCACTGCGAAACTTCTATGTTAGCGTCATTGATGGCAACGGCGCAAGTGGAAGACAAGACATGAAAGACTCACCTTCCAGGTCGACCGAGCACCACCAGCATTTCACCACTCTTGACGAATCCTTCAAAGTTGCGCAATATATCAATGCGCACCTTGTTCCCAAAGCCCAGCGCACCGCGAAGCCATCCAAACCCTTTCAACCACATGTTGGCGACATCCGCCTGGTAGTCGGCGGCCGTCCCGTAGCCAAAGGCGTTGAGATTGCGAAACGAAACACCGGTTGTGCGACGTGGATAGCGATCTGGGTCACGCGAGGTGATATGAAGGAGGTTCTTTGTCCATTTGCGCGAGCTGAACTTGTCGGATTGCGGATCTAGTTCAGGATCGTGGTTCGGATTGAGAAAGGTATTCGTACCCTCTCCCAGCGCACTCTTCTGCGACATCTGAGAGAAGGTTCGAGCCAATGCGGCGATCTTGCCCTGCCCCTCTGGCCCAATGCCATCCTCGGAATCTCGACCGGTTGTATCTGTGCTTCCCGCTCCCTCTCCATTGCGATGAATATGCTGCTGGATCGCATTTTCGAATTCGAGCCCCGCGGAGGCAGCAACCGCAGAGGCGCCAAAGGGGACTGGCGGAGCTGGTTGAAGGCCCATCGCAGCACACGATGGTTACAGATGAGAAGGTGAAGGCAAGATGGTTGGCATCACCGTCGACGATGGAGGGGGACGACTGATGTAAAGGGACAGCGCGCAAAGAAAAAGATATTTCAGTGGATGAGACTGGTCGGGGATGGCCAGGAATAGATAATGAATGACTCCAAATGACGAGAGACGACGTTCATGTGGTGAGCAGCAGGATCAGTATGAGAAACGGAAGCCGGGAATTTGGACATCCGAGCGTCGTCGCGATGGCTGTCAGTCAGGAATCCTCCATGAACGAACAGGAAGCCAGAAGAGCCGAGCCGAAGCTGTCACAGGGAAAGGTGGTCGTCATGGTTAGGCTGACCATCGAACGTGGCATGGGCTGGTCCTGCCTATCAAATCGCTTTGTATCCAGGGAATGGTTTGTGCTTGGCGCAGAAGCGACGCTTAAGCGAAGTAGATGAAGGCCAGAATTCGATCTTTGGAGAAGTAGAAGCGACAGGTTGTATCATCTGCGCTAGCGCGGGGGGTGTCTCCACTCAGGGACATGGAGGTTCTCCTGATTGTTTCACTGGGTCGCGATGCGATCAGCAAGCTCAGTGATTTCATTATGGAGAACGGTGTCTAAGGGATCGGATGTCCCTGATCCGTGGTTAAGATGCACACCATGATGGACAGAAAGCATTGTCTATGGGTGTGTACATACACATAGAACTACCTACAGGAACCTCCGACAGTAGGTAGACAGCTGCATGAATCACCTGATGATAAGTCTGAATCGGGCATTTGCTGGATAAGGTAGAACTCCACTACCTTACTCTCTGATTGGCGTCGTATCCGTCGTATTGCCCCATTTGCGTCTTGACAGCCAACGGGTCAGGGCCCACCACTACTAATCACCATCTTCCCCGGATCTTTCTGGCCTTTCTGGGTTAGCTCAGGCCCCTTAAAATACCTTTATCCCATACAATGTCTCGGAGAGATTCGGGGTTGACAATACTTGTAGTAATATCCATGGTAGTAGTATAGGGGTCACTTGATGAATTATTACATGCCCAGAGTCTCCCTCCACGGGGTTCGGACATTTTTCTCGCGTGTTTGCTCGTCCAAGACATGCATGGTGGGTGGTCCATGTTCGTGACAGGTCAAACCTCATTGCTCAATATCAGGATTTTCTTCAAGCCGAGACTTGCTATATGTAGGCATCTGTTCTACTTAAGCATGCACATCGACTGACCGACAAAGAAAGTTCCCACTCATCAGAATCATTCCAGGAGATTCCTGTTTGACCTTGTGTGATACAGTCATTCTTATGTATCGATCGCCGAATGGATCGACTGTGCAGATCAGCAACAGATCCCTGATGTGTCATATGCTCGCCATCCAATCACCAGAAAACAGACCATTCAAGAAGACTACAGAGGATGTCATATGGTGATATTGGAATGAGAGGCGACATTTATTCAACTTCAAATGAAAACAAGGTAATCCGGTAGCCGTGATCCATCGATGTGCTTATGAAGCATTTCTCCCTCCATCATTCCGTCGACAAAGCATTCTCCGATGATCCGCCACGCAACAACAGGCCTGTCGCGACGAGTTCGGATCTCGGCCGGCCGTGCGACAATCGGAACGCCATGGTTCATGATAATGAGTATGCAGTCACCCGGCTGGGCCGCGGCGGGCGCGAGTCCGAGAAGCCCCGAAGCCGTTGAAATCAGGCGGCGATTACGAGTCCGAAATGTCATAGCCTGTCGTGCGGCCGAGAATGCGGTATCTGAAGGTGCCTTGGACGAGTCATCACTGTCGTCGCTGTCACTGTCGGGAGGAACATCGCGAAACGAGACGTATGACTTTAATGGTTTCCCCTGAATCAGGAACTCTGCATTGCTGTGGATGAAATGCCAGTTACGGTAGTCACGGCTATTGGAGGCTGGTTCCCGGGCTATTGTAATGGTCAGCAGCGAAATCCAACCTCATATACCTGCGAAGCTTCTTCTGGAAGCCTGACGCCTGGTTGGAAGTGACATACCAGGAAACGAGTTCAGGAGACTTGTGTGACGTAGTCCTGCTTTGGAACCACCAACCATCGAACCAGCAACCAAGACCCAATCAACACTCAAAGTTCGCGATGCCATGGACGTCTCACCTGGCTGACATGCACCAGAGGCATCGTAGCCATTGGTCATCGAATGGAGAACATCAGCCAGGTTTTTATCCATCTCCACAGGTCCTGGCTGCACGATCCCTTTTCGGAAGCCAGTCGGCCAGGGTGTAGAATCGAGATCCGAATCAAGAGGATTCAATGCACCAACACCAACTACCATATCAGCTACAAACCCATGCATGTGGAGTTGGTCATCGGTAAGGTCCGGTGGGCAAAAGCCAAATGTCACATCTGTGATACGCTGAAACGACGCAGAGTTTCTGCTCGCATACCAGTCGCCCTCTATCATGCCGGGCCGAGATGTCAGGCTGGCTCCAAAGTCAGGAACCCAAGAGGGAAGAAGCAGGGCATCGTCGACAGTGACATCAGCCGCTCCTGGAGACAGTCCTCGTCCGTCGAGAAGAAAGAGGACATCGCGCGGTGAGCCTTTGCGAATACACGCCTCGGCAAACTCTTTGTAAATCCGAACCAGCGACTTGGAATAGTCGACCTCGATGCCAAGATCTGGAAGGGATGGAATATGTAGCATGCCATACACCCTGTCTCTTGGTTCCTGAGCCTCCGCATTAGACGCCAGGATCAGTGCCTCTCGAAGACCCGATCCTATCTGGAGAGCTTGGTCTGGCTCTGGGGCTGAACGGAAGGGTAAGGTGATTCTCTGGTCGATCTCTGGTAGAGTCCTGCGGTGAGACCGGATTTCGAGCTTCGCAATTGTTGCAATATGAAAGGCGATATGATCATTCAGGGAACCCCGAGAAGTCCCCGTTTGACAGGAAGTGAGGAGTTCCGTATAAGCAATCACAGCATCGCGGATGTACCGCCACTGGGTTACACGCGATCCGCAGACCAGGGGCATTCCAGCCCTGCCATTAGCCAACTCCTGTATGACCCAGAGCCGTCGCCAATAAAGGCGATTGAGAAACCTGGATACTGATTCACCTTCGAGCAGTTCAGAAACATAAATCTGCCCATGCCGCGCCATCTTGCGGATAAACCGTCGAAGTGCACTCTTCGAACGTAGTTGTGCAATCTCCCTCCAGGCTGTCGCGAGGACGGGGTCAGCATTGTCGAATATCTCGATATACTCCGCTCGTTGCATTTTGCTAAGATTCTCGAGGACGGAGATGGCCAGATCACTTGTATCGTCGCTCTCCCCGAGCCACACAATGATGTTTCCGGCCTGGTTGTATATCCTTCCCATATGTTGAACCTGTGCTGCCTTCTCAACTGGGTCATCTTGGTTGATACAGAGCGAGTCAACCCATAGCTTCCCACCTTTTTGAAAGTACTCCATTGCACGAAATCGACGTAGGCCCGCCTCAAGGTTGTGCCCCACCGTGACGGGATGACCGTTCACGTAAACTGTACTTTTTGGTCCGTTACTGTCGCCCCAGGCGTAGGACATGGCCATATAGTTATTTGGGTCGATGGTGCATGGCAACGAATCTGCCTCTTCGGCTTGAGGGTGATAATATCGAGGAATCTCCTCCAATTGCGCCCGAGCTGTGTATCCTTCCTCAGCAGGCAAGAGCTCATCGTCGTCATCTATCGGCCACCGCATCTCGAAGCTATGATGGAGCTCCTGATTCTCTATGCCGCTGATTATATCATCCATATCTAGCAGGCTCCTAAGCGAAAGAATTGGAATAATGATGTCGTCCTTCGTGAGACTTGGTTGACCAATGATGCGACGAATGCCGTTGGCTACGTCTCGCGCAAGCCGCATCGTGTCAGTTTCATTCTGCTCTAGAGATTCTTGGAAGTACTGTATCATATCGTCCCTAGCCCGTTCCTGCGGCGGGCTCGTTACCCAGCGCTCGCAGTCAATGTAATTTGCTGGCAGATTATCCGGGCGGACTGCCTGTCGGGTGGGTAGGTCTATCACTTCAAGTCGACAGCGGATGGGGTCATCATCACCTTGGACTGATGCTGTAGGTTCGAGTGTAATCAGGCGGATCTGGTCCAGGCCGAGGGGGAGGTTCTGATAGACCATTCTGCTTCTTTCCGGGGATATGAAACGGAGCCAGGTTAGCATAGCCGTATCTTTAAGCAGGTTGAGTGAGACCTCAGTGGCATATATCTATTCGCAGAGCGCACTCGTTCGATTATGATATATTGGCTCGCTCGCCTAAATTTTCCTACTCCGACAACATTCCTGTCAGCCACGGCTTTTCAGCCTTCGTGTTGAGGGCACATGAGCCGCCTATCTGTGTATAAGTGATACGGACACCGCCACTTTTAAAGCGGTACAGGGGAGCTTGCCTTCCATTCATTCTAACATCCATAGGGTTGACTGAATGGAACGCTTTGACTTAAGAAGATGACTGCGCCGTGGCTTTGGAAAGATGATGGTCCCATTGGAGATGAATGATTCCCTGTAAGACCCTGTGTATCTGCAACGAGACACACGGGCCTCTTGGTAGGTGATCTTATTCGCATTCTGGGAGCCGCAGTTTGATAAGGCTATAATAGAACGTGCAGCTATTGATGGCGCATCGGTAAGCAAGTTCGACGCGTGACCGTGGCTTTTTTGCTAATGTCAAGATGGGCCTTGCACAATCAACGAGGCTTTGGAAGCTCGTATAACGTCGGACCGTCTGAGGCCAGGGATACGTCCTAAGATAACGACACCGCAAAGCGGCCCTGCACAACTTAGTCGCTATTCCAGACTTTAGAGCGCGACATACTCACCTGTAAAAAACGATTCGATATTAAGATTAGTAGGCGGTGCTGATTTTCACAATATGATGGGTTTCGGACGCTGTAATCGCTGTATTTTGTTAGCTCTCTAGGACATTTACCGAGTGCCTATGTAGTTCAGCGCACCAACTGGGATTTCTTGAATACCACTTCCGTTCGCAATGCTGTTCGACAAGTTGTTGGGAGCACTAATGACTAACGACACATCCAAAGAAGGCGCCATGAGCCGGTAAGTGACATCCTGACAATCTACCGGAGCTGTCTGGGACACGGTAGCCGGCGATGGATAATGCTGCGGAGAGGCTATGGCAGAAAATATGGTTGAGCTCTTCAGATCCACAGGTACCCTTCCACATCTTTACAGTCGAACCATTTCCCGCCGTATCCACAAAGCTCGATATGCCGTTGGACCTCATAACTTGATGTCATACCTGGGGCCTTGGCCTTGGATAAGAGACCAAGGATCCGGCTGGGGAGACGCATATTTTGAGGATAAACTGGGTTCCCCAGGGCATCTCTCACCAGATAGTGCGTCCCTGTCCCACCGATGCAGTAGTACGGCAACGAATCAATCTCCAATGTCTCACGAGTTGTTGCGGCGATGAGTGGCTGGAAATAGGGGTACATCTCGTTTCTTTCTTTCTTTCTTTCTTTCTTTCTTTCTTTCATGCAAGGAACGGGTCTGAACGGTCGGTAGACTTCTTGTGGGTGGGAACCTGGATCAGTAAATAGCCCGAATGCATGCTCCAGACAGTATCGTTGTAGACTCCGTGAGAACTCTGTTTCTTGAAAAGAATATGTCTAATTTTTGCTTCCTGATACTTAACCAATCATCCGGACAGGGCGATTCTTATCGTATGTTTCAGGAGGACTTTTCCCACTTTGAGGCTTGTGAGGGAGGTCGGTCTAGTGATCATAAGAAAAAAGAGACTTGAGACCACACCGATGGTTGAATGTTACCTTACATACCATGGAGAAGCAATCCAGAATTTCACGATCCACAGCTCGGTGGATGGATATTTGGAGTCATTAAGCAATCTCGCCGCCATGCAATTAGGACGCGGAAAGAAGAAGTCCGTCCTAACAGAAGAGGAGATAGGTGACTTACTCCATACTTGTCGGCCATATGAATTATTCCAGACAGAGAAGAGTAACAGAGAGATGTAGGGAAACAATATTAAAGATATCTGTCTACAGTCATGTACTTGCACATGATGTGTCCATTTGAAGCTTAGATGATTGAGGAGTATGAGCATAGAGCCATAGATATATTGTATGACTGTATACTCGATTCATGACACGACATGCGGGATTATTGAACACTGCTTATTAGAAAGTTAGCTGCTTCTCTATACGCACTATGACGACTAGCTTTACACCTATTCATCTCGGACTATATAGAAAATGCAGTTGGGATATTGTTCTCTCGATTGAGGATTTTCGATATCAAAACGATATCTGCAACCAATGACATCTGATGGATTGTGCCATTGCGGGGCTCGATGTCGTAGGGCAAGTATGATTGGTGAAGGGCAAGAGATTGTCCCTGACACCTGCCACGTTGGGTCCCCGCCCTGTCAACATTAGCCAATTAGCAGGTTTATACAGGGAAGAGTGGGTCAGGTACATCCGCACAGTCTTCGTTTTTTCTTCTGCTTTTATAGAGTCGCTTCCCCGCAGAGATACATTTCTTCTCTTCATTCAAATATCATCTACGGACATTATCGACCTTCAAGTACAGCGCCCTACGGTTTACTGTACTCTAGGATTATTAGTTGAACGCTCACTTACAACAACTCCGCCATGCGCTCATCCGCGCAACAGTATACCTCTACCCAGGCGCAGTCTGGGGATGATGTCGAGCCCGGGACGCCACACGAGGAGCAGCCGCTCTTGCATCCTGAGGAAGCTGCCTGGAAACCACCGAGGGGATTCGTGTGGATTCAAATCGGTTCGTTGTTTTTATCATCATAACCTATATGCCGTCAATCAAGACTAACCGACGCAGCCATCATGTCAAACGTCTTCCTCTCGGGCTTCGACGGTACCATTACCGCCTCAACTTATGCCGTGATCAGTTCCGAGTTCAATGCTGCCAACACAGCCTCCTGGTTGACGACATCCTATCTGATCACCAGTACCGCCTTTCAACCTCTGTACGGTCGCTTCTCCGACATCTTTGGTCGCCGCACATCCTTCTTCACTGCCACAATTACCTTCATGGTTGGCTGCTTGGGCTGCGGCGTTGCCAACGATATTGCCGTTCTAAACCTCATGAGAGCTTTGACGGGCATTGGCGGCGGCGGGCTCATGACCATGGGTATGTCATCGTCCCCTGACAGAGCAGCGTTGTGACCTACTATATCTAACTCTATCTCAGCCACCATCGTAAACTCAGATCTCATTCCTTTTCGTCGTCGTGGCATGTACCAAGCGCTGCAGAATGGCATGCATGGCTTCGGGTCAATTTGCGGTGCCGCGTTCGGTGGCTCGATTGTAGATACCGTCGGGTGGAGATGGTGTTTTCTGATGCAGGTTCCGGTCGGACTTCTCGCCCTGGTCACAGGTCACTTGGTCATACACCTCCCTCAGAAGTCGGAGGTGATTGAACAAGCCCAAGGTTTTCGCGCTGTTTGGAAGGTCGTCGACTTTTCTGGAGCCCTCTTCCTGATTCTCGGCCTCTCTAGTCAATTAATTGGCCTGAGCCTGGGCGGGAATGAGCTTCCCTGGTCCAACGTTTGGGTCATTCTGTCCCTTGTTGGTAGTGTCGTTCTCCTAGGCCTCTTCATGCGGATTGAAGCCAAGACGAGCGCCATTCCTCTCATCCCTCCTCGGATGCTGCGTGGGGTCCTACCCGTCGCGACGCAAATTGCCAATGTCTGCGTCGGAATGGCTGCATATGCGGTGAGTATACTGTTCTGGGATTTAACGGGATTGCACTAACAGCAACAGTTCCTATTTACACTCCCACTCTTGTTTCAGGTGATCCTATTGGAATCTGCCACCAAGGCCGGCGCCAGACTGGCAGTGCCGTCACTTGCTACTCCAATTGGAGGACTCATTTCTGGCATTGTCATGTCTCGTTGGGGAAAGCTTGCGTATCTCGTACGTGCTGGAACCCTGCTCATGTGCGTTGGCAACTTGATGGTCATGTTCATACAATTCAACGACGCGCCGTGGAAGTACTTTGCCTACGTCATTCCCGCCAGTCTCGGCCAGGGTATTGTGTATCCCGGAATTCTTTTCACCTTCCTTGCTGCATTCGACCATGCCGGTACGTATCGGCCTTTGATAAAGCAAGAAGAGCAAAAATCTCACAACTTGCAGACCATGCAGTATCCGCATCCACCGTCTACTTGGTGCGCTCCCTGGGCACCGTGTGGGGCGTGGCAATCACTTCGACGATTGTACAGAATACCTTGCGCTCAGGCCTCGCTGAGGCCTTGAGTGGAATACCAGACAAATGGAAAGTAACATTCCTCTCGTTGCGTGCACCTTTTAGTGGAAGCAATGGCTGATCAAAATTGCACCTTTCATTTAGATCATTGATGATATTCGTCACTCGGTATCGGCGATCCACAGTCTACCCCCGGACATCCAGATGGCTGCAAGATTGGTGTACTATCGAGGCATTCGACTGTCCTTCCTGGCATCGGCGAGCTTTGGGTTCGTAGCCGTCATTGCCGCCCTGTTCACCAAGGGCAAAGGTCTGCATCGCTCGAATGATGCATAATCCGTGCACCTGTGTCAAGCCTGGCCACGTAACGGCCAGTTCCCACCTCGTGGGGTTAGATGAGAGAAGTAGTCAGGTAGGTTCGGAAGTGGAGCGGAGGAGAGCTCTGGACAAGCTCTGTGGGTACTAGGATATTCGTCTTAGAACGATCTCATATACAGTTAGACTAGTGGAATTCAGACCATGAGTTGGTGCTTTATTCCGCGATGCGGAGAGAAGACATTACCGAGGATCCCCCACGACGCCACCTCCTCAGCAGAACGAGTTGGCTCGGAATGAATTGCGGAAGATCCGCAGCTTAATTGCCATTCAGCCCGAGGCGGTTTATAAGTCGTGAAGATTCCCCCGGTTCCTGCTGATTCTGGGGTCCAATGTGCGGGGAAGCCCACGTTGAAAGTTTATCTCAGCCACTCTCAGTCCAACAGCACCAGCCCGTCCACCGTCGCCCACGTACAGTTCCGCTCTGGTTCCGAACCCCCAGCCTTTGCCCATATTCAGTGCTCGTCATGCCGAATTCTGCTGCCGGTTGCTGGACAAGCCTTGCCCCGATTGACATAGACCCCTCTGATAAAGTATCTCGGAACCTCGATAAGCATTCCGACAGCTTATCATCTCCGCCTTCGCATTATGTAGTCGGTTTCACCAGCCCTGATCTGGGCTTTAGCCAATGGTTGATGGTCGTGAGTAGGAGACGATGACGCTCTGTCTGCCCCATATCGTGGCCCATGGGCCATTGAAATATACAAGCCTTCCCTGGGGTAGGTCGTCTGGTCCTTTCCCCCTTCCCACTCACATTCTACCCATATTCTACCCCATATACGAACTATGGATGGAGACAAGAGAAAACAGTCGACGGACAAGAATGAGCTTGAAGTGGAACTGGCCAAAGGCCAGGTTGCCGTCACGGGCAATCTGGAGATGCCCATGAAGCGGAAATTCAGTATCCTCAGCATCATCGCCGTCGGCTATAACATTACCAACAGCTGGGTCGCCATTGCGGCCAGTTTTGCCATTGCCATCAAGTCGGGAGGAGCGGTGTCGCTGTTGTATGGTATCATCGCCGTCACGGTGGCCATGCTCTGCACCGGTCTCACGCTCGCCGAGCTAGCCAGCGTCTATCCCACGGCTGGGGGACAGTACCACTTCACATCCATCTTGGCGTCCCGGAGATGGAGCCGTGGGCTCTCCTATTTCAGCGGTCTTGCGGCAGTCTTTTCCTGGATTACGCTGGGGGCCTCGATCTGTATCGCAGCCACGCAGGCCCTCATGGCCATCGTGATCAGATGGCAGCCCACCTACGAGGCGAAGGCCTGGCATCTGTTCCTAGTGTATGAGCTATTCAACGCTGTGGTGGTGGTGTACAACATCTTCTTGACCAACAAGACCTTGTGGGTATACAATGCTGGCTGTAAGTCCACCCCGTCCCATCTCTCACCATCATCCCCTTGGAACCAAGACTCACACAGGGCATACAGTCATCCTCTCTCTAGCCACCTTCATCGTCATCACAATCGCCTGTCCGGCCCGCTCATCCACCGAAATCAACTCCAAAGACGTCTGGTCACACTTTGTCAACGGCTCCGGCGGCTGGCCCGACGGTATCTCCTTCCTGACCGGGCTGTCCACGCCACAATTCATGCTCTCCGGTCTAGATGCCACCCTCCATCTCGCGGAAGAGTGTCTGGAGCCGGAGCGCATCGTCCCCAAGGCTGTCGTCGTCACCGTCATCGTCGGCTTCTTCACAGCCTTTCCCTTTGCCATTGGTATCATCTACAGTTTCGCCGACGTGTCGGCATCATTGGACACGCCCACTGGGTATGCCCTGTCCCTTCATTGAGCACGACAGAGAAAGACCACTAACGAATCCGACAGATATCCAATTTATTATATCTGGGAGAAGGCTACGCAATCCCCAGCCGCCGCGACGGTCTTTATGGCGGCGACCTTCGTCGTCTCCTGCGTCGCCCTGAACGCCGTGCATCAAACCTCATCGCGACTGACCTGGTCGTTTGCCCGTGACGAGGCGCTCTTCTTCTCGCGGAAACTCGTTTCCGTGAGTCCTTCGTTAGGGGTCCCCGTGTACTCCGTCATCTTGGATGGTGTGCTCGTGGGACTCGTGGGGATTGTATATGTTTGTTCTTCGACGGGTGAGTGTATTCCTTCTTATAGAAGACGACGACAGCCACTAACCCCTGATACAGCTTTCAATGCCTTCATCGGATCAACGGTCATGGTAGCGCAGATATCCTTCGCAGTTCCTGCCGCCCTCCTCCTCGTCCGTCGTCGTTCGAGCACGTTTCTCCCACCGACACGGCCATTCAAGCTCCCAAACGTTGTGGGATACGTCGTCAACGCGATGACAATCGTGTGGGCGATCGTCATCACCGTGTTCTTTTGCTTCCCGACGTCGTTGCCAGTTACGGGTGGGAATATGAGTATGTCCAATATAGACCCGCCGTTGTGCTCATCAACTAACGAATGTCGTTTAGACTATGCCGCTGTTGTTCTGGTTGTTATGCTGATATTGGGTGTGATCAACTGGTTTGTGTATGCCCGGAAGTGGTACCATGGTCCTCGGCTGGAGCTGTGAATATCTCTTACGAATCTGTATCCTGGAGAATGTATTGTTCAAATGCTATGTTTCTGTGCAAGAGCATTGTTCACTAAATGAGACGCTTGTAATATCTAGTATAGATGCAAGCTCTAGCTAGTATCTTTGTAGTCTAGATAATGTATGCGACAGCCGCAACCCATCTACTTAGTCTGCAGAACGGCAACACTCAAGTTCGGCAGACTAAATCTGAATGCTCCCCCAGCACCAGCCTTGAGCTTCGAAACCGTCTGCTTGACAAGATTCTTCCCACCAACTTCATTCATAGCAAACGCATCCGGCGCAGTCAGCACGGTCAACTCGGCGGTCGATCCGGCCTTGACCCCGTCAAAGGTCAAAGAAACAGGCACGTCGCTGGTACTGTTGTACACGGCGGCCTTGAAGATGTGCGACTGCGTCTCGTTGTTCAGGCCGGCCACGTAGTACAGAGGTCCGAAGGGGGTCTCAGAGGACGTGGGGAGCGTGTTGGTCATGTGGGAGTGGGAGAAGAGCTATTCAGCTGTGTTAGCGGGCGGGAATTCCGAACAATTATTCGGTGCCTCTGGGACGTACATTGTACAGGTGCCAGCTGGTCGAGCGGGCGGTTTGAGACGGGTCCGCGTTGAACGCGAGGAAGGTCGGCGACCACTGGTAGCTATCTAGGTTCATCATGAAGGGGGCCTGGCACTGTCAGCGACTGTTCCGTGATTGGTGTATCTTGTATGGGTGCTCACGTAGGTTGTTCCGATTATCTTGTCTGCGTTGCGTTCCGCTCCGATAAGGAACACGCCTTCGGCGACTGTTCCGATCCACCAGGGGTACAGCGAGAAGTTGGTATCGCTCCAGTCGATGCCCTTTCCGTTGTTGAATTCCGTGGCCGCGATCTCGCCTATGTGCTGTTAGTAGCCCAACATGACTAATGGTTGGGACGCTTACCCAGCAGGATGGGATGGTCCGGGCTCATCTGGTCGAAGAAGTTGAACCGTGAAACAAAGTAATCCGGAATATCGTACAGATGGTAGTCGCCGCCCGCGTCGCCGGGGAGGGTCATGTCGATGGTGGAGGCGATGACGGTCATGTCGGGGTACTTGGCCTTGATGGCGTCGTAGAACATCTGGAATCGGTAGGCTTTGTACGAGGCCAATCCGTTGTTCAGGTTATCCTCGTTGCCGATTTCGACATATCGGATGGTCCATGGCTCCGGGTGGCCGATCGACGCCCGCAGAGCACCGTACTCCGTGTCTACCGAGCCCATGAGGAACTCGAGTTCGTTCAGGGCATCTTGCACGAACACATGCAGCTCGTCTTCGGGGATGAGGTCGCCGTTCAAGGCCATGCCTCCCCAGACTGCAAGAACTATTGGAGGTTAGAGATGAGTGGAACACGGTTCTTCAGGACGTACTAGGCTCGAGCTCCAAGTCATCACACCACTCCATGTACTCGACGAGACCCATGCCACCGGTTTCTTGGTAGCTCCAGGTGGTCGCACGCCCGGGACGGTCCTTGAGGGGACCGATGGTCTCGTTCCATTTCCAGCGGCCGTCGATGAAGTTGCCTTCAAGGTTGTTGCCACCGGGGAATCGGAGGAATTTCTATGCTATTAGCAGGGAACAGGAAAATATTCGACACACGACCTACCGGGTTAAAGTCTTTCATTGCCTGCATCAGGTCCCTGCGGAGGCCGTTGGGACGGTTGTTCCAGGTCGGAGGGAACAGGCTGATGAGATTGAAGTCCAGAGACCCGTCGGCGGTTTTCTAGAAAGTCAGCCTTTGAGCCTAAGACCCATGTAGACGTACTTACCGATGCATCAAACGTGAGGGTAAAGGTGTTCTTCGTGTCTGGAGCATTCTTGTGTGGGAAGAGAGTGAACTCATGTTGTGTCCATCCGCCACGGGTACTCTTTGAGCGAATCTTGGTGCTTGCAAACACCTCGCCCGTCGCCTGGGACTCCAGCGTCGCGGTGAATGCTCCGTTGTAAGAGCCCTTGACGTAGAAGGACCCGGTATACTTCTGCTTCTGCACATCGATACCCCACCAGCCGAGGTTGGTGAGACCCGTTCTCTTGGAGTGTCCGGTGACGCGAACAGATGTCGGCAAGGCCGAGGACAGCGGGTGGCTGAGGTTCTGCAAAGCCAGGGTGGACCCCTTGACGGGTACCCATCCATCCAAGGTGGACGGGTACACCGAGCCTCCTTGGAACGCGCGGTTGCGGATCAGCTCGGCGTACAGACCACCTTCGCCGCAATGGTTGATTTCCTAGAGATGTCAGTCATGAATATGGAATGCATTGGCCCTGTGTTCTAAATACCTCCTCCATGATGCCATATTGCAGGTTCGTGGTGTAATTGCCCCCCGAGGATGCAACGGAGATGTCAACGGCGGCAGCACAGGCTGCCAGGAGTGGCAGCAAGAGCAATTTGCGAAGCACCATGATTCCTCCACAGCTAGCGCTCGCTGAAGATGCAATCCGTCGATCTTAGCACGGTATTGACGAAACCCCGGGATGGGATGATCCCAGGAATGTTATATAGTGGCGGGCATCGCAGCTTGGAATCCCCTCACCTCCCCCGGACACCCCACATAATTGACGGCGGGACATAGGGTAATTGAGGAACAGTGAAAGACCAGTGAAACCATCAAGCGCACAGGAGATTGAGGTATTTATTTCTTCTTCTAGTAAAAGTCCTTGAGGGGGAACAGGGGGCTGCAGTAGCTCGAGTCGCTCGGCTGGTGTCGAGAATTAGATTGGCCGAACAATTGCCAGAAGTGCATGTTCCAACGAAGGAGAGGGCGTGTTGATTTGAACTAGGAGAATAGCCCTCATTGTAGCGTCAGTCAAGTCCTATTTAGGCAGGTCGTCAACTGATTTTCAGGGGAGCTGGCGATCCAGCCCATGCAGTTGAGACGCATCGCGGCTAAATTGCAGACGCCCCGCATCTTAAGGCGCATCAGGATGCGGGAGATACAGTGAGAGGCGTGGAGACAATTTTTCCGTCGCTCAAACGAGGCCTATGCGGTGATCGTCTTCAATTGCCGATGTTTCTCCGGATGATATTGGGACAAGCTCCCCGCGTCCTAGATAAAACCGTTCAGGCCCGTACTGGAGAATGGAATAGATAGACCATCAGTGACCCCGGATCTCCGCATACTCCATTCAATGTATGTATTCAAGTGTCGGGAGCCAACTTGATTGAATTTCGTCCGAACAACGAGTGAATTGGTTCGTCTCTATATCCAGGGTTGGCGCATGCACGGTTTGGGATGCGCATCTCTGAACCCAAGCTGTTGTAGGTATGAAATATATCGACGTTGGCACTCCTGACTGCCATTGTCCAAGCGATCTATCCCATCAGTGCCTGACAAGTACTAATGATCTCCTTCTGGTATCTCGTTCATGTCTACTCGGTCTGGCGTTCGGCTACATATTCTCGGGCTCGTTCTGTGGCCCAACATACATCAGTCTTTGGATAAAGAAGCGCCCTGCATTTGGCCTCATCAGTCCTGATGATTCAGAAAAAGGCTGGGCAGGCAGGAATGCAATATAGGAAATGACGGACGTATATAATGTTACCCACGCGAATGCTGGGACCAATGTTTATCTATGAATCGACCGGTCGTTGCATAAAATGGTCTAGAAAAATGACCAGCCGCGCGATGGACAGGGACAAGGTCGAAACCCTTCCGTCCATCCGATCAAGACATATATGCATGCTTTGGTGTATAATGTTGTGGCCACTCAATATATAGTAGTGAGCCGACCCACCGTGGGCTGCAGCCAAGAGCAATTCGAGGCAATCAATATCACATTAAAGGCACTATGACGAGAAGTTCCCGCCACGCGCCCTGTCGTAGAAATATTCCGTAACAAATCAAACACAAGACCAAACAGACTCCTTGCAACTTGAAGGCCAGAGGAAAATCAAATCGGGTGGACAATGGACAAAGTCGTACGCGCCTCAGAAGTTGCCGCAGGCGCAGCGCTTCTTGGCGGCCTCAAATTCAAACTGTATATGCCGGGATGCGACGATTGGCGAGGATTAATCATCCTAGGGCACAGATCAATCGATCGGAAAGCTTAGCAGCACCCCTCACAGCACTCGATGCAGTCGAAGCAGCATTCGCAGGACTCTTCGCAGAGGAAGCAGCAGCACATGGCGGCCAAGCTAAGGAAGATAGGAGGTTAGCGAGAGGAAATATCATGGGATGGGGCCGGCATACCAAGCTCCGAGGCACCCACGATTCTTTCCGTCTCCGCTCGTCTGGCGCTGGTCTTGAGGCGGGGGGTAGGCGTTCATCTAGATGATCGCAAATGAGTGAAAATCCTTCCAGGCCATATCAGGAAAGACTATGACTGACCGGGGGCTGTTGCTGGGGCTGCTGCTGGTAATAGCCGCTCTGGGGAGGACCATAGGCCGGCTGGGGCGCGTAGGGGGGTTGTTGATAGCTATGCGACCGAATCGTTAGGCATCACATCAACAGAAGGGACTAAGTGGTCTGAAACAAGAGTGTTTGGCGTAGGTCCAAGAGGGGCATCCGCGCCGAGAAAAGCGGACATAGTAGTTGGTGGCAGCGACCCCAGATGTGGGCAGGCTGAGTGATGATGGAAGAAGCGACAGATGAGAAACACTTACCCCTGAGGAGGAGGATATTGAGGCTGCTGATAATAACCTTGAGCACTCATTATGATGGAAGGAGAGGAGGGCTGGTGGTGAGAAAGCTGCAGGCGAGAATTAGCACAGGAGGAAGAGAGGTATCGCCAGGAAGATCGACTGGGAGCAGAAGAGTGGATGAAGGAGGAGGAGGGAACGAGGCTCTTGAAGAGCCAATAGGAAGGGGGAGGGGATGTACCCAAGAAATGCCAAGTTCGAACGGGCTGAGAGAGGTCGAACAGAACAAAGATGAACGAGGATATGAATGGGGGGAAGGGAAGGAGAAAGGGAAGAGGAGAGAGAAGAATCGGGAGACTTGCCGGGCCGTTAGTCCCGTGGTTGGTTATTATTATTATTATTATTATTTTACTTATTATTATTGTCTGAAAGCCGACTTCTGCGGATTTTTCAGGTCGCCAGGTGGCTGACTAACTAGGTTCCTGGTCCCCGACCGCCATTTTTCCTTCTTTTTTTTTTTATAGATCAAAATTTACGCATTCTTCGAAAATTCTTCCGCAGGTCTTCGACGGGAAATACCTAGGTACTGTAGCCGGGGGCATCGTGGCTGAGGCGTGACAATGACGAAGAACCGAGAGTTGACCACGGATGGAAAAAGAGCTGCCTGATCGTGCCCCACCACTGGTAGTCCCCACCCACGCCAATCATTGCTCGTGCCTCTGCATCAGCCACAGCGCCCCACCCAGCCCTACCCGACCGGCTTCCCTGATTGGCCTTGTGGCTTCCCTGATTGGCCTTGTGGCTTCCCCATCGGAGTCCTCGGACTCCCGGCCAATAACAATACCCCGTATTGAGGGATTTAATGAGGCGCAGGTGTTGAATAGGTACCTACGGAGTAGAAGGATCCAATTAACTGCGGAGTACTCCGCAGAGGATATCCTAGTTATTTCTACATTGCAGAGACTTACTGCGATACAGCTGTTCACAAAGAAGAAAAAAGAGCGTTGGAATGATATCCACCCTGAACTATAAAGCCTCATACCTACTGTAGGTACTCCACTTTACGAAGTAATATGTCACGATGGGGATTCTCACAAGCTTGGGGTGTAACCTCTTGGCTTCATAAAGTCGGAGGTACCGCATGGAAGCAATGGTATCTGGGTGATCAGGGCCCAAAACCTGACGCCGGAGCCGAACACACTCCGTCATCAACGCCAATGCATCATCATGTCTGCACAATCCGCTCCATACCCAAGCGACATTTGTCATGCTGTAGAGAGTGTCCGGGTGCTCTGGTCCCAGCATTTGCTTCCGCAGTTCCATCACCTCCACGTGCAGCCTCTCAGCTGCTATCCATCGGTGCCTCCATGCATAGCTTACCCCGAGGCTATCCAGATAGGAGAGAGTGAGTGGATGTCTGGGACCGAGTAATCGCGTGCTCATCTCAACCACCTTAGTCGTCAGCTTTACTGATTTCTTCCACCGTCCCAGGTTGTGGTGGACAGTTGCCAATTCTCCCAAACACCTCATGATATCCGGGTGTTCATCCCCCAATACATGCTGTTTTGCCTTCAAGACACGAATCACCAGCTTTTCCGCCCTCCTCACCCGACCCTGAAAATGGTAAACGAATGCCAGACTCAGCATCGCTTCCAAAGTACCCCAGCTCTCGGGTCCCAATGCCTTGCGGCGTGCAGTCAAGACCTCCTTTGCCAGGGCTGCTGCCTCTTTCCAGCGACCCTGAGATGAGTATATACTCACCAAGCCCGCCATATGGTATAAAGTACCTAGATCCGTCGGTCCTAGGGCCTGGATATATTTGTCTAACACCTGCTTTTGCATTTTTTCCGCTTCCTTCAGACGGCCTTGCAGATGGTAGGTTCTAGCCAACATACCTAGGCACGCTATGGTCTCCAGATGTTCCGGTCCCAGCGCTCGTTTCAAGGTTTCCAAACTATGCATCTGCAGCTGTTCCGCCTCACTCGTGCGCCGCTGAAATTGGTATACACAGGAGACCCACGACATAATCAAGATTGTATATGGATGTTCAACCCCCCACAGATCTGTGGAAATGGTCATTAAATCGTAAAGAATTGCTTCAGCTTCATTGTATCTTCCGTCACTGAAGAGACACTGTCCGATGTTCTGCAATAGCAGAAGAAACCACTGCCGCTTTTCTCGGAAGTCTTTTTCACCAATCAGCGATAGGGCGTGAGGCAAGTACTGTCGCCATAACGGTCGATTAGCTGCAGCGTAAGTCGGAAACCTTTCCGCTAAAATGCCTGCCGTTCTGAAGATGTACGGCTCCATTTGCTGATTCAACCTCAACCAGTTCCGAATCGCCAGGTAGACCAGTCGATGGAGGTTGAAGCATGCATCGTCAGACCGATCACTGACACTAATAAACGAATACGCTTTGAGGAGACCAATAGCTTCGAGCTCTCGCTTCTTGGACGGCGCCGCGGGAAGCAGACTCTGGGGAATATCGCGCGGATGTAGACATCCCATAACTGACAGGTACTCTGCGGCTAACGGATCCATGCGTTGAATCTGTTGGAAAGATATAAGCCAGGTGGTGGCAACGGGGTTTTGCATATCCTGATAGCGCCAATCGTCCCCAAAGCTCTCGCTGAGGAGTGTAACAACCTCCGACTCGTGTTCTTGAAGGAGCTCCAGGTAGTCACCCAGACTTATGCTGTTCTCGTTGATATAGTTCGCTGCCTGCACAATGGCCAGTGGGAGGAACGCCAACTGAGATAGTAAATCGACCGTTGCCTTGCGGTCATTCAGCAATTGCTTCTGCACAAGAGACTCGTTGAGGATGCTCGTAGCAGTCCGCTCGTCCAGTCCGGAAAGCTGGACAATATGGGGCGAGGCCAAGGTCACCGCCAACTTTTCGTTGCGTGAAGTGAATATGACTCTGCCGTGCTCGCTTTGGGGAATTAACTCCCGCAGTCCTCGTCCCGGGAGCCACATATCGCTCTCGTCGGCGTTGTCGAAGATCAGCACCCATTTGCCGGCAATTGGTTGACTCAGGTAGAGCTTCAATCTTTCTTTCGTCTCACTCGGACTAGTCCCATGGACACCCAGCATCTGTGCAATGCTCATATATGCCTGTTCCACAGTGGCGATACTGGTACAAGGGACCCAGAACACCGAGTATTGACTGTCTCGATCTCGGACACGATAGGCGAGTTCCAAAGCAATCTGGGTCTTTCCAATGCCGCCTAGTCCAGCGATAGCAATTTTTCGAGGACCATGGACTTTGAAAATCATATCCTCTAGGTTCTTAACTTCCTCACGCCGACCCGTGAATCGAGGGTTTCTGGCGAATGGGACCAGCCAACAAGAGCTCGTCATCAGATCTGGCACGATATCAGTACCCGTGGACTCAAGCAAGCAACTTCTAATGAGCACATACCTCTGAAAGCAGGTCGCCAATACTCCAGGAAGGTCTTCGCTCCTGCGGCTCCCGCAGCCGCCGCATACGCCTGCCATCGTTTGTCTTTGTGGCTGTCCGCATAGTCACTGACACCCTTGATGACAAGACACGAGATATTGTCCCATATACCCGCTCCCTCCATATCAAACCCGACAACATCTTCCTCATGTGCCATTCGATCACGATGCTGCCCGGATCTCATTACCATGTCCGCAGACGCAATTGTGCCAATATGGACCGAAGGCCGTGTATCCTCTCCATCAGGACGGTCGTGGCTGACACCAGCCCCCACACACCCAAGGACAGTGCAATCCGTCTCAAGTGCCTCCGTACACACCGAATTCGCCGAGTCCTTCCTCATGCAGGAGCACGTCCTCCGCCCGCCCGGTTCATGATGCTTGTGCCGATGAGACGGCTCACAGAGCACATCCAGCGTTTTCCCGGGATACACCCACTTCTGATCGCGCAGCTGGAGACCTTGCACATACCCTACCACACGATCCCGGAATTCGCCCCGTGTCCGCTTCGTCCGTAGCCCAAGCAGGAACGACCGAATCTCCCGATTCGGCTGACCCAGCGTCTCCTTCACTCCGTTCTTCCGCTGAAAGCCACCGGGATGCTGCCGGCCGAAGTCGTATTCGATGACCGCGTCGCTGACGATCACGTCGCCGATAAAGATCGGTGGTTTGTTTCGTGGGAACGGCACGCCGCCGCAGATGCCCACGGCCAGCGCGATCTCGATGCGCGTGTAGCTCGTTTTCAGGCTCGAGACGACGCTGGCCGCGTTGCGTTTGCCCATTCCCGGCATGTAGCACAGCACGACATGGTGTTTGCCCATGCGTCCCGTAGTGTAGATGTTGTCGTCGCCTTGTTGTTTGCCGTAGAACTGGCTCAGGGTGTCGTATGTTTCGTCGAAGAGTTCCTCGACGGCTTCGGCTTCGATTGGCAGCGCGCAGATAATCGCGACTGTGAAGTCGCTGCGGGATTTGGGCCGCATGTTGGTGCGTTGGGGAGGGGGGAGACAAGATGCGTACCCTTTTTGGAGGTGTAGTGGCAAGGGGGTTGTTTATCGATGGATAGGCCGACTCCGGGCATTGCTGTCAGCCTTGTTGAGGCGCATGATTGTCGTGCCATGGTGGTCGGTCGCAGTCGTGTTATAACATCTGGGGAGGGGAGTTAAGCGCCGGGGTTGCTCAGCCTCCCACCTCAGTAGGTCATGATTGGGCTGTACTACGACTAAAAGTGAGGTCGGCGCCAATCGCAATGGGGGCATAATCCATATCCTACTCCATGCTGTGCACAACGCACTCACTCTGTACATGATATTGGAAATATATCCAAAGCGTGGAATCAAGGCAATTAAGGATTCCTCAAAGAAGAAATACTATGAGCAAGGGTGCATCACGCCTTAGGAGAAAGCAAAGAATTTACTCCGACCTCTTTCTTCCGATTTATTAATTGCTCCTACAGTGGGTGTCGTTCGAGACCTTCATTTCTTCCCGTAGTTCTCCATGTATCTTAGTCACGCAGTTATACTACTGTGTCAAACACCATGAGCATGATGCTTGTTCCAGGGAAGCCAGACCCAGATGACAATTAATGCAACCAATAACGCGAGGATGAATGGTTGCAGACTCTGTACACCGCGTGTGCCAGATATAGCACCAGCGACAAAAGGGCAGTCTAGGGGGATAACAGTTCTTGAGAATCCCCTCTCATCTCAGCGTACCTACCAAGACGACTGGCTACCTTGTGTGGAGTATCCTTGGGATTCAACAATTCTTATGACGAGGCTACCAGACAATCGTAAACGTACTCTCGATGACTTCGTCAGTCATTTATTCATCGTGCTAAAAGTACCCAACCTAAGAGAGCCTGCAGTCCTACGGGATCAGAATAGGTCCTCAGATTCTAGTATAATGTATTATTGATAATTTACGGCCATAGTCAGGCTTGATCATCTCACGTTCCAAATCAACTACAGGACGTTCACCAGAAGCTCATCTGTGATCGTGACCTGCCCAGTCAGCAAGAAGCGGCCTCTAGTCGGCATCTGCATAAAGCGCTGTTCAGGGAAGACGCGAGGCCAGAAACATCATTGACCTCTTAGCCTCATACAGAGCAGATGAGCTCCTTTCAACCGCTTCTACGGTCTGTCGTGGTAAGCTAAGCCTGTCGCAGATAATTGAGTGAGTCAGAAGTAGAGCCGCCTCTCAGAGCGTTGTTGCCCGTACAGGTCGCTCTGCACAGGTGCTGCCTGCAAATATGTTTCCAAAGCAGTTTATTGAAGATCGAGGCTGGCGGACGTCCATCATCACACATTAAGTCGTATCGCCATGTCGGCGCTTAGTCGAGTAGTTGTGAGACAAGCGTCGCACAATTGAAGTGTAAATCACAACAAAGAACAAAAGACAAAGCCGGAAAATAATATCAAAAACGAAGAGATATAAGGTAAGAAAACGCGAAGAACGGAGAGAAAATATGGACGAGAATGAGACAAAGATAATAAACCTCGAATGGAAAGCCAGAAAAAAGATATAAGAGAGGTGATAGATGGAGGAAACGAAATATATATATCAACACGAAGAGAAGCTGTCGAAATGAAGTCAGAAAACGATTCACACATAAGAATCAATTTCCGGACGCAGGGACTGGGACCCGAAGTAGCAAGAGTTATCGAACGACGAGTCCATACTCGTCGGCATAAAACTTGAATAGCTGTCGTAAGCGTTGAGAGTCTGTTCCAGACCTTGTGTGGGAATGACATTCTCCGGCGGCACCTGTGCGAGCCCACTGAAGGTGATGTCGTCCGAAGACTCATCCAGCGGCTCCTCAGCGCAGTCATCGCCTATTGCATCTTGGTCAATACTGCCCTGAGCATTCTGGAGGACAACTTCTTCTTTCTGGACCATCCAGTGCTTCAGAACCTCCATGGGGGGTTGCGTTCCACCACCCTTGCCACCGCGTTTCTCACTGTCCTTCCCACGCCCCCCTCTACCACGTTGGCAGGGGTTGAAATGGGTCCGACGTAGGTGAGCTGCCGCGTTATAGTTGGCGCCATAGCGCTTGCCATTTCGACAGGCCTTGCAGTTTGCGAGAAATGATTTGTCAGGGGAGATATCAACGCAAACCCAAACCTTGCGAACTGGTGCATGCACACGTTCGATATGGCGACGCAACTCATGCTCCCCGTGGAAGCCATCTGGTTGCTCGTTGCACAGATGGCAGTAGGTCTTCGGTCGAGGGGGACGATGGATTGTAGCTCTGGGGATGGGTGCAAGCTCTTTAGAAGTCCCGTCCGATGACTCAATGCGAATCATCTTGTGCGGCTCTGGGACTTTCAGTGACGGCTTGGTGTTCGGTTCCACCTTTGGGGCAATCGGCCGCGAACCCTGCGCAATCTGTTCTTGAGATCTTCTAGCCACCCGCGAGGCCTGCGAACAAGACGAAGCGTCGCTTTCAATCGACATGGAAGGTTTCATTTCGACGGACTGATGGGGCTGCAGGTGAGGCGCGTGCAGGGCGAAGGACGTCGTGGATGGAGCCGAACAGGAGAAAGACGGTGGGATGGACGAATCACCGAAAGAGAAGGAGACCTGATCAAGATCTTGTTGAGGGAACGGATTGGCGAAAGGAATACTGATCGGGGCCGCGGTGGCACCAAGCTCAGAGGCAGAGAAAGGGGCCGAGAGATTGGGATCGAGGTTGGGTCCGGACGAGTCAAACCTCATCATGCCTACTCCTCCACATAGCGACTCCGTAGTTGTACTCCGAGTCATCTCTACAGACCCTGCAGAAGGCAGCTGTCCGAGCTGATGGCTGAAAGACCCGTTTTGTGCTTCAGTTATATTTGAAGCATTGTTCGCTTGCCCTTGGTGCTGCTGAATAGGGCCGGACGCTGGGTATTGCATTCCGACAGAAACCGGGTCCATCGAAAGCGACGCCGAAAGTTCGGAAACGTTCCGCTGCCCCTGAGAATCGTCTAGGTATCGTTGAGTGTATTCTGAAGGGGAGTACTCGCTCACGTGGTCAAGGCGACGCTGAGAACGCGGAGGTCCGTAAGAGTGCCGATGTCCCGTCGACGAGGCCATGGATGGCCGGTGCGACCCCGGGATCTGCTGACTGTGCGATCGGACCATGGCGGTATGGCGTACCGGTGTTCGACCAGCAGCCAGTGCTGAGCTATCCTTCCGGGAAGTCGACCTAGGGAGTTGCTGAGTCGACTGAGGCGCAGCAGGCGAGGACGCGTGCGATAGGTCACGCGTCAGGTCAATGGTGACCGGAGGCTCCGGAGTCTGCCAAGTGTCAATCCAGGGACTGCTGGCGAGAGGATAGAGGAGAAGCAGGAAGGATATGGAGTAGCGTAAGAGAATCAGGATGGGCAGAAGCGGAAGGGTGTGGAGTAGGCGGGAATAGAAGACCAAGATAGATCACATACGGTGACTCGTCGCTTCGTCGGAGGTAATCCAGAGCCCGGTAACGTCCTAGGAACATCCTGTCGCATCCGTTTGCCAGAGTTCTCGAGAGTCGAACCACCGTGATCCAAGAGACCCGAGCCAGGAACCGGACGGTAGGAGTTGGAGGCCGAGGAAGTACTTGACGGGGACATGAACTGGCTCAGGCGCTGAGTCCACAGTTGCATGCGTTCGGATTCCGGAAGGTGGGCGTGTCGCACCAAAAAAGCGTCCCGATACCCGGAGATGGCCCTTGTGAAGAGTTCGTCATCGGCAGCTGTCGGCGCCGCCATGTTGATGGATTTCCTGGGGTGGGGAATGCCTCCAGAGTAGAGCAGAAATGGGGAGCTGGGGTCAGTAGTGAGGGATGGGTGGGTGGGTGGCTGATATGACCCAGTTAGCGAAACGGTAGTATGTAGAGGGAACGCGGAAAGACGAACCGCCGGTTATAGACCGCAGCGTTATTCAAAATAGCGGTATATTCGTAGAAGGCGATTCAGAGGAAAGACGAGGAGAGAGACAGAAAAAAAGGGTGGAAGGAATATGGGGAGGAAGGCGAATATGGACAGCCGTCAAGAGCAGAAGAATCAGAGATGGGAACAGATTCGCAGGTATACGAGGTATAGAAGACCAATGATCAAAGACGACGAGGGAAGAATGAGGTCGGGGAGAAGGGAGGAAGATCTCCATTTAACGGCCGCAGCACTGCCCAGCTTGGGTCAAATGGCCCGATCACCAAACGGGGAGGGTCAGCAAGAAGGATCCGACGTAAGAAGTCCCGGGCAAGAAAGCAAAAGAATGCTTGCTGGAGTCGGTTTGGAGATCACGTAGAGGAAAGTCAAAAGAGGGTGAAACTTGGGAATCGTCGACTGGGGTGGGGAGCAACGAACGGACCCGTAGGAGGGAGACGATCGATCCAAAACGAACAACACCAGAAGGTCTGGAACCTTTCGGTGGACCGGGTCAAAAGGGGGTTCGGTCGATGTTGGTGACACGCGGTGGTGAAAGTGAGGCAGCGAACCGGATGGCGTCGAGGGGGCTGATTCAGTCTGAATGCATGGATGGATTGGATTGGATTGCTCTCTCCCTGTCAGCGCCTACAGCGGTACCGTCCTCCATACATCGAGGGTACCGCCATCCCCATGCTGGTGATTACGGGGGCGGAGGTACCCGGGATGGCCGTGGAAATACCTCATTACCCTCATAACCATCCGCCCTCATCATCATCAATCATCATCATCCGGACTACTGCAACTTCACCGTCTGGGCCACTCGGGTTCCAGTAGGAGTTTCCCCCCCTCGACTGGGCGACTGCCACGTCGTTTGGTCTACCCCCGTTCGGGACACTGTGATTCCCCGTTCATGTACTCTCCTGTACCCCAAAGAAATTACCCTTCCCAGTTTCTATTTCCTTAAAGCATGGTTCTGCCGCTCACGAGACTCGGACTCCGATATCTTCAAATCGACCTGATCGATAAAGAGGTTTATCAGGCACCCGTTTGGGTCCAGGACATCGATCCCAAAGCTGTCCGTGTACTCTAGATCGTGCGTGGTACCACACAGACACCCGACGACGAACCCACGGTCTCTGAGCTGTTTTGGTCCATTTGATTCGGGTAGCAAAGGATGTTCGTTCGTCTTCTTCTGCAAACTGGCACTGTCATCTGTAGTCCGATCCATTCATGCATCCGTTCTGAAGACCCGAGAGCAGCATGAAGGTACTACCCCGGGACGAAACCGTGGTTCCACGCGGGAGGTTCCCAAGGTTCAATGTTTCTGCGCGTGGCCGGGATATGATCTCCCATGCAATCCTTCTCCGGTTGCATGGCTGTTGGGAGTACTTTTTTTCGACTCCCTTGACCGGACGATCTCGACGCTATTGACAGAGGAAGTGGGTCTGGCCGTGTACGGAGCACCAAGAACTCATGATTTGCTCAACGAGCCCCAACTGGGAGATGGCACGTGATCCCTGCGCAGAGGGCGGCAAGCGGTCCCTTTTTCATTCCCATGCGGGCCTGTCCAGCCAGACGAACATGAGTACTCAGTACGACCATGACATAATGGGTCAATATTCGAGCTGCACCGATTCAATCCAATACAGGATACGCAGAGCTCTTCGCTTCCAGCGGTCAAGCGCTCGTCCACCGTTGTTTCAGGTGTTGTCTTGTGGCATCCACTGCTAACCCACCGCGCGAGGTCACCGCTTCTTCAACCCATACTTAGTAACTACTCCGGAGTCGGTAGTTACCTATCACCCATTGACACTAGCCACTTCTGTTGCACTGGTGTGATTCTGGTTGAGCCACTCGTCAGCCATCATCTAACAAGTGTCCCCCAGCCGGCCGGCCGGCCGTACTCCGTACACAGGTACCATCCCCGAAGTCATCTCCGAGATGACCCGTCTTAACCATCGGCTCTTCAGGATGGCAGGGTCCTGTCGATGACGAAATGGCTGCGTTGGAGGTTGCGCTTTTTACGGAGTACGGTCACTTCCCGATCTCCCCACCAGAATAACTACGTACAAGTACCCTGGGTGACGGGCTAAAAGGGCCAAGTGGAGTGTATGTTATGGTCCTATGGAGTAACTAGGCTCTACAACATCGAATTGACTCGCTGGCCCCGTAATAGTACATCATTGAACATCGCTAAGGTGTTTATGCCCCCAAAACAGGCGGGAGAATTGGCACGCAGCTGAATCTTCACCAAATCGCTTTCACCTTGCCAGAACTGCATGTCAGGTACGGACATACCAGCTTGGTCCCTTTGATCTTCCTCGAACTCATAAAAATAGATCGGAGTGGTGACCTCCAAGAGCGCTTCCCCCACGAATGGCGGGCGGGTCAGCATGGCTGAGTGGGACCACTAACGAGAGTGTGGACACATTCCAGTGCTCCTTACGGCAGTGCGATCAACATCAAATCCATCACACTGACAACTGATAGGTTGGGAATATTCGAGACGGGCTTCTTTTCGCGCCAACCATCGTCATTCCATGCATCCCTCGGGAATCTGCACATGAACAGCCCGTTATCTCTCCACGGCGTTCTTGACGTCAAAGCTCTGTCCTACCACCGAGGAGTAACCGATCTGTTTATCTACAGCGACAGCTTGGAAATCAACGGCCTGGATATTTCGGTCAAGGTTTGGTGCACAGAAGAGCGCCAAATGACCAGAAGCCGTACGTCTGTTCTGTTCATCTCTTTGATGCGACAGGGCATAAGACCCTGGTGATAGGATCTTATTGGTAGCCTCTACGTCTCTTTCACCCATCCAGCTGACGATCGCTGCGGTCTGAAGGAGACCCTTCTACACAGCACACACTTCATAGCAAAGTCCCGAAGACGATATTGCAATGAGCTAGAAGAATCCACAAGGCAGACCGGTGTGCCCAACGCCATTAGTTGCATGAATATTAATCTAACCCCCTGTCACACGGGCCTAGGCGGCTGTACATCTGATCTGACAGGGACCTATTATGGGTGTCGACTCAATACTCCGGAACAATCAATTCCCCAGATGACGATGGCTGAAAACGCCTCATAAGACGCCTCTTTCTGGCCACCGTCTCAGCATTCACCTTGCTTGGTGTTGTCAGGCAGAAAACTCCTCTGTTTGCAGAGTCCTATCTGGACAACCTCTATGCCCATGGCCACATTTGGAAATGTTAGGTGTTGTCGCTGATCCCAAGCCGGTGCCTCAGTCAGCCACAACTCACTGTCTGCTTTCACGGGGTATTATGCCCATCATCGGGCACAACTTCAGAGCGTAGTTTTCGATATAGGAGAGGGATCTAGTAGAGGCCGTTTTCATTATTGATGACGCGTCGAATGAGGCCTTACTTAGCTGTCTTTGCTAGCGTCCTTCGGCTCAGGCAGAGAGCCTCGTACCCTCAGCGACGAAGAAATATTGGCCGGTGGAGGATCAGGTGCTGGGCGTCCGTGGGATGCGCTCGGGCCCCAGGGCCATGTTACGCCCCGACCCGGGATCTGTCATTATTTCGCGCATATATGCCTAATTTCTATGTACGCCGATGTCACTCCTTACGTACATGTACATTGGCAGGAGTATACGGGCATCGTGAGAACTTAGCCAGGATCTTAGTCGGGACGGCCGATAACCAAATTATGAAGTATGCGGTATGGGTAGTATACGACAAGGTTGTCTCGGGCTCCGTTTGTCTAGAATCTTTCACTCGACACTTGTCATACGATCTCTTAGTGAGAATCTGGAGGACGTTGGGTCCTTCCCATGAGAGATGCTGAGGAACACATGCTGCGCAAATGATAGCATATGACAAACAGGCAGTGCTGTTGTTACTCGGACCCCGGCTACTATTGATTCCATGATCATCCTGAAGTTCTTATCTGAAAGGTTCTAGTTTCATTGCTGGCCTCTCATCATACGCCAGATTGCTACCCTAAGATTTTGTGAGCTGTATCAGGAACTCTCTACCCCTCTTCGAGCTGGCGCTCTGTCAAGCTCATTTGTAATCGAAGCATAGATACGATGGGATCAACCGCCTGCAGCACTTACTGGTCACACCCAATTTACACAGTTTTCCCGAGACAGCGCACTCTAAACAAAATGCCCATCGACTTATAGATCTTACCACAGTCAAGGCCTAGTTGCAAGACATTGCACAAGAGCTTCTCTCAGCACTCGAGCTCATCCTCGAACCAGATTAGACATTCAGATACTTATGGCAAGCCGGGTGTTTTCAATAAGACGCATCCTGAGCTATAAGATCAGTTCCCTGATCGCAAAGCAACTTAATGCGCTTCCACGAGACTCGACAGAATGGCCCCTCATTCGGATGTGTACTTTAGCAAAATGAGAGTGAGAAAGTCAGCAGCGATAGTCTATGATGAAACCAGTATTTATGCACGCATAGCCTCGACATTGTTTCCATTCATATGGCATATTTTTTGTCTCCTCCCTCAAGTCTGACACTTGTGTAGCTCGTCGAAGAAGTGGATATCGCAGCATCGCTGAACGCCCCCGCCGGACATCCATTATATATTTGCTCAGCTCCTAATCTGACAACGCCAGGAGGTTGTCATTCTTGCTTTTCTCCCCTACGTTGGCTTCTGTGGCAGGGACAAGCTCATCGGGGGCCCTCATAAACAGTAAGTTCTTGCGTGATATTGGCATCCATCCGGTGCAGTTGTCCATAATGATAAGCGGCGACGTCCCCAGTTTGGTATTCAGACCACGGAAGGAGTCCACATTGAGGTGGAGTCAATCTCGAAATTGATCATCATCAAAGAAAGCGAGATGAGCCAGCAGCGCTACGGCAGTACATGTTACCTACACCTACCGTCGTCCCATTCACTGGTGTGAACAGTCTGGTCAGCACTGGTGTACTCCTGGGCAATTCTTTATACATACTTGGAGTAACGTGCTAGTTGCTCCCGAAACGGGGATTCTTCCTCTCGGTTCTAGTATGTACTGTCATCGCATCAATACCAGCAGCTCGAGGATAGATAGCCATCAGCATGCCCTGAAGCAATTAGTCCTAGGGTTCGTACATCCACTGTTCCTCCCAACGACCCAGACGCACTCTTCCTGTGGCAAACAAATGATGTAGGTTTTGCATGCAGCAGAGACATGCATATAAAAGATACTGGGGATGCCGGTGAACAGACGGTGAATTCCCTGTGTGGAGTTTGGAGCGTCCTATGATTTTGATGATAGTTTGGCTCATAAGTCAAGTGAAGCCATGGGAACTGCTGGAGAGGCAGGCTTGGTCTGACGTCAGGTTGCCACGCCGCATATGGAGAATAACATTCCATGGCAGGAACGTGGAGGATACTGACGTAGAGATGTGGGGGGTGTATAAAATGCGATCTTTTCCATGAGGTTTTACATGAGTTCCAACGTCGATATCCCCCAAGCATTCTACGGAAATACTCCGTAAAAGTTCTCTAAGCAGTCAACTAATTGCATCACCTGTTTTCGAGGATAATCCGATTACCTCAGCCCTTTACTCCTGAACACCACGTGATCGGGCGTGCAGCCACGTCATACCCGTTCTGCGCTGAATCCCGAAGAGGAGCCGGCGTTGGAGATACACACGGTCCAGCGCGTCTGCCGCACAATCCACCTCGTCACCGATTCTCCTCTCTTTACACCGTATCACCCCTCTATTCTTCTGCCTCCATCGCGTCCGGTCCTTTAATCTCCGTCCAACGCATCCATATCCACCATGTCCGACCCAACCCTCTACCTCTACACTTCCCTTACTGCGGGGTCGTCCCATATCGTCACCGCTACTGCACGACTGGAGACGATCCTCAAGGCCAACAAACTCCCATTTCGCGCAATTGACGTCGCCACCGACGATGCAGCTCGCAAGCTCTGGGGCCGTCGCTCCAAGGGCAAGAAGCTCCCGGGCCTTGTGAAATATGGCACAGTTGTCGGTGTAGGTCCATCCCTCCTTTCCGGTCCCTGTCTGTTCTCTCGCCTCTTGAAATGCACTGCGGACGCAGGGGGGCGGGGAAACGCTGACCCCCTGGTGCTGCATGGCGATCATGAGCTCGGCTTTTCCTGTATAGGATAGGCGAGGATATGTTCTGTTGCTATAGTTCTATCTCCATGCACACGTCATTAACCAGTCTGAAACACCTGCAGGACTTGGAGGAGATCGAAGAATGGAACGAGTACGGTGAGCTGAGAATGCAGGTTAACAGTGTGGAGGATATCGATAGTCTTCCGGCGACGAGCAGTTCAGCCGCTGCCGCTGCCGAGCCTACTTCCACCAGCACCGCGTCCACCCCCACGCCCTCCGCTGAGCCGGCCGCCCCCAAACAGAGCACCATCAAGATCCAGAACCCGCCTGCGAAAGAAGCCCAGAAGGACGATTCGATCTCGGTCGCCCTGCGGCAGGCGGGCGAGGAGGCCGCCTCCAAGGCTAAGGAGAATGCTACCAAGACTCCGACGACGTCTGCAGCACCCGCCGCAGCCAGCGAGGAGAAACAGGCAGAGAAGACTAAAGACACTGTATGTCACCGGTTGTCGGTGGCTCCTGAGATCGCAGAGAGTCCCGTCCGGCCGCCTCTGGTTCCAGAGTGCGCCGCAGAATCCTCTGCCAACTTACGTGCTGATAACGCTGAAGCTTTAGGCCTGATTGAGCACCATCGGGGCTCGATCGTCTCGGCCACTTCGCCCGAGGAGAAGAGCAGGGTTGCCCAGGACCTCCGCAAGTCCATATCCGGTGGGCAAACAGGGTTCATGAGTTCGACACCGGGCGAAGTGGGGGACACTATCGAAGATGTGTCAGAGGACGAGGAAGAAAAGAAGTAGAGACGAGCCGCTCGAGATCGAAAAACCGAGTCGGGGCATAAGTGGTTGGAGCTGGACTTTGCGACGCTAATGAGGGATGCAGACGACCTGGCGTTGTTTCATATGTACCTCTTTCTGTAAAGATACCAAGTTTCTGTTTTATGCAGTGTTTAATGGCATATTTTCTCTCAAGCCCAAAGGCCAGGTACATCGATTCTTGTTCACGTCATTATTATTCGTATAAACCCATCGATCAACGCTCCAGACACCTGTTTCCCAAAAGGAAAATGTATAAACATCCGTCTCTTTTTCGTCGTCACATGCGCCTAAGTAATGCCGAACCCAGAAGATGAACAAATTACAGCAAGGCATGTACAAGACTATACTCGTATCAACAAGAAGCCCTCGTATATCATGGCCGGAACTTTTCTAAACCAAGTAATTACTCTGTGCGGTGCTTGTTGACGGTGTCGCGCAGCTTCGCGATGACGTCGGCCGGGTCCTGGGCGCCAAATACCGCCGACCCAGCGACGATGACGTTGGCACCAGCCTCCGCTGCCTGGTCGATGGTGCCCAGACCCAGTCCACCGTCGACCTCGATGTTGAGGTTGGGGTATCGCGCCCGCAGGGCCTGCACCTTGGGCAGTTCGGAGGTCATGAATTTCTGTCCGCCGAAGCCGGGGTACACGGTCATGACCAGGACCATCTACAACAGCACGTTAGCCCTTCTGTGCGGATGAAGTCAGAACCACGTCACGGCCACTCACATCGGGGCGTTCCTGCTCATCCTTGCTCTCGAGGATATCCCATAATACGTCGACGGGGGTGTCGGGCTTGATTGCAATGCCGGCTTGCATGCCCTGTTCGTGGATGTATCGGATGAGCTCGCGCGGGCTGGTGCGGCGGGTGGTGGAGGTGTCGGTTGGATCTTGGGCGGCGACGGAGGCGATGGCGGCCTCATAGTGGAAACAGTACAGATCGCAGCCGGCGGATTTGAATTCCTTGACCCATTTATGTGGCTAGAAAGCAGAACGGGATGATCAGTTGCGGGTCCGCGGTGATGGAGGGGTGGAGGGGGGTGGGAGGCCGTGGCAATTGCTCACCTCCATGATCATCATGTGGCAATCAAACGTCCCCTTTCCGTGGGGTTCAGTCGGACGGGCGACGTGGGAGCGAATCTTGGTGACAACGGGCGCGCCAAAGGTCATGTTAGGGACGAAGTGGCCGTCCATGATGTCGACATGCAGCCAATCGGAACCCTGGTCCATCTTGGTCGAGCATTCATGGCCGAGGCAGGCGAAGTCGGCGCTGAGGATGGAGGGGGCGATAATTGCGGGGGGAGACATGGTGGCGGTATCTTTACTAGAAGGGAGGAAGAGATGAAGGGGAGGATGGAGATGGGGAGAAGATAGAAGGAGGAGATATAGGGTAGCTCGTGGTTCGGGAGATCCGGAGTATATAAAGTATGTATAAAACCGTGGATGATGATTCGATGGAATGGAACCCGAAGGAAACGGGAAAGAAAACCAAGGAAAGAGGGAAAAGGAACAGAGTGACAGTCACGGAGGAGACAAGGGCAATTTATCTATTCTTCCAGAATGCTCAAACGACGATGGGGGCGTGGGATGTGGAAAAAGAAAGGGTGTACGTATTTAGTGGTTGTGTGAAGGGACACAGGATGGGTCCCCTAATATAATAAGGTAATCATCATTCCGTAGTCAAACTGATATCACCGCCTTTTCCGGTCAACGTCAGTCCCGGAGAGCCCGATTGGGAAGGATGATAAGGGCTAGGGCCGATGGCCGCACGTGGAGGATGCCTGGACGCCTCAGGATCAGGTCGAGACCGCCCGTGTTGGGGGTCACGGGAACCAATTTCCCCTTGCTCTTCTCTCTTGGCCGCTGAATCCATCCCGGATCAATATCCGATCTGCTGGTCGGCTGACCTTTGCGAAGGCCGTTGGGCGAGAATCTGGACGGAATCTCCGTTTTTGGTCTTTCCTGACCCCATTCATCTTCCATCAATAGACGTCCATCTTCACAAGAGGGGGAGGCAATGCCACGAATCCACGATGCATTGATGCACTGGTGCACTGGTGTACTATAGGCTAAGCATCCTGTCCTACCCACATCCCAACCGACTCGTCGCTTCGATGGTGTTCCTCCCTGGTCGATGGACTTCCTCGGAGAAAACCACAGAAATCCATATCAACATCAATGATCCGGAAGAATCACAACTTTGCCGGGGACATGTGCGATCGTCACCGTCCTTGTCACGGTCGTCTCTGGTCCGAAGCTCACCCAAAAGGGCTAAATGGTTTCCTTAGCCTACCAAACAATTCAAACCATCCCACTCCATTCTCAACTGATCGTCATTCACTGGGGGCTTCCATGGATTTTCTAAAGATAGGCCCCCCTCGGCGCTTCGGGCTTACCAATCACACACATCTGAGCCAGCCCCATCATGGTCGGCGCTTCTGTGCAGGTTCAAGGATCCCTCTCCCATCGCTGATTGGTGTCTCTCGGCCTGAAGCCTTGAAGATGTCACTCCATGTCACCTCTGGTGTTCCTGTCAGAGGGCTGGGAGGCTTCATGGGCGACGCGCCCAGTCGAATCCATCCAATGATGACCCCTTAAGATGTGCTAAAGGCCTGGAGACCCCAGCTGTTTGTGCGCAATGGTGCATTAGTTTCTGCACGGATGATGACTCGAAAGCCATGTCGCCGTAGGATCGCTTCTATGCAACCCCTCAGTTGTCGAGAATATTTATCAGTCCCAAGCGCCAGGTCGCGATCTTCGCCTCTTGGTGTTGGATCTTCTGCAGGCTTCTTCATTCCTTTTGTTTGTTTGCTCTCTCTTCGATCGTAACCAGGCTCTGGTAGCTTGGTCGTCGGATCTTTCTTTCTCTTCCTCGCGTCGATCGACCCGTTGAGCGAGTCGACCGCGAATAGATCTTTGCATTCGTAATAATCTCCGGGAAGTTTGCTGGACAGATTTCCAAGACACGATGGCCGACTCGTTTCGCTCATGTCCGCCCCCTCGGCAGGCCCGGGGGACGAAGCTTAATCCCATCTTGGAGGATGTGCGCGAGACGCAGTATCAAGACAGGACGGATCACGTTGATAGCTCTAGGCCCCTCGAGTCCTCTTCCAAGCGTTCCTTAAGACTGCAGACGAACAACCTCCCGTCTTCGAGGACAAGGCGCTTGTTCTCCCCCTTGTCAGCAGGATCGGTATCATCCTGCTCGGATACCGAATGGCAGCATCAAATGCAGTCTTTGGACGACCTCTATGATGCCACCGACGAGGAATCCGAAGCCAGTGAAGAGTGCATGTCGTTTACGAGTACTCGCCCAACCAGCTTGACAACACCCACGACAAGAGATTCGATGGTATCCACGACTAGTCGCAATCGCTACCCAAGTCTCACGATCCCCTCATCAACGACGTGGCCATCACTCCACAACGCCCCCAAGAGCTCGCCTGTGCCGCCCACTCCACCGGCAAAGATACCGGTCTCTCCAGCAGCTCTGTCGATACTTGGTCACGCAGTTCCGGCTGTGCATGCCCCACCATCGCTCGACGGGAGTGTCTCCTCGGACCAAGTATCAAACATCAGCGCTCCCGCTACTCCGGATGTTCAATCCCTCCCCGACACCGATTGGAATGCGCAGGAGGTTCGTGTACGTGCGGTGACGGATGACGAACAGAATCCCCGTGTTTCGAACCCCGACACAGACTCCGACAGCCAAAGCATTGAGATCGCGATCGAAAACCCCGACGAGGATTGGCGACAGGTCCTGGGAGATTTCTCTTCCATTCCCGGGAGAGGGAGATCAGCATCCCTCAGTATCGGGTCAGACATTGAACGAGAACACACTCCTTCTGACCGAGGCGTTTTTCTGCCAGACGATGCCCTGGCAACTCTTCGACACATTCCACTTGACGGCACGCCAGATCCTTGGTCTGAGACCTCGGATAGAGACGAAGAGATGTGGCAGATCGGTACACCAGAACGACCGCGAAGTGCAGATGATGCCACCCCAGCGTCGGCCCTATCGTCGTACAGCTTCAGTGGGCTCAGTATCCCCTCTCCTGGTGGTTTCTTCGCTTCCTTGGGCCCTCGGGCGCGCCATACTTGGTCCATTCCCCGGGTCAATAGTAATATACCTCCGTCGTCAGCCACCGCCATGGGATTTTACAATCTCCCCTTTAGCCGAGACGAGGGAGAGGTTGTCGAACACGTCGTCGAATATTCCGAGCCCCCTGCAGAAGAGCAATTGACCGCTGTATATGCACCACAGCCTCCTTTGACGGCGATTCGGATACCTCCAGATAACGAATTTCCGCTGGCAGAGCACCCAGACAGTCCAAACAGCCCTGGCATTGATGCTGTTCATGAACTCAACAGGAAGAACGTATCGCAGGACCTTGATGAACAAGATGAGAATTATGAGAGCGAGCTGCAGAAGAAAGCCATGGCGAGTCTGGATCGGACCAGCGTATGGCTAGCGGCACAAGCTTCGTATCTCGCTGCGCTCTGCGAAACTAACCCTGTCAACACACCTGATGACGATACTGCTAGAGAAATCATCGACACAACTTCGGAGGACGACACAGGGCACAGTGTGCCTCAGGTCAGCCGCAAAAAGTCTGTCCGTTTCGCCGAGACATTTCCCGAGGCTCCTAGCTCTCATCCCTCAGCCTTGGCGAGTCAAGACTCGATCTACTGGAGAGGATTTCGATCTGTGCGCGACCAGTCCAACCGGCGGGATACCTTTCTGCATCGCAACATTCGATTCGACGCCGTCCAGTCCATCCGCATCGGTCTCGTGGACATGCACAAAAACTGCTTGCTGGGCTATTATGCACTCGTATCCCCAGAGCGTCCTCCGTACAAGGGACCCTTCTCTCAGGCTCCGCGGAATTCGGTCATTTCATCGGTCTTGGCAGAGAAAGCGCAATTCTCCATGTTGGAAAAAGAGCAAATGGTGCTTTCTCAAATCAGTCAGCCGTTGTGGGCCATGGACGCCCTTAAGTATCTCAACGGTGGGAATCTTATCGCAAGCCCCGCATCGCGCTACCTCAAGCCCGTTAAGTCTATGGAGACCCCGGGGAATTCCGGACGTCGACTGCGGGTTTTGGACTTGGGTGGACACGCATCCTGTGAATGGGCGTGGCATCTTGCACACGACTATCCTCACGTCACCGTCTATACTGCGTATACCGACCATCAAGTGGTTAATCGCGGCATAAAAGGACCTGTGAATCACCGTCAAGTGCATGTGTCCCAACTATGGAAGCTGCCATTCCCCAACAACAAGTTCGATGTCATTTCAGCTCGCTCCCTCCCGGCATTTCTGAAGTCGGAAATCCCTGTGGGCGAGAACCAGGATGAATACGACCTCTGTATCAAGGAATGTTACCGGTGTCTGAAGCCCGGAGGGTATCTAGAGTTCTTCGTGATGGACGCAGAAGTTTCCCGTGCTGGACCATACGCTTCAGCTACGTCCATTGAATTTGCCTTCAACCTGAAGACGAGAGGTTACAATCCTACGCCCACCAAGAATTTCTTGTGTCGACTGCGCAAAGGAAACTTCATCGATGTCAAGCGAGCATGGCTGTTCATGCCCATGGGGACTGAGCCCATCAAGCAGGAGTTGCCGAGAGAGACACCAGATCCCCGAGTCAAGAGCCAGATCGAAGGATACGAGGCTGTCCATGGCCCTGTGGGAAGTACTAGCGATATTGCCAGCATTTCTGGTCTGTTCGGCGGCTGGATGTGGGAGCAGTGGCTTCTCAAGTTGCAGATCGAGATGGGCCGTGAGCCAAGCAAGTTACTCGAAAGGATTAGTAGCGTCTTTGACGAGGGTCGCAAGAACGGTGCTGGTTGGACCTGTGTGTCTGGCTGGGCGAGGAAACCCCAGCGCAAGAAGAGATCTCATGGTTGCCAGAAGGCTGACCGTTAGACTCGGTTGCACATTGTTGCACATTGTGTGTTGTCTACACTCTTTTATTTTGCTTTTGCTTGTCGCGTTCTTGTTACATGCACAACGGCCTCATTTGATACCCCGATCCGCCCTGGAGGCGATGACTAATTTAATGTATGCTTGGTATGAATGGTGATGATATAGTTGATGTGAAACCATGAGTGATACGTTAGGACACACTTTGCCATGCTAGGCTCAATTGAAATAAACAAATGATTGTGCGCTTCGATATGCTGATCCACATGCTGAAATGCAAGTAAGTCAATTCACAAATGGAGTCTACCTAGTAGTTATATAAATATCTGGGAGTTTATCACGTTGGAACTCTACGATCATTCACGCTGTAGCGACGATAGAAATGAACCCATCCTATAGGCAAAGTCGCAAATAAATACATGTAAGCAAATCTCACGAACACCGCAAGGACTTTACGCTTGTGCCGGGCCGGGTCCAATCTCCAAAATCAGATCAACTGTTCCTTGAGAACACTGCTGCAGCCAGACACAACCCCTTAATCCAGCTCACCCTGTCCGTTGCAACGCGGGAGGGGATAAGTATCACCCAAGCAAGTCGTAACGACACCCTTGACCCAGGACAGGGAGTTCTGCCCGTAGGAATAAGTCTCCTGGGTGAACGAATCGGCCTGCCAGTACTCGTACTGGCCGCTGCCGGGCTGGCCGCTAAACACGTATCCCCTCTTGCGATGGGTCAGGGGGTTGCTGACGATGGCGCCCCATTTGCCCTTGGGGATCGTCATCGTGACCGTGCCGGTGAGCGTGGAGGTCTCGGTCCACTGGTAGTTGATGGTTGTCGCGACAGAGAGGAAGCTCTCCACGGTGCCGGTGAACGTCGTCCCGACCTGGATGCTGTTGGCGATCATCTGGCCCTGGGCGATGGCCACGGTGGCGTCGGCTTCGTTGGCGTGCATGATCGTGGACATGGCGATGTCCCAGCCGAGGAAATCTTCGTCGGGGAGGGGGATGATGAACTCGGCGCTGGAGCGTTTTCCGACCTTGTGTGAATGGCTGCCGCTGGGCCCGATGGCGTGGAGCTTCCGGGCGGAGTGGGCAATGTCCGCTGTCGCATTGCTGAAGTGCAGGCCAGTTCCGGACTGGCTGGAGGGTAGAGCCGCTACCAGCGCGGTGTTGGCGCAGAGCCAGGCGAGCAGGGATGGGGCTTTCATTGTGTCGGACTGGATGAGTGTACTCGGAGGGAAAGTAGGATTGCTTGGATGGTTGGTCAGAGATCAGGACGTTGGGATGGTAATGGGAGAGAGGGCTTATTTAGAGTCTTGCTAAGAGATATCCGACTTTCAAGTAAGGCTAGTGTTGAACAGTATGAGGAGCCATTTGCTGTCGGATCCGTCATCGTTGGAACTTCGGAGCATCTGAAACGTGATATCGTCTTCTGCAGGCATATAACTCCGAGGAATATCCAGGAGAGTATACCAAGCCATCATATAGAGTAACTAGATGACGAGAGGTTAATTAATTTGGCTTTGTCTAGTTCCACCATGAGGGTGAAGATTATGCAGATCATCACTGAGGTTCATTAGCTCAGCGGAGGTCTATTAAGTGATAAATGACTTGCTTAGAGCTAGCCAGGCCTTTCAACGTAGTAACCCCTATAGACATGAAGGAATAGCCATGAATGTTGATTGATGCAATTTTATAGTTGTCTCAATCCTGTAGGTTGGCCTACACTTGCTTCCTCAACATAGTATGTCCTTCAACAGCATGAACAGCACGACAGCTAAACTCCGACGGGAGTTTCAAAACCACGGAGTGTACTGTACTCCGACGATCGACAGGCCCACGGGGTAAGGCCATGATCAGGATCGACCGGTGCAACGGCTGCGTGGTGCGGAAAGTTTAGTCCCCAATAGTTAGTTCAGACGATAGACTAGATCCTGAAGCTGCAGGGACATGGGCTGCCAAACCTTACGCCTGACGATCGTCTCTGATCGCAGCTAGATAAGATTCCCATGAGGAGGATTCTCCTTCTGTGAGAGGGCGTGTTTCGGTCAATCAGTGATAGATGAAACGGATCCACGTGTCCGGCCGAACTATGAGAGCGGAACAGGGTCCACCTGGGGACATGGCGTGACAGAAGAGCAATATGCCAAGCCATGTTATACTACGACGTTTCTATGAGCTCAGGAGGTGAGCATCTAGGATCAATCTGCATACGGCGAATCCTCGGAGGGTCTGGCTTGGCCGAGCAGAAAATGTCGCAGAGCTGAAGTTTCACCGAGAGGGAGACTGGAAATGATATAGAAACTAGTATGGGTCAGATATCAAATGGTTTAAATCTTGGAGGCACTGCCTGTTCAGAGTGCGATATTGTGAATCTGCTCTTGCGAGATCAACAATTTCCTATCAATATATACAATATGGTCTCTACCTCGATCATCATTGCAGCTCTGGCCGTTGGGTTCGTTATGTTCCTGCTCATCTAGTTAACTCCAACGCTAACCTTTCATAGTGCCGTTGCAGACCTGCATACCCAGGGTGTTTGTGTCGACACTCCCGGCAAAGGAGTGGTAAGTGTCTACCCCTCAACGAGTCCTGACGACGTACAAGACCCTCCTGACGGCCACATAGCAAGTGTACAACCGAAACGCGACAGAAAGCGCATGCCGCGCCTACAAAGCGCGGAACACTGGTGACGAGCAGTGGGATCAGTGCCCCGACTGTACTCTGCAGAGCGAGCGGGACTTGCTCTATTACTGCGAATCTAAGGGCAGCCATATCGGAGGAGATGAGCTCAACTACTACTGTACGCAGGGCGGTGCGGGAGACAGTGTGGCCTGGTAGAGGCGGCGGGACAGGATTCGATGGTTATACCGTGCTTTTATCGTGATGCGTCCTTTATATTTGTATACAGATCAGCCGAATATCTGACAATTGCGCTTTCAATACATTCCGTTCGTTGGTAGATCTGCTCTGGCTGTAAGACGTAGCTCAACTAAGGTACCTTCGAACCTAAGTTTGCTGCATTCCATCGCGGTAAGACTTGCATTCCTTGGGCGATGTGTCTAAGGAATTCGTATAAACATGGGTGCATGCTGCATGGCATTTTGTTCCGCATAGGTGGACATGATGCTGATGAGGAACCAAGTGGACGCAAAATATATATCAGATTGTGCGAGTGCGGACACTCAATGCTATAGACTTCTTGTGGTCTACAGGAGCATCGCCTCAAAACTCTTATCATCTGGTACTATACTGCAGATAATTATTCTAGTGACCGTCATTTCCAGTGTTCGACTGAACGAAAGACCAGAAGATGAGCACGTCACGTGACCAACTTGGTTGCGATAATGAGGTTGCGGCGGCCGTGACGACGAGCATCGTCTTCAACGATTGAATCTCTCCCACTGCAATTACCCCTTCTCCGACCTCACAACTCATTTTAGTGCAGGCGGAAAAAAAGCCCCATATTTCACCTCACCTGACTTGCGAAGCGATGCTCTAAAACCAAACCGTACAACTCTCGACTAATTGCCCCTCTATCGCACTCCTACCGACACCATGCTTTTCTTCAGGTTAGTCGTGGCCAAGGGCGACCTAAGAGTCTCTCATACACCCCTAAGACACTATATCTAACAAGCTGCCAGCTTCTTCAAAACCCTCACCAACCAGACCGTCACGATCGAGCTCAAAAATGACATCCGTATCCGCGGGACGTTAAAGTCCGTTGACCAATACCTCAACATCAAGCTGGACGATGTCGACGTCCTCGACCTGGACAAATATCCTCACCTGTCGTCGGTCAAGAACATGTTTATCCGTGGCAGTGTGGTGCGCTACGTGATGCTGCCCCGGTCGGAAGTGGACATTGGCCTGTTGGAGGACGCCACAAGGAGAGGTACGTGGGCGACGACATCCCCTTGCCCTTACTCAAGGGGTCTATAGTCGCAATGCTTACACAAGTCGATTTGCAGAAGCCGCGAACCAGGCTGGAAAGGCCCGGTGATTTCCTCGCCGTCACACCACCCGTTATGTTCCCTACTTCTTTCTTCACGATCACGATGTGTCGCTTATTGCATTTCCGGAATGAGTTGTCTACAGTGAAACCACTAGACGATTGCGCGATGTCCGAGGGTTTGGGAGGTGGATTTTTGCGTCTGGAATCGCAGAGCAGACGGAGGATGAGGTCGGGCGGTTCTGTTCGACCGTCAGTGCATGGATCTACCCGCGGATCGCTACTTGAATAATGTCTAGATTTGAGCGACATTGCCCAGGGGTGTGATGTCTTGCGCCTCTTCAAATGGAATGGAGTCTCCCAGAGACTGGTCGGCTGGTTCTGTAGACGGTGCAAATTGTAGCCCATTAATATCACGTGATCTCGCGACGCGGAAATCGAGTTCCCGCGCCACGCGCCTTTTCTCCTCAATCTTTCCTTATCCCATAGACGACGCTGACGACACTATAATCATAGCGAGATATTCAGACTTCAACTGCGCATGAGCCTCGGTAACATGTCACTCTAACCACCTTCGCCCCTTTACGACCGACATATTTGCCCCTCGATTCCAGCCAACACCTCGCCCATCGACCCGTTCGTCACTCGACAAAATCACATGGCTGGATTCTCTCAGAAAAAGACGTCTACACCGGCAAGGGCTCGCCCGGGAAACAAAGCCCAAGGATCCGCGAAACGAAACGGCAGCCTTCTGAATTTCTTCCAAAAGAGCGATGGTCCCCCGCAGGCCACCTCGCGGCAGCCCCGAATCACCCAGTTCGTGACCAAGTCCGACCGGTCCCCGGGGAGTGGAAGCAGCTCGCCCTATTTCCGGAAACAAAGCAGTTCGGCGGCCAGCAACTCGGCGGGTGGGCTGTTCTTGGATGATCCGCGTGGCGCGAGAACCACGTCCGCCCAGGGGACGACCCGAGAGCGATCGCTGACGCCGGAGGATTTTTGGGGGGAGGGTGAAGATGAGAAAGATGAGAAGGCGAAGGAGGAAGAGGATGCGAGGTACAATGAGAATGGGTCGTCGGTGAAGCGGCGGAAGGTAGATTCGCCGGGTGCTGAGCCGCGATCGAACGGCGATACCCCTGTCCCTGTGAAGCCGCGGACTGTGAGCGGACCATTTATCGACGAGTCGGATAGTGAGGATGAGGTCCCGGGGTTTGAGGAGGCGAACAATATGGAGCCGCTGCCGAACACGCGCACCGTGACGGAAGAATCAGCCATGCGCCAGGACCGCCCGAATGACGCTACACGACCGTCCGATGTCGCCGTTCCACCACTGGTAAGAGAAGCCACGAGCCACTGCCATTTCGAAGATGATGAATATCCGAATTTTGACGATATAGAAGAGGATGAGTTCGCCGGAGAAAGGGACTTTTTAGAGCCGTGTGAGGGCAGGCCCGAGGATGCAATTTTTGAATTAGACGACTCGACTGAAGATTTGGGGATTGAGGGAAGTCCTGTGGAACCAGGAGGCGAAAGTATACTGTGCCCGGTGTGCGAAACCGAACTGAGCGGATTAAGTGAAGCTGTATGTTTCTTTCCCAGTGGACCACATCAGGGTGCACAGCTAAAACCGACTACAGAACGCATCGATGCATGTTAACGACTGTCTCGATGGAAAAACGAGGACGGTTTCTACGGATGCAGGGGAGACTGTAGAACCACCGGCTACAGCGCGAGACCGGGCTGCAGTCCCTCGAGCCGCGCAGAAAGACCCTTACTCTTCTGCGTCGACGAAGCCAAATTCTGCCTTCTCCCGGTTGATGGCTGGGAATGCCGAAGACACGGCGTGGGCGGAAGCGGCAGCAAATGAGGTCGCCTCGCGAGGGAAGCAGGCCTACCAACGAACGTGTCCGTTCTACAAGATTATCACGGGATTTTCCATCTGCGTGGACGCATTTCGCTACGGTGCGGTGGATGGATGTAGTGCTTATTTCCTGAGTCATTTCCACAGTGACCATTACGTTGGTCTGACATCGTCCTGGAAGCACGGACCAATCTACTGCAGTCGAGCGACCGCCAATTTGGTACGGCAGCAGCTCAAGGTGGACGCACGTTGGCTTGTTGGGCTCGAGTTCGAACGGACAACCGAAGTCCCGGGAACTGGCGGTGTGCAGGTGACTCTCATCGACGCCAATCATTGTCCCGGGAGCGCGCTGTTTCTGTTCGAGAAACCTACAGGGCCCAACCCCGGCAGTAGATTGCAGCGGGTGCTTCATTGTGGTGACTTTCGAGCATCTCCGACGCATATCCAACACCATCTCCTGCGCCCGGAGATTGTTGATTCGACGACAGGACAGAAGCGACCACAGCGGATCGATGTCTGCTACCTCGACACCACGTATTTAAACCCTAAATACGGGTTTCCGAGCCAGGATGCCGTCATCCAGGCATGTGCGGAGCTGAGCGTCCGTTTGGACAAAGGGCCAGAGGACGGGGCCATGTCGTGGCTGACACGAGGGGTAAACGGGATGATGGGGAAGTTTTTGTCCTCGGGCAAGTCGACGGACGGGTCATCTCGCCCGAAGGGACGACTTTTGGTGGTGGTTGGGACGTACAGTATCGGCAAGGAGCGGATCTGCCTGGGGATCGCACGCGCACTGAAGAGCAAGATCTACGCAACGGCTGCGAAACAGCGCGTATGCGCCTGTTTGGAGGACGAGGAGCTGTCCTCCTTGCTGACCGACAACCCGCGGGACGCACAGGTGCATATGCAGACGTTGTTTGAAATCCGTGCAGAGACGCTGACCGACTACCTGGATTCGCTAAAGCCGCACTTCACGCGAGTGGTGGGATTCCGTCCCACCGGATGGTCCTATCGCCCGCCAAAGGGGCGAGAGCTTGAGAATCCCCCGGTGTCGACGGTGCTGCACTCGGCCCAGTGGCAGACGCCCTTCACGGTGGAGGACCTGCTGCCTCAGCGGGGGAGTACCAGCGAGAGCGCGTGTTTCGGGGTGCCGTACAGCGAACACAGCTCGTTCCGGGAGCTGACCATGTTCTGCTGTGCGCTGCGGATTGGACGGGTGATTCCCACGGTGAACGTGGGCAGCCGGAAGAGTCGGGAACGAATGAAGGCCTGGATAGACCGGTGGGAGGCCGAGAAGAGGAAGAGTGGACTGTACCGGGGAGCGGGATGGGGGTGACGAATGTCGGGTGTATATACTCTGTACATAGATGCATAATGCATGCTGCAATATAAGACCTACATACATAAACAAGGATCCGGGGAGACAGTCAGCGGAAGGAGATGGCATACTAAATTGTCATCCGGACCGACCCCCGGGAATTAACCCTGGGCGCCACGAGACAACTGCTCCAATGGCAGTCGCTATAAAGGCCAAGTACAACATGTAAGCTAAGATGAACCATGGGATGCGCCAGGATCGCCCCCTCCACGTTTCCCGGCGAGCCAGCAGCGAGGGATAGCCGAGCAGCGGGGGTGAAAGTCGGCTGCCGTCGCGCCATCCCCATATCAGTCACTCCCGATCTTGCGTTCCGTCCGGTTGGCTTTGCCTCGGGGATGCAGTCCGCACGTCGCTCATAAATACGGGCGTCCTCAGTGGGTGTTGGCACGCCGGAAACATTCTTCATTTAACTTAATCTCTTAGAATTTGATCTTTCCTGGATTATGGACTGATCAGACTCTTTCTGTCTTATCTACTTGGTTGTATACAGGAATCTTCGACGGCAAGCCTCAGGAATCAACCTACCTCATCTGGCTAGTGCAACGGCTGTCAATCCTGCACGTGTCCCCACTTGCTTCTCTCTCTTCTATATCTCTTCTTCTCTGTTTGTCGTCTTCTCTTCTTCCTCTTCTCCTCCTCTCTCCTCCTACCCAGCATGATCGCCGATCTCGCCGCCATCAACCCGGCCTACCTCCTCCTCGCCGCGGTTGCCGCCTACTACATCGTCCCCTACCTCAAGAGATGGCATCTGCGCTCCATTCCCACCCCCAGTGTCGCCGGGTTCACCAACCTCTGGTTGCTGATCCAGGCCCGTAGGGGGAACCGCTTCGAGGTCGTCGACAACCTCCATAAGAAGCACGGTAAACTCGTCCGTCTCGCTCCTCGTCATGTCTCCATCGCCGATGATGCCGCGATCAACGCCATCTACGGCCACGGAAACGGCTTCCTCAAGGCGTAGGTCCCCTTTTTGTGCATATGGCAGGATTCGCAACTCACCAGACTTAGTGACTTCTACGACGCCTTCGTCTCCATCCGTCGTGGTCTGTTCAACACTCGTGACCGCGCTGAGCACACCCGCAAGCGGAAGACCGTCTCTCATACCTTCAGTATGAAGTCTATCGGTCAGTTCGAGCAGTACATCCACCACAACATCGAGCTCTTCGTCAAGCAGTGGACGCGTCTGTCCGAGACCCAGGGGAACCCTCGCTCGGGCTATGCCACCATTGATGCCCTCAACTGGTTCAACTTCCTCGCTTTCGACATCATTGGTGATCTCGCTTTCGGCGCTCCCTTCGGTATGCTCGAAAAGGGCCAGGACATCGCGGAAATGCGCAAGTCTGCCGACGCTGCCCCCACCTACGTTCAGGCCGTTGAAGTGCTGAACCGTCGCGGCGAAGTCTCGGCTACTCTCGGTACTCTTCCCGCTCTGATCCCTTACGCCAAGTACATCCCCGACCGGTTCTTCAAGGACGGTATTCAGGCTGTCGAGAACCTAGCTGGTATTGCGATCGCCCGTGTCAACGAGCGCCTGCGCCCTGAAGTCATGGCCAACAACACCCGGGTCGATCTCCTGGCCCGTCTCATGGAGGGTAAGGACGCAAATGGAAACAAACTGGGCCGCGAAGAGCTCACCGCCGAGGCCCTCACCCAATTGATTGCGGGCTCGGACACCACCTCCAACACGGCGTGCGCCATTCTTTACTGGTGTATGAGTACTCCTGGTGTGATCGACAAGCTCCACAAGGTCTTGGACGAGGCTATTCCCGCCGATGTTGATGTTCCTACCCACTCCATGGTCAAGGATATCCCTTAGTAAGTCTTCCCGCCCGCCGATCATTCTTTCCCTTGACCCCAACTCTCGAGTTCCATACCCAACAATTTGGTTGCGCTAACCTTTTGCTTTCCTCAGCCTCCAATGGGTGATCTGGGAAACCATGCGTATCCACAGCACTTCTGCCATGGGTCTTCCCCGTGAGATTCCTGCCGGATCTCCGCCGATCAACATCTCCGGTCATGTTTTCTACCCGGGTGATGTCGTTTCGGTTCCCAGCTACACCATCCATCGTTCTCGCGAGATCTGGGGCCCTGACGCCGAGAAGTTCGTTCCCGAGCGCTGGGATCCAGCCCGTCTCACCCCCCGTCAGAAGGCTGCTTTCATCCCCTTCAGCACTGGTCCCCGCGCCTGTGTCGGCCGCAACGTTGCCGAGATGGAGCTTCTCGTCATGGCTGGTACCGTCTTCCGTCTCTTTGACTTTGAGATGCAGCAGAAGGGCCCTATGGAGACCCGCGAGGGTTTCCTCCGCAAGCCTCTGGGCTTGATCGTTGGCATGAAGCGTCGCACTCCCGCCTGAGCGAACAGATGAACGCTTTCTTGGACTCTTCGCCCGATTCCGTTGGGAATATATATATATGATGGATTGGCCATATATACTTGGGAGGAATTACCGGTATGCCTGCGAGCACCGACGACCATCGCGTCGCTCGCCACCTCGCATTTGATGACTCGATGAACTAGGAACTTTGTCTACGCGAGTTATGAATACAATTTCTTGTACAGTGCATTTGGATTTGTTTACTGGTCTTGTTCGGTGGACGAGTTGTATGCTAGATGCATCCATGATACCTAACCTGATTCTGATATTCTCAAGTCATGCTCGTAGATTGTTCAGCGGCTGCAGCCGTAGAATACCCCCCGATAGAAACACACGATGTCTCTGGAAAACTAATGGAAACTCTCACGCATCGCCCACCTACCACGACTTTGGCCCAAACTTCTCTCCGTCGGGAAGAACGATCTGCACCGCCGTGCCCTCCGCGTCCAAGGTATTTGACGCAATGTCCGTACCCCACCAGGAGGGAAACGTAGTCTTGGTCATGTTCAAGGCCAGGAAGATAAGAATTGTACACAGGGCCAACCCGACATCCAGTCCCGCCGACAGCACATAATTATACTGCATCCACCAGCCGCGCCAGCGGTCCCGAATAAACTTGTTAAAGATGAGCCCAACAATGCCCCAGGTAAGGTAGTTCAACGGGGTGGCCGGCGGAATCAGTCCAGCTCCACCAAAGATGATAGGAGCGCTGAGGAAGCGGATGCGACTGCGCGGGAAGACGCGCGCGCCGACGTAGATGAGCACGGGCAGTAGGGCGCCGGCGAGCCAGCAGTACATGAGCGACGAGTACAGCTGGCCCGAGGAGAACATACGCTCCGGGCCGATAACACCCCATATGATCGAGGCGTTGAAGAATACGCGTCCGTTCGGGCACTGGTAGTGGTCTGGTTGGGTGGTGGTGCAGATGCCGGGGATCGTGGCGAGCGCCCAGTTCATTACTGCTACCTGCACGACTGAGCACCAGAGGCAGGCGATCATTTGGGCGGCGAAGGTTAGTCGCGGTGGGACTTTCATGTAGTGGCCTATGCTTGTTAGATGGAAGGGCTGGATGGGTTAGACAGGGAAGGGGGGAGGACCCACCGAGCTTCATATCCTGGCAGAAGTACGTGCCCTGTAACATGGTGATGTAGCCGTAGGTCTTGAAGAGCATCATGGCCATGGGGCGGCCGGGCTGCATGTAGCCGATGATGAACTCGGTGATGACGTTGAGACCGATGGAGATGTTGGTGGTGGCCTGGACGATGCCGCAGGGCAGAAACCACACGCTGCCGATGAGCAGCGCGACGAAGAGCGCCCACCACGACAGGTGCGTCGGGTAGCCGAGGCTGACGCCGAGCGCCATGCCGACCATGACCAGCACGACGGCACCGTACCACCACAGCGGCACGCTGGGGTAGCGGCTCATCAGGCGCGCGTGGACGTCTTCCTCGATGCGGCGAAAGTTGCGCAGCCGCGTCCAGGTTTCCTTGCCGTGGAAGAGCGCGGTGTGCACCAGGATGGCGATCATGGTGGCGAAGGCGAGGCCGTAGTTCAGCACGAAGGTGGTCGACAGGAACAGCGGCGAGTAGGATTTATACTTCTGCTCGTCGAAGGTCATCTGCGGCGTCAGGATCTTGGACACGTTGTAGTGTTGGCCGGTGTTGTCGAAGCTGTTGGAGTCGCTGATCGGGAGGTACTTGGAGTAGAAGACGCCGCTGTAGTGTAGGCCGCTGGTGGTGATCCAGAAGAAGACGACCATGCCGATGAGGGTGTTGGCGATGGCGTGCCACGGCGCGATCAGCGGGCTGAAGTTGAACCCGGAGACCTGCGTCCAGTCGAAGGTCATCGGGATAAGCGACAGCCCTGTCCATCCGCCGAAAAGCTGGTTGATGACCACGTTCTTCGGCTTGATCCACGTCACCCACGCAAACACGCTGAGGAACGGCGCGATGTACCCAGGGAACCAGTACCAGACGAACGAGCCGATCATGCAGTACAGGAACATGCGGTACTTGCCGATGGTCCATCCGGAGACCTTGCGCGGGTCAGGTTTGCTGTGGTCATGGAGCGCGGTGAACAGCGTGGTGTTGATAAGGGTTGACGGCCAGATCATCGCGCCCGGCGTGACCAAGAACCGGTGGAAGAAGCCCGCGACTCCAAAACCCAGCATCTGCGAAGAGATGGTGAGGAAGATCTCAAAGGGCCAGCCGTAGCGCTGCTTGTAGAACGCACGTTGCGCGAGGAGGACGTCCGTAGAGTAAGCCGCACCCCCGCCGAAGGTGGCATTGGCCATCACGACGATGAGGGTGTGCTCTTTCTTGCTGAATGGACCCGGGTTCAAGTTACATTCGATCCCGAACAACCTGAACACTTTGTTGGGCATGACCTTCTCCCACGCCTTGCCAACGGGGTACGCAACGACCTGTGCGACATAGGACGGGATTATGATGTATGGCTGACGCAGTGAGAACAACATGTTAAGCGCTGAGCCAATGGTTGCGAAGAGAAGGCCAATCGTCCAGGCGCGGATGGTATTGCTGTGCCCGCCTTCATCGTAGTTCACCACCGCTGCACGCACCTCCGGATATGGAGAGTTGTCGAGGAGTTCCTGTGTGACCTCCAGCTTGGTTCCTTTGTCATCGGTGTTCAGCGCCCCGTCGATTTCGTCGGCGACCTCATCAGGCAGGTTGGGGTCCCACGCATGTTCGGACCTCAGGTTCTTGAGATGGATCGCGGCCTCCTCGGGGGCGGCCTCGTCCACCGGGCTGGTGATAACAGCGGTGTCTTTGGTTTTCACGTCCATGCCTGTGTGATTGACAGGGAGGTGAGGTGGTTGATACAGGACTGATCACACTGCGAGGGGAGAGTAGGGAAGCGGAAGGATTTGAAAGATGAGAAGGAGAAGTGGGTTAAAAGAAAAATGTCAAAGAGGGAGAAGTGAATAATATGGAAGGTTGTTATGACTTGTAGTCGGTGTAATGCCCTCATGGGCCAATCGTCCGCTTGTAAATCCCACGATGGATGTAACCCTGATATGAGAATGGCCCGCAAAAATGATTCCATCCAGGGGGCATGATGACCGAAATGATTGGCTGGTTTGAGGGATAAACAGACGTTATCTGCCTGTATGGAGGTAGGCCAGATACCAAGATTGCGGGCATTCCCGATCTTTACAGACGGACGCAGCATTGTGTCTACTATTCGCAGAGCAAGACTACCATTTGGAATGGAACCGCTTGATCTCTTTGAGGGGGCGCGTTACACCGCATGGTTGGATCGAGACAAGTCTAACTCCAGGCCAATCCAAATGGGCGTCAACAACGCATCGCCGTCAGGGATCTGAATCAAAAGTGGCTTGCGACTGACCCAGGTTGCAATCTGGACCGTCGGTTTTGCCGGGTCTCCTTTATCGTGTCGACATGGCGCCGGAGAGAGACGGTGCGACGTACAGACAGGTCAATCTGTATGGTAGCTGCGAGATGTCAGTATTGAACTCGACACTTGGAATCAAGAGGCGCTGCACCCCAGAGGCAGTGCGCCGTCTCAACAAGGACGACTTTGTACGTCTCTGTAGATAGATGTAGCTGCGGAGAGACCGACGGGACAAGAACAATACGTGATACCCCACCAATGGTGAACATATTGTGGTAAAGAAGATAAAGGTACACCTTCCGGTAGCCATAACCCACAATGCGCGCCAGGCGAGCTTGAGTTAGATAAGAAAATGCAAGTCTAAAATCAGAATGAGTGGCGCTAACAGGGGTTGTAAGACGCTTGTTGTCGTTAGCGCTGACCTAGATGCAACGCAGAAACCACGAGACAGATTTAGCGTCCCAGTCCGATATTTACCCGAATTTTTTGTTTTACTCCGCAGTAGAGAGTGAGCTAGAGACTTAGCACACCGGAATGATCTCGGAGAATTTGCTGGAAATGGAAATTGAGCAGGTCTAGTCCACATATCCCTGGCCCACATGGCGCACGGGTGTAGCCAAAGCTTTTGAAAGGCGAGTGCGTTGCCTATCTCCTTTGATATCAGAATGTTCACAGTGGCGCATCTGGCAAAAGAACACTCTTTATGTCCGCAGCTCAGAGGACAGTGGCTGAATCACGATGTAATATGCTAAACATAGAAATAAACGAACTTCTGTTCTGGCTTGAAATTGTTATCCGTCGGGCCGTCGCGGGTTGCGGGGATTGATAAGTAATGCCAATCAATGGCGCGAATGGAGTTGGAGGGTTCTGGTTGTTTCGTTGTAGCCTGGTTGGCCTTGCAGTGGGGGTTCGATTTATGATGGAGTGAATACCACATGCTAACTAATGCAGCCCTGGAGATAAGGCGACTGGTCATTAGGCCATGTGCGGATACCGCTAGTAGTTGCAAGTCCATGCGGTCCGGAGAAGGTGGGAGATGGCGCTGGCATTTTCCAAGGGCCCAAAATACCGCAGCGGCCAGTGAATCGTTGTGCATGGGACATTCGGTTGTTAGGCATTGACGGAATCAGATCGTACCCTATTATCAATGCTCTAAAAAATCGCGTTGACCTCAGAATTTGCTGTCAAAGTATCCATCCACTACTCGGGAGAAAAGGCACGTGATTCCTCCATCACCAGCACTGCACTGGTCACGGAAGAGCAGCTCCGCTAGACGGCCATGTACCGTAGGGTTCTGTAGGCAGAAACAGGCCCTCGTCTCCAAGAGCCCATTCGAAATCTGCAAGGAACTGATCATCAAAAAGGCTAGGGTCTTGTCGCTCCGCACAGCTAGTAGCAGCCTTTGATGTGCCTGTAACGTGATCCCGGCTGGCATCGGTTCCTAGAGCTATCAGTAAGCGATCAGAAAACTGGATGTGGTGCTACAAACCGTCGGAGGTAGTGGCCTGGGGTACATTGCCAAACCTACCATGCGGGTCAAATTCATCCCGCCACCACCATACGGCGTCTACGACGGGACTAACCACGAGCCTGCTCCGGATACGCAGTGCGGTTGATTCAACCCCGTCGGGCTTACGGAAAGCCTTGCTGCTGTTCCATAATTGATTCAAGACCAAGACCATCTTCGCTGCCATATCATTGCTGCCCACGGTCATCTGTTTTCCCAGGTTTATAGAGGTGAAGAACGAGTTCCGCGCTCTGTCAACGTCCACCCCCTGTGAAGTGGACCCTTTGAGAATTCGCAGAATACAGCAGGACGACAGGAGGACTCCAGAATACACATGAAAGGGTGCCACTGGCAAACACGGCAGGCGTTGCGCGAGACTATCCACGAGATCGATAACCGTGCATGCCGTATTCACAATGCGTGGCGAGCAATTGGTGGATATCATGGTATAGTTTTTAAGAAAGTGCAAAGACTGAATGCACAGAAGAGACAAGGTTGTATGCAATCGATCGTCCACTTCGGAAGATTAGTATGTTTTCTATATCGCTAATTCGAGGAGTTACCTGAAGCGGCTTGGGCCTCGAGATCCGCAATCTGGCCCTCGTAAGTACGCAGAAGGATATCCAAAGACCTTTCTTGTTCAGGAGTCATGGTGCGGACTCCAAGCTCGAGAACTGCTGCACTACATCGTGCCACTAGCTCTTGGCACCTTATCTGCAACGCCAGTGGCGGTGATATTTTCTGGTGTAGGCACTGGCGCTGTGAGATATCATGCTCCAGCTCCCCCAGGCAACGGGGCGGGTGGCCCTTCATTACGCAAGCACTATCGTTATTAGCGAAAGCAGAAGGGAGATGACTTTTCTAACTCAAGGACCTACCGTTGATATATGATCATACAATGCGCCCAAAGCTCAGCCCGCCGAACCATGTCTGCTTCCGACGGCATGGGGAGTTTCTTTCTCGCAAACTCATGACTGGACATTGGGATATGAAGTCCGTTCTGCATGGCGATGTGCAGCAGCATGCCCGCCAAAGGGAACGTCAATTCGGATCGAGTAGTGTCCTTAGGAAATGGCCAGGACAGGACAAGGACAAGTCCCTGGATAATGTGTGAGGGAGCTGAGGTTGACGTTATTGCCAGGCAGGCCATTTCCATGATGCTAGGCGCTAAGGCGACGTACAAAGTCGGGTTCCTTGGGTATGTCCGGGAGGCTATACCGATTACAGCCCAGAAGATGAGCGGGCATTGAGCGTAGAACGCGTTTGGTGTAGTCTGCGGGTCTAGTATAGGAACGAATTGGGCATACTGCTGGAAAAAACTGCACGGGTTGTGAGTTTACGGCCGCAGGGTAAGGGGCCAACGACAAGACGCACAGTTCAAATATCTCGTCAATCTCTTCCGCTACCACAGTAACATTATTCAAAACACGCGGCACAGTTGGATCCGAAAGACGATCTCCCGGCCCTGCCTCGATTCTCGGCAACGTCGGCCCCAGAGAGATGGAACGCGGTAGGGGGTGGTGTTGGGACAATGACGGAGATTGCGACTGTGGCGTTAGATTATGATCGGGCACATTTGTTGCGGCTTCCTGGCCCATCTCTGCGGCCGCCGTCAACATGGCAATTGGCGAGGGTTCCGGGACGACACTTTGCGACGACCTCAATTTCTTGCGCAGTTCATTTGTTTCTTGTTCCAACTCGGACAGCCGCCTGTTGGTGTTATTCGCTCCATCTCAGTGAGACACAACGAGCTCAGATTTACATACTGGCGCTTGTGCTCTCGCTGGAACCCGTCGGAGATGATACATCGGAGTCTTAGTTTGGCGCATCGCGTACACGGTGCACTCTGCTTCAAATAGGCGTCGCATTTTGCCTAGATCGTGTTAGCAGTGTATCGGCGTCGAATTTGATAGCTTGCCTTCTGTTGCCGGCACTCTGTGCAGGCCTTTTTGCCTCGTTTTGAACTTGGTCTTTGAGTCTGGGGTCAGCAGTGTCTGCCAAAGGGGAAATCGTGCGTACGATTCAGATGGCCGATCCATGATATGAAGTTAACGCGAGGGAAGGTAAAAAAGGACCGCGTTATATCCAGAGTGCAACATATCTCCAAAAACAGCCTTTACCTCATTTGGAGTTTGAAGAGAGAATGTATTTCTGAAGGTGGGGAGTAGTAGCAGAGAACAACAACGATGGTCTGGCCCGGAACCGGCAAACCCGTCATCCCGCTACCGGCCCCGCCTCGTTTTCCTCTTTAGTTGCAAATCCCGCCATCTCGTTAAGTCAGGAAATTCGGTGGTTGCCTTCAAGATATACACTATGCGTCTCGGTTCTCTGGGCGTGGTTTTCAGCAGCCCTTACAAACATGATTTTGTTATCTGATGGTTAATGTCTCGATATATATCTCTACGCAGGATGTATATTCTCCGAGTCTCGACCTAGATACAATCCACCAGACAACATCAGAAGCTGGAGCTTGGAAGCTTCAGCCACCTGAATCATAGATCATCGCGCATACGGCCCCTGCATTATCCCTGTGCAATGTAAGTCTATCTAGACTGTCAGAGGCCACTCATCACATGCCGATCTGTCAGAAATCCTATCTCCTGAACAACAGCAAGAGTCACGATCGCGATGACATACAAGCTCCGAGGACACGCGCACGGATGAAGACCGCCGACGCGGAAGACATGTATGATGGAATCCGCATTGAAACGGTATGGTTGAGGCTGCAATCTCCCGCCTGAATCAGGGCTTGTGCAGGACTCTCGTGGAGGCGACGTCGTGGAAACTCAGTGCATGGGGCCAATGCTACGGTGCCACAAGGCATGCGGAAGCCATACCTCCACAACGATATTTCTCTTTCACCCTCTGATGCTGTGGCCCAGTTTTTTTTGTGTTCCCATCGACCACGCTGTTCTGGCTATGGGACGGTGGTGCAACGGCGTGGGTGATGCCTTGACAACGCACCAGATTGGTTGTACGGGGACGTTGAGCTCAGTCTGCGCGTGGTTGGCTCGCAAAAGAGTATATTCTGTTGCCTAACGTCAATGACTCAGTGTAGCACGAACAATTCCCAAACATGGACAGTCCTACGGTTGCGCGAACTACGAAGGCGGTCGCGCAGAGTAGGAATCCAGTACGGGAATTTACCTCGCACGAACCACGCGTCGGAGGTTCTGAAATATTCAGGAAGATAATGATTGATATCATCTTGACTATCGGTTGCCAGACTCCGCCAACCATGGGGTTTAATTGATGCAGTGGCAAGCGAATGTAGTTTGAGGATAAACTCAATGTGACATCATTCTACACCAATGACAGGTTTTAGTAAGAAGCAATATAGCTATACATATAAACGCCACGACTTCCAGTCTCTGTTCCTCAAAGCGTAAGAAACAGACGACCAACAATATTATTTCATGATGGATTCTGAATTACCGTCGGTAGCGGAATTGAAGCGTGCTGCCGAGAGCGGCCAGCGCATCACAGCGGAAGATGCTTCATACATAGGCCAAAGAGAGGCCGAGCTCACTGGTGGAGGGCCTGTGACTGGGGGACCTGCTGGTGCGTAAAACAAGTCAATCTTTTTGACAGTGGCTGATATCGCCCAGCGACTGCACAGAGCTTGGCTATGCGTCAGATGAACTTTGAAGCACTAGCCGACGAATTGTCGAGAAAGCCCCGGAGCCACATCACTCAGGAGGACGCCCGAGAGATCCAAGCTGCAGAGGTAAGCATCCAGCCATGCGGAGTAGATGAAGCTCCCATACTGATGGGACGCAGGGCCGCGCGTTCAACAAACCACCTGGCCCAGGCTCTCTATCGGCGCAGATTCGATCGATTGCCGACCGCAATGAAGCCCTGGGACTTCCGCCGCCGTCTACAGGGGAACCTGTGTTCGTTACGAAAGATGAAGCTAGAGAGGCCCAGCACATAGAGTCGCAAGTATACGGAGGTAAAAACCCAGCAAGGGGAATAGCAGCTCAAATGCAGGTGAGTACCTGAGAGGAAGGATCAGACGCAGTGTATAACCATCACCCCGCAAAGAGTGCAGCGGACAAGCTCGAGTATGCGAGGACACATAGCCCCTAAGCGTTGAGGATTGGAGTTATGGGGATAGTTGAAGCGCTTCAGTGTTAAAAGTTAGTGATATTTTATGAATGCAATTTACGTATTGCAGGATTATACTCCATATATCCCCGTATGTGGGTCGGCAAATGCCTGACATGTTCCGCTCCATTGAAGCCGGAGAGATAGAAGGGCGCAGACAAGACGAATGATGGCTCCAACCAGATCCATTATCCTCTATCGACTCGACACATTCCGAGGTCCATACTGACAAGGATCCCTGCTACGGAGAAACAGGCCACAGCTCCTGTCATAAGGAGAGAGGACATTGTTAGCGGCTCTCGGAGTTCATGATAAGGACCGAATAATGTGTCCAATCCAAGCAGGGATGGTCCCTGTGAGAGGAACGAGGATCAACATTCCATTTGGGGGCGGTTCTGTAGGTACTTCCGGAATGCATACGGACAATCTTCCACGGTGGGATGCGGGGATAAGCGCTAATGTCGATCCGACTGTCTCGCCGATGGATCCTCGTGGGATTCCCAACAATTCTGGCGGCTATGACTGCCCAAGTCAATCCGGTTGGGTGCGGAGGGTAATCTCGTAACCTGATCGGCTATTCATTCAACCAGCGGCGTGGAGGAATTGGCGACTGGGAAGGAATAAGGTGCTCCACGATCGGCGGATCGACGGCCTGTGCTCTTATCAACACACCACAGGTGGGAATTGCACCCAACCAGGGCCACACAGACAGCCCGATTGACTATCGGAAAAGGTCGTCTCAGACATCCCGAAAAGGGTAACCGTGACAAATCATTGCGGGATGAACCCTGCGAGAATCAATGATTTGGAAGCGTGCAGCACTAGGATAGCGGCCGGACACTCCACCTGAGCGGAGGAGTTCGCTTAGAGCAGTGAGAGGGACGGAGACAGACGATCCAGAACCGGATCGGGAGCAAAACAGAGGGCGGGAGGAGACAAACGGAGCAAACATGGCTGAGTGCCCCTCCCCCTCCTTCACCCACCATGACAAATTCCCCTCGTTAGTCTCTTGTTCCATCCCAGCCATGTCGTCAACGAAAGCGTATGGTCCACCAACCAACTTGTTACCCGGTGTGTTGGGTGAAAGGTCTGGCGGATGCGAACCTGGAAGGTCGGGATGATGGCCACCTATAAATACCGGCAACTTCCCTCCAAAGGTCCTCAGCTCGTGAGCACCTTGATCGCATTGCATCCCTGAAAATCCTCCCATTCCACCAATCGGGCTATATCTTCCACCCTCCATTGTCTCCTCAACATGCCTCTGACTGGTCACTGTCTCTGCGGCGCGGTCACTTACACCGCTGACGTCGACGCGCCCCTGGTCACCGCCTACGACCACTGCGATGACTGCCAGCGCCAGAGTGGCTCGACCTACTGTATGTGGCTGTCTTTTTGATCCAATTGCATGTCCTGAGCTAACTGTTATCTTCTTTCCCAGCCCTCGTCGCCGTCGTCCCCAAGGACAAGTTGACCATCAAGGGAACCACCAAGAGCTACGCTGGCACGGGTACTTCCGGTCACAAGGTTCACCGGGTCTTCTGCCCTGAGTGCGGCTCTCCCATTGCCCACGACCCGGATGCGGCCCCGGAGATCATTGCCCTCAAGGCCGGCACCTTGGACACCGAGATCAAGAAGAACCTGAAGCCGGTATGTTTTTCCCGTACCCCACTACCTTATTAGAAAGAATGTCCTCGCTAACCCGACTACCATCCAGGATACCGAGATCTGGACCGTCAGCAAGCTGCCCTTCTGCCAGGAGAAACTGGCCCACCCCTTCGAGCACATGCCTCAGTAAACAAAACGCCATCCCTGGTGGAGGCTTCGATGATGATGTCATAGCTTATGAACCATGAATGTAGTTAATGAAAAGTGCAATGTCCAGGTTGATTCTTGTTCCATGATTTTCGCCGGATCTGTATGATAATGTCCGATGGATTGAAAATAGCCGCGGGTTCTCTAATTGGACCGTCGGGCATTTTCTACCACATGCGCGGATGGTGCGGCAATAGGAAACCATGCATCGCATGTTGCCAGGTATTCAAGACCGAGGCTACATGCTTACCCTCACATAAATCCATATGATTCAAGTGCGAGATGAGACTCACCACCGGCGAAGGTGTACCATACTCCTGGATCTTAAGTCCTAATGTCTTCCGACATGCTCCATATACTGGACTCGCGAACAAACACAAAGTACGACATTCCCATCAGGAACAATGCAGTATCAGCGATAGATTTCCAGAAGATCAAAGCCCAAAAATCCGAGGCTTATCCTGCAGGTCAACCGTCTAGTGGACTTCGTATTCACGACCCCGGATTGCAGAACACTACTGTGGTGGAAACGGGGATAAGTTTCTCGTGCGCATCATCTGCTTTCAATAAACATGATCTAACCCTCGTAGGGACCATGATCGAGGATTACTTCTGTTTCGAGGATACAGCCTGGAGGAGCTGTGGGAAAGCGATTTTGAAGACATGTTGCATCTCCTTGTATGGGGTTCAATTCCGACGGTCGAGCAAAGAACACGCCTAAGCCGGGAGCTGGCAAAGCAAATGCTGGCTATCCCAGCGCGTGTCCATCAGACCATCCAATCTTTCCCGTAAGCCTACTAACAGACTGCACCGAATGAGATAGACAGCTAATTTTCGCGACAGAACGACCACATATCCATTGCCCCTACTCATTGTCGGGCTTTCCACATATCTAGCCTCTGTACCCGAGACAATACCCGCATCCGTGAACCCAGCCCTCTACCAAGGAAATGCAGAAAACGTCGACAAAGCTATTATCCAGACTATCGCAGCATATGCAGTGGTATTTGGACTGATATCAAGTCATCGCAAGAACATACCATTCGCACCACCCTCCTTGGAAAGGACATACTGCGAAAACCTGCTTACAATGGCGGGTCTGCTCAATCAACCATCAGCTACTCCAGACGGCGTTAAGATATCATGCTTCCGGCGCTTTGCACTGCTGAACGCAGACCATGGAATGGCGTTGTCCGTATTCTCGGCGCTGGTCACCGCATCATCCCTACCGGATCCTCTCTCTTCTGTCTTGAGCGCCGTGGCTGCAGCGTATGGGCCCCTTCATTTTGGTGCAACCGAGACTGCGCACCGTACTCTCCGGGAAATAGGCTCCCCAGATAACGTTCCATCGTTCATTGAGGAAGTCAAAAATGGGCGGAGAAAATTATTCGGCTACGGACATCGTGCCTACAAGGGGGTCGACCCGCGAGTCCAGCCAATACAGTCCATTCTGAAGGACCTCGACATGTCCTCGAACGGACTCCTGAAAATTGCCGAACGAATCGAACAAACGGCTTCGACCGATGATTACTTCCTGAAGAGGGGCCTTTACCCGAACGCTGACTTTTACGGAAACTTTGTGTTCACTGGGATGTATGTTGATGCTAATTGCCGGTGAAAGGATGTCGTGGAATGATGCTGACTCGCATAGTGGCTTTGAGCCGGATATGATCCCTGCAGCCATGTTGGCTCAGCGAATTATAGGGATCATGGCCCACTGGCGGGAGTATATGCGTGAGTCTTGTGGACGGTCTGTGAGATATCGGGAGATTCTAACGGAAGTAGTTAACCGCGGCAAATTGCTCCGGCCATCGCACATTTATACAGGGGATGTGAAGGCCGCGGAGATCTCATCTAAACTGTAAACTTTCCTGAGAAGCGTTTGGAGGGAGAACGGAGAGATAGTCCTGCTCAGGGTATCCGAAGCTACCTATATTGCACCAATACCACTGTTGCAATATTCCGTACTCCGTATGAATGATTTGATCATCTACTTCATCTAGCGTCTGGCTGTGCGGTTTCCCCTTGTATTGAGTCTAGCAACAAAGAAATGACAGCGCAAAGTAGATCAGATTTGGACGAAACAGCCCCGTTGCTGGGGGTTAACACCAGGACAGAGCCGTACTCAGTCTTTACAGCCGGCCAGAAGCGACTGATCATCTTTGCTGCTGCCATCGCATCGACTTTCTCCCCTCTATCCGCAAACATATACTACCCAGCGTTGAATTCTATTGCCTCAGACTTGCATGTCAGCATATCCCAAGTGAACCTGACGATCACAACGTATATGGTATTATAATTCCGGCCCACTTACATATCCCCTGAGCGTCAGCTAAACCTGTTCCACGACTAGATATGTCAAAGCCTCGCCCCAACCCTGATGGGCTCATTCGCAGACCAAGCCGGCCGACGTCCTGCATACATCCTTTGCTTCCTCATATACATCAGCGGAAACATTGCGTTGGCTTTGCAACACAGCCTTCCCGCTCTACTTGTCCTCCGTGGACTGCAAAGCTGCGGCAGCAGTGGTACCGTTGCCCTGGCATTTGCCGTCGCCGCGGATGTCACGACCGCTGCAGAAAGGGGCACCTACATGGGTATTACATCGCTGGGTAATATCATCGCGCCGTCATTAGGTCCCATTCTTGGTGGTATTCTTAGTGAGTATCTAGGGTGGAGGGCTATTTTTTGGTTTTTGGCTCTTTCGTCGGGGGTCTTCTTTGTTGTATGGATTGTTTTCTTTCCGGAGACTTGTCGGGCCATTGTTGGTGATGGATCTGTTCTTCCCCAGGGGTGGAATCGATCTGTGTACTGCTGGTGGGTGTCAAAAAACCATCCTTGTACACATGATATCACACCTACAATTAGCAGCGGACTGACGCTTCCTAACCCTCTGGCGACACTACGGCTCCTCTTCGAGCTACCCACAGGTCTGATACTACTATCCAATGGCGTCGTCTTTGCAAGCTACTACTCCGTCATGGCGGCGATTCCATTCCAACTGGAAACAATATACCATCTCAGCGACCTCGAGATCGGACTCAGTTTCATTCCTGCAGGGTTAGGGTCACTGACAAGCGCGACATTCAACGGGATTATGGTGGACTGGAACTACCGGCGAGCAATGGAAAAGACCGCGCTGTCGATGCTGAAAAGTCCAGCACAGGGACGTGGATTATTCTCTATCGAGAAGGTCCGACTGCAGATTGGGCTCCCGATGACGGTATGTTCTCTCAATCCCAAAAGGTCCGATGTGCGCTGACAGAAGCACCCGTCAGATTCTCTCTGCGCTGACGGTATTGTTGTATGGCTTCACAATTGAGCGTCACCCGCCACTTTATGTTACTTTGGTTGTGATTTTCACCATCTCGTTCTGCATCACATCCGTCTACAATGTGATGAACATCCTCCTGGTGGACTTCTACTATGGTACCCCAGCCACGGCGATGGCAGCGAACAACCTCGTTCGGTGCTTTCTAGGAGCAGGAGCCACGGCACTCGTTCACCCCTTGATCCAGCGATGGGGGAATCTCTGGACGTACGTCCTTGTGTCGGGGATTATTCTCGCTGTCTGTCCGATCCTGGCGGCGGTGGCGGCTTGGGGGACGAAATGGAGACGGGTCGATCACCAGTCAGATAATTGAACCCAACGCATTGACAGGATTGAAATGAGATAATTGCCGATGGTTGACATAGTTACACATAGTAGTTGAAGTAGCCGCCGTGCCGTATGAGAGGAGGATGAATGGAGAAGGAAGGGCATGTCTAGCGACAACTCCGACCTTGCTTCCGTATCAACAATGGATTTATCAGTGGTCCTGTCCTCTCTCTTCTTCCTACTATCAACAGCGCAGATTCTACCCCCAGAGACTGAGCCGTTGAGGATTCGCTACCCCAAGACCCAGTGGATCAACCCTGGAGATACAATCCTCAAGTCCTGTAGGCGTATCCCATTCCTATATTGCCAATCTTACTGACCTACGGAGACACGCAAGAGCTCCCTATAATCAGTGCTCGCGGGCTGCAATCCGACTTTACATACCTTCTTCTCTTCTACGACCTCGATGTCATCTACGGCGAGACAGCCACCGTGGCCTTGCACTGGTACCAGCCCAACATGACCACACAACCGAACCCAGAACAGAACCACATACCCCGAATCCAATCTAGGATCAAACTCCCCGACCCCAAAGACGACAACGACGACGATGACCCCATCCTAGCCAACCGCACCTCCGGCGCCGAATATATCGCCCCTCGTCCACCCCCCAAATCTCACCACCGCTACGTCTACCTCCTGTTCCACCAGAAAGCCGACTACGGATTCCCGTCATGCTTCTCGCATATATTCCCCCCAACCGCAGACGCAAGAGCCGGCTTCGACGTGCGCCAGTTCATGCAGGCAGCCAAGCTAGAAGCCCCCGTCGCAGGAAACTACTTCTTCGTAGAATACGACGGGCCCCTGCCCACGCACACCGCGCCAGTCGCCACGCCCACCACGACCTCGCTGCGGTCGGCCCCTTGTCAGGGGTTTACATCTACTACCACGAGAACGGGGGCTGGGACGGCGACGGCGGCATGTGAATACGCAGGCAGAGCGCAGGCCGTGCTGTAGGACGAGGGGGCGGGTATAGTCGGAAGCCACGCAGACAGGGCGGGCGAGCGGATGGGTTCGTGTAAGGTGACATGGGCAGGCTATTACAGATCAGGGTGCTGTGCGACGAGATGTGGGCTGCGCTGTTTCTTCTAGATCCCCAGCTACATGACTTGCAATGAAGCCAAATCGCCCTACGCGTGTGTCGTAGTCCTCGCCAATACCACGGCAAGGGAGAGTCGTCACGTCTATTGTGGGACGTGCCTGATGTAACCTGATGGCCCCTATGCCTGCGGTACCATTGCTACCTCGGATTCCTGCTCATAGCTATGGACGGTATAGGGGATGCGGGCCAGGCGAGCGGGGCGTCAGTGCGTATCTAAAAGGGCTACATGGTACAGGTCCATGCGCGGAGATACCGCCGTTTCTAATCAACTGTGGAGCATAATACTCTTGTCTACAACATGAATCAAGAGATATCGGTTCCAGTGACCCCTCTCCCCAAGAGTGTCAAAGTCCGTTCGACGTGCAATGCGTGCCAGCAGGCCAAGATCCGTTGCAGCCACGAGAAGCCGGCGTGCCGTCGATGTCTGAAGCAGAATCTCGTTTGCATATATAGCGTATCTCGTCGATTGGGAAGGCCGGCGAAGAAGCGAGACCCTCGGCAAGAGAACGATCAACGATTCTGCGACGACGCTGAGGGTCCCTCTCTTCCATCGAATCGAAAAGCACGAAGTCCCAGGAAAAAGATCAAGGACGAAGCTGTTCAACGGAAGATGCATGATAAAGGCGTGTCTCTGGACAACGTCGATCGGATGCTCCTAGACCAGGTCGCGTTCGACGATGCAATGATGGATGACATCCAGGCGGACGCCTTCATGCAGAACTCGTGCTTCCTGGGTGGAGAAAAGGGGTCACCATTCTCAGGTTCGTTCCCGTTGATCTCCGTCCGGATGAATGAGCGCTATCTAGTAACGCGGCACAGTACCAGAGTCATTCGATTTATCCTCCGATAGTTGGCTACAGGAGTTCCTGTCCACTCAGCCAGCCGAGCTGCCCCAGGACCGCAATATCCTCGATCTCCATCCCAGTATGGATACAATGGCGGCCAACGAGATGGCCGGTTATACTACGGGATTTCAACCTGGCTTGTCAACGGCACCAGACCCCATATCCTCGGGGCACTCTTACAGTCCACTAAACCCGTTTACAAGTGCGAACGAAAGTCTACTCGAGGCGACATCCTGTCTCGGATCGCTCAAACGAGAAGCCCTGGCATTCACACCGCCGATCTCCGCTCTGGAACGTCTTACAAACAACTCCACCACGGCAGAGGCTTCTTGCAAAACAGGCCCAACGGACGTCCCACGGACGAGTCGCGACTATGTATTCTCGGCGGATGCAGGAAGGACGAATTTCAAAATCACTAACCCAGCTCCTTCTCGTCCACTGCAGTGCCAATGTCACCAATGTCACGAGCAGATTGTCAAAGAGCTCATTCGCTTCAATATATGCGCCTGTCGCACGGGTCCAGATGTCACCATCGACTCCATCCTGAGTAGTCAACGGCTACTTCAGCAGCTCGCCGATACAATCCTGCAATGCGGCACGTGCTCGAAATCAGGAGTAAATCTGCTCATGGTGGTGGTTGTCAGCATTGACAGTTTGGTCAGCGCGTTAGAAGCAATCATCTCTGTGGAAAATGGGTTGATGGACGGCTTGTTTCCCGACTTTCATGAGTATCACGCATACAGTTTCTGTCGGGATATCTCTTCAACTCCTACTAGTCGCTGGAACAAAGGAGGCGGTTACCATATCAAGGCTCAGGTCGAGTCATGCCCCTTGCTCGTGGGTGGATTCTGTGTGCCTGGAGACGAAAAGTTTTCGTTCGTGCTCCAGGTTTTGCACAGTCGCTTATCGGGGTTGCTGAACACCATCCGCCGTATTCGCCTATGCGCGCAGGATGTGCTAGATATCCCAGCGTCAAGGGGGAAACTGGTGCTGGTGACTGAGACGGATCGCAGGTTGCAACTGATTATGATGAAAATGAAGATGTTAACCAAAAGGTGAGTATTGTTCGTCGCAGACGCCGTGGTACTCGGGATGCGTCCTCCAGATTCAGTGTCTCAATGAACTCATGAAATTACTCGAACATCCTCGCATATAAACCCCGTAAATTCCGAGCAATTATCTCAGAGGCCTCGCAAACACATTACTTGGTGGCGTGTGATTATCGAGGCCTCGGATAAACAGCCTCCGTAGATGGCTCCCGTACGAGTGTAAGCCCCAGCATCCCGAATCCTTCGTTATTTCGTGAAGTAGTAGCCTTTCGTCCGTTCCCGTTACAGCAAATTGGGTTGTAGATGCATAGACTTTCCTCCTGTGGGCAGTTGTGTGACCCTTTGGCGGGTCTGCAGAAACAAACGTTCCACGATGAACTGGCTCCAGGTGGAATCAGACCAACAGAGGTGATGAGTCTGCCTTGAATGCTCATCAACGTGAGGCGACCTTCGATGATGCTCTATGACTACCTGCTCGAACCTGTGATCCTATTGGACCTGTACCTGGGCTGGTTGATCCACGTGAACCCATACCCCGTAGGATCGTCTAGCACCAGCGCCGATACCTCCTAGCGGAAGGCAGCCATGCGTTATCAGGCTCATCATCAAGGCAAAGCCGACAGCATCCTGTATCGTCGCAGAGCCCGACAAATTGTATTGTCTTTACCGCTCACTCTGATCGTACCAAGTGCTGGGTCGTCTCCCGGCGAAGATGGACACCGAAAACAGCTGTCGATGCTCTATGGAGTTGATGCAGATCTTGACTGATCTGCGCAATCTCCATACCGTGGTAGAGCTGGGGACGATACTTGACTTGGCGAGCCGAATTTACAATCAAGGCCAGGCCACCCTCAGATGCAAAGACTGCCGCGGTAACCCGCAATCCGCGTTTGTACCCATACCGACACTAGCAGAACAATGTCTCTCCCTCTTTGAGGCGGTTTGTCTTGCATACAGCATCAACCGCAAGAACAATATTTTCGAGTCCAGCAGTGGCCCATTCGAGCAACCGCTTCCCCGTTTTATCTGCATTCGGAGCAAGGTCCAGCTGGGAGAGACGGACATCGACGACGACGAGGCCGCTGTGTTGGTACATATGCTCCTTAACCGAAATCTGATGAGACTCCTGGAATTGTTGGAAGCTCTGCAAGAAACGGTGCGATCGCTTTCCAAGGGACCAACTCAACCCTTTCCGGGAGGGTCAGCAAGTCTTCGCGCTTGTGAGTCTTCGTTGGACTCAACTATTCATCGGGTTGCCATGTTTATGGAACAAATTGATGCTGATAAAGGTACGACTTGTTCTTCAAATGCAGCGGGTAGAGGTGCTGACAGCGCTAGCGGGTTGAGGATCGTGATCCACTTACCTCTTCAGAGTCACATGTTATGCAATAGAGGAAGGAGTCTGGGGGGAAGTTTCCTTGTTGTTTTCATAAAGCGAAATACTGTTAAAGAATGGACTCACCACAGAGAACACGGGTATAAAAGTGTACATGGAATAAGAGATAGAGGAATACCTGAATCCACCTTCCAGTTCCCTACCTCCCATGTTGGTAACCTGACACCTGACACACCATAGCGAATGGGTTCGTGAGTCGGAACTGTAAGGCACATCGAGAAAATGCTCGTGCGGCTATTAGCCAGCATGAACGACTCCATGCCATTGGCCCCATCCAACAACTTTCCCAACCAGCTGCGCCGCAAATCTGTCTTTGTTGAGCGGTCGATTGCGGTCGAGTTGGATAGGGGCGTTGAGGGCAATAACTGTGAAGAAGTAGCGATGAGTCCCATGGCCTAGTATGGCACTGGGGCCCTTGTAAGGCGAGTCATGGATATCGGAAATCCAGCGCAACTGGATGTTCTCAGAGGTATCGTCGGGGGCCTTGGCATTTCTGACATCGTTGTCATTCAATTGGTTCTTGTTCGCCGCGATATTATATATTATGGAGATGGCCTGAGAGCAACCGGGGATTGGGATATCAGGATTCTCGCAGACCAGAGCATATTCTGCCACGTTGACGCCCGGGGGTGGTGTCCATCTGAAGGTGGGAAAAGTGGCATTCCCATGCCCAGCGTAGGAGGTGTATCTGTCTGGGATGGTAGACCCGGGCGGACCACAATCATTGCATGTCACGTTGAATCTGGGCAGTTGCGCCACGTTGAAGGCCGGGTAGTTGGTGATCAGCGCCGAGTCATGACCGCGACAATGATAGAGGATTGTGCCCAGGCAAAGCCTCATCAGGTTGACAAAGTAGGCTACCATGCGCAACACGAGGAGCAAGATAAGGTCGATCATGATGAATGAGATGTAGAGTGGAGTTCTTAGGGTCTGGTCTGAAAGGGTGAAGTGGATGAGGAAGAGATGAGAAGAGAAGAGGAACCACGAAAGGTGCGCGATGTTGACCATATACCCCGGAACTGCTGAAGTAGGCAGGAGCCTGTTCCGGCCCGGGAACGGACGGGACCTTCCTGAATACAAGCTGGGTGTATCCTTCCTCTTTCGCTCGCAGGAAGATCCGGGCAACTATTCAGGTAGGTACCTCATTCATATACAAAATTTACCACTTTTGACAACAGTCAATGCATGGGATCCTGCCCAACGATACCATAGCCGGAAGGTGCGGCCCATATTCGCCTCGCAGAGAGTTCTACAAGACACTCCAGTATCTCAGGTATCTGAGGTACACTGCACTGCTTCGCCCAGCCGGTATAGATGGTATCCACCAATGAGAATGCCAAAGAGCATACCGTTTAACCAATCCCAAGTAGGAGATCATGATATCTACGAATTCAGCTCGCCATAGTACGTGGATTCATCATAGTGTAACCGCAATCATATAAAAACCCTGTCTGTGGGAATTTGAAGATACTACAGTGGAGGACTTGCACTGACGTAGGCACTCGGTCTAGGAACAACACGAAGCAGATCCATATTACACATCAAGCCCACGGTTTCTCAACTTTCTCGGTTGTTTCCACCGCGCGGCCATGCTCTGCCACTTCAATGCCTTCAATACTGCGCAATCCTTCGCCGGCACGATCAAACTCATCTATATAATCCTCCGGTTCTTTCCAGCCCTTCGACCTCTCCATGCCCTCGGGAGGGAGGAAGCAGCAAATGACAGAGTAGCAACTGAATGCGATTAACAACCCAGTCGGATAAGCCACATAGTAGTATCTCTGGATTGAGAGCGGCGCCTGTACGCCCATCTTATTGAGGAACCCATAGAAGTTGGGCGCGACGGCGATGAAGTACACGGCAAACGCTCGTAGGTTCCATCCTCGCAGGAAATGATACTGTCCTTCTGGGTTCATCGTATACAGGTCGGGGATTCGTAGCTGGCCACGTCGGATAAGGTAATAGTCACATATAAGGATCCCGGCAATCGCAGACAGGAAGATCTGATAGGATGACAGGAAGTTGATGAAGACGGACGCTGTCGAAAGGAGGTACCATGGACAGATTGCAAATGAAAGCACTGGCGGTGTTATCTAGAGTTCGAGAGAGGAAACGGACATCATACCGGCACATATGAAGAACCCTCGTTTGATGGTGACATATCTCGGAAGTAGGGAGGCAATGTCGTTGCCGGCACTGGACAGCAATTAGTCTCGTCCGCTGAATATAAGCTATCTTCGACGTACGGTATGGAGTTCTCAAAGATCGCCGAGAAGATAGATGAGTACACAAGACCAAGGGCAATGAAGAAGCATGCAGCTCTGTTGGCTGGAGTGTATCGATCTCCCTCCATCAGCCGGTCGAGGAAGTTAAGCGGATTCCACATAAGCTACTTTCGGTTAGATCCATTCAGAACAGGAAGAGTCATGAATCTTACTTCACCAAATACACTCTCGCTTGCTGCGGCAATGACACAGCCCATCACGGAAACGAGCAGGTTCGATACGGGGAAGCTAATGACCTGTCCCCAGAGCACATCATTTGGACGCCGCGCGTAGCGCTGTAAATCGGCTGCGTTGGCAATAAACGTCCCGCAGGCTGCTGTCCCAAGGAATATAAATTTGAGGATCATCCAGGACTTCTCCGGTCCCTTGATCTTCGAGGATTGACTCAATGAATGTGTAGAGCCTCCAGCAAGTGATACCGTCCAGACGAGCATTGCAATCGCCGCTGCATAGAAGATACCGACTTTGATATAGACGTACATTCGCATTTTGGGTACTGGGACTAGGAGGAATGCGCAATTGATGATCCTAGCTTGGAGTTAGCATAGGTGTTAATAAACGTTCGCCGGAATAGGTACCAGTAGACAAGAAAGCACACCATTCCAGCGGTACTCAGTGCGGATTTTGAACCCATAGCGTCGGGGACGTTAGCAATGGAGGGGAATATTGCATGTAGCATGACACTGACCACCATCGACATTAGTTTCTACCCGTATGAGTGGAGAGCAATACTGACTATAAGCATTGAGCGCCCTGTACCGTATTCACTCCATTCCAGACAATCGACATGACGGCCCTGTTCGCTGTCGGCCACAGCGCACCCCAGGGACCAAAGCTCGACCGGCAGAGAACGGGATACGGAATGCGATACATTGCGCCGCCACGACCATTGAGGGCCATCAAGCACCCGGCAATGAATTGGCCGGCGGTCTGACAGGCGATGGCTTCCCACATGGACAGTCCAACCGTCATGCCGGTAGAGGCAGCGTACAGGTTACTGACGTTTGCAGTCGCTGAGAACCAGAACGCGAGATACGTGACTTGTGTCCATGACCGATCTTTGACTCTTGTTGGCCTGATTGAGTCATTGTCGAGGAATTCTACTTCTCGATGTGTGCCGTCCTGGTCGACGCTTCTTACGACCAATTTCTCGTGTACTGCCGACAGAAAGGTCATCTTGCCGCCGGAGGAACGAGGTGAGTGAAATATAGAATAGAAAATAGACAGACTGTACACTGCGAGGCTATCCGTGTATTTATATAGACCTTCAATGGTTCCTATGACCCTTATCTTCAAACTGATATTCTCTCTTTCGCCTGGTCTAGACGGCCTTCGTTTCATACCATCTCATGATAACTTATCAATCGAAAATACCACTAAAAAGCCGGTCATCTTGTCCGGAAAGATGGGTATTCTACTAGACGCGATATCGTCAAGATGATCCAGTGCCAGTGGTGCTACTTATCTCGCCGCCATGACCCTTGCGTATCGTGTCGGTAGTCGCCGACGCCGCTGACTCTAAATGGGCAAGTCGCGAACGCCGCATGTGAATCGTGAAGGGACATCGTTCTAAGCCACTGATTCTACTTTGACATCACTTTCTCCTTCCCGTCTCATACGTGATCATGGCTACTTCTCAAACACAGACGTACACGCACGTGGGACTCCTTCCTCTACAATGATAACAAAGAGATAGAGACACTGGTAAACGTGTAAGGCTCACCACGGTAGGCATTGCCATTTTTCGATTCCCTGTCTATACTGCCTGCTGCCTCGCCAGCCATTCCTCGTGCCTTTTCTTCTGTTTCTCCCACTCTTTGACCAGCTTCTTGCGCCTATTCTTGGCCAGCTCATTCCCTGCTGCGTCCACCGTCGGAATGCCGCTTTCGTCCCATTCCAAGTACTCGTCCGAGGTCCTGAACATCAGCAGAGGGTCAATCTTGGCCCGCTCATGCAGCTCCTTCTCCTTCTCAGCCTCCCTAGCCTTCTGTTCTAGCTTGGCCTTCGCCTTCGCAATGCCAGCTGATTCCCTCTCCGCGCGCGCCTGTATGAGCAACTTATCGAGGGGTCGGACCAAAGCAGGCTGGGGATGGTTGCGGTCCTCGAGATAGATCCCTAGGTTCCAGAGGTGTACATCACGGAGCTGGTCGCATAAGGCAAGCAGGTCTTTTGCCGGCGCTTGGTGGGCCGCAAGGGCCTTAACGTCGGCGCGGAACTGCTGCAGCACCTGATCGTATGGTTTGGAGGACTCGACCACTGGTGTTGACCCCGCGATCGTAATATTATCAGCGAGCTTCGCTAGAGCTGTATGATCCACCGAGCCTGAACGGGCTAAGGTCCGAACGTGGTCGCGCAATTGAGATGCAGGGTAGATATAGGGTTTTGCTGGCGCGGGAATATCGAGGCCCGACCACCCTATACGGTCCAGGTTGTTGAGATCTCCCTCGGGATCCAGACCAAATATAGTGACAATGCATGTTACCCACCGCGCGAGTAAGATGACTGTCTGGTCCGAAGGTGTCTCTGAGTTAGACTCGGTAACAAGATCAGAGAGGATTCTCATGACAGCTGGGGTATTGAAGGAATCGCAAAGAGCTGTATCGACATCGGCTTTCGCCTTATCCAGAGCGTTTAATAATTGCTGGTCTGCAATGCCAGGCTCTTGCATTGTTGCAGTCTTGGTACTTTTCCAGATATCCAAACTCTTTAGAAAGAAGTTATTGAGCTTGTCTTCCCAGCTGACTACAGCCTTCATCAGCTCATCTGTTATCTCAATACCATCCTGCCAAGGCATAAGGAGGAAGCAAATTCGGAGAGAACGTGCACTCCACTCCTTTTGGGAGAGAAACGTTCTGATGGTCGTATAGTTCTTGAGGCTCTTGCTCATCTTCAAGCCTCGAATCCTACGATTTGTTAGCGCCTTTGCACGACGGAATCGGTGTTTGAAACCCTTTACCTCAGTTGCCCCATGTGAATGAAGTAATTTGTCCACTGTACCTGACAGCCCGGAGTCGACCAGTACGCTTCCGATTGTGCGAGTTCATTATCATGATGAGGAAAACGAAGATCCACACCCCCGGAATGGATATCTATCGTCTTCCCGATCACTTCGGAGGCCATTGCAGAGCATTCAATATGCCATCCTGGTCGCCCATAACCCCATGGACTCGGCCAGGCTGGTTCGCCTGGCTTGCTAGCTTTCCACAGCGCAAAATGATTCTCATTCCGCTTCATTGATCTTCCCTTGGACAGTGAACCTTCACCATCGGCTTGGAGGGCACGGTCGTTCTTGTTCCACGGTTCCAGCCGGGAGTAGTTGTGCCCAGCCTTCTCAAACGAGTCGATATCAAAATATACGGAGCCGTCAGGGGTAGCGTAACCGAAACCGTTCGCCACAATCTTCTCGACGAAGCGGACAATCTGAGGGACATATTCAGTCACACGAGTCAGTTGGTCGGGAGCTAGGACATTAAGCGCATTCATGTCTTCGAAGAAGCGGCGTTCGAATTTCTGGGTCAGCTCCAGATATATCTTGTGATTATTGGAGTCCATCTCTGCACCATGCAAGGCATCGAGATATGGGAGCAAAATATCGTCCGTCTTGGCGAAAAATTCAGGCAGCTTTCCTGGGGATTGCAGGGCCTCGGCGGCCGACTGCACCGTTCCAATGTGTGCTCTCAACAGCAAATCGGTGACAGTAACAGCTTCGCCCTGTTCTGCTGTCGCGCCGTCGGGTCGGGATGGTGGCTCAACCTGTTCCTTATATGCCTTGGCTACTGCCTCTGCAAAAGTCTCTGGGCTCGTATCCGAGGGCAGAGGTTCTTGCCAATGTAGTGCTGGATTGCGGCTTTGCCCTCTGCCAAAAGCGAATCGCTCACCAAGCCGTCCTCAGCGGCATGCTCCTGCTTGAAGCGCGCGAGCAGGTACTGCTGGCGGCCACGGAGGATGATCTTGTCGTCGATATCGGTCGTATTCATAACGAACTTCACACGGAAGCCGAAATAGTCCTGCATGATGCGGCGGATAATGTCGGTCGAGACGTAATTCTTCGCATGGCCGAGATGGGCATCTTCGTACACAGTCGGGCCACAGCCGTACCACGTTACCACCTTCCCTGTCGGATCGAGGGGGATAAAGTCATTCTTAGTCCTCGTCAGGCTGTTGTAGATCTTCAGACGGGGCAGCTGGGCGTCAGGTCGGGCTTTGGGAGGGATCCATGGCGGTTGTCTGCGAGCGTCGGAAGCCATGTTACGTGCGCTCAACTGTTTTGAGATTGAAATGGTCAGCGTTAAAGAGTACTTGTTTGGGAAAGAAATAAGAAGGGTGTAGTTGTGGTTTGGGGAAAGAGACAACTCCAGCGGTGTCATAGTTAGGAATGACTCACCCGAGCAACAAAGGCCGGGAAATGAACTGGTCAGATTCTGGCTGTTGAAGTCACGTAGCGTTCGTTTCGATTTTGCATTGAGCTTCTGCACTGGCTTTTTTGATGGACCGGAGACTGGTTGCGTTCTGACATGAAGGTGGGACAGGCTTCTCGCAAGACTTTGTTTTGCTCTTCCACTTCGCTGTAGTCAAACAAACTACGGGCGAGAACTGAGTGATTTTGACTCAGACCCAGACTTACTTGCGGGATAACCGAAAGGACGTAGCTGGCTGGGAACTTCTCGACCCAAAGGTGGTGCGAAGTCTCGGTTAGGGTGGCTGAAGTCTCGACAGTCCTAGGATCATTGATCTCGACACCAAATCGGGCTGAATGGCGAGGACTGGAACTCAAGAGTGTGGGCGAAAGGCATCGCAAGATGGTTTGCTTCTGGTCTCATGCTCGTCCAAAGGGGTTTTCACGGTGTTGAGTTGCAGAGAATTTTGACCGCAAGGCGGATATACTCCTTCTTCATTGGAGAGACCTGGTGGTCAACATTGCCGATTTCTTCTAACGGTTATCGTGCATCTGGTGTATAGCCGGCAAAGCTCTTCGCGCTATTCCATGTCTCTTTTCTTTGCCTTCAATCCGGAGTCGGTATGTCAGGGGGTACCGCATATTTTATGCGGTAGGGTGTGTATGCATCCATGATGTAGTTAACTATGGATGGCTGACTAATACATGTAGTGGCATCGTGAGCGATTGGCATTGGCGAGGAGTCCGACTGTATACAAGTAGACAGTGTTTTATCCATTGTTTACTTCTTTAACATAGCCTCTGCCAAGAGTGGGGGTTATTTTTCATGATGCCGTTTGTATATCGTCACGTATTATTATCGTCTTACGTAGTAGATGCGTGATTGGCACATATTGCTCCGGTAGCCTCTAGTGCGTGAAAATATACGTACTCCGGATCTGTATCTTACCCACAGGCCTCTGTCGATCAGTTGTTGTGCCTGAAAGTCTTTTGAGAGAGTCCACCGACGACGAACAAAAAAGTTCGTTCTCGTCTGCTGTTATCCCTCAAGCGATCCCACCAGGACCATCAACATCCATAAGCCATGTACTTCTGGCGATCATTATCCATACTACTGGTCGCCGCACTAGCCGCTGCGCAATCACCCTCATTCGACTTCGAGACCCTCCAGACCCTCCAGTCAGACCAAGGCGATCTATGTCTTGGCCTCGCCGAACAGCTTTCCTCTCTACGAGTCGAATATGAGTCGTTCGCACCGAGCGTTTCGGGCTCTTCGGCCGTGAGTTACAGGTCCTTGGGATATGTGAGCGACTACTCGGTTTGCTAACGATCCGTCGCAGAACTCGCTGAAAAGGGAATACGAGAGGCTTTGGGATGCAGGAAGCCAGATACAGCGCATCTGCAATGAGATCTCGCGCATTCAACAGAAGATGGAAAACAGCTAGTATATTTGCCTTCTCGTGGTTGCGTCTCTTAGGCTGGTACTAATCAATGTCTCCTAGCCCTTCTACCGACTAGAAATTCATAAAGGGTTTGACAATTAGGTGTGTCAAAATAGACAAGGGAGAACTTTGAGAAAGAAACCACAAATAACCAAGTCCGTGATGTGCCAACTTCACCCAAATGGGTATTCAGGTTCTCTTGGGCCTACACCTAGCTCTAATTATCTGGCTTAGATGAGAATAAGGAAATATAACATAGAACAAAGTCACAATCCCTGAGCATGGTATACACCAATGCACAAGTCTTCTCTCTCATGATAATAGTTATATACAATGATCAGGATAGCACTAGGAACTCTCCTTCGATCGGACAATGTCAGCCACTATCACGACTTGCGATGTTGATCAACGTTTCATATTCGGTAGACCACATGGGTCCCGACGCTTCTATCATATTTGAGCGTCCTTCTATCGTCATCCATGGTCATATAAACATCTATATATACAGTCATGAAAACGGCTCAAGCCCCACGCGCCAACAGGCCTTCCGCTTCCTCGCCTGGTTCACCCGTCTCAGATTCTTGCCCTTTGGCCATTCTTTCGGCCATGGCGACTCCTTCCATGCGCCCTTTCTCCGCGTTTACCATCCAGACCAGCGGAATCGGCAGCACAATGAGGATCGCAATAAAGAAAAACCCAGACCGCACCTGGCCGGTCGCATCAATCAGCATCCCCACGATCGCGGGACCGATCACAGAGCTGCCTTTATCGGTAGCAGCATAAAGTGCATAGAAGGCGGCCTCGCTCCCGGGTGGAATCAGAAGACCGAAAAAGGAGCGGCAGTATGAAGAGAGGCCACCAGACACGATCCCATGCACAATCGCTAGTGGGAAGATCTCCCAGGGCTGCTGCAGGCCAATTACTCCCCACTTCTTAAACAGCGGGATGTACGCGAGCATGCCATACAGTGGGATAATCTCAAACAACGCGATGCACAGCATGATCGTGTGGCTTGATTTGAGCTTGAACCGACGGGAGACCACGGGCCACAGGAACGCTCCAGTCATGCCGGACAGGGTAGCTGTAATAGACAGACAGCCGACCAGAGTGGTGCTCATCTTGAGCTCCGTGCGCGCAAACAAGATCGCGGTGCCGGAAACGGTAGCTATAGCGTCGGATAGGAGAAACCATGCTACGAGGAACACTCGGACTTCGCGCAACTGCACCGCAATCTTCACGGTTTTCCACAATGACTTCCATGCGAATCCAACCAAGCGCAGCCAAACCCGCCACTTATTGGTGTGGCCTCCAGTGGTCGTAGTACTGAGTGGAGGTCCTGGGCGGTTCCGCAGCCAACGCCGAGTGACCATGGTGAAGGAAAACCACCAAATTCCTACTAGCAATAGGACGAAGCGTAGAGGAAGAGTGCCGGAAACCTTGGGGAGCGATGTCTTGGAGAGAGCAAATAGAAGCCCGATACTCAGAATCTGGACGAGAACGGCTGCACAATAGCCCAGGCCTACGCCCTTGGAAGAAATGCGGGTGGATAATTGTAGCTCTGGCGATGTTGCGTTGGTCGACGGTTTTGAACCCAATCCGATACCGGGGGTATATTGGGACTCAAATTCTGGGTTCCGTTCACTGAACGAGTCACGGGGTTCAAATTGTCCATTCTCGTTCAGAGTATGCAGTTCTTCGTCTGCTTCCTTCGACGCCCCTTGGATGGATGGGTCGTTCGCAACCAGGACGGGCAGGAAGGAATTGAGTACGACAAATGAGGATCCCAGGCAAGTGACGCCAATGATGACCAGGATCGCTCCAAAAGTAAACACCGGTGGAGCCACAAATACGAACAGCATGCTTGTGGCAGATCCAATAAACCCGAATGCTAGAAGAAGAGTCTTCCGATTGTTTTCTGCAGTAACACCATCTCTCGTCAGGATTCAGCTTTCGGAAAATTAATCGATCGAGACATACCGTAGTCTGCAAGAGCACTGAAAGATATTAGGGTCAGTGCCTGGACCAACACTGCCAAGGAAAACGTATACATGGCGAAACTGGCGGTGTTGATTTCCAGTCCAAGTAATCCGACCACGCACTGATCATTGTCGGCCCCGTCCCGGCGCAACAACGCCGGGGCCGTTCCATTCGCCAGGGAACTAGTTGGAGCATCTGGACCGACGCATGGCAGATGACTAGATTTCAGGACTCCGCGTTCACGAGCTAATTGTTCCAAGGTGAGGGGCAAGAAAGAACCTATAGTTGGCGTTGAACCATTACGTCAGATCGCAAAGCCAGGATAGTTTTCAGATGGTGAAACGACCTACCCACGCCACAGACAGCAAACACTTCGGCCGCAATACCATAGGCATACCATCCGAGAATCTCACGGCGACTGGTAGGCGTTGTATCCTCTCCGGGATAGCGGGAAGGGCGCTGGCTAGCGTCCGCGGCCGGGGAAGGCGGGGAGGATGGGGTGAACGCCATAGAGCGAGAGGGAGCTGGAGGAGACAGCGACACTACTGAAGGGGAGGAAGTAAGGTCGGCTTCACATTGGCAGCATGGCAGGCGAACTAGTTCAGAGCACGATGCACTGAATGGGTGAGATGGAGAGGTTGCATTCGGTTCCTGAATCATGAATGAATGAATTCGGTTGTTTACCACAGCCCATTAGTCAGCATCACGGAAGCTGGCGGAAGAGACAGGCAGCTTTGAAAGGCACACCGCCGTCTATCTGTGTCTATCTCTCCATTTACGGGATTCGCTTCGTATAGATCTTGGAGAGTAGAGCTGTGCTCCCTTTCTCCGCTCCAAGATTACATTGAGAGCGTGGTTCTGAGCATTCTTAGACGGAGCCTCCGCAAGCCTAGAAATATATAGTGGTAGGAAGAATAAGACAAGGCACTAATACTTCATTATCATTACTCAGGCTTTCGTTGCTCGTATTGAATAAACCGACAAAGGGACAGCAGCACTAGGCCATGAGGATTATCAACCTACTCAGCTTTGACCGGACTCAGTTTAAGCATGAGCTTGCGTCCCTTCGGCAAGGAGATAAATGCATGGTCCTGCTCGATGCCCTCGTCATCCAGGATCGAAGTGGTATAATTGGTGTAGACCACAGCAATGACCAGTTTGATTTCTAGAATGCTGGAGTTAGCGGCCAAACCGGAAGAACAAAGCAGGTATCAACTTTAGCGACGTACCCTGCAGGGCAAAGTTACTACCAAGACACATCCTCCCGCCGCTGCCAAATGGCCAAAACAATCTCCGCATGTCGTGGATTTTGCCTGGCCCCGGCTTTAGCCAGCGTTCTGGCAGCCATTCGAACGGATGCGGATAGACTTCGGGAATGCGATGCAGTGAATAGGCTGAGGAGCTTATGCGCACCCCTCCCGGAATGCTCTTGTAGCGCTCGATTGTCGTCCCCGTAGCTGACATCGGGGTCACCCTCGGTAGTGGTGCAGGAGCTGGAGCGTGCAGTCGCAGGGTTTCTCTCACAATGGCGTCCAAAATGGGGAGTGGGTCGATAGAGGTAGCTGATGGAAGCCTAAATATCTCTTCTCCATCTTCGGAGTATTCTAGGCATCGACCAAGACCGGAAAGCTCTTGGTATAATTGTTTCTGGAGGTCAGGACGCTGAGATAGCTCCCACATAATATATGTCACAGTAATCCCAGTGGTTTCGTGACCCGCAACAAGATGGTCAAGTAATTCCGAGGCAACTGCCATGCGCAGAGGGCGTTCGTCAGGGCTTTTCACAAGAGATGAATATAACTGGTTATAGACGACCGCGGTGGTCTCGGCTGATACACAGTTTGGGGTGTCATTTCGCTCCGTTTTATCACAAAGATGCAGACACCACGTCTCGATAAAGCCCCCATACCGATCTTGTCGACTGAGATACTTGAACTTCTCATACTCTTCCAGCCAATGGGCCCACTCCTCTGGTTGCAAGACATATGTCGTGCCGTGCTTCGTTCCGAATAGGTAGGCGGATGTGAAATCCATACCGACTGCCTGAAACAGCGGTAGCACATTGATCGCTGTACCACTCCTGGCCGTCCGATGCAAGATGGGTAGCAGCCGTTCGACTAGAATAAGCCGGGAGATAGCATTGAAATCGGTCGACTCCTGCAAGAAGGACTTGGAGTATATTTTGCTAAGCATTCGTTTCTGTCGGGCATGCGGTTGGTTGTGTGTCATGCCCACGAGATTGTCGGTGTGGAAATTGATAAAGAAGTCGCCGTACCAGGGATGCTTCTCGAAAGCACCGGTATATATCGTCTTCAGACCTTGGATGGAATTGACAGCCAACTCATTCGGACCCAGTCGAACTACCGGGCCGTGCTGTTGATGCAGATTATAGATCGTGAGGACCTCCGTGCCTGCGGCGCGTCTCCTTTCGATCCATCTTGCTGAGATTGGCGAGGTCCAATGGGCATTGGGTATCTTGGCCAGAGGTGACACAAAATACGGATAGACCACGTATTTGTACAGCAATGCAAGGAGTGTGAGAGCGGCGCCTGTAAACAGCGATGGAAAGGCCATTACGCCAGGAAGACGGTGACAAGAGAAGCGACAAGATAAGGGGAATGCGTTCTCTTCTCAGCTGGACATCAGCAGAAAAGCTGATCCCTTGTGTAACCCCACCTGGCTGCTTCTTTTGAGTTCATGGTGCATGCATGAAGACCCCAATTCTCCGCGGGGTCCATTCACCTGAGGTGCATATCTATCACCATCACCTACTACAAGAAGTAGCAGAGATTTTAGCGGGCCTAAATCTGAAGGTCCATGTGTGCTGATCCTCGCTTCAGATCCGATGAACAGTCTTATCTGGGTCGATGCTTTCTTTTCTTTTTCTACCCGGAAGCCGATCATGGTATCACACAGGGCTGTGACAAGCCGAATCCGTCACTCTGCAAAAGGATCTTTGACATAGTGGACAATTATTGTGACCTTCCAGAAACCAATTCTCGAGACATTGACTGTGGAAGACATGTCGACACCCTAGCGCATGGACCGTATTCCCCATCAGGACGGGCTCAAGGCAGATGGCACTTATATCTCGGTTAGTGTATAGTTCACATAGAGTACAGGACGACAGCATGACCTACCAAGTAAACAGATTGTCTCCTTCGCCGGGAGGAGCCTTTCCATGGCGTATGGACGACCACCAGGTCCGAAGCAGACTTGTCGGCGCTTCGGTCTCTAGCACTCTTCTTCTTTCCGTATTGTCGGACGTACTGCTGTCGGCACTATGTATCTGAACACTATCCATCCGGCTTTGATATACAGCATGAAATGACTTCAACAGTAACCTGAAACACCAGAGAATAAGCTCAGCGCAGACAGGCCCCAGCGTAAGCGCTCCCTTACCAGATGGCGATGATTATATAAAAGCTCGCGCATATTAAGAGTAACACCGGGGCTGCCCTCCAACCGGAGTTCGTGTACTTTGATTCGGAGGACTTGGTATTGTCAGGGGTCTATGTCAAAAGATATCAGCACAATTTGAGCACAGGCTTATGAGTCCCCAGCTACTACCGCCATAGTCATGGTCCTTGGAGAGGCTGGGGTATGGGTTGGTGGTATATCGTCGTGGATTGGCCCCCAGCTGGCTACTCCATCGCGCAGCGCTTGCTCGTCTTATCCGAGCCCCCGTGGGAAAGCCAAGAGAATAACCAGCTGATTAAAAACGTATGATCAATTTATGCAGCTCATACGTAGACATGTGCCTTCCATGACGTGTTCGAATTAGATTGGTACATGCTGATGGTAACCATGGTATGCCAGCGACGTGGGGAGTAGACGACGATTCATGTTTTCTTCCATCCTCAAGGATCCAGCATAAAAATATAATGCAACCAATCGGACTTCAGCATTGTCGCGGTACACCAGACGCGGAAATCAGCATTGTCCATACAGGCCGAAGCCCAGGCACCGACCCTAGAAACATCAGGAGAGCACGTCGCGTGACGAGTATTAGATTCCCCTCCGCATTCATCCATGGCCGCTGGGATGATGGGCCGAGAGAATCCAGTTCTCTCAATATCCGATGGATGACAGCTGTTCCAGCAAATCACTTCACGTCCTACATCCCATGCTAGCTACGTCCATTCCTCGCCATTGGCTTATGGCCCATAGCATCTGATGCAAGCCAATTACACACCCATGGGCTTTCATGTCCTATTGAATCCGTCGTAGGGCTTACGTCGTTCAAGCATCTGGACTTGGCGGGGGCGATGATAAAAGCTCTGTTTCATGCTGCCGAAGACCCCTAGGCAATAGTAAATACTACACATAACTCATCTGATCTTCCGATCAACAATTTCTGAACCAAACCCGAGGAACACAAAAATGACCACCCAGCGCAACCCAGATAACACCCATGCTTGGTTGATCGGCAGTGGTATTGCATCCTTGTCGGCGGCGGTGCACCTCATCCGCGAGGCCAAGGTGCCTCCCAGCAATATCCACATTGTGGACGTGCACCCCTCGACAGGCGGTGGAATAAGAAGCTGCGGAAACGCCGAGAACGGATACATGTTGTATACGGGCTGTCTCCCCTATTTCCATGACCGGTGTGTGGAGGACTTTTTGTCCCTTGTGCCGTCAAAACAAGACCCCAAGGCATCCTTGTTGGAATCCATCAAGGACTACGATGTACTCAACCGCCCTCAGAGGAGTGCGATTACTCGCCTGGTGAAGCAGGGTCATAATGGACCGCAGCGAGTGGACGCCGACGATCTTCAGATTGGACCGCGTTACCGAATGGAATTGATCAAGGTCATGCTGGAGTCAGAAAAGACCCTGGGGGCTGCACGGATCGATGAGTTCTTCGATGAGCAGTTTTTCAAAACCAATTTCTGGTCTCTTTGGTCTACCACGTAAGTACCCTACCAACGTTCCTTATATGCCGAGCTGACTTTAGTACCCCGTAGCTTTGCTCTCCAGTCCTGGCACAGTATCCTGGAGCTTCGCAGATGTCTCCGGAAGCACCTTGGGGACATCGAGGACCTGAATAACGTCCGAGCGCTGGACCGCACCAAGTACACTATCTACGAGTCTATCATCATGCCAGTCACCGAATACCTCAAGGATCAAGGGGTCGACTTCCATTTCAGCTCTCGGGTGTCCAGATTAGAAATGGACCCGGACTCTCAACAGACCACTGTTGCCAAGATTGTGATACAGGAGGAAACGGAAGATAAGGAGGTTGAAGTAGACCCGAGCGATATTGTCATGGTTACCTTGGGATCCCCCAATTCCGGCTCCCAGGTGGGCTCTAACCTCGAGGCTCCTGCTCACTTCCCAGAGAAATCCGACGAGTTGATCGATCATGACTGGGCCTTGTGGATTGACTTGATGCACAAGTCTCCTTCATTCGGAGACCCCAAACACTTTACCCAGAATCCTCACCACACGGCTGTTGAGTCATTCACCATTACCCTCAAGAATTCAGACTTCCTCAAGCAGTATGAGAAAGCAACTGGCGACAGCGCTGGCACTGGTGCATTGCTTTCCTTCACGGACAGCAACTGGGGCCTGAGCATCAGTGTTCCCCATCAGCCTCTATGCGCCAACCAGCCACTGGATGTGGTCGTCATCTGGGGTTACGGATTACATCCCGATGAGACTGGCAACTTTGTCTCCAAACCGATGTGCCGCTGCTCGGGTAGGGAGATTGCTACGGAAGTCTTTTCCCACCTTGGGTTCAGCCTCGATGACCTTCTCCCCCGCTCGAACACGATTCCCTGCTTGATGCCTCTCGGTACTGCGCCGCTGTTGCCACGCGGACCGGACCACAGGCCCAGAGTCATCCCTCCACAGACCAAGAACCTCGCAGTGCTGGGTCAATATGTCGAGATCGCCGAAGACACCACCCTGAACATGGAATACAGCGTCCGCAGTGCGCAGATGGCCGTATATTCAACCATGGGTCTGAACAAGTCCCCTCCAAAGACTCGCCGGCACCTACTTTTGAACGTCTTGGATTTGCTGGGAGGCGTCTGATTTACCACTACCCCTTGTCTCTTTTGCTGCTTTCCCTATGCGTTGAAAATGGTTTCTGGGCGTTACAGTGTGACTTGGTAGCGCAGGAAAATGTCCGGACAAAAGTGTTTTGCTTACCCCCATTCATTGTCTACGACTGTCCATGTCTAGCTAGCTTCTGTGCCGGTGTCGATGGATAGGCAACAGATTGGAGTTTGTGCCGACCTCAGATTATCAGGCTCGTTAACTGTAGATGTAGCCTATACTAGTTTGTAACGACTTGAAAATTGACCATCCTTGCTCTCAGAGGCTAGTCCGTTCTGATTGTATTTTAGCTGGCGTGAGATATGGCTGTGGCGTGACTGCTTATGCTGCTTTCAGTGGCTCGACCACAAAGTCCGGTAGAGGGGGCCACCTGATCTACAGAAGAGAACCAGGGATCGATCGCGCATAACTTACCATCCAAACTTTGTGCGCTTGAATTTCAGGCCCAAGAGTTGCTAGCCCGCAAAGTATGGCATGATCTCGCCATCATATGTTTTCCGACCAATCTGCCAGCCCCACGGCGACATCTGAGCCCTATCTATGGCCACTCATGATACCTCATTACCATCAAAGGACGTCATGGTAAAGCCCATTCTGGCTTGTCGGAGAAAGGCCCCGGGCGATATATGACATATATGACACCAGGACTACGACATCCTCGCAGCAGCTAGCAAATATCTGTACTTTAAATAACAGCTCCTCTCGATAGATGCCGAAAGCGCAACCAGGCAAATGCACGCATTGAAGCGAAACTGTCTACGACCAACATTCTACCAACTTGGCCGTTACTACGGGTCAAAGCGCACATCTATTTTAGACCGATCTACCCCCAGCCTTGCACAAACGAGAAACATGTGGCTCCAACGACGTCCAGCGGGGGGCCCTACCTCCTTGGTGCGTGCTCTCGACGACTTTGAGACACTCTTCAGTCGCCGAGCCGGCGAGCCATACTGTCCTCGCTTCGATATGCGTGAGATGAAAGACCGCTATGTCCTCGAAGGAGAGCTTCCCGGCGTGGAGAAGAAGGATATCAATATTGAGTTTACCGACAACAACACCCTCAGTGTGAGTGGACATACCGAACAGGCAACTTCCACTGAAGGGCCCGAGCATTCGTGGTGGTACTCAGAACGATCTACCGGGGACTTCAGACGCTCGTTCAACTTCCCGGCGCCGGTGGATCATGATCATGTTGAGGCGAGTCTTAATAATGGGGTTCTTTCGATCTCTCTTCCCAAGGCCCAGGCGGAGTCCACTGGCAAGCGTATCGATATCAAGTGAGCAATGCTATGATATCTATCAAGCACCCGCCTAGTACTTGGATAATCTTTGAAGATTGATTTGTATTCCTGTTTGCAAATCTAGCTTACTTTTAGTCGCTCATTGGACATATGATCCAGGTTTCAAATATTGTCGCTCATTATGTATCTAATTGAGTTCTATAGCAATATTGAACACGTTGTATTGCTGCAGGAGAGGGATCGACTTGGATTTATAGAATGCCCCAAAAGCATCGCTTCGTAATGTGTGCTTTGCAGCTACATTATTGTGGCACATAGCGACTTCGGTCCATTATCGACATTCATCCACCAGGGATACCAGTCTAATGTGAACGTAATCTGCAGGTTATGCCGGAAGTACCTTCATGAAAGCTCATGCGAGTAGTCCCTTTGCCACCTTGAGACTTCCGTTCTGATTTCTAGCTGCATTCCCCGTGATTCTTTGGATTTTGTTCTACCAGGGTGGTGCGGGGAAATACTTGATATGGTTCAGTCTGGGATCGCTCGGTCAACTACGGCCCCTTATATTCCGGTAAGGCTATGGAGAAGGTCCGCGCGCAGTTGTACGATGCGGTGAGTAAAGGGGCCACGGTCTCGTACACGGGCCATCAAGCAGATGCAATGACGGGCAAGGGGCCGAACTTCTACCCTCCAACCGTGCTTACCGGTGCGACTCCTGACATGCTGTTCACGCAAGAGGAGACCTTCGGTCCTCTGGCCTTTTTGGTTCCCTTCCAGACGGACGATGAAGTCATCACTATGGCCAATAAAAGTAATGCTGGACTGGCTTCATATATCTACACAGAGATTATCTCGCGCGTGTGGAGAGTCAGCGAGGCGTTGAAATGTGGCATGGTTGGAGTTCGTGTAGGGCTGATCAGTGCTTGTGAGCAGCCGTTTGGGGGAATTAAGGATAGTGGAATTGGCAGAGAGGTACCATTAATGCGTTGGATGAATATCTTGATGTCAAGAGCATCACTGTCGGGATTTAAGCTGTACGTCATCGCATATTACTGTTTGTGCATGCGATACCTCTTCGGCCGACGGCGTAGAAAAGGACAGGGATGATATGCGATCCTACCCAACCGTTGCCTAGACCATGCGGGGGAGTCATGCCATGCGATTCTCGTACAAGGGGTCGGTTAAACACATCTGTCTAGGCCAGCAATGGACCGCGGAGTCGTAGTCACGCGCGTTGATATCGGCAGTTTGCATAGGCACCCAATGGGACTTGGGATTACCGAGGGCATTGCGACACCATAGAAGAGGTTCTTCCCCACATCAAGAGTTACAGAATCAGCTCTACAGGGTCTGGATGGTTTCCCTCGCACATTCATACGTCCTGTCTACTTGCGTACTTTAGGCCATAAAAGAGCGAACCAGCACAATCGCACATGCATTCGCTGTAGGGGGCGCCCACGTTGTGGTCGCCGATATATCAGCCGACAATGGGAACCGCGTTGTAAACGCGATCACATCAAAAGCCGACACTGGTAACTCAGGCATTGCCATCTTCGTGTCGCTTGATGTTACCAAGCGTGTCAAATGGGATGAGGCACTGGCAATCGCACTTGCATACTTTAGGAAGCTCGATATTGTGGTGAACAACGCCGGGACAACCTACCAGAAGCAGCCCAGTATCGACGTCACGGAGGAGGACTTTGACCGCATTGTTGCAGTCAACAGAAAGAGCATCTATCTCAGCGTCTCCGTCATCATGCCGCACTTCATGGCGCGGAAGAAAGGCGTCTTTCTGAACACGTCCTCTGTCGCCGGCACCAGAGTTCGCCCGGATTAGGTTTTCTACGGCGATACTAAAGGGTTTATGAACACAGTAAGTCCGATCCACTACATTTGCCGGATTGAGCTTATGATAGCAGATAACGCAAGGATTGGCCGCCGAATACGGCCCTCACGGTGTCCGGGTCAACTCGATCTGTCCTCTGCGCGGAGCTACCGGCCTTCTAGAGATGTTCAGTGGCGTCCCGGATACCCCAGAGGAACGAGAGAGGTTTGCGAAGACAGTTCCTTTGGGACGCATGTCCGAACCAAGCGATGTCACCTCAGCGGCGGTGTATTTAGCCAGCGATGAGGCGTCTTTCGTGACCGGCGTGAACCTGCCAATTGACGGAGGGCGCCTCGCTGTTTAGCCATCGCCTCGGTGTCTCCCGAGTCATCCCACGAGTCACGAATTGAGCCATGCAAACCGGTGTCACTAGATCCATTTCATCCCTAGGACACTATATCCTCCTTTAACCTATTGGGGCGCATTCCGAAAGCCACTTCATTTTCCGTTTGAGGGCAAAACAGAACGGTCTCAATTGGTTGCCCTGATTGGAATAGTGACGTTGTGATGTTTCTGCTAAAAATACACGTGGAGCGCACAGTACGGGGCTGCAGGATCAATTTTTCAATAGTCGAAAATAAAGACTCCAGAGTAGAGCATCAATGTCCGATCTGTCCACCCTGATCATCTGGGATTGTCGATGCTATGGATCGTACCTGCTGCAAGTCATAGCTGGACCCTCCCCCAATCCAGATCATGTTCACGATGTGCCTCGTGCGTCTGGTCATGCCCCATGCCCGTCAACTACCGTGATCCGCAGTTGGGATCATACATACAGGCGGATTTCAGGGGCTTCGGCGCCAAGATACCCACATGCTCGAAAGGCACAAAAAGGGGTATCTCGGCTGCGGAGTTCCATGTGCTCTCGAGGCACCAGTCTGCTAAATCCCGACTAACTCTGCTTAGCGGGGTTAGCCATCCATGGCGTTGGAAAACGAGGGCTCTAAGCTTCGACAACTGCCATCCAGCAGCGGCGTGATTGGAGTGGCTGCAACTGACGATGCTCCCCGGAGCGGGTCGGGGCAAATGGAACCGTCTTCAGGCCGACGATCACCTCCCGTTTCTCTGCCGTCCGATATTGCGTCGAAATGAAGCCCGCCTGGAGCCCGCCGCCCCACGCTTGAAAACCGGGATTTGTGGAGGATCAATATGGTTCTGAAAACTTCTTATCATGGGCCATTTCGCCCTCCCGCGTTGGGTCCCTCATGCGCAGACGCCGGGACTCTCTGATCTGACCACCTCTCACTCTTGTCTGCGCCTCCATGCGGCGACTGTAGCTCGTCCAGCCTCAGCAAAGGGCCCGCCATGGATTCCAGCGGCGATGGCGCCCACGTTGCCGATCGAGGACCCCAATTGATCACCGTTCTGTGGGTCATGACCGGGCTCTCGACTCTGACTGTCGCGTTGAGATTCGCGAGTCGCAGTATGCGCCGAAGCGTTGGGTGGGATGACTTTATGATGTTGTTTTCCCTGGTATGTGCAGTCGTTTGTGAGCTCACTATGGATGGATGGGTCTTGAAGGTTGACCGCTACCACAGCTCTGTTTCTATGGGTGGTCGATATCGCTCACCATTCTCGCGGTCGATGGAGGTCAACGCCACATGAAAGACTTGAAGCCCCTGGGCGAGGATGTGGTGACTCGCGTCTCTCTGATATATTGGACGGGGCAGGTCTTTGGAATCCTGGGCTTGGGTGCCGGCAAGATCTCCATTGCAGCCCTTCTGCTGGGCATCCTGGGGAACACGCGCTGGTTCTGGCACAAGACGTACCTGTGGACGTTTTGCATTATCCTCGTCATCCTGACGAGCATCGCCTGCGCCATCCTGACCATGACCCAATGTCATCCCGCCGCCGCGTTGTGGGACTCGAGAATCACAGGCGAATGTATCGACCCGAAGATCATGGCCGATTATGCCATCTTCACAGGATGTACGTCTGAAGAACCCAACAAGCCAACGGTACACTAATGTTGCACAGCGTACAACACATTCGTCGATGCCAGCCTCTCGCTGGTGCCGTCGTCCATCTTCTTCCGGCTGCAAATGACCCGGCAGGAGAAGGTGCAATTATCCATGGTCTTTGCCCTGAACATCCTGTGAGCCGATACCCACCATTGCAAGTATACAGCCGTCAAACTGACCATCGAACGCACAGGTCATCAATCTGCTCCGCCATCAAGACCTCCTATCTCCCCCAGCTTGCCGATCGCGTCGACATCACCTGGACCACTTTCTATATCTTCGTATGGACCACCAGCGAGCTGTTTGTGATTATATTCTGTGGCACGATCCCGACGCTGAAATCCGTCCTGGACTTTTTCCTTCGTGGGGCGAAATCAACGCGAGCAGACGACTCAGCGGGCTCCTGGTCGAAGAATGGGGCCTGGGGGAGCTCGTCGTCCCGGAGGAATCACAGCCGGAGGTCGGTGGATGTGGAGGAAGATACGACGGGCATCCTGCTTCATACTCCAGGGAGAGTCTGTGAGGATTATTCGGCGCCGGATTCGCTTCGGTCAGCCCTGAGTGGGCGGTCGTAGGATGAGCCATGAATGTTTCAGTCGTGATACCCGGCCTAGTGCCTTGAATAGAACTTAATGCCAGTCATCTGCTTATGCTTAATGCAATAATACCTTTTCAGCTAAACAATTGAAACTCTATCATGGTGTGCGACATATCTATCATCTTGGAGCCACGGGCCCGACACCAATGCAACAAAACAGATCGACAATATCAATCCATTACATACCCTATCGACTCGATCTGCGAAAACGAGGGACCCCGTTGGGGATGCGAGCTTGGGAGCAATGGGTGGCTGAGGGCAGATAGCCAATATCCACCGCATACTCGACACTCTTTTCGGTGGCCGCATAAACATCCTTTTTATCGAACAACAACTCTTCTGGCGGCTTGCACGCCTCCGAACTGAACTGCCAATGGTTCTCCTCTAACCAGTCCAGCACCGGGAGAAAGGGATGATCGAATGGTGCATTCTCAATGTCAGATTCGACAATCTCCAACCACTTCTCGTTGGGCACTGTCTGGATCTTGTTGCCGGTCTTTGCGCTGAGGATGTCACAAAAATGAGACAAATGGATACCATCTCTGCAGTCGATGACCTCTTGAACAGACTTTTCCCGACCAAGGATACTTTCAATGGCCAAGGATGCGATTTGGTCGACCCCGGCCACGGGCATATACCCCCCTCGCAATTCTTCACTGACCGTGCCAGTATGAAGAACAGTGTATGCCAGGCGCCAAAGAAAATCCTCCGTATGGGCGATTCCTTCCTTCTTGGTGCCCACGATAAACCCAGGTTGGATGATCTGGGCCCGGCGCATCGTCGCATTATTAATTCTGTCGAGATAAGCATTATACTCTTCCAGAACCAGCCGCGCAAGGAACTTAGTTTGGTCATATCCGCTCGCAAGCGACAGTTTCTCTGCGATGTCTTCCTTGGTCTCGTCTGGTGACGGAAGGTACCCACCGCCAATATATGTCAGTGAGCAAGGCGTGGGCATGGCCGAGATCGCTCTGAGGATCTCGACTGTGCTGTCGACGTTTGTCGGCTTCAAAGTGTCGAAGTCGTCCATCCAGTTCACCCGGGCACCGTTGTGGATTATGGCATCAATAGTGATATCTCCCGACCCTTTCAGCGTACGCCACAGCCTAGGTGTCAGTCCCAAGTTTGGTTTGCTCAGATCACCCCTCCATATGTCGATTCTAGAAGCAAACGCGTCTCGCCACCATCTTCCGATGATAGCCTGCTCCTTTACTCGTTCCAAGGCCTTTGCCTCGGTTTCAGCGCGAACAATACCAATAATGCGGCCCACGTCAGGGCACTGCAGAAGCGATCGCAATATTTGGCTCCCAAGGAAGCCTGTGATGGAGGTGCATAGTACTGTCAACTTGCGAGCCGGCGGGAACAGTTCGATCACAGGCTGCATTGCCTGTAGCTTGGTCAGAATATTGGTGCTTTGTGGTGAGGAGCCGACTGATCCGGCTTCCCCATTCATGACGAACGTTTCGATATCGCCAACGCTCATTCCCGGGCGTTGGAGATCTCTGACGGACATTGGGAAGCCCCAGTGTCGGCGAATATGACCCGCGAGATATGCCAAATGAACCGACGTTAGACCGACACTCGATAGCGGAAAGTCACGCTCTCGTAAATACTCAAGGCTTCCCTCTCCGTGATTATCAACCATGTCGATAATCGTATGACTGAGTTGGATGGATAAACTTCGCATAGGATCAATTTTCTTGGATTCCCTTGCGGCTGATCCTCCCGGACGGAATGAGATCAATTCAGAGGCCGTCATATCACGAAGCCGACGATGGAGGTCCTGCCGGTTAATCTTCTTGGATTCGGTCAGGGGCATTTTATCTATCGGAATGGCGATTGTTGGAATCATGTAACAGGGCAGCTTGTTCGATAGCTCGCCCCGAACATAGTCTGCAAGCGAGGTGCCAACATCAGCCTGCACTTCCATGAATGCAGCAATTTCTGCATCGTTTCCATTTCCGTCCGGCTGCGCGGCAATTACAGCCGATTTTGCCGTCGGGGGAAGGGTATTCAAAGACGACTCGATCTCCCCGAGTTCAATTCGTAGACCGCGGATCTTGACAAAACCGCTCTTTCTCCCGCGGAAGAGAATGGTTCCATCGTGGTCGTACTTGGCCAAGTCTCCCGTGCAGTATATCCGATCCTTTGAATTTCCAGAAAGATTCTGAATCCAAGACGGGGGTGACATGAACGAAGAGGCAGTCTTTTCGTTGCTATCCAGGTAGCCTTGTCCAATGTAAGGACCTTGTATGACTACCTCGCCTTCCACGCCAATCGGCTGTGGTTTCAGGACATTGGAAGGGTCGACAATCCAGCATGTAGCCCCAATTCCTCTGCCGACGTTTTTGGGGTTGTCCCCTTTCCTCATGCCCAGTTTGATTGTATCCCAAACCCCGGTCTCGGTTGTGCCATATACATTGCAAAGACGCACACGGTCTGACCAAACATCGACGATTTCAGAACTCGGGGCCTCACCACCAATATAAAGACTCTTAAGAGAGGGTACTTTACCGGAGTCCAGTTGACGAACAACCACGGGCGTCAAACTGGCATCAGTGACTCTCAGCTGGTGTATCACAGATCCTATGTCCTCCACTCGCTCTTCCGGCGAGGGCACGCATACTGTGCCTCCCACCACAAGGGGCGCGAATATCTCGCAGATGCTGGCATCGAACGTGAAGGATGCATATTGCAGAAATCGGGTTGCAGCCCCCAATCCGAACGAGTCGGCCACTTCAAGGAGACCTCCGGCCACTCCTGCCTGCGCATGAACTGCTCCCTTGGGTGTCCCCGTACTCCCCGAGGTAAACATAATATACGCGGATGCGTTAGGATTGTCGCTGATCTCCGAGCTCCAGTCTTCCGGGGCTTCCCCCTCTAGCAGGGCGTTGGCCGCGAGGACTTGAACGCCCTTGATTCGTTCCATTTGACTGTCATCGTCCACTATATAGCTGATGTGCGCTTTTTGAATGACATTGGTCGTTCGGTCTCTTGGCCAGTTTTGATCGATGGGAACATAGGCAGCACCAGCACGGAGGATTCCAATTATGATAATTATTGCGGCTGCAGACTTGTCCATACGAAACCCAACGTTGGTCCCAGGACGAACGCCCTTCTTACATAGTCTTTCGGCGACTAGGGCTGATTTCTTGCCTAGCTCTTCGTAGGATACATCCTTAGATGTGGTTGAAATAGCTGTCACATGTGGACGTGCTAGGTAATGATCGTTGATGAGCCGGTGAATCGTGTTCGGCCTCGCAAAGGCAGGTTTGACCACCCACTGTTTCAGCCGATCCATGTCGTACTTGGAGACGATGTCAACGCTTGAAAGCACTTGGGAGTAATTGTGGACCAAGCTGTATGCGGCCTTTTCCAAGCTATCAAGAATGCCACATAATCGGAATTCGGGGGGTCTCTCTGCATGAGAGCAGATATTCATGCTAACACACTCCCCTGAAAATCGGACCGTCAACGTCAGGGTAGGCTAAGAGCAGTCAGTCAGCAAGTTATATCACGTAGTAACAATTATTCGATACTTCCTTACCTTGACTAAATCCACCAACTGAGAAATGATATTTGAACCTTGATCCACGGGATCGCATTCGACAGAGGGCAAGAAGACCACCAAGAACTCATCGCGAATGTCTTGTATCTCCACGCATGGCAAATCGGCATTCAATTTGAGGATGGTTGATTGTGTTTCATGAATCGATTTGGACGTGTCAGGGTTGAAGGATGTATACGACACCGTCCTCGTCCCGTCCTTGGTATTAAGAACTTTCCCCCAGCCGGTCCTAGCCGTATTATAGTAACCATGGAGTACACAGACCCAAGAAGTAAGGATAATGCTCTCATGGTCATCGAATGGAAGGTCTAGAAGGGTAAGAGCATGACAGGCAGTATAGGAACGCGATCGCTCCTGCAAAATTCCTTTTTCATTGATGCAGGCGTTGGTGTGCGTCATGTCGGAAATGTTGGACATGAGGATATTGAAATCGAGAATCGGATGAAAATTGCATAGATATCTACTGATCGAGGGCCTTGGGGGCCTTCCGTAGTAGAGCTTTATACCTCCTTGGAACTCTACACCCGTGTTTATGACGCTTTAGTGGATACCATCCTGATTGGGATACTCACAGTGGCCAACATTCCGCAGAATTTAACCAGGAAAGCCATCAGATAGGGTTTCCAATAAGTAGAACCCGTGTTCTTTCTCCGGAGAAGTAGTTGGAACCCAGATCCATATCCCTTCGGGGGACGGCAAGGGTTTAATCCACCGCCTGCTGCAGCATACCCAATCAGTGACCCAAACTGCCTAATGAGTGACGGGACAGACCGCAGCTTGCCAAAAGCATTCAACCACAGAGTCATTCCGGAATGGATCTGGGGATCATGAGGCAATTACCGACGATCTATGCGGCAAGCAGATCCTAGCCGGTGCTGCCTTCGTCACCGAGATTAACTTCAGCCTCGATCAGAGATGCTAGCCAGGCACAAAAATAGTTCCTGATGGCAAATTGAGATCCGCCACTCCTATCAAAATCTGTCTTCTTCGGTTTCCACCGGCCTTACTGTCGTATGCGCAAAGCTAAAAGCGAGCAGGTTTATACTGATGTAGTTTGGATGCATGTGGATTATGGCGCAATATCTTGCAGGATTGGTTCAGAGATGGCTTGGCTGCGAACTGTAGGCGGATGTCGAACATCGGACGAAGATATTCTGAAGCAAGGCATAGATTCCACTTATTCTCGACTATCCACGCAATGCTATGAACAGACCAATGAAAGCCAGAGCAATTGCAGAAGGAACCTTAGCAAGCCTGATAATATCATCCATGGATGATCGCCTACTCCCTGTGCTCTAGGCGGTTCGGAAAAGAGACATATATGGTTCATGGCGTCGGCTGTAGGCGGACTCAAGCTTAAACAGGCAGTTCCTATGCATCATCAAGAATTTCAACGCAATGCAGAGATCCAGATTTGGGCGTTTAGTAGGGAAAGAAGGTTTGCAGCACACCGTGGCATCGGGTCTGTCCTATATGCCTGGGGGTCCCACAACAGTGTCAATATACTTTAACTATTTAAGTGAGGTCTTGCACTGGGTATGACAAGACGAACTGCTCAAATTTTTCTACAGATTCAAATCGGTGACTATGGCGTGTTCATTTCCCTCCAGTGGCACATCGCCACTCTGTGTGGCCAAGAAAATGAGAAAGTCGATGCAGAGAGATATTTTCCCGTCGAAAAACCTTGGAAGGTGTGTCTCTCCATCGGACGCTTTCCTTTCCCTAGTATCTTTAAATGCTTACTGACAGAGGTGATATGTCCCAGCTTCGTTACTACCAGCCATGATGCAGAGACCACGCTTATGGCCGCAGCCAATTTTCATAAAAACCAGGCATGTGTTGAGGAATATGCCTCCATATCGAAGTGAGCCATTCGTTGACTTTCTTGAACGATATACATGGCTAAAGACTGGTCTCCTAGATACCAACAGGAGTGTATCTCCATGCTTGCGGACCTATGGAGGAGACAGCCCAGTGACAATCCCTTTGGGACAGCGACGACAGGCTCCTCTGAGGCAGTCATGCTTGCTGGGTTGGCCATGAAACGTGCCTGCCAGGAGAGAAACGCATGCTTTGATCGACGACTGAATGTGGTCGTTGGTTCCAACGCCCATGCATGCGTCTTCAAGTTTGCTGCATACTTTGAGCTCGAAACAAGAGTTGTGCCTGTCACTGCTGGAAGTAACTATGTGTTTGATGCTGGAGAGCTGGAGGGTAAGCTCGATAGGGATACAGGTACCATTGCCCTATGTCTCCGCACTTCTACCGTTCTAATTTCCTCTTGTAGTTGGTGTCTTCCTTACTCTGGGAAGTACCTACACCGGCCACTACGATCCAGTCCTGGAAGTGTCTAAGCAACTGGACGACTACGAGGCCCGAACTGGAATCAGTTTGCCAATTCATGTGGATGCTGCCAGCGGAGGGTTTGTCGCCCCTTTTACTCCTGGGGCTGAGGATCTTGTCTGGTAAGGAGACAACTCCACCCGTTACACCGTCCCGGATGCCCTATCCTAACTTTGATGTAGGGACTTCCGAATCCGCCGCGTGCAATCTATCAATGCATCAGGCCACAAGTTTGGGTTTGCCCCCTGTGCGATCGGATGGCTCGTGTGGAGAGACATTTCTTGTCTTCCCTCTAGCCTTCTCATGGAATCAACCTATTTGCGTGGTGCACAGACAGCATTCACCCTGAGCTTCTCGAGGTCATGTTCCCCCGTAGTGGTACAATATCTGAACTTTCTTCACTTGGGGAGAGAAGGCTATACGAGGAAGGTTGAGTCCTTCCTCTCGTGTGCCGAACTGTGGAGTTGGCGTTTAGAACAGACGGGATATTTCACATGTGTGAGTCCGTTGTCACAATTGCGCGAGAGAAAGAACCATAGTGGCAGTCGGCATAGCCACATGAGTTGCCAGACCTGTTCTCCATATGATCCTGAACACCAATCTAGGCCGTCATTCGGACTCCCAATTATCGTCTTCGCACTTTCACCTGATTTTCGCGAAAGGTATCCGTGGGTGAGGCTAGAGGAGGTGGGAGATTTGATGTTTGAGCAAGGATTCGCGGTCCCTCGTAAGTTTCTACCATAAAAGCCGACCTCAGCCGAATATTGATCAGTATTCCAGATTATATACTCAAAGGGAGAGGGATGGATGAGGAAGACACCCATGTGCTGCGGATTGTAATCCGAGAGGACACGAGGTTAGAGATGGAATCTGTCTACACTGAGTTGGTGGAAATTGTACACAGCCTCAAGAATAAACAAGGCAAACAGTGAATCAGTTCCTCAGGGAACTAAGGCATATGCACGTTTGAATTTATGTTTGGCCCACTCCGTTGTATCCTCGTCTTCCAAATCCTATAACATCTTGCTTTCAACGGCTGTTCCATGTCAAACTAGCACGGATTTCACGAATAGTTCACTGTGTTTCCCTCTGCTCCGCGCCGGGGACACCATCAGCCGGAAGCCAGCTGCGTCTGTTCCTGCAGAAGAATTCCAGCCGAGGCTGTAATTTTATGCTATCGTCGAGAGTCCCACTGGTAATTGATACCATATTGCGACCCTGTGGCGAGTCACTGGATACGAATAGGTTTGATCCACATGCGCCACAAAAGGAACGCTTCAGGGACTGACCAGAGGCAGTTGCGCGGTCGTCGTAGGTTTTGATCGATTGTTGTCCGTCGGATACTTGGAGTTGCTATAACAGGTCAGGTTTGCGGTCAGCATATGGGTTGAGGATAGTACTCACGTCCTTTTCATATATGTAATTTGCCATAAAGACCGAGCCTGTCACTTTTTGGCAGCTGTCGCAGTGGCACAGCACGCTGTTCTTGGGATCTCCAGACACTGTATACTTCACCGCGCCACAAAGACAGGAGCCTCTGAACGTGGAACTCATCTTGCTAGGAGTTTGGATCAATAGATGCGATGATAATGTGGACAGGAAAGTTAGGTACTGCTGGAGATTAGTAGGCGTCGGTTAGACTGTCAGCTTGACTCATCAGAGGGGGATTTCTGTTGTTTCGTATCTCTTCCCCCGCTTTCTTTTCCTTTCCCTCTCTTTCCCGCCTTATGTACCATTTCTTAGTAATGAGCGCGGTTGTGGAATGATTGTGCACGATAGTGACCAACGTGACGACTCCAAAGGTCATATATAGCAGTTGACTCTCGATGCACTAGAATGATTTGAGTGACGACAGATTGCTGAGGATCGAAGCATGCGTGTCTTTAAATATGTATGACGCTCTCATATCACCTCCTGGATCCCTTCCTCGACTAAATAGCGTCCTGTTGATTGGATAATTAGATCTATCCTTCACTGGTGGAGGTACACCATTGTCCTCTCCACATGTCTTAGCAGGCTCTAATATCCGACGTCTATATATCAAGCTAAACCCCACGCATTTTCATCGACCATATGCAGGAAACCCCTGCAAGCCTGCTCGTAGTGAGAGTATAGGCCTTTTGTGGCGGAAATTGCCCGTCTCCAGTTAGAAGGCCGATCTACGTCTGTTCGTCAACACGCAATCCCCGCGTGGATGTCGTGATCATCCCAACAAAAACTCCAATCGCATCTCTTACATCTCTACCCCCCATCAGCTAGACCGGACAGTTATAAGTAGGATGTGCATTTTTCTGTGGCAGTTTTTATTATTGCAGGGAGGCCGGGCAATCATATTGACCTCTCTAAAAAGCACTCGGCCAAGAGCGCGGACTTGGGAGTCGAATACATTGATAGGACTAATCGTATAGCTTCATTGCACCATCCCACCCCCAGTGACCGGCAATCTAGATTGTTCATTGTGGGGATGTGCTTCGTACCGTGCCGAACTTCAAACACCGAAGCTCCCTGGGTGGTCCAGCAAAATGATATAAAAGCTTGTCGCCCTCCATAGTATGCGACGGAAAGGAGTAGACATCAACCACTTCGGACACAACATGGAGACACCACCAAAAGCGGATGAAGCAACAGCTTCCACCTCCGCCTTGTCTTCGACTGGATCTTCTGGCTTGGATGATAGCTACGATGTCTACGCGCAGAACAAAGACATCGTATACACTGCCGACGAGGGCAATAAGGTCCTTCGAAAGATCGATCTCCGTCTCATCCCGCTTCTAGTTGTTATATACATGCTTCAGGTAAGCTTTTAATACCGCGCAGTATCCGCTCGCAGTCTGAACGACAGGAAGTATCTGGACAAGAACAGTATCAACTTCGCATCGGTCTACGGTCTCAAAGAAGGGACGCACCTCAAAGGACAGGACTATTCGTGGCTAGGTATGTACTATAATATCATTCTAAAGATCCAGTCCATCTAACACATTGAAGGCTCCATATTCTACTTTGGGTATCTCGTCGCCCAATGGCCCGCGGGACTGGCGCTGCAAAAACTTCCCACAGGCAAGTTTCTTAGTATAACAACAATCGGTATGATAGCCCGTCCACGTCTGTGATCCTAGGCTGAGACTTACTACAGCATGGGGTGGCCTTCTCATGACAACCCCCGCATGCCACAATTTCGCCGGCATAGCGGCCAACCGCTTCCTTCTCGGAGCTATTGAAGCTGTCGTCAATCCGGGCTTCGTCCTGATGATGAGTATGTGGTACACATCAACTGAACAGCCACTGCGGCTCGAAGCGTACTACTGTACGAACGGTGTTGCGACCATGTTTGGCGGGTATGTCAGTGTCGTGGCTTTATCTCGACTCGTTGCTAATGACGTAGGTTGATTGGATATGCGGTCGGCCACATCACGACCGGGCTTCCAAGATGGATGTACGTCTTTCTTATCTTCGGTTCGGTCTCTGTCGCTGTCGGTACGATCGCCTTGCTACTTCTTCCCGATCTACCATCGACGGCAAAGTTTCTGTCCGAGAGAGAGAGGGCTATTGCCGTGGATCGCGTCGCAGTCAATAGACAGGGGGTCAAGAACCATCACTTCAAATGGTACCAGGTGTGGGAAGCTGCCAGAGACCCCAAGACATGGCTATTGTTTATCATGGCTGTTGGGGCGCAGGTTCCTAATTCTGCTCTTACCAGCGTATGTCTATAGTTCACTGCATTATTTGCAGCAGGTGGTCCCATATGCTAACTGTCGCCAGTTTACATCCATCGTCGTCGGATCATTCGGTTTTGATACGTTAGGCACCCAATATCTCCAGATCCCAGGCGGAGCGGTCCAGTTCCTGTCTCTACTCGCCGGCGGTTTCATTGCAACGAAATTCGGAGAAAGATTCCACGCACGCAGCATCTGCATGATTGTCGCCAATAGCATCTGCATCATCGGCGCCGGGCTGCTCGTTGGCCTTCCAGATTCCAACAAATGGGGACGCCTCGTCGCACTGTGGCTCTGCTATTTCCAGGGCCTTGGTTTCAGCATGAGCTTGACAATCGTCAGCTCCAACATCGCCGGATATACCAAGAAACAGGTCACGGGAGCGTTGCTTTTCACTGGGTACTGTGTTGGCAATATCATCGGCCCTCAGACTTTCAAGGGCAGCGAGGCACCTCGCTACCATAGCGCATATGTTGCGTCAGTCATTCCGAGTTGTAGGCCATGTATGCCAGTTGCTAATTCAGTGATAGAATGCTGGTTGGCTATGCTGTCAAGTTGACAGCCATTACGATTCTGTACATATACATGTACCGCGAAAACAAACGACGGGACCGTAATGCGCTATCTGCAAACGACAATGAGGGTGTTGGGAATGGCGTGGAGAATGGGATGCACGTAAGTACCAGTTCTAGAGTGGTCAGGGGTATATGCTGACCTTGCATGCAGGACCAAACAGAACTTGAGAATAAGCATTTCCGATATGTTTTATAGTGTGTGTTTGCACCCATTGTCATGGTTTGAGATACATTAATGAAGGATACGATGCACACTCCATGGTGATCATACGTTGCTAGTTGTTGTCTTTCAGGGTCTTGAAGATGAAGCAACTTCAACAATTCTTTGTTCACCTTGTTTGACTGCCAGGTTGGTTTGTGTGTTTCATTCTTTTGGGACCTGTTTAGATCGAACACCGTCCTCTTCGGTAATCTGTAGATGCACAAAGAGCCCTTCATAAACATCAATCTTTGTCTTCGGAAAATGGTATAACACCCATCCAAATATATTCAGGCCGAGACATCGAGATAGCGGAAGGTGTCAGGGCCACCTTTCTGAAAACATGTATTCTTGGGTCCGTTATCGGTTCTGTTACTTGCTTGGAACACTGTATATACAGTGTTTCTTCATGAATGTTGTACTTCCATGCAAGTAATTCCCACGTCCCATTGAGCCTATTCATTATCTCTTCACAGCTCAACAATGAGTTGCGCTTTGTTTCTATAATTGTGGTATATCATTATCCTGAGGCCATGTGTTTCTCTTCAAACATATACATGCCGTCAACCCCGTTCTCTCCAGTAGTGAATAAAGACCACCGCGTCTGATATAAATATCGCCACAGGACGGCCCATCCCAATATGCTTTATAGCAAAGTCTTGAAGATCCTTCTTATACATCCTTTACGTCTGACGTTTGCGTTCAATCGACCTGTCTGACCCCGACAACAGCACATAATGCCCGGTCGAGGCCGCAAATACCGTCCGGCAAAGAAGCCAAAAGACATCTGGGGCTGGCTCCGCATCCCGTTGACCAGAGTCACAAAGGACACCATCATGAACAACCTGTTGCTTGGTTTGCACCGAGGCGATCTCCTGCGGCGAGACCTGAGGTACAAACGCAATCAGCGCGACGTGAACCGCTTTATTACCCAGCAGATCTCCCATATGCCGCGGCCTCTAAGAGATCGTTATAATAAACAGCCGGAGGAGATGCTCCGTCGCTTCAGAATGGCCATCAGCAAAGCAAAACGCAACTTTACGCCCCCAAAGCGACGGAGCATGTCTCCGGTCGACCGACAGGAGTTTGCTCTCGATGAGCTCGTCCACGTCTATGCGTCTGGGGAGAACCCACACCTACAGCGTCCGCAGTCCTTCATGCTGAGCGCAATAACCCGTGCGCCTGAGGAGATCGCGAGGGCGGCGAGAGGCTGGGTTCCGTATTCCATGCTGGACTTCCATGCCTTTGAGAGCTTCTTGGTTCCTTTGGGCTATGATCCGCCATTCCATGAGGTTTACTACCATGTTCCTGATGCAGAGGGGCCTGAGAGTACAGTGGTCGTCTCGGATGTTGAACATATCACGGCAGCGGTGGTGCTCAGGCAGCTGCATCAGCTTCCTGTGGAGTTCTTTTTGCGTCCGCGGACATCCGGTATGGTTCAGTTCTTTTTGAATGCTGAGAATGACGCTGACTTGTTTGACTTGCTTTAGATTCTATTCCCGTCTCAGAACAGTCCACGATTATACTGAGCGACGCTTCATCTCCTGAGCCATTGCCCCCGCGCAGCCCTGAACTCGACTCCGGATCAGAGACATTGGGACAGGAACATGGGAGTCCAGACCCTGAGGACCAGGAAAACATGCGTAAGAGCAAATCCTTTCTCTACTTGCCACCACGGACCGATACTAACCATGTAACAGAAGTATCGCCGAGGCATATGGAGACTGTTGCCTCACTCACCGTCAAGGGGAAGTGGATGCACTGGCCCCAACCGAAATACCCTGCGAACCAAGTCGCCAACGACATTATCTCGCTCGCTCATACAGACATCACGACGCTAGAGGTTGACTGCATCGTGACCGGGATTAGTGAGCCCCGTGGCCAGGGTGGCTTGGATGGAGCCGTCCATGCTGCCGCGGGCCCGCGTCTCCTGGACGCATGCAATGACCTGGGGAAGTGCTGGGTTGAAGAGGTGCAGGTCACCGACGCCTACAACCTACCGTGCAAGAAGGTGATTCATACTGTGAGTCCTCCTTATGCGGATGGCAGCGCGGATAGTAAATGGCTGCTGCGGGCGTGCTATCGGCGATGTCTGGAGATTGCTATCGAGGGTGGAATGCGGACGATTGCATTTCCTGCTCTGAGCACAGGCAGCAAGGGCTTCAAGAGTTATGAAGCGGCAACGGCTGCTCTGGAAGAAGTGCGTTGCTTCCTTGATGAACCGGGGCATCTGCTCCGGTTCGATAAGATTATCTTTTGCAACATCCATCAGCAGGACATGGAGGTTTATGTGGCTTTTACTGGGTGAGTCTATTCCTGCTTCTGTTTTTGATTCTGACATTTCGCTAACGGTGTGATAAGGCAATTCTTCCCGTTGGTACCGATATCTGTTGGTTCTCGTGCCTCTGGAGCAGGCTCGCCTACGCCTACATCGGCACCGGATTCCGCCGTCGCGTTGACTGGTCCGCCGGAAGATTCGTCTTGACGTGTTTTGCTCTGTCTACTATACTGTTGAACGAATACCACTATACCACCAAGAGTGCCAAGACACATGGAGTTGCCGACGATAGAATGTCTTGCCGAGTATCTGATTGTTCATGTCCTCTAATGAGTTATGTTGCGTACACCGAGTTGTATTTCTACCTAGATTTCATGTGCCATCTTATGTGATAATTGCTTTTGTCAATTGATGTGACGATACATGATCGGACGTCGATAACCAACTATGCCCCATTATCAGTCGGAAGGATCCGATATCAACACCCCCGCACAGATAGACAGACATCGGAGCGATCAGCCCGTCACGATTCCTGCATTGTCCGTTTCCATTACCAACTGTCATTGGATGGTCCTCAGGCTCCAGGAGTGTATCTCCTCTGATTTCCCTTTTGGGACGTCTAGGAGCGCACAAACGCCTCCACCCAGAGCCGAGTACATATATCTTACCCCGCCGAGTATCTAATTGGAATCATTCTTCAACATATCGATCTGACAGCCTAATATAATGTTATCTCTCTGGTGTTTGGGCATCGTTGGTCTTGGGGTATTCCTCTTTCGGTCACTGTCTTCGCCAGTTGCAAAGGTCCCCGGTCCATGGTATACACTTTTCACAGGGCTGGTCATCAAGTACTATGAGTTTACTGCGACGCGACGTGTCTTCATTCATGATCTCCATAAACGATATGGACCGGTCGTGCGTATAGCGCCGAATGAAGTGTCTTTTGCCAGCCTGGAGGCTATTCGCGAGATATACGCTTCTGGCGGAAGTGGGTACGACAAGACGGAATATTATGACTTGTTCCGGCAGTTCAATATCAAGTAGGTGACCGACACGAAGTCTTCCTGATAGCATTCTTACCCAGTCCGCAGAACAATGTTCTCGACCTTGGACAAACACACAGTAGGCATTGTCGTTCATTCCTTGACACGTGGTTACTTACTTCACGCAGCACAGTCGACGCAAACGAGAGCTCGCCGATCGATATGCGATGACCAATATTCTGCGCGAGATTCATGTCTCTGCGATCCGCGAAAGGGCAGAGGCTTTTGTCGCCAAGTGCGCTGCGATAGCAAAGAGCATAGACGTTTATGTAGGTCGTACCGCGTCTGACTGTCGCATTGAAGTATATTCTAATCGGCCCAGGTGTATCTACATTGCTACGCTCTCGATGGTGTCACCAACTTCATGTTCAGTCCGGGTGGTCTTCGATCATTGGATCGAGCCGAGGACTTTGCGATAATGGAGGAGTTGACATACCACCAAAGTTTGCAGAGTGCGTGCTTCAACTATTGTTTGAGCTTTAGCTAACTTAATATAGAGAACCTTGTGCACTACTACCTCCCCAGTATCGTGCCATATCTTCCGTCTTTTCTCATCCCCCGACGATCCCCTTTAACCAACGACTATGTCATGACAATGACGAACCAGGCACAACCCGAACCACACAGCTTAATCTCACGACTCGCGCGACCAGATTCTCCCTTGAGTTCCCTAGAAGCAGCGGCCGAGTGCAAGGATCATATGGCGGCCGGCATTGACACCACGGGCGACGGCCTATGCTTCCTGATATGGGAGCTGTCCCAGCCGCAGAACATGCGGATCCAGGACCGCCTATATGAGGAATTGCAGAGCGTTCCGAGCGACACTCCTCTTGACAAACTTCCCTACCTCGATGCCGTGATCAAAGAGGGCCTGCGATGCTTCCCGCCCATCCCCATGTCGTTCCCGCGATACGTGCCAGCGGGCGGGCGCACCATCGATGGATACTTTCTCCCGCAGGATACCATTGTCAGCTGTCAGCCATACACGGTGCATCGTCTCCATGAAGATATCTTTCCCGATCCGGATCGGTTCTACCCAGAAAGATGGTTGGAGGAAAAGGGGGCAGCTGAACGGAATCGACTGTTCTTTGCATTTGGCACGGGAGGGAGAGGCTGCACGGGAAGGAAGTAAGTTTGTAGACCTGATAGTGGTGATCCATGCACTAACGTGAGCAGTTTGGCCATGGTCGAGATGAGGGTGCTGCTGCAGGCGGTTTATTCTCGGTTCCGGACGACCGTGGCGTCGGATATGACGGGATGTATGGATATTGATGATCAGATCATCTCATCTCGGCCGAAGGATCAGACGTGCAGGTTGGATTTTGCACGACGCGAGTGACTAGTCAATATTGTGGCAGAGATGGTTGAAATTACGGAGTGGCGTCGATAGTCGCTATAGACGGCTATACGAGCCGGCGTGGATGTAGACCTATCTGAGCAGTCAGTCAGGTACGGGTTTACATAATGACGTAATAATCAGCCCACCCCTGCCAGCTAGCTATCCAATCGAGCAATAGACAACGGTTATTACCAAACGAGTGAATGTTATAGGGGAAGTATACTCGACCAGAAATGGAATGTTCTTTCAAATGTATACTAGGTTCTCGAGATTACAACTTGTTTTCTGCACACTATATAGGGCCCCATTAGTGTTTTCACGCGTTTGGTGGTCTAGCGGTCACTTTTGCATCTCACGGAAAGTCGAATCGCCGACGAACTCTTCATGCTCCTCTTCTTCGAGATCGTTCCTCCAACACAAGCCAGCACTCTCCGGCCTGTGGAAATCTGGATCAAGATCCTCGTCCGCAGCCCCGCTCATAGCCAGTATCCTATGCAGATTCCACTGGAGCTGCAGTAATTTGACCGATGGGGAGGGAGGTTCACCGGATCCGTTATATGGAAAGTGAGGATATCCCCAGTCCGAATCGTCTCGTCGGTTGCTAGGTTGAATAACGTAGCAAAAGGTATACTGTCGTTGGTACTCGAGGTAAGATCGGGGGGAATGGCCGACGGAAGTCGGCGGGTTGGTTGGCTTTTTTTATAATCCATTATAGATAGTCAGAAGAACCTCTGTTACCCCAGATACAAACCACATAGGGCCGGCCCCATTACCTAGGTAGTGTGTTCGCACGTTTGTTGGCCCAGCGGTCATCCTACATCTGACAACTCCACGGTCAGGGCTGTTTGGTTTGGTCATCGCTCAGCTGAAGTGGGTATACAGCCCAACTGGCTGCCAAGGGAATCAGGGTAAAAGTGCGCGACTTCTAATGGTTCCTTCAACCCGGTGATCAAGCAAGTAGGCGTCTCGTTCTTCGCACTATGGGGAATTAGTGGATCGTTCGGACGCTTTTAAACAGTTTAAGCTCACTAGTTTCCTGGTATTTTCGCTGGGTGTCACGTCAATGGAATCAACGTCCCAGATCCGATTATCTTCCGGTCACTCTCGCTCTCAGTATCTGGTGACTTCTCTGGGCGGGCGCACCCTGTTGTCGTTAGCTCAAAGTTGATGTCAGTAAGGGCACGGTGCTTACAGTCCGTCAGCAAGCCCGCGATGTTCGCAGACCTAAGCAGACTTTTGAAACAGGTGCGAAAAGCCGTCAAACCAGATAGAGACCATACAGGTGCCTATTAGTGCGTTCACACTTTTGATGGCCTAGTGGTCAATTTGCATTTGACAAGTTCCACCTTCGATGAGACGGGTGATATGACTCTGAAGCACCTCGATATCGGCGTGTGGATCGAGGAGAGCGAAGGGAGGAGAAGGAGGAAGTGAGAGGTCTTCTTTTATAGAGTAGATTAAGGAGATGGAAGCAAGTTGGTACTATGTTCGCGGTTGTATACAATCTTGTTAGGGATGACGAAGGTCGTTCCACTTTGTCTGAAGAAAGTACTCGATTCATTCACGACTTTCAAGACTACCTCGAAGCTAGGTGGCGCTTACTCATGAGGCGCAGTGACTCTGTATAGATTGTTCTTCACGCCGGGATTGCCGGAACGGGCAATTGGCTGGACCCCCCCCCCCCCCATGGCACCACCTCGAGAAGGATTGACCACCATCACCCCATGCGGAGACATCATTCACACTTACTATGGGGAATCCATCTCTCCGCGGAGATTGTGAATATTCTCCAGACGATGCGTGTAACTTTGCGGCCTTTTTTTTAGCTCTGGTTGACGTCACTTACTTACCCCTGTGCGACTATTAAATCATCATCCAACCCGGCATCTCTGAACGTTCATCTCTCCCATCCTCATAATAAACAACACTGTTACTCCTCAAAATGCTGTCGGGTCTGTTCCTGCGACGCGCAACACGCGCAGCGCCGCGTCTCCTCCGTCGGACCTACGCATCGACAAGCCTGACCCCCCAGCAGAAAGAAATCGTCAAGGCCACGATCCCAGCGCTGGAGAAACATGGCGTCGAAATCACCTCCCTCTTCTACAAGAACATGCTCGCCAAACACCCCGAACTCCACAACATCTTCAATACCGCCCATCAGGCCACGGGCGAGCAGCCCGCCGCCCTGGCCCACGCCGTCTGGGCCTACGCCAGCAACATCGACCACCCCGAGGCCCTCGCGACTGCCGTCTCCCGCATCGGCCACAAACACGCCAGTCTAGGCGTCACGGCGGACCAGTACCCCATCGTCGGGGAGCATCTCCTGGCGGCGATCAAGGAAGTCCTCGGCGACGCCGTCACGCCGCCCGTCGTCGACGCATGGACCGCGGCCTACCAGCAATTGGCCGAGATCTTCATCAACTTTGAAGCCGGGCTGTACCACCAAGCCGTCGACACCCCCGGCGGCTGGGCGGGCTGGCGTAAGTTCGTCATCTCGAAGAAAGTCCCCGAGAGCGACGAGATCATCTCCTTCCACCTCACCCCCGTCGACGGCGGCAAGCTGCCCACCTTCAAGCCGGGCCAATTCGTCAGCGTCCGCGTGTACGTCCCCGAGCTCGGCGCCTACCAGCCGCGCCAGTACAGCCTGTCCGACGTGCCGAACGGCGAGCGCTTCCAGATCTCCGTGAAGCGGGAGTTTGCGTCTGGGGTTCGACCGGCCGGTCGCATCTCGAACGTGCTGCACGAGTCGCTGCCCGAGGGCGCGGAGGTGGAGATCAGCATGCCGTTTGGTGATTTCGTCCTGGACATCAATGCCACCACCCCCGTCGTCCTGATGAGCGGCGGCGTCGGGCTGACCCCCATGATGTCCATGTTGAAGTCCATCACGAATCTGTCCAAGTCGCGGCCCGTCGTGTTTGTGCACGCCGTGCGGAATGGACGTGTGCATGCGATGAAGGACACCTTGGCCAAGATCATGGCGGAGAACCCCCAGGTCAGCAGAGCCGTCTTCTACGAGCATGCGGCGCCCGAGGACAAGCAGGGGGTGGACTACGACTACGTCGGACGCGTGGAGCTCCCTAAGATCAAGGATAAAGTGTTACTTCCTGATGCAGATTATTACATCTGTGGACCGTTGCCGTTTATGAAAGCGCAGAGTCAAGACTTGCAGAAGATGGGCGTGCCCGAGGATAAGATCCATATGGAGGTCTTTGGGTCGCCGAGTTAGAGTGCATCTGAAACACATTATATATTAGCAAACGGTTATGAAAGCATAGGTATATTGATAGCTAGCGTGCATATAGTACACTATTCTCGTACCTTATCTATACTCCATCGCGGTGGGGGATCGGAATTCCCCGCACACGATAATCGATAAAACCCCTCCTCCGTGGCTTCAACTTCTCCAACGTCAACACATACACATCAATCCGTTGAACCCCTTCAAGATGCCACCTTCCAAAACCCCATCAGACAGCCGCCTCTCCACGCGAATCTCCCTCCGCTGGCTCCCAGACCCCCCATTCGAAAACACCGACACAATCGTCATGTCCGTCAAAGGCTGGTATGCAGACCTACGAGTAGACCGCAAGACCAACGACATCGACTGGGCCATCGCCGGCCAGCGCGTCGTCGACACCACTGATCCCAGTACGTCCGTCCCTTCCTGACTCCATGCCGTGCCACCACACTTACCATTGCAACCAGGCAGGGTCCAATTCACCCACGAGCTCGACTCGCACAACTCATTCGACGCGGTCGACTGCGGCACCTTCTCCACACTGCCGAACGGGGACGACCTCGAAACCGGGTCCATGCCCCGGCCTGATCTGCCCGGCGCCCCAGTCACCGAGTACGAGGAAGTCTGGCGCGAGCTGGCGTTTCGGCCGGGGCCGGAGGGGTCCCAACGCGGTTTGTCGTGGGTTCTGGAGTCGAAGGGTCCGGAGGTGAGTAGTGTGGGTGAGGGGGGCGTGCGTGTTGAGAGGACGTTTCTTGCGAGAATCTGGGGGACGTATCTTGCGCTGCGTCAGGTTCAGACGATTGTGCGTTCGGGTTCTGGGGTATCGGTGAAGAGTGGGGAGGATGTGAGTGCGCGGAGGGAGGAGTGGGACGAGTCGACGGGGTGGACTGCGAAATATGTGCTGGGAAAGGATGGGGAGGGCCTACCGTCCATGACCGATCTGGTGCGCGAAGGCGAGGGAGAGTGGCGTACACTGGGCGGGACGGTCCGCATCCAAGAGGCCGAGTATACAGTTCGTGCATTCGAGGAAATCATGTAATTGGACTTATATTGATCGTATCTCATGCTTCTATACATCTATCTATCTATCTATCATACATTACACTACTGCTCGTTGGTGAGCACATAGCGGTACCGGGCCTTGCCTGCATCCATATCCTGGATAGCCTTGTTGGCTTCCTTCATCGGCACCTCCTCGATCCACGGGTGCACCTTCTTCTCGGCGGCGAGCTCGAGCATCTCGCGGATCTCGCTGGGGCTGCCGATCAGAGAGCCGCTGAACTTGATCCTCTTGAAGATCAGCGCCGCGGCCGGGATGGACAGCGCGCCGTCCTCGGGGGCACCCAGCTGGACGAAGCTGCCGTCGGTCTTGAGGAGGGACATGTAATCGATGAGGGGCATCTGTGCATGTTAGCATTTGCCAGACAACGCGGGCGACACGCAGGAAGCAAATCATACCTTCGAGGAAGAGACGGTCGACACGATCAGATCAAGCGAGCGAGCATGGTTCTTAGCCCAGTCGGCCTCGTCGTCCGTGGCAATGTACAAATCAGCGCCCAGCTTCAGCGCGTCCTCGCGCTTGTTGTCCTTGCGCGAAATAGCGACGACCTTGTCGGCGCCCAGCGCCTTCGCGAACATGATGCCGAAGTGGCCGAGACCACCCACACCGATGATGCCGACGCTCTTGCCGGGCCCGCAGCCGAAGTGGCGCAGGGGCGAGTACGTCGTGATACCGCCGCACATCATGGGGGCGGCCTCGGCGAGGGAGATGGCGTCGGGGATCTTGATGACGAAGTGGGCGGGCGAGCGGTGGTAGAGGGCGTACCCGCCGTAGGACTTGCCGCCGTTCATATGCGTGCTGTTGTAGGTGCCGCACATCAAGTTGGGGCAGTATTGTTCCAGACCGGAGGCGCAGGCTTCGCAGTCACCCTTGCGGCCCAGGCAGGACTCGTTCTGCGCGCCGACGCCGACACGGTCCCCGACCTTGATGTCCTTGACCTGGGAACCGACACGGACGGCCGTGCCGACGATCTCGTGGCCGACGCAGCAGGGGTAGTTGGTGGGGCCCTGGGAATCGATTAGCGGTCAGGGAGTTTCAGAATCATGCAATTGGGAACATACCCATCCGCTGCGCAGGGTGTGCAGGTCACTGCCGCAGATACCGCAGTGCGAGATCTTGATGTCCACGTCGGTCTCCTCCCACGGCTTGGGCTCAAACTCCTGCCAGACCATGTTGCCGTTGATGGCGGACGGGTCCAGGCCCATCCAGCCTTCGAACTTGTAGTTGGTGGCAGCCATTGTGTAGATATGAGGTAGAACTAGGGCTGTAAAGAGGGATTTGGTTGTATGCTGATCACCTCGATTCCCAGGCGGTCCTCGACGGCTTTATATAGCAGCACATGGGACAACGGCATGCGGATTTGATTAGAAATCGCTCCCAAATGGCTCACAAATTGCTCCGAGAAGGTCCACCGTATCCTCATACTGGGTGTTAAGTCCTTTATTTCCGTGATGACAAGTGGGCCGCTGTTTCCACAGCTTCCCATCCGATCAGCGTGTCTGGCCGATCCATGCCGGTGACTCGGGAGGCGTTCGTGCGGTGGCGATACCTCGGACATAGATGGACCAAGTTTGTCGGGAGGTTCATGCGTGTCATCAAGAGGTTCTTGTCGGACAAGCGAGCACCTTTTCACTCTCATAGTGATTGGGATTGCCACGGCACTATAATGGTTTTCAGAGTGGAACAGTGGAACAGTATGTGGGATATGTGGAACTCTGCCGGATTTGCGCCGACAGCCATGGAACGATCGTCCGCTAGACCCAGACCCTGGAGCCCTGATGGAAGCCTTTGGAACTTCTATGAATCGCGTCTACTGTACAATAGAGTTAATGCAGGTGCTTATGCAGGGCGCGCTCTTCCTCATGGGTTTCACAATGACATGGCATAGTACATACTAGTATGTTCCATTATATTAGAAAAGTTATAGTCGCATGAACTCGTCTCTTCCTCTTCTTGCAATGATATTCGTCTATATCTTCTCGTCAGTCTTGTCTAGGTCGGGATGAACTATGTACCCCTAAGTCCGATTGAATTATTAAGTGCTTACACCCTCACACGTGGGAGTGGATCCGGGAGTAGCTTATCGAGTCAGCAAATTAACTACGTAGTTAGTTAAACCATAGGATCTAGTTGGAATCTTCATATAACTACCGAGGTATCCAACATCTTACACTGACATCCTGACATCTTCCTCGAAATTCTATGCCATTTGGCTTGGTTGAGCCGTCAAACAACTGTTAGTGCACTCTGCCCAGATCCCCTGATCCGAACTGTGGTTTACTCCAGAGTATGTCGGATTAGCTACAATGAATGAACATTGTCCTCAATAGGGTTAAATCGTGTTTTGTCAATAAGCGAGTCACTGAATTTGTCTCCTGGATTATCCAGCTGATCTTCTTTGAGGAATAACCTCTGCTCCAGGTCTAGTAACTGTGCTTTGGACTCTGTTGTTCGGAGCCACCGGATTAACTCCGCTGATCACTCTGGGGCTTACGGTACCGAGGCGAGAATCTGGAGATTATAATGGACATGTCCAGCAGACATCAATCCCATGGCATTGGCGAATACGGGGAGAACCGTCGGAGATTGGTTGCGATATATAAAGCTGGAGATATGGCTGCCAGAGAACTATATATATCGCTACAGGTGCACTGTTTAATGAAGGGACCAGGAAGTAGTCTGAAGCACACAACCCCCCTCACATTCAATGACATCCTTCCCGACTCCATTGACTCTGTAGAAATCAGCTCTACAACTGTTAATTGCCCTCAGCCTATTCACAGCCACCATGTCCCGGGTGATGATGCGTATGACTCAGCTCCAGCCGGATCGGGAAAGATTGCCGTTTCCGGCGTGCCCATCGTAATTACATAACCGTATTATTCACAATACAATCGAAGGCACAGTATATTACCGTCCCGTATTACCGGACCTATTTCCTTCCGGCCGCTGCTTACGCGATCTCGCAACGACATCACCGACTTGCCCGTCTTTTCTGCTTCGCCCATCCAGCTTACCTCATCGTCCCTCTACAACATCGCGCGCGTTCGCCTCTGTTGATTCTCCCCCATTCTTGCTGGCTTTTTCCACAAAGTCGACTCGACCGTCATTGGAATTGATCGCATATCCTCCTAGGCGCGTCTTTCTCCTGCTCATCCACCGTGTCCATCTCTCCCATGCAGCCTGCACTTGCTCCAGCACCGCATCCAAGCATGCAAACCTCTGCTCAGGTAAGCAAAACCCCATGTCCTGTCACGGTTTGTCATCATCATCGCTTCAACCGCGCTTCAACCTCGCGCGGTTGATGAGTGATACCGCTCCGATCTGACCGACCGTCCGCTCGTGCTCCTCCATCGCCACGGCCCGCCCTCCCTTCTCTCGTGGGAAGACCGTGGTGGCGCCATGCCCGGTCCTAAGACTGTTGACCTCGTCACGATCGCGGTCGACTCGAACCCTCGTGCATCTGGAATCGACGAAGAAGACTAACATGTACTCGATGTTGTAGGACCATGCTGATCAGGGTACGTGAAAAATCGCCTGCGATAGCCATCCCCATCCGCGTGTGGCCTTGCCGGTCGCGCCGACCCAGTGGAGACAGGAAGGACTCGCGCGTCCTCGAACAACTCGCTAACTTGTAGTAGTGCTTCACGATCAGCTCCTAGCTGCTCACCAGCACCTGTCGCATCCCCAACAACCGCGTCCGCAGGCCCCGGCGACCCAGCCGCCGCATATGCAGCCCAACACCGCCAGCCCGCGCGACCAAAACAACATCGATCCGGCTATCTCGGGCTCCGCGATCCTGGGTGCTCCTCCGCAGACCCCTCCTCAGCCCGAGCCCGCCCCCCAGGAGTCTCCCAAGACCTATGGGAAGCGGCCGCTGTCCACCTCCAAGCGAGCTGCGCAGAACCGTGCCGCCCAGGTATGTTTTTTTTTTCGCGCCGACGCGACCGACCCGATCAATCGCTAATTCCAGCAGAGAGCCTTTCGTCAGCGGAAAGAAAGCTACATCCGCAAACTAGAGGAACAGGTGAAGCACCAGGAAGCCATCACCGAAGAGTACAAGGCGCTCCACGCCGAGAACTACCAGCTCCGGGAGTACATTATCAACCTGCAGACCCGTCTTCTGGATTCCCAGGGCGAGGTTCCGGAGCTCCCGGGCAACATCGATTTGAACCAGCCTCGCGCCGACCTGACCCTGTCGGCGCCTGAGCTTCAGAGGGGGAATGCCGCCTCCGCTGGCCCTGCGCCCGCTGGACCAGGGCCCCAGCAATCCCAGCCCAATCAGAACCAGGGGGTTGGGCCCAACGATGACATGAACTCGTTGAATCGCATCGCCGTGGCGGGTCTCGGCATGCGCAAGCACCCCAACGAAGACGCCAACTACCTGGGCAACAACTTCCAGGCTCGGCGTCCGCGCACCGACGACAACCAGACGGGTGCGACGGAGACGACCAAGCAGGAGCCCGATGGACTGCCGGTCGTGTCCTAGATCTAACACTTATCATCTCAACATGACTTGTGTTTTCGATGCCACGTATGTTATACTACGATTAATCTTTTCTCTCACGAGTGAGTCTCGTTATCACGACAACCAATGGGGGCTGTCCGCCCCTCCCCTCCCCTATTGCCCCCGTGTCTGTTTCTCCGGCGCATGGCGTGATGTTTAGGTCTTTCCGGCCTTGGACGAGGTGGTGTTCTGCGTTTGTGTGCTTGGGTTTGAACCGCGGTCTTGCTCGCGATGTGACGAGACTGAGCGGTCCAGAGGGCTCGCCCTCGTTTCCCTTAGTTCGTCATTTATGTGTGTATCCTGTGAGCCTACATTACTTAGTCGCATGTGTTATATTGCATTGACTGTTGATTCTTGTGTAATATACTCTGTTCGTCGGTAGCTGCGTAGGGCACTGCGTAGGGCAGTGATCTGGCGATAACGGCGATAAGCGATAATCGACGACCGCCCGCCGCCCAACCGCTTTTATCTTCGCCCACACTTACACTTCATGTTGCTTTCTTCCTCTTCCCCAGGGATTCCCTGACGCTGGTCTGGGACCAGTCACCCTGAGATGCGTCACAATGGCCTCTCTCTCCGACCAAGACCTGGAGATGGGCCTGTTCTGCCCGCGGAATTACCAAACGGAGATGTTCGAGGCCAGCCTGCAGGAGAATATCATTGTTGCCGTATGACCGCCCGATCGAGTCCACCCAAAACAAACACTGACAACCACAGATGGACACCGGCAGTGGAAAGACCCATGTGTACGCGATGTTGCGATCCGAACCTAAGGTCGTCGTTGATCTGACCGAAGATCTAGAGCCCTCTTGCGTATTATGAATGAGTTGGAAACGCGGCGACCACAGAAGGTTCCCGTCCCCTGCATACCAGTCAATTCAGAGCCCCGCTGATCATCTCGCCAGCTGATCTGGTTCCTGGCTCCAACGGTCGCTCTATGCTTCCAACAGCATGACGTGATCACCAAGAATCTCCCGGCGGTCAAATCTAGAACCCTCACGGGACAGGACAAAGTCGAGCTCTGGACCGAGCAAGCCATCTGGGATGCGATCCTCAAGGACATGCAGGTGGTGGTCTCGACTCACGCGGTCCTTGCTGATGCTATGAGTAACGGCTTCGTGCGTGTGTCCCAACTGGGACTTCTCATCTTCGATGAAGGTAGGCGCTGCATCGGACGTGTTGACGGCGTGCTGATGCAGGATCATCAACAGCACACCACTGTATGCGACGTCACCCAGCAAACAGGATCATGCAGGATTTCTACCACCCCACCCTGGTTAAGCAGGGTCCCGATGCTGTACCCGGAATCCTAGGTCTTACGGCGAGTCCTGTAGTACGGACAAACAGCCAGGAGCTGTCGTATGTGGAGTAGTTTATATTTTAGTGTGCTGCCATCTGACTAGCGTTCCCAGCATGATCGAGTCGAATATGAATGCGATATGCAAAACTCCCCGTGCGCATCGTCAGGAGCTGTTGACTCATACACATCGCCCTCATTTGCAACAGATCTGGTATACGCCTGTTAACATCGACGATCCCACTTCTGGCACCAGGACGTTGAGGGCTCTTATCCATGCCTGGGAGACTATCGACCTGGAAGATGACCCTTACGTCAAACAGCTCCGCAGAAGTACCTTTGACGGCAAGGCTCTCCAGAAAGCCCTCTTGACCCGCAAGACCTATTGCAACGAAAGCCTGAGGAGGTTTGTTGAGCGCAGCTGTCATATTTTTCAGGAGCTGGGCGGCTGGGCCGTAGACTACTTTATTCATGCCTCCATACGACGGCTGAGAGAGAAGATCGACGACTCCGCCTTGATGCTCGACTGGGATAACGAGGAGAAAGAGTATCTGGCCAGTTTCCTTTCCAATATCGCTACTATCCAGAGCGACCCTCCACGCCGGCCAGAAGACTTCATTCCGTCGCCGAAGCTGGAAGCGTTGATTTCGTTTCTGAGCAGCACGGATGACTCGACGTTCTCTGGCTTAATATTTGCCAAGCAACGCGCAACAGTGACTGTTCTGGCCACGCTACTATCCGTACACCCCCTCACCAAGGATCGGTTTCGCTGTGCCGCGTTTGTCGGTTGGTCGGGCGGAGGCAACCGGAAGGACCTTATCGGAGAGCTCCTCAGCATGCAGATGCAGCGGGATACTCTGTCGGAGTTCCGGAGCGGCCAGAAAAACCTCATCGTCGCTACTGATGTGTTGGAGGAAGGCATCGATATTAGTGCGTGTAGCGTGGTGATATGTTATGACAAGCCGGCGAATGTGAAGTCGTTCGTCCAGCGCCGTGGGCGGGCGCGGCGAAAGGAGTCAACGTTTGCGATCCTATTCTCGACCGACGATGAACTCTGCGACCTTAGGAAATGGCAGCTCTTAGAGGAGGCCATGATCGAAGCCTATCAAGACGACGAACGCAAGCGCTGCGAGGCACTGGCTCTGGAGACGATGGCAGAAGTGGTCACGGAACGATTTGAAGTAGAATCGACGGGGTATGCAAGGCCGAAGGAATAGATGAAAGACGTATGCTGATCTTACTCCCAGGGCTGTTTTGACCGCCGATACTGCGGTCGCACGTCTCCATCATTTCTGCTCCATCCTACCCCAGCAGCCATACGTAGATAACAGGCCAGAGTTATCCTTTGAATACGACGGCACCGGGCGACGACGAGGAACGTTTAAACTGCCCAGCTGCGTCCATCCCGATGTCCGACGCACTCGGGGCGAGAAATGGTGGACCACCGAGCGTGCCGCGACAAAAGAAGCAGCGTTCCAAACGTGCAAGCGTCTGTACGAATTTGGCCTCCTGAACGACCATCTGCTCCCGTTGACTAGAAAGCCCGAGCTCCGGCTGACGGATTTCGGCGGCCTACCGTCTATTATTGAAGTCGCGGAGCAATACGATCCCTGGACGGACTGGGCTTACTCGTGGTCTTCCCCGGACATCCACCAGAGTCGTATCCGCGTGCAGCTCAATGGGAATCCAGAGTATCAGCTGTCGATGTCCCTGATGGGGCCGACAGTTCTCCCCGCGTTGGACGCAATGACGCTGTTTTGGGACAGCCAGAACATATTCACTCTTGCCTTTGACGCGGCGCAGAGAGTACCATTGGTCCCGGGGGATGTCATAGAGCACATGCGGGCCATTACAGCCCTTTACCTACAAGCCCCGAGCTCTCGTTCCATCCGCGAGGAGCGCGACTACGTGGCCCTCTTCGGCCCCGACCTGCCGCACACCGAGTTGGGCGCATGGCTGCTGAAGAACGGCGGTAACGACACGGCGCTGGACGTCTATTCGCGCCAGGTAGCGTCCCCAACTATGGGCATTGTGCGCGACCGTACTCGCTACGACGAGCCTCTTCTGTTTAAGAAATGGGTTGTCACAGAGGACGGTGACGTCGCTGTGGTGGAAATGGAATGCCACTCGCTCCCTAAGCGTCGAAACCTGTTGCAGCGTCAGACCCTTGCGCAGGGGGAGATTGTCACCACTGCGGTAGACACCGCACCTGCGAAAGCTCGCATCATCCCAGCCACGGCCTGCACGATAGACAGACTCCCTTTTACAGACACGATCTTTGGGCTGTTCATTTCGGCTATCCTGGACCGTCTGGAAGCCACTCTGATTGCCACCCGACTCTGCGAGACTATACTGCAAGACGTGCAATTCAGCAGCACTCGTCATGTCATCACGGCCATCTCAGCCCCCACGGCCCAGAGCCCGACAGACTACCAACGCTACGAATTCTTCGGCGACTCCGTCCTCAAGTTCACCGTCTCGTGCCAGCTCTACATGCAACACCCCAACTGGCCCGAAGGGTATCTCTCCGAGGGCCGGGACGAGATCGTCCAAAACAACCGCCTGGCACGCGCCGCTCTCGATGTCGGCCTGGACGCCTTCATCCTCACCAGGAGGTTCACGCCGCGCAAGTGGACCGCGCCGCTGATCTCAGAGAAGGCGGTAGAAGTCGCAGGGAAGCGACCGCTATCAAGCAAAGTGCTGGCGGACGTGGTCGAGTCCCTCATCGGCGCGGCGTACATGGACGGCGGCCAGGCAAAAGCCCACACATGCATCCGCCGTCTTCTCCCAGAGATCGAGATCTGCCCCATTACCCCTCCGCCCGTCCACGAGTCCGCGCCGCACGTCATGAACGACAGCCTCAAGCAGCACCTCGGCTACACCTTCGTCAACGAGGCCCTCCTCGTCGAAGCCCTCACCCACCCCTCGTGCCGCTCCGACGCCTCCACCCAGTCCTACCAGCGCCTCGAGTTCCTCGGCGACGCCGTCCTCGACATGGTCGTCGTGCACGCCATGGCCCACCACGCCGTCGAGTGCCCGCAGGGCGAAATGACCATGATCAAGCACGCGCTCACCAACGCCAACCTCCTCGCCTTCTTCTGCATGGAGTTTGTCGTCGCACAGGAACACACAGACGTGGACGCCGTGCCCGCCGCCGGTGGGTTCGCCCTCCGCTCGGAGCAGAAACCCATCGAGCTGTGGCGATTCATGCGCAGCGAGGCGCTGGATCTCAACAACGCCCGCGAGACCGTCCTGCACCGCCATAGCCAGCTGCGCGCCGAGATCGTCCACGCCCTCCACCACGGCGCGCAGTACCCCTGGCAAGCGCTGTCGCAGCTCAACGCCGACAAGTTCTTTTCCGACATCGTCGAGAGTATCCTGGGGGCTATTTTTGTTGATTCGCGCGGCGACTTGGACGTCTGCGCCATGTTCGTCGAGCGCATCGGGCTACTGCCGTACTTGCGGCGCATTTTGGCTGACCGGGTGGATGTCATGCATCCGAGGCACACTGCACAGCGGCTTTCCAAGGGCGAGGCGCTGTTTACCGCTAAGCGGGTTGTGGATGGCAGCGGGAACGCGAGCTACAGATGTGTGGTGAAGAGGAATAAAGAGGAGATCGTCGTTGTGGAAGGGTGTCTCTCCAGCGAAGAGGCCGAGGTTAAGGCGGCGAATGCTACGATTGGGATTCTTAGGGCCAACGCGGTGAATTTGGTATAGGATGTGATGTGTCTGGGTTGCATTTAGTTGAACTATTGGAGTTGCCGTCATGTACAGAGAAGCATGTCCACGACTGACGATTTATGATGATCCGAATAGTATGAGTTCTTGGATCGGTGCGGTGGCCTATGCCGTTGGATCTCCTACGGATCTAGAAACATTGATCCTTATCGCATGATAATAAATATAGCGACATCTTCCATGCTACTTCTTTCCTCCCTTTGGCCGACCGCGTGTCTTCCGCTTCGGCTGCGGCTCGGGCTCTTCCTCTGGCTCACTTCCCTCCGATGCATCACCGTCCGAGTCAACCGGTTCCTCCTCGCTGGGTGCATTGGCGACAATCACTCCGTCGTCAGTGCCATCGTCGACAGACGACAGATTGTCGGCATCACCTTTGGACACCGACTCCCACGCAGTCTCGCCCGACCGAGATTCCTTCTGGATCCCCGCAAGAACCTTCTTCGCCTCGCTCTCCTCTCCGTTCCAGGCCCCACAGCTGCCACACCGCCAGCGCCCGAGTTCCTCCAGCGTTTTGACCCCCGGCGGGGCCTGGCCATTGACCAGCCGACAATTCGTACAGATCAGGGCAAGACGGTTCTTCGGCTGCGTCTCGTCCTCGCCGAGGAGCACGTCCAGCAGACGGTCGTACCAGCGGTGTTGTTCGATATATTGTGGAGCGCTGGGGAACGCGTTCGGCGCGAAGCCGGGTTCGTCGAAGGCGGGCATCGGGGACGGGGGCATGTGTGGTGGTTGAGGGGGAGGGGGCGACTGCTGATAGTTCTGGTTGGGAGACGGGGAGAAGGCCTGCGGCGGAGTCTGTTGGACGGGGGATGGACGGCGGATGTTGGCCGTCGGTGGGGGAGGAAGACCTGTGCGTTGGACGGGGGGTTGTTGCGGTGTGGATGGGTTGTGTTTGGCGTCGGATTTGCGCTTCTCCTGGTCTCCTCCGGTTTTGGACCGGGTTGATTTGGGGGATGGTTCGCCGGCGTATTTCTCGAGGAGCTGCTGGGTGGAGTTGTATTTTGTTGCGATCTTGAGCTTCTCGATGGTTTCGTCGCGTTGCTTGTGGAGGTCGTCGAGGTGTCGTTGGGTCTTGTTGATGCGGAAGTCGAAGAATTTGGTGGCGCCGGCGCGGACCCCGAAGATGCTGCGCGTGGGACCATGGGTTAGCTGTGATGATGTCGCAGGGATGGATGAGAGGGACAGTACACGATGGGGCCGCCGAGGAGCGCGGCAAATTCAGTTACCCCCCAGTTCTCCCATCCCAAGACCAGAGCGACGATGATGGTGTACAGGAGGTAGGCGAAGGTGGTGTAGAGGGTCCACAGAGCCTTGAAACGCCGAGCATTTTGGCGATGAGAGTCCAGACGAGTAGTCGTCCGGGTGATCTTGGTGGAGAGCGTCGAGAGCGTCTTTTCAAAAGAAGCGGGGGAGTCGTCCTGACCCTGGAGATTGGAGATGAGCTTGGGAGCTGTCAAAGGGGCGGTGAACGTACCTTGAAGGGCCAGAGAGACACCATGACGGAGGGGCAGAACCAAATGGATGAGCTAGCGAGATTGGACTCTCGCGAGCATTTTGGGGAAGAGGAAGATGGAGGAGGAGAAGAAGAAGAAGAAGAGAAGAAGAATGACGATGTCGATGTTGGAGAAACGTCAACCTGTCCCGATTAGGCAAGTCAGCTGATGCACGGACCACGTGATGTTTCTACAACAGTTGATATCAGTCGTTAACTATATCAATCTATTCTACTCGTGGACGGATGTATAGATATGGGTCCTCTGTCGAAGAACTATCGAATGTCGCATATGGTATATGTAAACAATCCAAGCCGCCAGGTATATCCTCCGCAATGCAAAGCGCCAAAAGATCACAACGTCAATCACTACTCCATACAAGCTTCATTTTTTCGTCTGGGCGGTGAACCAGCCACCGTTTTCCCATTGTCCGGGTTGGTAGGTGGCACCATTCCTGGCGTCCGCATTTTGCAACCCATCGAGCACCGTGTTGAGACGGCTGAAGTTGATCGGCTTCATGATCCAACCATCAAACCCAGTGTCCATATACAGCGACGCATCTTTCTCGAGGAGAGAGGCCGAAACCGCGAAGATCGGAACCCGTCCATTCAATTGGGCAATTTGGGAGAGCACGTTGGACGAAGATTGGCTTTCGAATTCACGGATCATCCGAGTCGAGCTCATACCATCGACGAGAGGCATCTTAGTGGATGTTAGAACCAATCCAAACCGACCACAGGACACATGACTCACCTGAATATCCATCAACACCACATCATACTCAGATGGATCCGCGCGATAGGCAGCTGCGCACTCCTCCCCGTTCACGGTCAAGCGAACCGCATGGCCGATCTTCCCTAATCGCTTCTGTACAATCTTCCCATTGATGGGGTCATCTTCGGCAACAAGAACGCGATACGTTGTAGCTGGCTCCGATGAATGGGAAGCAGAAGCAGGCACAGTCGTGGAAGGTTCCGTTGCCGGCTTTGGCTGATCGATGCTGTCGCTCGCCACTCCCGCAGATGGCCCGTCGGTAGACGTGGACTCAGTTGTCTCCTGGCCGGATTCATTCGACACAGCAGGAGGTATGTCGGTCTTGGGGAAGGGCGCCTCCTTTTCCTGACCGGAAGTGCCGCTTTCATCGCACGGGCTCGGTCCGTTTCGTGCGGAGCTGCTGTCCACGAGCACAAACTCCTCGCCGGGAGGCGCCGCTGCTTCCACGTCAGAGGTAGCCGATGTCTCAGGACCTTTCTCGAATTCCGGGTCGTCAGGGAGAGTGAACTGGAGTGATATTTTGAATCGACTCCCTTTCCCTTCTTCGGATTTGACGCTTAACTGGCCCTGGCAATTGTGAACGATCCGAGAGACCAGGGCCAGCCCCAATCCCAACACCCCCTTTTCTTCCTTATCGACCATGTCACGCAGAGCACTTTCATCTTCATCGCCAGAGACCTGCTCTAGCTCCCGGAAAAGCGTCTCCAGCATATCATGGGACATTCCTGACCCGGTATCGAGGACCGACATTTCAACCATCACATTACGTTCATCCACACTTTCTTGTGAGGCTGACACCTCCACGGTAACACCGCCGGACGACGTGTGTTGAACAGCGTTCGAAATGAGATTAGATATGGCCTGCCGGACACGCCGCTGATCTCCAACAACCGCCGTCGGCACCCCGGGGTGAATGATGACCGCATACTTGATACCCTTTCGCTTTGCTTCGCGCTCAAACATATCGGTCGCTTCCTTCACGGTCTTGGAAAGGTCGAAACGTTCATTCTTGATGAGGTCTTTCCCCTTTTCGGTATTTGTCAAGTCGAGCAGATCGTTGATCACGTAGATCAGTGATTTGGACGCGGAATACGACTTGGTCAGGTTCTCTCGCGTCTCAACGTCTAACGCCCCTTCGAGGGCAATTTCGAGGTAGTTGATGACCGCATTCAATGGCGTCCGTACTTCATGAGCAGAGTTGGCGAGAAGGATCTTTGTCAACTGGGAGTTGTCCTCGTTCTGGCGCCACACCTTGATGAACTTCCCGTAAACCAGACACAAGACCGCAGCCGTGTCGATTTCATGATCGGTCCATTCCCGAGACTGATCGACAACCACCTCTTTCCACACGCGAAAACTCTTGCGCGGTTCGAGGTTCCCATTGTCAAATCTCTTCTCGTGTGGATCACCACCCCATTTGATTTCAGTCAGCTTGCCTCGGCGGAAGAAAACCATAAAGTCTGCCCCATCCGCCGCAAGAGGCACGTAGAGAAGACCCGAAATTGACTTAAAACCCGGAGCATAATGCAGGTCAGGAAAGTCCTTTCTGATATTTCGCGACGAAAGAACGGAATTGTGCCGGCGGATTTTCAAAAATTCGACGAGAGCCAGCAACTCATGCGAATCGCTCGACGGGCCCAACAATTTGGTCTCACCGCGAATCGAGAGGGCTGCGTGATCGGCGTCGAAGAGTTTCAATAGATCATCGGACGAAGCGATGATATAGCCGGACGGGTTGGCGTCGGTCGGCATCGTGTTGATGAGTTTTCGAGCCTGGAGGCGAGAGGCATACGACAGTCGCTCGATATTCCTCGCCACCGTATCACCGACCAGTCGACACATCTTGCGGATGGGGAAGGCCACTCTCATGCCCGACGACCCATAGGAATGACAAGAAATGAGTCCCCACAACCCATTCGTGCCGTTGATGCTAATGGACATGGACGCGCGGACGCCCATATTTGCGAGGTATTTGATGTGGATGGGTGACATGGCCCGCAGGTACCCATGGGTCATGTCCAGCGGTGTTTCCAAGTCCTCTGCTGAGCGACATACCAACCGGGCACTGAGTTGATCCCGGTTGTAGAGCAACCGCACCCGGTTCACTTGATAAAGATCGCGCGCCTGTTTCGGGATATCGGATGCTGGGAAGTGGAGGCCTTTGTACAGATCCTTGGTCATTCGAGGATCGACCAATTCAGCCACGACTTGACCATTCCAGTCGACATCGAATTCATAGACCATCACCCGATGGAATCCGGTGAGCTCCTTGACTAGTCCGACAGTCGTATTGAGCAACGTGTCCAACGTCTGTGCCTGAGCTAGCTGATCCTGGACCTGGCTGACGATACTAAAGACCTGCATAGCACCCTCTTCGCCTCGTCTTCGACGGGCGCTCCGTAGAAGGCGGAGAGGCTGGCTGATATTCACAGTACTGGCGGCGAAAGCTTCGGCTGATGGTTCCATCCCAAGGGTATCCGTCGGAGTGCCGGGCGAAGAGTTTCTCGATATGTTCGGTGGGTTGACCCGGTCATCTTCCAACTCGAATTCACATATGATGGTTTCCCGGTTGGCCGGGTTGATGTGCATCGCACACCAGAACCGTACGGCCTCGCGGTCCGGGTTCTTGATCGATAGGATGAAGACATCGGGGCCGTCCGCAGCGGGATCATAGGCTTCATCGCGGACAAAATCGACGTGGTCTAGAAATTGGTCTGTTTGTTCCTCCGAAAGAAGATCGCAAAAGGAACTCAGCGCGAAAAGTTCGTTCGGTGAATAGCCTAGGAGGGCCTCCGAGTTCTCACTGGCGACATGGACATGGAACTGGCCATCGGAAACTTCACGAACGGCCAGCAGCACACCGAAGCTCTGTACCGCCCCTGGAATGTGGATTGGTTCATCATCACACGCCATGACGGCTTGTTCCCCTCTTCCCGTGAGAATAGCATGACCAGAAGGGGTGGCAACATGCTGGAAGCGAGATGTTATATAGCTTGCCGTATTATCAGGAGCGACATGGAGGGAGTCTGGTGTTTTTTCGCCCGAGTTACCCTGGTCAGGCGCTGAGGTAGTTGCGACAATCCCCGCGTTGGATTCATTCTGTAGTTGGATGTGGTCCCAGGTTTCCTGATCGATGATGGAATAGCTCCGCATTCCACGCGTCGGAGAGGAAGGGTCCGGAGGCGAAGACGGGGCTGAGGTAGGCGTGACGGACAGCATGGATCGGATTGGGAAGACGCGCTCGGGGGGAGGTGGGAGGGTGACACGCGATGTCGGCGCATCCCTACATTCTTCCAAGACTTCGGTAGGAGGGTCTGATTGCTGCGTTGCGCCCTCGTGTTGGTCGTCGCTCGGCGAGGGGGCACCACGGCCGGCGCCCATGGTGGAAAAGCTGTCGGCCAACTAGGGCCTGAATAGTCGATATCAACACAGGTTATGGCCGCTTTATTGCCATTTGATGTAGACGACTGATTGCAGGCGAATGTTGCGGGCGACAAGCGATCAAGCGCGGTTGATCGCCGCGGAGATCGTGGCGGAGGGGTATGGCAATGGCTTCACCCGATAGTAATGCAGCAAGTTGAAGGCGTGTAAAGCGACCGAGGTGCACGAGACGAGCTAACTAACAGGCGAGGCCCCAAGCGAAAAGAACCGAAAAGGACCAGGCCTGTCTGATTTCTGGTGTAGACGAGGGGCGAGAAGAGACGAGAAGAATGCCGCATGCTGCTTCGCGGGGAGGACCAGGGTGCATTTTCCGGTTCAATTGACAGGGATGGAGACGGCAGAACGGTCCGCCAATGACAGGAGCAAAAGGGACATCGACTGTGCAGCGTGGCGGCGACCCGTTGAACAAGCCCGTCGCGGGTGCCAGAAAAGATGGATGAAGCCACAGACCTTGGCAGAGGCCAATCAGAGCGGCCGAAGGGTTCGGTTCGGGAGAGACGGGGGTCGCCAGAGAGAATCCACCGCACAGCTGTCACCCGAGAGAGGAATTGAAGGGTTCTGTTGTTGGATGCGTGTCCTGTGCAGAGCGTGGGATGTGGAGGATGTGGTGTGATGGGATGATGAAGCAATTGGAGAGAGAAGAAGACGAAAAGGAAAGTTGTTCGGCCGATCGCGAACCGTGGAAAACGATGATGTCACCAGCCGGATGGCGTGGCACGTGAAAATCCGCCTCAGGCATCGAGGACCCGAGTGTATGGATCACCCTGTGGAGAACCCGGAGTATACCAGATATAATGAGGTCGGAATATAGGTAATATCACATCTTATATTTATATATATATATTACATTGTAGAACATCAAGTCCGTAATAACATCACAATACATATCGGCCTATACAAATCTGGCCCGAAGGATAACCGCGCCGCGGAAATATATACTCTCCAAACGGACCAAAAAGAACTATACTCTTGCGACGACTCCTCATGGGGGTCGCGATCTAACCGTCTCTGCCGACCGACGCGACCGTCGGTCTGAAGTGGGGAGGCTGTCCAAGGAGATACCACTCCAAGGCCGCACGTGGCGAGTTCGCTCTCCCATAGGAGCGGCGTGCGTGACATCGCCGACGATCTGGTCGGGGTCCACAAAATTGGGGTACTCCTCGTGGTCGCTGGAGCTCGACTCCTGTTGGGTATTGACGAGCGAGACCAGCTTGCGCAACACGGCGAATTCGAGCTTCAGCTTGATGCTGTACACCGTGGCTTTGAGCGTCGTTTGCAGCGCATACAACCCGGTGTACTGCAAGGTGAGGAGCGCCACATCCATCAGGATGATAATGACGTTGATCAAGAGGAGCTCGTACAGGGTCTTGTGGCGCGCGGGGTCCTTGTCCGGTCGCAAGTGCAGAAACCGAGCCGTCTCCCAGATGTAGATGCCGGAGATCATCATCTCCTGCGCACAGAACCAGGCCAGCTGTAACCGTTCCATCACGTTGTATCCACGGATGATGGGCTCGGTCCGGACGTAGACGGTCGCAAAGGTGAGGACAGTGGTCGGGATGAGGAGGACGACCGAATCGAAGATGATCAGGTACAGGACGCGGCGGAGAACCTTGGGGCTTTGGACGAGCAGATGGAGTCGTGACCAGAGCACAAAGGACTGGCCGGGGACCATAAAATAGAAGCCAATGGTGGACAGGGTGATGGCGAGCCAGATGGGACCCTCGGCGAAGAACTCCATGAGAAAGCCGATTGCATGAGGGATCACTCCGAGGACGGCAGAAAGCAGCATGGTCCAGAAATAGAGACCGGAATACCGGTGAAAAGTGAGGAAGATGAGAATCACAAGTTCGATGGCATTGTACAGGGCAATTGAGCTGAAGACGACAATGAGGATTTTGATGGGGAGGCTACCACCCCGGTAGCCCCCAATCAGCCCCTCTGGAGGGTCTGACAAGGAATTCATATGATGCGTGAGATGGATACAGGATAGGTCCGAGGATGGGTCTTAGCCCCCAAGCCCGTGCAAAGAGCGGGGGAGACGGAGAGACAACGATTTCCAGACAGAATCGCAGATCCCCGGTTGATTTCGACCGTGAGCAGGGATGATAGTATCTTTGCGCGCCATGGTAAATGCGTCGGGATACTGTCAGAGGCGACACCCCGGATCAATCATGATCTCGTGGGGACCCAGTTCGAAGGAATTATCGGAACCCTTGGAAGAGGGAGGATTTCCACAGTATATGATACGGACTGGGTTGATTCCGCGAGGTTGAAAGAGTGAAGGATGTTGTTTGTAACCGTTGACTGGACTTGAGGTCGTGAATGATTTTCGGTTCGCTCCCGTCGAACCTAGACTCGGAAGCCACAGGCAAGTCGACCCGTGATCGCGCAGAACTGGAAACTATGACCGAGGTGTAATCGAAGGGTTGAAGAGTGGCGTGGTGGATCGATGGACAAGTTGGCGTGGAGGAAGATTAGAAATCGGAGGAAGATGGATGGCGCAGGCGGAACGAGCGATGTAGTATGTAGATGAGACACAAGGAAACGGAGAAACAAAGGAGTGCAGAAGAAGTAAGAGGAAAGAAACAGAAGGAATGTAGACGAAGTCAATACTTCATGGAAGATACGATAGGAGACACCAGTATATGTATGGGTGAGGCCGAGTAGGGGAGAAGGTGGAGAGTAGAATGGGATCGGGAGGAGAAAAGATGGAGAAAATGCGGGCGGCCAAAAAACCGAGCAGGAGGCTTGGGTTCGCGCTAGTCCCTCTTTCAGCTTAGCGGGTGGAGTAAATGGGGCGGTGCTGCCCAGACGGGAAAGCGCCATGCGTATTCTATCCTGATCAGGCTTAGTGAACCACGCTCGGCCGGGGGAGCCCAGCCCCTGCCAATCACAGCGTGTCCCATATGAGCCTAGTCCCCAATGGGCTAGACCGGAATTTGTGCTGATTCTCGTACCGATGCTGAGGTAACTATGCTCGTACTTGTACACAGGCCATATCACAGACAATGCCTTCTGCTCTCTCCTGCTCCCTCCAGACCTCTTCGACTGAACCATTACCAACATACACAACATGCTCACACCTCCTCGCATCCCCTGGTATCTCCATCTCGATACCTTCCCAGTGGCAATCGTCCCTCAGGCTGATCTGATATCGTGACCAGGTGCCCAGGGATGTCGAAACGCAAGGAGTTCCTCTGAAGATCATGGACACCTAATATGCTGATCGTACCACTTCCATAGATTCTGCAGGTCCTTTCGGCCTCCTCGCCTCCGTCATGTCACATGGTGCAGAAAATGGTGCATTCTGCGCTTCCCACATGGAAACCCCAGGCACGACGGCCGGGACGCTATGACCTACCGGAATGCTAGGTTTCTCCAGCCTCATAACTTCAATGTCGGACCTAATGGTCTAGAACCAGACCACACGTTGTCTGGTATGGTGGCTCGCCAAGAAGATTACCGTGTCGTGTTCTGCCTTCTCACCGAGCCATTGAGGCTGAGGGCGTGCTGAGTTCCGGATTCATTGGACAGATCTCATGCGCACTGTCCACCCCAGGACCAAACAGTGTGGATAATGAAGAACTAGTCCCGTCTATGTCGACGTGGATGGATCTGAGGGACCACAGCTCCATCGCGGGCGGATCATATCCGCCACTAGGGGCCTAGTGCGGGGTCTGAATACTCCGTATTATTATTGTACTGCGTGCGACACTACTAGGCTCGGTGAACGTCCTTTACGGCCCCCAAAGGCCTGCGTCCGACGATCGGCGGTGTTGATAAAGCTGTCGAGACCCCTCTAGACCTCGAGGCATTTTGTTCCTGCCCCTCTCACCCAGCGACGCTGTTATCTGCGCTTGGCGTTACTTCTGCACATCGACAATAAGCTACCCCTCCAGTTCCTCACAAGCCAGGGAGGAAGAACACATCATGGGCCCTACTGGTACCAATTGGGACTTTATCGTCGTGGGTGGTCAGTGATCAACATCCTTTTACTTCTCTCATTGAGTCATGCTGATATCCATAGGTGGTCCCGCTGGATGCGCACTGGCATCGACGCTCGCTCGCTCGGCGAAGCGACCTCAGGTGCTGCTGCTGGAGGCGGGTTGTCGGAATGAGGACAAGAACCTGCGAGTCGATGGCCAGCGGTGGACCACCTTCATGAACGGTGACATGAACTGGGGATACAAGACCACTCCGCAGGAGCATTGCAATGGGCGGCAGATTGACTATTCCCGGGGGAAGGTGCTGGGCGGCAGCTCTGCCATCAATTTCGGCGTGTATACTGTCGGCGCGCGGGATGACTACGATGAATGGGCGTCTTTGGTCGGCGACGAGAGTTTCTCCTGGAACAGCATGCAGAAGCGCTTCAAACGGCTGGAGACGTTTCATGGCACCATCGCCGATGAGAAAAACGCGAAATACGCCGGCCCCAAGAGCTCCGATCACGGATCCGGAGGTGACCTGCGCGTGGGCTACGCAGCTGAATGGGAGCAGGATCTGCCTCTCATGATGGATGTCTTTGAGCAAGCTGGCCTTGCGCGCAATCCCGATCACAATTCCGGTGATCCCTTGGGCATGGCTCTAGTGATCAACTCCTCCCATCAGGGACAACGCGTGACCGCGACTGACCTCTTGCGTAATTCCCCTGACAACCTGTCTATTATCACGGAGACACCTGTCCGGCGTTTGATACTCGATGGATTGAAAGCGATTGGCGTGGAAACAGCCGGTTCTCAATGTAGGTCGGCCGTGAAATAGCCTGTGGAACCCGAACTGAACCTTGCCCCAGATTTCGCCTCGAAGGAAGTCATCCTTAGTGCAGGCTCTTTAGACACGCCCAAGATCCTGATGCACTCTGGCATCGGTCCCCGCGACCGAGCTCCAGAAATTTCAGATCCCCGTCGTCAAGAATCTTCCTGCGATCGGCCAGGGTCTTCGCGATCACTTCTTCGCTCCTCTCTGCTTCCTCCGCAACCCGTCGACGAACGACCGCAACAGCTTCTTCGGTGACAGGCGGCGATGGATGCGGCCCCTGGAGCTGTGGAAAAAAGACGGCACTGGGCCGTGGGGCTAAGCATTCGTGTCAGATCGCGGCCGGATGGTTCAAATCTGATCGTCTGACGGCGTCGCCGGAGTTTCAGGCTCTTCCAGCGGCGACGCAGGAATTCCTGCAACGCGCGACCATCCCCCATTACGAGTTCATGACGCACTTTCCCATTCATCTCATCATGCCCGAGGTCACCAAGGACTACAGCTATGTCTGCCTGTTGGTTTTCTTGATGAACGAGCAGTCCAGCGGCGAGGTTCGACTGCAGTCGGCCAACCCGGACGATCCCCTGCTCTTCGACCCCAAATTCCTCTCGCACCCGTTTGATCGTCGCGCCTGTATCGAGACGTTCCGCGAGGCGCTGCAGGTGACGAAGCACGAGGCATTTACTAAAGACACCGTGTCGACGTTGATTGCGCCCGCGTCCGAGTCGGACGAGGACATTCTGGAGTTTTGGAAAAACACCCTCGGGTCGAGTTGGCATATGACCGGGACCGTGAAGATGGGCAAGGTCGGGGACAGCCAGGCAGCGGTGGATAGTAAATTCCGGGTGTTTGGTGTTGAGAACCTCCGCGTGGCTGACATGAGTGTTGTGCCTGTGCTGACCAACAACCATACCCAGGCGACTGCTTACATGACTGGGTTGTCGTGTGCGGATGGCTTGATCGCTGAGTATGGTCTTGACGTAGCATAGCATGGTTGTACGGGATAGTCTGGTTATATACCATGAGTGATATATATCTGCCGTTTCCTCAGTACACAACCAGAAGTTATCAACCTCATGACAGCCTTTCCACCGACCACATATCTAAGCGAGCGAACCGTCTTTCTACATGTTCTACAAAAAAGAGGGACAAGAATGTCATGATACTCATTTCAAGAGACCCAGACCCATTAACCCATATCACACTATCCAAGCTGAACCCATACCAAATGAAAGCAACCCTAGTAGATATAGCGGAAATTCAAGTTCTCCTGGTCTGTCCGGTCCTCAAAGGCATGCGTCAAGTTGGTGTCAGCATTCATGCCCGCTTCTCGCAAAAGCCGCTCCTTCTTCTTATTCTGGTGCTTCAGGTAGAAACGCAGGAAGATCACCGCAATCGTCATAGCGGTGTAGCAGCCCAGATGCACGCCAAAGGCGATGAAGTACCGCGGGGCGTCGCGCGGGAGGAAGACCTGGGGGCCTATTCACCGTTAGTGAGAGGGGATTTACATGGGAGAAAGGATAAGGAGGGCCACTAACCGATGGCGTTTCCGACGGCCCACGAGACGAAGGTGGCCGCGACAACGGTGGACTTCTTGGTGGCGCCGGCGATGTTGCGCGACACCATGGACAGACACAGGTTCTGGGCCGACCAGAAGGACAGCGTGATGTAGTAGCTGATGAGCAGGCCGACCTTGGTGCCCATGTTCTTGTTCTCGACGGTCATCAGGACGATGGTGCCGACGTAGGAGCTGGGGATGTTAGCGTGCGCTTTGGTGCAGCGTTAGGAGTGAGGGCGTAGCATACGGGATGATGAAGCCGAGCATGACCAGCAGGTTCTGGTTGGTCTTTTTCACCAGGAACGACGAGGTGAGCAAGACGATAATAATGTAGAAGCCCAGCACCATGGCCAGCAGCTGCGTCTGCAGCAGGGTAAAGTCGAAGCCCTTGATGATAATGTTGGCAAACGCGCCCAGCCCGCTGGTGGGTAGCGTGGTGAAGACCTGGATGGCGCAGTAGCAGTACATCTGCGGGTCCTTGAAGGCCTCGAGCATCTGGTACCCGCGGAAGGTCTTGTTCTGCAGGCCGGTCTGGTTGGAGCGCACGCGCTCGACCATCAGATGCTTGTCTTCCTCGCTGAAGCACTTGGCGCGCATGGGCGAGTCAGGCATCCACCAGATTACGAAGAGGCCCCAGAGCACCGAGAGGCAGCCGTACGTGAGGAATAGCGCCTGCCACGAGAAGATGGCCTTGTCCTTGCCGATTAGACTGAAGCAGTACGCCAGCAGACCGCCGACAATCTGCTGTCCGCCGTTCATCATGTACCTGTTGGGGTTAGAGGGTAATTTGATGAAGAGGGTATAAATTGTATAGATGGAAGACGCACCAATAGGTCACGGTGGCGGCCTGCTCCTCACGCCGGTACCACATACTGGACAGCAGCACGAACGAGGGCTGGCAGACCGCCTCGAAGATACCGAGCAGGATGCGCACAGTCACCAGGCCGGCGAAGTTGTGGCACGCGCTGTGCAGAGCCAGGACGGCACCCCAGAGACAGATGTTGGCGCCGAGGTATTTGGCGATGGGCACCCGCTGAATGATCCAGTTGGTTGGGTATTCGACGCACAGGACGGCGATGTAGATACACGTCGTGAGCCAGTTGTACTAGCGGACAATCTGGTCAGTATCATCCACGGCGATAGAGGGTGGATGGAAAATGGGAGCATACCTCCTGACCATGCATGCCCGTGTCTTCGATAATCCCCATCACCGACGCAAACGACATCGTTCCCTTGTCCAGCGCCTGCAGGAAATATGTACAAATCATGACCGCCAGCACTCTGCGATCAATCATGCGGCGCAGGCGTTTGTTGGTCGCCTCGTCGATATCGATCTGGGCGCGGTTGGCGTACTCCTGGACTTCCTTGTCCACACGGCTGTAGTCCATGTCATCTTTCTTGAGATCGTCGGTCTGAGACAGGACCTGCTCGACGTGCGAGATATCCCTGGCCTGTTTCAAGTAAGCCTCGGTGACAGTGCTGTCCACTGTGGGATCACCGGGCGGCGATGTAGCGTCCTTGGCCATGATGAGCTGCAGAGGTAGGGGAAGAGACGGCACTACCAACACTCAAAGCACAAAGATAAAAACAGACCCACGAGCCGAGTGGAGGGAGCAGGCCTTTTAACTAGCACAGACTACGAGACCAGCCATGCTCGTCCATGCATACACCGACTGGCCATGGATACTACCCCAAACCACCATGACCAGACGGGGCATTTCCCCGGGTTTTCGCTTAGGGTGGCCGGCATCTCCCTTCCCCAGGCCTGGCGGGGTCCATTGGCCCGAAACAACCCCCAGACATGACAGCAGGAGCAGCAGCCATGCATCCTGGCCGGGTCTGGGCAGCCGCCAGCGCCAATAGCTGCGGCTGGGGCTAAATTGGCACTTGCTTAGCGTCGCTGCTCGGCGGGCTTTGGCCCGAGGACGCCTGCATCCCACGCGGAGAAATGCGTCGAGTTCTTCCGCGTATCATCGGGGCTCCACGCCGGCGGCTATTCGGGCAGGTACTTAGTGGCGGGGTGCAAGCTGTCATTCATCTTCTTCATCGATAGCTGAACCAATACTGAGTTGAATTCAAATCTTCCATTATGTCTGCCGTCCCTCCGCCGCAGGTCCGCGAGACCATCAACCTGCTCATCTCCAACCTGGTCAACATCAAAGACGAGACCGGAAAATTCCTGCTGCGCCTGCAGGATGGCCGGGTCATCGACACCAAATCGTGGCACGGCTGGGAATGGACGCACGGCATCGGGCTGTACGGGATCTGGAAGTACTACGAGATGACGGGCGACGCGAAGCTGCTGCAGATCATCGAGGACTGGTTCGCGGCGCGGTTCGCCGAGGGCGGCACGACCAAGAACATCAACACGATGGCCGTGTTCCTGACGCTGGCCTACGTCTACGAGAAGACCGGCAACGTCACATACCTGCCGTGGCTGGACGCGTGGGCGGAATGGGCCATGCACGACCTGCCGCGCACCCGCTTCGGCGGCATGCAGCACATCACCTACCTGACCGAGAACTACCAGCAGCTGTGGGACGACACGCTGATGATGACGGTGCTGCCGCTGGCGAAGATTGGGAAGCTGCTCAACCGCCCGGCGTACATTGCCGAGGCGAAGCGTCAGTTCCTCGTACATATCAAGTACCTGTTCGACGCGCGGACGGGGCTGTTCTATCATGGGTGGACGTTTGAAGAGGGGGGACATAACTTTGCGGATGCGCGTTGGGCACGAGGGAACAGCTGGATTACGATTGTCATTCCGGAGATCATCGAGCTGCTTGATCTGGAGCCTTCTGACCCGATCCGCGTGCACCTGATTGACACGCTCGAGGCCCAGTGCGAGGCCCTACAGAAGCTGCAGGACAGCACCGGGTCGTGGCATACTCTTCTCGATCATTCGGACTCGTACGTGGAAGCCTCTGCGACGGCCGGGTTTGCCTATGGCATCCTGAAGGCTGTGCGGAAGCGATACATCAGCGCGCAGTATCGCCCGGTGGCCGAGAAGGCCATTGCTGCCGTGATGGGCTTTGTGGATGCACAGGGCGAGCTGCAGAATACCAGCTTCGGAACTGGCATGGGCGACAGTCTCCAGTTCTATAAAGATATCCCGTTGACGGCCATGCCCTACGGACAGGCGATGGCCATTATGGCGCTGGGGGAGTATCTGCGGGGGACACTCTAGCTTAATGACATGATATGATAGACGCATTAGACAATGGACGATCAATTCGGTATCCTAGTCTAGCGACCAGCGGCTATGTAGCTTCTCACAGGCAAGGAAACCGGAGATGGCCGAGGGTATTCGGGAGAAGAAACACCGAGTATAGATATCCAGCGACACCGGCAGTAAATGTAGCGAGTGATCAACATCAAAGATGGGACATTGAAGATGTATGTCTCGTTAGAAGCTCCGGGTTCAAGATGATTCCACTCAACAATAGCTACATCACAGATCAAGGATTCTTCTTCAGATACAGAGTCTGCGAATTGCACCACTGCGTCAACCCATTCACCCCCCATTCCGTGCCAATTCCACTGCACTTGTGCCCCCCAAACGGCGTATTCCACGCGACATCAAAGTGCGAGTTGACCCAGACACTACCCGCCTCGAGCTGGTCCGCCATGCGCTGCGCCCGCTCCATATCCTTACTCCAGACGGACGCGCCGAGCCCCATATCCGTGTCATTCGCGCGGGCCAACACCTCCTCCTCGTCCGACCACTTCATGATCGGCAAGATCGGCGCAAACGGCTCCTCCTGCACGACGCGCGCCGTGTCGGGCGGGTTGTCGATGATGGTGGGCGGCACAAAGTACCCCTTCGACTCGGGGATGGCGCCGCCCAGCACGGGCGTGAGACCCTCAGCCGACAGACTGGCGAACAGGTTCTTGGCCTTGTCGAACTGCATGCCGTTCTGGATGGGGCCGAAGAAGACGTCCGGCTCGGTGCCCTCGCCCATCTTCAGCGCCTGCACGAACGCGACCAGCTTCTCGCGGAACGCGTCGTAGATCTTCTCGTGCACGTACAGCCGCTTGATCATCATGCAGATCTGGCTGGAGCAGAGGAAGGAGAGGATGCCGACCTGGTCATCTATTAGCACGCACGCCCTGAGTGGGTAGTTTGTAGTCGGGGCCCACCTTGGGGATTACGGCGTCAATGTCGACATCGTCGCAGATGATGCACGGGTCGTTGCCGCCCAGCTCGAGCGTCACCCGCTTCAGGGTCTTTGCGCAGCTGGCCATCACGCGGCGACCCGTCACAGAAGAACCCGTAAAGCTGATCTTGTCGATGCCCGGGTGCTCAGTGATCATGGGGCCGAGGTCGTCGCCGCCGCTGAGCGCCTGCACGACGCCCGGGGGGAAGCAGCGCGTCGCCAGCTCGGCGAGCTTCAGATCGCAGTACGGGGTGTACGGCGAAGGCTTGACGATGACCGTGTTGCCCGTGTACACGGCGGGCACGATCTTGCCGATGGCCAGCAAGACGGGGAAGTTCCAGGGCACAATGGCGCCGCAGACGCCCATGGCCGTGTACCGCTGGATGACCTTGCGCTCCTCGGTATCCTCGAGGACGGTCTCGGGGATCTGGAGCGTCGGCAGCGAGCGCGTCCACTGCACGGCCATGCCGACCTCCTGGGCCGCCTGGCTGAGCGGCTTTCCTTGCTCCTGCGTCAAGAGTGCGGCCAGAGGCTCGGCGTTGGCCTCGATGGCGTCGGCAAAGGCGTTCAGGGCCGCGCGGCGCTCGTCGAACGAGGTCCGCGACCACTTGCGGAAGGCCTGGCGGGCGGCCTTGACGGCGCGATCTAAATCCTCTGCGGTTGATACAGGGACCTCCGGGTTGGGCTGGCGGTTGGCCGGGTTGATGCCATGGCGGGTTTGAGCGGTGGAGGTGAGCTCGTTGTTGATAACATTGTAGAAGGTCTGCAACATCAGCAATGGGTTCGTAAGCCTGTAGATGGTGGGAATACCGTAATGTCCAGTGCCATGGTGAATGCGCTGCTGTATCTGGCTGTTGGGGGGAATACGAGACAGCAGCAGGCCTCCAGCCATATGCAGCTTATATAGCAGCTTCTGCAGGCCCCTCTATTGTGCGCCTCATGCCGTCTGTCTGCAATGAAGCGGGGTAATCCAGGCGATCAGACGAAGGAAGAGCGATATTGAATCCTCCGGGCCTGTCATACCGCATGGCGAGTGGCTAGACTTTGCACTATTGCCATTAGTCTGGCGTGTCTAGGCAATTATAGGATGCTCACTGCCTCGGCATGGACGGAGTCGTCTCCTGGATCTGGGCCAGGCTCCGATGCCAGTATCAGGATGCCTTCTACACAGATTGATGCTCATCAAGAATGCATCCACGCCTATGGAGTATAAAAGTGACAAAGGGACAAACAGAATGACAGCTTAACTAGTTCCGCTGACTAACAATCCCCGCCGGCAAAAGACTCACCCATCCTGAATGCCGAATTCTCCCAGACGCTCAACACCAGCACGCCCGTATAAAGCCATGCTCCCCCTTGCTCGCCCAATTCCCCGTAGAATCCTCACTCACCCGCTTCTAGTCCACTCGAAATCGCTACTTTCATCTTGTGCCGCCCTCGCCATGCGTCTGCCGTACGCCCCCAACACCCCTCCGACCGCCGACCAGGACACGGCCGACATCTACCAGCGCATTGCCGAGCGTCGCCATCCCCGCCCTCTGATCCCGCTGGATCTGTCGCTGCTGCACTCGCCGCCGGTGGCCGATGGCTGGAACAGCTTCCTGGGGGCCATTCGCACGCGCACTGTCGTGGACCAGGGCCTACTGGAGCTGGCTGTGTGTCGTGTGGCCGTCTTGACCCAGGCCGTCTACGAGTGGAATGCCCATGCCCCGCTGGCATTGAAGGGCGGCATCAGCCCGGAGTCGTTGCAGGCGGTGCGTACGCTGCCTTCGACTGCTGCGGGTGAGGATCTGGCTGCGACGAAAGAGGCGCTCGCGAAGAGTGCCCTGTCTAGCCGTGAGCAGGCGGTCGTCCAGTATGCCGATGAGATGACGCAGACGGTGAAGGTGCAGGATGCGACTTTTGCCCGGCTGCAGACGGAGGGCCTTTCGGACAGGGAGATTGTCGAGTTGACGACGGGCATTGCGGGTTACAACTGCGTCAGCCGGGTGCTGGTCGCGCTGGATGTGGGAGAGAACAACGATAAGCAGATGAAGTCGGTGGACGAGCTGGTGCAGGCTTTGAAATGATGGATGGTGGATGATACGCTTCACGTTTTGTTATGTCCCTTTCGCTGGGATGAGATCCTGGGCTTCCAAGTCTCATTACTCGTACATAGATAGGTCCAATTTAGCCAACATAAGCCAGCAACACTCCAACTACTCCACTAGTGCAAAGTGATAGACTTGGCCTTGGGTCCGCCGCAGTCGTACGTCGCCAGCAGCGTGCGCTGGTCCAGCGCTGCAATGCCAGGCCAATGTCCCTGGCCGGGACACAGCACGGTCGGGCGCGTCCAGAAGATGCGCCCGTCCTGCGGCGGACCAGCAAACACCACCTTGATACACGCATTCTTGGTCCACTCGACCTGGTGGTGATCCTCGTCCGTCATGAAAATCACCGCCAAAGAACCATCGCCGAACGCCGCAATCTGCGGTGCGCCCGCATTGTGCCCGCGCGGCGGCACATACACCTCATGGCGGTGTCCCCAGGTCGCGCCATCATCGTACGAAATGAGCGCCTCCAGATCAAACGTGCCATGCGTCGTCGTCTCGAACACCATCACCAGCGCCGGCCGCCCATTATCCCACGTCTGCGCAATCCCGTTCATCCCATCGCGCACGCAGTGCTCCCGGCCGTGCAGACACTCGGGCGGCGACCAGGTCGCCCCCTGGTCCCACGACCGCACCAGCATCGTGCACTGGTTGTTGTGCGCGTACTCCTGCGAGTACGTCAGCTGCACCTCGCCGCGCTGGCCCAGCCGCATGAACGGCTCCCAGATCCCGCACGGCGGCTTCGACTCCGCCGCCTGCGACGCGAACTGCCACGACCGCCCGCCGTCCACCGACCGGCACACCGTGATGCGGAAGTGCGTGGGCCCGCCGGGCCCCAGGTCGTGGTTGCGGAACGCCCCCAGCACGACGTTCGGCGCCACCTCCAGCAGGAACAGGTTGTCGACGTCGCCGCGGCCGCGCGTCACCTCGCCGATGTCCTCGAAGGTGCGGGCGCCGTCGACGCTGCGGGCCACGGTCAGGATGCGCTCGCCGTGGTTGAAGCGCGTGAAGGACGAGAGGACCGAGCCGTCGCCCATGCGGCAGATGCGTGGGTATGTGCCGCCGGGGCGGTTCGAGAGAGAGCGTTCGTCGTTGTTGATGACTCGGTTGCCGGGCAGACGGGCAGCGTCCGGCTGTCCGTGGCCCTGGCCCTGGCCATGGCCAGGGAAGCCAGAGGCATGGCCCTCCTCCAGGCCGAGGTGTTTGAGGATCTTCTGACCGAAGTTGGGCATGGTGAGTGTGATGGGGAGGGAGGAGTATGGAGTATGGAGTACAAAGGAGTAGTAGGAGAGAGTGATGCTTTATTGCTATTATTATTGCGTTGGAATGTGTTCAGCGGTGAGCGCATGACGTCATCCAAGACTATCGCAATCGAAACACGGCTGCCTGATGATATTGATCATCATTACGACCGGAGATGGGAGGAAACGGATGTACGGAATGATGGGGATGGAGGGGATGTATAGAGGGAGTGTGTATAGATGGAGGGATACATGTAGGGCAAGAAGTGTATGGAAGGCCTGGATGCAGGGTACACGGATGGTCAATGCATTAAATATATCTCCAAGACAGGAATCAATTCATTGCTATAATTCACTGCTATGGATACTTCAATCTGTAACTTTTGTAACTATAGCAATCACTTTTACCCATCCTCCTACACCGCAATAGCGAGTCCTCCTAGATCGCGCACATTGAACGAGATGCCCTGCTGCACTCCAGAAGACACAAGATCATCGCTCGACTCGGCCTTTCCAGAGCCAAAGCTCTTCAGATTCCACTTCTCCACGCCGTCAACTCCCTTCAGGTCATCCGGATACGCCTTGAACACGTCCTCGCTGAGGCGCTGGTACTCCGAAAAGTCCTTGGGCCAGCCACCCAGTCTCTCCACCGCAAGCTTCAGCAGATGCAGATGCTGCCGGACATGCTTGCCCTCGTCCTCCAGCGCCTCAGTCGACGTCGACGAGCCCTCTTCCGACTCCATGCCCAACTCCGCGGCGTAGTCGAGCTCGACCGACGACGGGTCGACAAACGCCCGCAGCGCGTTCTCATGCAGCGCCGCCGCCTTCTTATAGTACCGGAATGCCATCTCCTTTCCATCCGGCTGCGACTGGTACCGCTGCGCCACGCTCGTATACAGCTGCGACAGCAGCACCGTCATGTCGAACGTGTTCGGGTGCCGGGTGCCGTGCACGCGACAGCAGTTGTACACAATGTCCTCGGCCAGCCGCATCGCCGCCATGTAGTCGCCCACCAGGTACCGCGTGATGATCAGCATGCGCGCCAGCGTGATGATAAAGTACGGTTGCGCTGTGTCGGGCGTCTCGCGGTTGTCCCACAGGGTCGTCAGCACCCACGCCAGGCTCTGGTAGTCCTGCTGCTCGTCCAGCAGGCCGATGAGGTTGTTCAGGTTCTCCTGCCCCAGCCGTGTCATGTCGATCTTCATCCGCTTGAACAGCCGCACCATCTCCTTCATGATCGTCGACGAGATGTCCAGCATCGTCTTGCGGCGCACTTCGTCGGGGCGCGTCTTCTGCTCGCGGCCCGAGATCGCCATGCCCAACTTGAAGCCGAGTTTAAGAGTAGGCAGGTATGTGTACCCGTCGTGGGCGTGGATGAACTTGAATGAGGTCAGGGCGAGGTCGCAGGCGGGCTGGTATTTGCGCTCGGAGAGGAGCTGACAGACGCGGCTGTAACTGGCGATGGCGACAGAGCGGAGGAAGTTCTGCGACGTGTGCGTCGTGAAGTAGTTGAGCAACGTCACGGCCAGCTCCTGCACCTGCGTCGCGCTGGACAGTTGCAGGCGGTTACCCTCGCGTGCGAGGAAGAACTCGGCGAATTGGTTCTCCACGCAGGCGATGGTCGTCTTGCGGCCGCGGGACAGCAGGAAGCCGTACAGACGGGAAGCCGACGCCGTCACGCTCTCCATGCTGCTCGACTTGGAGTTGATGTCGGCGCGGAATTGCTCAAAGTAGAGATACTCGGTGATCAGCGAGGAGAAGATCTCGTTCAGGGTGATCGAAGTGTCTTCGCGCAGACAGTATTCCAGTTGGGCCAGGAACATAAGGGTTGGTCGTCCATGCGATGCCACGTTGAACCCGACGGAGCGCGCATTGCTCGTATCCTTGGCCACAATCTGCCGGTAGATCTCCTGGGAGAGTTCACGGCCGCGCTGGATCTGACCAGATGCAATGTAGCTGGACGCAATGCTCTTTGCAGCCGCCGTCAGACGGATGGACGAGGTCTCGGTCGACAACACCTGGATGGTCGATTCTTTGAGCATGCTGGCCACGGCGACAAACTCGCCGCGCTTGGAATACAGCGAGGCCATCTCTTCCATCTCTGACAAGGCCTCCTCGTGTGCCCAGCCGTACGAGGACCGTATGGTCGTGAGGCGCTGGCTCCGGTGGGTGATGACCTGCTGCAACTGCTCGGTCGAGAGGGTCTCCGTCTTTTGCGATCCGATCGAGGTCTGGTTGTCGCTGATCGCCTCGAGGCTGCCGCGGATATCCTCGTGGTCGATCTCGTCGGACTTGATCGTGAGAAGGCTCTCGTACAGCTGCACTGCTTCGCTCTGGTACTGCGTCGTCTCCTGGCAGATGTTGGCCAGAGTGAGCGTCGACTGCACCGTGATGGAGGCAGTTTCACCGAACACCGACTTGCAGGTGTTCCGGTACTGCACAGCGACATCGTGGAGCACGGTCGAGCTGGCATGGGTCGCACGCAAGCATTGCATGTAGCGGTTGAAGACCATGCGGACGAACTGCTGCTCACGCAGTTTCGGGCTGACCTTCGGAGTCTTCAGCGTGTTGAACAGCATCTTACACGGCTGCAAGGCGTCCGAGTAGCGCTCCTTATTCCAGAGATCGTTGAGCACAATCAACAGCGGCTCGAAGGCCTCCGGGCGGCAAGTGCTGGAGTTCTTATGCAGGACGGACACAAGCTGCCGGTAGTAGTCCACCGAGATTGGCCGCGGGCTGGTGAGCTCTGCAAGCGTCCACAGCTTCTTGATGACGGTAGGGTGCTCGGCACCGTATTGCTTGGTGTAGTCGCCGAGTAACTCCTGGTGCAGATGGATCACCTTGTCGGTCTGGGAGGTCCGCTGGTACAGACGGAGAAGAGACGTGGTGGCACGCTCCAAGACCTTGTCGCCGGGCTGGCGGTCCCGGCGCAGAGCCGTGTAGAGACGATGGCGGATGTCCTCTTCCTTCGCGAGCCGGCGCCGAGAATGATAGCAGTCACTCAGCCGCTCGGTCAACGTGATACAGTAGTCCAGATGCTTGGACGGGAGCGTCACGTCCTGCGCCGATGTGGCAAACAATTGCGGCCAGATGCCCCGCAGCACGGCCTTGATCAGGCTCGTGGCGTCGTGCCAGCGATGCTGCGAAATGTACATCTCGATCAGCGTGTTGGCGGCGGAGATGGCGGTGGCATCCATGTTGTGCACCGAATCGTACACCATATCCTTGAGGCTGGACTCGGAAACGGACGAGCTGGACGTGGTGGCCATCTGCATCACGAGCGTCGACGTCGTCTGCACGCTCTCGTGGATCTCCTGGTACGCGGCGCTGTGGTAGCCGCTGGTGCTTTCGTAGTACTGCGCACAGTGCTTGAACACATTCAGCGCCATGCTCGACAGACCGACCGCTTTCATCATCTTGGCGACCTCCACGAGCTGCGAGACGATTGCCTGGGAGCTGCAGATTGTCTTCTGGTCATGCTCCTGCCAGAGACCGGCAAGGATCGAGGCGACCTCTTCCTTTCGGCCCTGCGACTGGAGGAACCGAGCATAGGTGAGTACAGCCTGCATGTTCTTCAGCTCCAACTCGGTCGATCGATTGGAGCGGTACTCCTTGCTGGTGCGCTGCCACACTTCGACGTAGGCACTCTCAGCCAGCTCCATCTTGCCCTGGGACTTGTATGCTTCCGCCAGGCTAATGAGGGACTCGGCATGGGATTCAGCGGTGGTCGTGATCAGCTCGTCTTCCTCCATCTCGTCAAGGATCAAGGTCGTGCCGCCATCGTACTGGTCCTTGGTCTGGCGACCTCGGAGATTCACCCGGAGGGAATCATCCGTCTTGCGCGAGTTGGTCCACTGGGTAGTAGTCTCGCTAGTGGTTTCCTGAATCGAGGCGTAAAGCTCATCCGCCTTGCTCACCTCGTTGATCGACTTGTAGTGCTCCGCTAGCTGGGTGACGATAGTCGTGACCATTTCGCTCTTTTCACCGTAGTGCATCTTGTAGCATTCAACCAGCACCTGCAGGACCTGGACGCGCTTCATCATGATCTCCGTGCGCGAGTCCGTCGTCTGGTCGGCGGTGATGGTGATAAAATACTGCGCCATCTGGAGAGTGACGACACTGCGAGGCCCGAGGACATCATGGCATAGCTTGACTGCGTCGTACAAAATCCAAGACACCTTCGATGGCAGGGTCTCGTGGAGCCTGCGGTAAAGCAGTGCCTGGCATAGGACGGACTGCAGCGTCGTCGGATGGCTGGGCGACAGGATCTGCTGGTAGAAGCGGGTCTGGATGGCGTTCATCGAGATCTGCACGGGGGTTGCCTTGGGTTGCCAGATCGTCATGCTCAACAGCGGGACAGTGCTGCACGTCGGCATTGCTTTGCTCAGCTGCTTGACGGCCGCAGTGATCTCCTCGTCTGCAGTGCAGCCGAAGGCAGTCTTGACATGGTCAATCCAGTACCGCAAGGCAAAGTCGAGCAGTGGGTATCGGTCCAATAGACGCTCAGCGTCCACGGCATCCAAGGGACTCAAAGTCGGTTCATGCTCGGTGGTGATGCAGTTCTTCGTGTAGAACAGCAGTCGACGGGCCATGTCGGTATTTCTCTCCTTGACGAAAGACTGGACCTTGCCCTGGGAGAAGATGTCCATAATCGCGTCGCGGATCTGAGCATGACGAAGATACAGCAGCCCGTTCTGGAAGAACACCAGCGAGCTGACCGGCTTCAAAACCTGCCGAGCATCGACCGTCCGCTCGGTAATGGTGCCCTTGTCCAGCTGAACAGAGAACAACGCCGGCAACTCAGAGACGGCCAGCGGGCGAGCAGCGGTGACCAGCCATCCAAGAATAGTCTTAGCGTCTTCGCTCACTGTCTTGCTTCGCAGAGTGTTCGACACAAAATCCTTGACAGCGTATCCCGATTTGATGAGGTTATCCACGGACTTCGACAGCGCCTGCGAATTCGTTGAGCCCTCCGCTCTGATCTGCTTGCAGGCAAGTTTGGCCCACAAGAAGCAACCGTCAGAAGCCTCGGTGATACGATTGACCGTCATCTCGCGCTGCTCCTCGGTCAAGTCCATGAATGACCGACACGGCTCGAGGACATGGCGCACCACCGCTGCAATGTCGTCGAAGATCAGCTCGGGAGTGATGCTAACGGCAGTCTGGCTTGGACTGGTGGACGACTTTTGCGAACCGAGAAGGACGAGTTTCAGATTGTCGGCGTCCGCAGTGGCCTGTTTGAGTCTCTGGACGAGAGCAGCCTCGCCACAGGACGCTTCGTCCAGCCCGTCGACCACCAGAACCAGCTCCTTTGCTCCGCGGAGACTGGCATGCAGCGCGTTTTTCAGTGCGGACCAGATGATGTTATCGTAGTCCTCCGGCTCCACCGCCTGCTCGCAGCGATTGTACGCATCGGCGAGGATCTGGTACAGCCGCACGTTCCCGATGCGCTTGTCAAAGATCTGGGAGAGGATAGTTTTGACAATACCCTGGGGAGTCGTTTTGGCGGGCACGCGGCTGTCTAGTTTGGGTTAGAACTATTAGAACTGCCTATGGTCGTGGTTACGGAGATACACACTAATGGGCACGAAGATTGGCTTGTAGCTCACGCCGCCGATAGGATACTGCAAATGATCGATCATGACGGACGACAAGATCGTCTTTCCGGAGCCAGGCTTGCCGGCGATGGACAAGATCTTTTTGTCGCTCTTCAGGAAACGAGTCAGGTAAGGCGTCATCCAGAGACAGGTGAGCTCTTCCCGATCCTGCGCCAGGTGAGCGGCGTTCTGGGTGGCATTTGCCAGCACAGGATCTTCCGGTTCAAGCCAGTGCTTGATCGTCTGGATTTCGGACACTAAAGCGCAGTTAGCGTGAAAGAATCCAGTAGAGTACGGTGGATCGTTACCTGTTGCCTCGTTAAAGCCCTCTCGGAGCAACTGATGCTTCCACATCAGCCCAGAGACATGCTCGCATCGGCTGCGGAAACTCTCGATCGGTCCGGGGAATGAGCTGTAGATATCGATAGATACAGACTCTGACGCGATACCTCTTAAAGACTTGTGGAAGTGTGTAGCCACACAGACAACCAGCGTCACTAGGTCAGCCAAAGCCAAAACCAGCTGGTCCTTGATGTCTTGGGAGACGGCAAATAGTTCGGCCCGATCCAAGAGATTGACCAGCTCCTGAGAGCAGCTGCAGAAGAAGCCAAACATGACCATCAAGGCGGAAGAGTTTTCTTCACCCAGCTAATGCATGCAGGTTAGCAAGACGCCCTCCAATAGACCATACGGCAAGTTACATACCTCCAGCAGAAGCATGCAGTACCCGTAGACAAGCTGGGCCGCGAGATGACTGTCTCCGGCAAACTCTTCAACGGCCAGATCGAACGAATGCAATCGGTCGACAAAAAGCGAAGCCCAAACTAAAACCCGGTCATAGCTGCTTCCCTCCGGTGGGAGCTTGCTCATTCGCTCCGCCCGGATCCAATCAACAAGGGTCGAATGAGTTGCATTGATCAGTTTGGCAGAAATGAGAGAATCCATTTGATTGCTGTTTCGCCGACGGAGAGAGTTGACAACGTCGGCCAGGTTGGACGGTTCAGCACTCAGTTTCCGGGAGCCTCGTCGCGACGCGACGGAGTTGTACACTCGACTTGAGACATTGTCACTTTCCAGGATCCCGGAAACCCGTCTACTATCCATGACGGTGGTTGGGGACAGAGGGGAACCGAAAGTGTAGTGGACGTTGGGTTGGAAGGATGTAGCCATTGGGAACGATTGAAAGATTAGATATATTAAGACGATTAGTGGGGTTAGAAGTATGGATTGGAAGTCACATAAGCGTCAGAAAAGGGGTAGGCTTAGAATATTCGTAGCATTAGATACGGATGTCGTAAAACTATCGTGCCACAAGTGACATCCCAAGATGGTTGTTTATATGCTTAGTCTAGGGGGTAAGACTCGATTGCAACCAGGGAACCGCCAATCCATGATACCATGGCAGACGTCAGCATGAAAAAGAGGCTGTCCACTACCATTATGCACGAGTGCTCATAAAGCAGCTGAAGGCATAAAGCATGGCCGGGAGATGGACTTTCCGGTAGCCATGCTGCTCCATGGGATGGCCGTGTATGGATAGAGCTAAATATAGGTGCGAGACAGACCATGTGTTACACAGATCCCAAGCCATGGCTTTGAGATCCACCAGATGAGACGGAGTAAATCGGTCTTTCACCCTTAGGGGCATCATGTGTGCATCATGAACTGACAATTCCCGGGGTATGTTGTGGCCGGTTCGCGCTAGAAGTTTCCACTGTATAGAGGTCTGTCGCGTCGATGCATATAATGCGTATCAGAACACCGTCGGTTGCTCAATGAACGATTCTACACGCATTGGAATCTTGGTGAATCCCAACTTGACTCAACAGACCGTTTCTTTTCGATTTCCCATTTCTGCCCGTTGTTTGTATGGGATTATCCCAAGTCCGCGCTGAGTTATGTCATGGCAGTGAGGCCAAGCGGGAATAGACCATGGTTTGGAGTATCCAGCATCGCTAGCTAGAGATCGAACAATGGAGTAAATGCCGATTCTCCGCGGTATCCGCCTGAGGGATACCAGGCGGGTCACGCCGACGCAGTTCCAGAGTCCCCTTGCAGTTTGAAACCACCGGACCCATGAAGCATGAGCACCCTCTGCCCGCCCAGCTGGTAAATCATAGACATCGAATCGGCACCAGGCGGATAGGTGGTGGTGTTCTTGTCAGTATGATTAGGGTTAGGTGGAGATCCCGCATGCGGAAACCCCAGGATCTGCTCGGCCATTCCGATTACCCGAGACGATGTACTTTGGATCTCTGACAGAGCAATGAATTACGATTCGTGGACGAGACCGGACTGGTCGTCCGCGAATTATGTGGAGGAGTAGTGGCATTGACTTTGTTATTTCTCACTGTATCCGGCGGATGGGGTGGAATCAAGTGCACACACTGATTGGAAATGGCAGTTAATGTCCGAACAGGCCTACTTGAAGCTCTGATGATCTGTTGGTGTGGTCGCTGTACGTAGCAGATATATGTCAGGATAGCTTTCCAAGACAAATTGTCATATGCCGTGTCCTTCAGTGCTCATCGGTAGCCCAAGAGTTAATGGCTCCTTCTCTAGTATCAATGACAACACCTGTTGGTATATCAGCTAGCCACCTTTTCTATGTGGACACACTATGACGTTTTTGCGTATCGCAGGTCTGAGGGGTTACTTTTGCGCGTAGACATGGAATGGGATTATGCAGAAGCAGCAACTAAGCGAATCGAAGAACCCATCAGAGAAAGGCAAAATGCCACCTGCATGCGCCAGTGAGATCATATCCCCAAAACCAGGCCTGATGAGTTACAATGGCGGGGATATGGATCTCCGTCCCACACCCGCAATGATCTTATACGTGCAGCGGTAGAATCCAGGTTCGACGATAGCTCGCGCCCTCTTTCCAGACATGAATTCTTCGACCATTTGTGCCGTCGTCATCCACTCAACGCCCTCATGCGAGTTGATTATCAATATTGGATGATGTTCTCATGCATCAAAATGACCGGTGGTTCCCGCTCACCTCTGGATGCGTAGTCGTGGGGAAGAACGTGTCGTATTCGCGATAGAAGTAATCACTGCTTCTTCCAGAGCATGCGATACTATCCGGATTCATTGAGTTACTACGATACGAATTCCTCTAGAATGCGAATGCTTGACTTAGAAGTATTCCATGCAGACGCTGTCCAGCACCTCTGTTTCTTACCGAGCAAGCTACTCGGAAATGCAGCAAGCATCAGCCTGCTACTTTTTACTCAGAAGCAGAGTTACAGAATAGATTTGCTGGTGTGCTTCACAGAAAGGGAAGTAGGAAGCAGAGAGAGAAGCGGCTTCACTACCTTCATCTCTCCCTTTATCTCTTACCTTCTTTACTTAGAAGCAGAGTAGGAGGATTGGTCTACCAGTATGCGTCACAGGGAGGGAACTAGAAGGTAGATACCAAGCCGCTTCACTGCCTTTACCTCTTACTTCACCTCTCACTTTATCTCTCTCTCCCTTTAGGGCAGTCCCCCCTGTCAGTGACAGATCTCTTACCATCTAGCCGGCCGCCTTTCAAAGATTCACCGCACAGCCCACTGTCCAAAGCCATTGCTTCCCAATCAACTATTCCGTCTCTCTTACCATCTTCCCTTCGCACCACCTCTATCCATCGCTGCTCAGTCCAGCTATCTCCAGTATTCTTCACTACCATCGACCGAATCCCACTACCACTACTTGCAAGGACAATACAGATCCAAGCGTTTCAACCAGTATGTTCGAATCCCTAGGCGAGAGACGCCGGGGGATTGCTAGCCCCGCCACAGTACGGCGAATGCCCAAGCTGCCAGGCTACGGCCCAGGAACGGATCCCATCACTGGTCCAGGTCCTCATCTTTGACCACACCGGCGAGCCGATGGAGTTACTACGCCTACGCTTTCATCGCGCCATGACCCTCCAGTGTCTAGGGGACCAGCTGATGGTGCGGTGGCCGTCTACAGGACATTGACTGATTACCGATATTGTGGAGGGCTCCGTGAGGGTGAGGGACGAGACGCGCCATACCTGGCCCGGGGGCGGGCTGTACTGCTGGGAGTATGCCCTGCTTGTTCACTCTGCGTGGCAACAAACTCAAGGGAACAGTCACGCGCGTAGCATTACACCTCGATTGCCGTCCACTCTCAGGGTCATCTGTTTGTAAACTAACAACTCAAGGCCTGCATCACGCACTTTGCAGAGTCGGCCTGGGAATGACTCCCGCGAATGTGCTGGAACGAACCAGGCGGTTTCGATTCCATATTTATCCCACAGTTTTATGCGGCGGTATACTTTCACTGTTCCCCGAGTTCCCTTGAGATACGTCTGTTGGGCCAGAGAGAGCTCCTGAGCATGCTCTCGTCAGCCTGGATGGAGGCATTAGTGTAGTTGGCTGTAGTTATATATACCGGTGCATTAACCGCCAACTTCCCGTAACCACATCTTTGCCACAGCCCACTAGCACGCATGTTTCTATGTTGCCTTGCGTTGATGGTGGATCCGTATTTACGGCTAATTTTGAGGAAGGAAGAGAGGCCAGAGCGAACGACTTTTGCTACATGTCGATCACTAGCTATAGCATTGGGGTAGCTAATGCATGTCTTAACACACCTAGCGACCCCTCAACAGCAGTCCGACTATCTGCACAATGCAAGAGGGGCTTCGGCACGCACTATCCAGTTGGGGTATGTTCGGCTGTGAAGATAGCTGTGGAATGTCCTACTCCAACTCTGTTGGAGAAAGCCCCATACGGTTATCTCCGTCGGATGCTACAAAAGGGGCGATGTCCTGCCACATGGACTGGCAGAAATTCTACTGTTTAATGAGCTGATATAATTGCCTTCTACATTGCATTGGTTCTTGACAGCGCATTCTGATAGACCTTGAAGATTGTATACTCATACGTTGCTCCAACCGACTCCAACAGCTACCAGTATGCCACTCAAACATATTATGTGCCGGGGCACACCCTACGAGGTATTATTCCACATGCCGGAATTGAAGCCAGCTCAACACAAACATATTGACGAGATGCACACAGATCGGATACCTTCATGGTACCAATGCACGAGACGAGATAGCCCGAGCCGTGGAGTTCTACGCCAAACTTTTTATGAAGCATAGCAAACTTTCATGGCCAGAGGTTCAAGCCTTAGCCAGCGACTTTGACGGTGTGATCCAATCGAAATGGCCGCGATACTATCAAGAGCTCAAAGGTTGGGTCCTCCGATGGCATCATGCGACGGAGACGCTGATATGCTATGTCGCCACAGGAATCGCCGATGGAGCAGGCCGTCAACTAAACGATATAATTGCCTTGAATGTCCGCACAGAAATCGTCTTTGGTCAGTTCAGTGATGGATGCACAAGCCTTTATTACCGGGGTGATGGTAGTGTCTATATGGGCCAGAACTGGGATGTGCGTTGCTCTCCTCAAGGACCCTATCTATCGAACGACGTCTGGAGACTAACGAGCTCGTCAGTGGATGGAGGAGCAAGCAGTCAACCTGATCCACGTTACCATCGTCCAAGATGCTCTACCAACCATCGAAATGATCACGGAGGCAGGAATGATTGGTAAAATTGGACTCAACGACTGTGGTGTAGGAGTCTGCTTCAACGCAATCCGCGCCAAAGGAATGGACAAGTCACGGGTGCCCGTCCATCTGGGTCTTCGTATCGCTTTGGAGAGTAAATCCACCGTTGAAGCGGTAGAATCTTTGGAGGGGATCGGAATGGCGAGCCCAGGGCACTTTTTGATCGGGGATCCTACGACTGCTGTCGGTCTGGAGTTCACCTCGACCACGATCGCTCGCGTTCCAGTTAACAAGGAGGGGTTTGTGGTGCACTCAAACCACATGCTTCTTCCTCACGCGGGTATCTATGAGTCCAAGTGGCTTGAGGACTCTCCGGTACGCATAAAAACTATGGAAAATAACATTCGTGCATCACCACAACCCTTATCGTGGCCGTCCTTTTGCAGCTTGTTTGAGGACGAGAGCAACTACCCCACGGGGATCTGCAGGGCGTGTGGTGGAGATGGCGATATCGCGACGTTGTTCAATATCGTCATGGATTTGAATGGTCCAAAAGGGATCATCCGAATGGGCCGGCCTGTTCGTGGTGAGCAGACAGGGGAACGAGTTGAGCTTAGATTTGATAACCAGAAATAGTAGACTGCACGAAGATTATCTTGTCTTCTGGAATCGAATGAATGTAGGTGAGGGTATAGTAGGTACCAAACAGACCGAGGGTAGTGGTCTGCTCACCACTGATTCTTGTTATCATCTGTAGGATGTACTCTGTATAGCATTACAGCAATATCACTGCAGGAGAACACTCCAAACACTCCTCTCGTGTAGAAATCCCGTGTTAGACTACCCCGCCGAGGATAAAAGCACCGGATCCAACCGATTGATAAGCCATGCGGAGAAGGGGAAGAAGATAAGACCTCCGTCTTCATCACCTCCAATCCCCCTCATCCTTCCTATGTAGCGACGACACATCAGCCTGTTCGTGATGCCTTCATCGGCCGCTGCTGCTCGGGCAGGAACCTCCTGTCGGCGCTGCCACCGCCGCAAAAAGAGATGCGATCGAACGCTGCCACAGTGTGAAACCTGTCGCAATGCACAAGTCTCCTGCAGCTTTCTCGACGATGAGCGCCAAGTAGGGACCTACTCAATTTCGTATGTATTGTTGTTCTTATCCATGCTGCTTAGGTCTTGGGGACTACGGAGTCATCTGCTGATACCCGAACACAGATATGTGCAAGGCCTTGAGGCCCGCGTGCGTGACTTGGAGAGACGACTGGCTTCAGCTGTCGCATCTTCGTCCTGCCATGGTGGATCTGAGTCTCAGTTCAATTCGTTTCCAACAGACCCGGCAATGGTGGACTTTTCCACCTCTCCAGGTGTAGATGCGGTTTTGGAGAACCTCGCCGTCCTTCCTACTATCCCGGTTGTGCCATCCCAGGAGCGATCCGAATCTTTAGTCGACGAGTTGAAGCTACTGTCCCTTGAAGCAACAGCCGAACGGCATCTAGGATCGTCATCGGGCCTGTCATTTGCACGTCTCACGCAAGCAGTCCTTCGCCGTCTCTCCCCGGACAAAGCAGAGTTTGTGTTTGATGGAGAGCCAGAAATCGACCCTCACCCGGAGCAAAGTCTGGCCTGGTCGCCTGGATCAATCATTGGGCCTTCTGGCATCGTCGATTTTGATGCGTCGCTGCTATACAATCCGTCGCTATTCACAGAACTTCCACTGCCGCATCTCGCAGAACACGACGCCGTTCTCGCCGACCTGAATTTCCCCGACCGGTCGCATATCAACTATCTGATCGAGTTTTACTTTGCTCACTCGCACACTTTATATCCGATCATCCGTCGCAATGAGTTCCTGTCTACGTTGTGGCGCATCTATGCTGATCCTACCGACCCCCTGGCTCAGTCTCCTCTATGGCTGTTTCGCATCTGGATGGTCTTGGCTATTGGGTCAACTACACACTCTTCAGTTTCTCTCGTGGATGAATCCGAGTCAGTGCTATATTATAACAAGGCGATGGTGTATTTTGAGGCCGCTTTTGGATACGGGGACATGGTATGTCCATTCAAGAGGTGGCAGGTGAACGCCTACTAACGTCACTAGGCAGCGTTGGAGGTATTGATGCTCCAAGTTTCTTACTCGTTCTTCAACCAGATAGGACCGAGTGAGTTCAATCCCTATGCTCCTTGATCTCTGCTGACGACCTAGATACCTGGTTCTTGGTGGGAGTCGCTGCGCGCATGGCTATCGGAATGGGGCTGCACACTGCGACAACATATGAGAGTCTGCCTACCGATATTGCCGAGTATCGCAAGCGAATCCTCTTTTCATTGTATATGATGGACCGGTGTGTGCTCTTCGTTCACCATCCCGAGCTACAACCTAATTGATCTGGATGCAGCGTAGTGTCGATGGCTCTCGGTCGCCCGTTTGCGATTCACGACGATGATGTTGATGTAGCGGTATATCCATCCTGTACAGAGACGATCAGTGTGGTACTAACATAATGTAGCCCTTCACAGACGTCGATGACGAGAACATTCACCCCGACGGAATCGTTCCCCACGACGGTCTCCAACCGTCAAGCATGGCAGTGCCACTCCACATCCTATCTCTAAGAAAGATCGCCAGCGACATTGCCAACAATGTATACTCAACCACCAGGACAAGTCGAATGAGCCCGGCAGAGCGTGAGGAAACCCTCCAGGCCATCCACCGCAAGCTTGTCGACTGGCGCCGCAATATGCCATTCCCCCTGCCCGATGTACATTCTCAGGTGCCTCACTTGAGCAGTAGCTGGTTCGACCTCAACTATTACACGCACGTAGCGATGCTCTACCGGCCGTCTCCCCTGTTTCCCACCCTCGACCAGTCCAAAGTAAAGGTGCTGGCCATGGCAGCGGCAATGTCCATTCGCCAGGCGATTAATATGCACCGTCAGCGGAGGTTTGCCTATAACTGGCTCAACCTGTTGGGAGTGTTCACGTCGACGCTGTCCTTGATGTATGCGATCACCGCTCAGCCAGATAACTTGGCCAGTGTTCTTGGAGAAACGAAGGCGGTCGATGATTTGGAGCTGGCTATTGAGCTCTTGGATACTTTTGGTAGGAAGTTTCCTGCTGCAAAGAAGATTCGTCGGATGGTCCAGGAGGTCCTGAAGCGGTTTCAGGGGGTTTGCTGTGTTAGCCCATGATCTTGCTGAACTATTTAAATTGCCACGTATCATGTACTACCATCCCTCTCTCGTCGTAACAAGTGCCACGTCGTGGTATGCATGCACCTGTTATCAGCCAGTGACCCCGTATCGGTGACATCAGATCCTGTCGGACGGGCCGACGATGCGAACGCCGTCTATCGCAATGACCGCCGAGCTGGGACGACCAACAGTGCTACTAGGGTTGAAAACGCAATTACAGACTAAGATTCAAAGCGGACTATACGATGCTGTATTGACATAAAAGGGAAAGGAGCCATCGCTGCAGACTGTCACGTATCTAGGATCGCAGCAAATCCAACATGACAACAACGCATGATACGGCATTCATCCCGAGCTTGGCTTATCGCATCCAGGATGGCCAGGGCTCTACGATCCTTGGTATAGCAGGCGTCATCGCTTTGCTGTCATACCTGGTCTACAAGGCATGCTCCATCGCCGTGCCTCCTCTGCGCGCCCGACTAACACCCCCAGACCACCATCGCAACCGACATCCCCTTCATCAAAGGTCTACCCGAAATCCCCGGTGCCGTACCGATCTTCGGCCATCTCCTCAAACTCGGAGACGACCATGCCACCGTGTGCGAGAAATGGTGGCGCCAGTACGGCCACTCCGTGTTTCAGATCCGGCTGGGAAATACCAGGGCCGTGGTCGTTAACTCGTTTGAGGATTGTCGGAAGATGCTCCTCGGCCACCAGAACGCGATTATCGATCGGCCGACGTTGTACACATTCCACGGCGTGATCAGCAGTACACAGGGCTTTACGATCGGGTCTTCCCCGTGGGATGCATCTTGCAGAAAGAAGCGCAAGGCGGCGGGCACAGCGCTGGGACGTCCAGCACTCCGCAGCTACTACCCCATGTTCGACCTGGAGAGTTACTCTATTGTGCGAGACCTGCATCGCGACAGTTGCGATGGAGAGGTGGAGTTGAATGTGCGCCCGTATATCCAGCGGTACGCGCTGAACACGACATTGACCCTCTGCTATGGGATCCGAATGGATGCGGTATACGACGAGCTTCTCCGCGAGATATTGTACGTTGGGTCTGCTATCTCGCTGCTGCGCAGCGCCTCTGAGAATCTCCAAGATTATATCCCGCTTCTGCGATACCTGCCCAACAACGAAAAGAACGCACGGTCAAAGAGCCTGCGCGAACGACGTGACAAGTACCTGGATCTTCTTCTCGATAAGGTGCGGGATATGATCAAGAAGGGCACCGACAAGCCCTGCATTTCCAGTGCAATTCTGAAAGACGAGGAAACCAAGCTCAACGGAGTGGAAGTGTCGTCTATCTGTCTTTCGCTAGTGTCGGGCGGTTTCGAGACCATCCCCGGGACGCTCACCTCCGCCATCGGGTCTCTATCTACAAAGGAAGGTCAGGTGTGGCAAGACCGCGCGTACGAGGACATCAAGCGTCATTATCCAGATATCCGAGACGCATGGACGAGCTGCTTCGTGGAGGAGAAAGTACCGTACGTCAATGCCATTATTAAGGAGGCAGGCAGATACTACACTGTCAGCGCTATGAGTCTCCCCAGGAAGACCGTCACCGAAGTCAACTGGAACGGCGCTATCATTCCCCAGAAGACGATGGTTCTGATCAATGCTCAAGCCGGCAACCATGGTATGACCCTAGCCCTTCCAAATTGTGCCCCCCGCTGACAGTGTAGATGTCGACCACTTTGGTCCCGACGGCGGCAAGTTCGATCCGGAAAGATGGTTGAAGACGCTGGATCCTCCGACTGAACGCGAAACATCCGGACTGAATCACTTGAGCTTTGGAGCTGGATCCCGGGCGTGCTCGGGTCAGTATATCGCTTCCCGGCTCCTTTATGCTGCTCTGGTCCGTATTCTTTCATCGTATAAAATTGTGGCCAGCGAAACAGAACCGCCAAATACAGACTATGTGGACTACAACCAGTTCAAGACAGCGTTGGTGGCGATTCCTCGCGACTTCAAGGTCAAGCTCGTTCCTAGGGACCCCGGCATGACCGCGGAGTGTCTGGAGACGGCCGAATTACGAACAAGGGAGCATTACAAGGAATGATTGTGGTTTGTCAGTGGCGTGGTTAACACTGTGTTACTTAAGTATTGTCTGTGTTGTTAATCTGGCTAGAGCGATGAAATCTGTGCCCAATAACCGCTCCGTTCGGAACGTCCGACAGCTGATTTAGTGGGAAACAAGCATATAAGTTAGTTGATGTGCAGAAGTTTCACATAGCTTTATTTATAATGACCATTGCGTTCCTGATTACCCATCACGATCTATAGAATGTCGACCCTCGACGTATCCTCCCTTTTTGGGGTCAAAGGCCGTGTAGCTCTGGTAACCGGAGGAAGTAGTGGGTTGGGCTTCATGATTTGCAAGGTAGCCGCACACATCCTTCCTATTGATGATTAGCTCAATGATATCTAGGGACTGGTGGTCAACGGAGTCAGGGTCTATCTGGCTGCTTTACCCACTGACCCGATCGACGAAAAAGTCAGAGAACTGAACGAGCTTGGAAGGGCGTCTGGAGGAGTTGCAGAAGGGTTGAACGCGTGTCTCAACGATCCTGAATAATATGCTCACCAGCTACAGTATTGCCTGCGACCTGTCCTCCAAAGAGAGCATCGCCGCCCTGGTCAATCAGATATCCCAACGAGAAAAGCACCTCGACATGCTCATTTCCAATGCGGGCATTCGACGCGACCCTCCCGTGGCCTGTAATGTGTTAACGGCGTCGCTATCGGAGCTGCAAGCCTCGATGTGGTCTTCTCGATACGACGACTGGGAAGCTACATTCCGGATCAACACCATTGCGCATTACTTCCTATCTGTTGCGTGTCTGCCATTACTTACTGCGGCTGCAGAGATGGATTTGGGAGATGGTCGCAAGGGCAAAGATGATGGTAGGGGAGTGGTTGTCATGACCAGCTCCTGTGCCAGCATGCACAATGCTACTAATGTCGATCTGACCAGCTACGCCACCAGCAAGGCCGCCACGGATCATCTGGTGAAGCTGTTGGCGGCCAAGTTTAGCCGGTTTTACGTGCGGGTGCTGAGCATTAACCCAGGATGTAAGTTGTCGCTTTCGCTGCTGGAACTATACTGACTGCTTAGTTGTCCCGAGCAAGATGAATCCTGTTGGTAAAGAGGGGAATATCTTCAGCAATTTATTTGACAAGGTCCCAGCAAAGAGAGCTGGTAACGAGAATGATATTGCTGGGGCAATCATTTATTTGACGAGCACCGCCGGGGTGAGTATGCCTATCATGTTGTCTACCTTCTCTAACGAAGATAGGCTTATATCGATGGTGTCTCTCTGTGCATTGATGGGGGTCGCATACTTCTGGCAAACGGACAACAATAATGGCTCCGGAGCACCAACATCGTCATGCCTAGACACTCTTGCGCAGGAATCTGTCAATAACTCCATCCATCCAATCTAAGTCCTCTTTGTTACTCCCAGCGCCAGCCAAGTGTCCCCAGACAGAGGGCATGACCTGTAGCGTAGCGTCTGGTATCATGTCCCTCTCTTTCTCGCTCGCTCGCCAGTCAAAATACTGGTCCGTTTCGCAGGGCATCAATAGTACCCTCGCCTTGATAGTCGCGAGGGTATCCCGAATCGAGCTGCAACCATCCCCACGACAGCTACTAACATCAGAATGCTGCCACATCCGAAGCATGATGAGAAGGTCCTCCGCATCCCAGCCCTCGTAGTTCTTATCCGTCACGGCGGAGTCCCACTCCTGCAGACTGTCGTACCCCATAGTCCTAAACAATTGCTCTTCGAACCAAGCAGCGCTGGTCAGCCAGGCAGAGTAGGCTTTACCAAACGCTCGCAACCCGCGCCGTGGCTGGACCCCCTGAATCTTGTACGTCCCGTCCACGTAATCAACTGAATTTCCAAGCGCGGCTTTCGGGCCTTCCAAGAACTGGTAGTTGTGAAGACTGGTTCGAGCAGAGGAGCAGATGATGACGGCGTTCTTGACAAAATCGGGGAACATCACGATCCAGTGATAGGCGCATTGTCCGCCCATGGAGAAACCGACAATCGCATCGATGGCTGGTATACCCAGATGCTGGAGGAGCTGGTATTGGGCGCGAACACAATCACAATAGTCGATTGATCCTGCAAAAGCGGGTGTGTTTGACGGACTTGACGATTCCCCGTTTCCAAATAGCGCGACGACGATAATACGGTGGTCGTGTAGGGCGCCATGGGAGAATGTCAGGGTTGAGTTGATGCGGCCCCGGAAACAGGTCGGAATGAGCGCAACTTTTGATGCGCTGGGGTTGATGACTTGATATGCCAGGCGGACATTAGGCACGTTTGTCCCATCCTGGAAGATGAAGTTCGGGATATCGAAATAGTCGACTTGGTTGTCACCCATTATGCCGGTCGGCGATTGGTATCAGGTTTGGGTTTGTCCGTTGTACTTGAATCGCCTCTATGGTCTCTATTTCTGTAGGTAGTGCGTTCGAGGTATTCAATCTCGGCTCTCTGGACTCCTCTTCGCCGTCGTTTGCAGCATCGGACCATCCGACTCCCCGCTCGGTAGGGGCGCTGTCGATAACGAGGCGTCGAGTCATGGACGATAGACCGCCCATTCTCAGGCATTACAGAAATATATTCCATGATGATCATCTAACTGACGTGCCATTAGGTAACAGCATCACCATGTAAGAGTTGTTGATGCCACGATAGTTGTCGGCCACTCCGTCTACTACTACTCCACCACCGCCTATAACACCACCAAGTGCAGAGTCAACCAAGAATCCTCCTAACCGTCTTCGCAGATATTCCCAATCATCAAAATGCATCCCAACGGACAACCCTTCCTCCTCGACCCCAACGCCCCCGAAGGCCCAACCCGCTATCCCCATGCGCGCATCGCGCCTCCCTCCACACACCACACGGTCTACGTCTCCGGCATGGCATCGCGCCTGGTGGACGGTACATACGCCGGGGTCACAGAGCACGCCGACGGGACATACACTTTGGATATCCGAAAACAAACCGCGGCGGTACTTCAGAACATCGACGACATCATCAAAGGAGCCACCGAGGGCAAGGGAGGCATTCGCAACGTGATCGACGCCGTGGTGTATATCCTCGATATGCAGAATTACGCGGGCATGAACGAGGAGTGGAATAAGGTGTTTCCCGATCGTGTCAGTGCGCCTGCTAGGGCGACGATTGGGGTGAAGGAATTGCCGGATCCGCGGTTCATAGTGGAGGTTAAAGCGGTTGCTATTGTTGATTTGTAGGGTGCATAGGGTGGTATGCTCTGGGAGTGGTATCTTAGGCGAGTCATGCACGCTATGGGGACAGTCTTGTGTGTTCTCAGTCAATCCACATATTATTCATCTTCATCTAACTGGGTATGTACACATAAGCGAGGGAATGTATCATCTGCGACATAGCTGGCGTAGCATCATAACTACCCGTCTATTCACAACCTTGAACTAATGTAGGACAGAGCAGAGCACGCGGCTACTGCTTCTCGGCGACACTCTGGTCATTGTCACTGCTGAGGCCGGACTCGTTCTGGTCCGGCGGCGAAGAATCGTTCAAATCCAAGCCCAGCTCGCGGGACTGCTGGGTGATCTCCTCGAGGCTGAGCTTCGGCATGTCCTTGGCGACCATGAACGGCCACTTCTTCTCGACATGCGCCTTGGCGTAGACGATATCGATCTCTTCGAGCTCGCGGCCGGCGGTTTCCACGAAGAAGAACCAGCCGAACGGGACGCCGATCAGGTTGATCAGGGCAAAGAAAAGATACACGCCCCAGCCGCTGCTGGCCGCAAACAGCGGGGTGAACATGACCACAGCAAAGTTGCAGATCCAGTTGGTGCAGGTCGAAGCCGCGGCACCGACCGTGCGGGTACGCAGCGGGTTAATCTCAGGCGGGTAGATCCAGGGCAGAGGCAGGAGGGTGAAGGCGAAGAAGGTGATGAAGAGGAAGATGCCGACAATCGCGCCCTTGGAGTTCTCCGTGGTGGGCTTGATCAAGCAGGCAAACGTAATCACGAAGCTGAGGCCCTGTCCGAGGAAGCCGATCAGGTAGAGCTTGCGGCGGCCAACCCGTTCAACCATAAAGAAGGAGGGAATCGTCGCAAGCGCATAGACCGTCGCGAACACGCCGCCCATGATCAACGCCAGCCGGTGTTCGAGGTTGAGGTTCTCCTCGAATAGCAGCGTCGAATAGTAGATGGCCGCGTTGCAGCCAGTAAACTGCTGGAAGAACTGACCGGAACAGCCCACGAGGAGACGCTGGAACTCCTGAGTCTTTCCAAATGTGAAGACAGTCTTCCAGCTTGCCTGCGAGGCCGAGGTCATTTCAACGTCGGCTTTCATGAAGTTGAACTCGGTGAGGACTTCGTCGGAGTCGGGGGTAGAGTTCTTCAGCTTAGCGATCACTTCGCAGGCCTCCTTGTGATATCCTCGCATCACGAACCACCGCGGCGATTCCGGGAACATCATCGCGCCGGCTGCCACGATCAACGCGAAGAACACCTGCAGCGCCACCGGGAACCGCCACTGGACGGTCTCCGGGACATAGGAGAGACCAAACACGACCCAGTAGGCAATGAAGGTGCCCACGGCAATCATCGCGCCTTCAAAGCACACCAGCAGCCCGCGGTTATGCGCGCTGGAGCACTCCGACTGCCAGACGGGGATGGTCGCCGTGTTCATGCCGTTTCCAAGACCCGAAATCACACGGCCCACGACGAACTGCCCGAGACCCCATTGGGGACCAAAGGCCGCCGTCGAGATCACCGCGCCGATGATCAGGACCAGCGCGCCAGAAAAGATGATCCGGGTGCGGCCGATCTTCTCACCAAAGAACATAGAGAACAGCGCGCCGAAGAAGCAGCCGATCTCATAGCAGGCCGTGACGGCGCCACGGATGACGTTGATATGCCGGTACGTCGCATCGTCCGGGTTATCGGGCATGGCCAGAGTACCGAAGGTTTTCGTGAATTCGTCGCCGGCAATAAGACCCGACATCATGCCCTGGTTGTATCCGAACAGCGAAAAGCCCATGACAGCCGTGAAGGTGATGGACGCGCGGAGCAGACGCCCCGACGTACCGGAGGTGGTTGTCCACATACTGGCAGGCTATGGACAAGGGGTATAACCAGAGGAACTAATAGAGGAAAGAAAAAGTTGGAGTTACCCCAGCACGGAGCAACAGGCGCCCTCTTATATATGCTGCATGCTCCCGCACGACTTGGCGCCTGTCTTGGCCGAACGCAGGCGTGGATCAGCCTGGTCTCGGCATGGGTGGATGGAGGCAACTGAAGCGAAACCCACTCGATTCATCTCTGCTCTTGGCCTGCCCACCTGATGGACCCAACGGCAAAGACCCTGGAGAGCGTGCAAAGAAGCATTGGGGTGGTCAGACGTGGGCATCCGCCTGGGCACCCCGGGGGGAAGATGCGGGAGGAAGTATAGCCCGCACAGTATTGTGTATTATGCCGTACATATTCAGAGACAGTAAGTCAGACAGATAGACAGAAGTACTGTTTGTTTCTTTCTGCAGATAGTCCTAGGTAGCTACTAGCTATTGGAGGACGGCCTACTAGTCATGTCCCATACCATATGGGCTACCTCCCGACCCTCGGGCTCATGCCAAATGATATTGGATATTGGATGTCTTGTCGGTAAGAACCGGCTCCTACAACACACTGCCAATTCGGCCGGTCCGTCGGCGGTCGGCAGACGCAAATGGTCGGTTCTGTGCTTGTACCGCATGGCACGGATGGCTCTGCTGGACCGGTCCACGATTATACTCGTTTTGGGTATATGGACCCTTGGAGACAATCTTGGCGTACGTGCCATGCATGTGCGTTCCGACTAGAATGATATCATCCGGCTGGGGAATAGGGAGAATGAGATGAAGCAAAGTTGAACATGACTATATAGGTCGGTGATTCTACGTAGATGTCCTGAAATTACCTGATGTACTTCATTCTCCATAAGTCCATCTTCAATCAACAGTCGCCTGGCCTCTTTCTCTGAATCGACAGCGCTATTATTCATTCTACTCCATACCTTACCCATAGCTACCAGGTACTAATATCCGAGATGGATTCCGCCAGGGCCAATACTCCCCAGCCGGGGTCGCTTGCGGAGGCCACCGCAGTTGACGCAGCACGCCGCTCCACCGCAATCTCGCGACGCCATCCCCGACCGTCACCATCGGGTGGGATGGAGAAGGCTCGAAAAGTTTTCAGGCCCTGATCCAGTCAGCGGCCAACGCCGGAACCCACTCGGGCTCGGCGACAGGGGGGCCGAAGGGGCAGCAACGAGCGTTAATCGCGGATCACATTACGGACAACCTAATGCAGGCTCGGAGACATGGGGCGGCGGAGATCTTTGGTTGGCATTGCGACGGTGGCCCTCGTGCGGCCAGGCCAAGGGCTGGGCATATCTATGCCGAGAAGCTAGTCGCCGCAATGTTGCAAAAATGGGGGGCCACAAGGAAAGAGAGCCGAGTTGGTCTGATGTCAGACTTTGTGTTACGTTGTCGGGGCATCCTAACAGGTGAAAACGGCGTGCTTCGTTTATTTGGCAAAGGTAGTATTCCGAGATGGATGTCGGGGGGGATCCATCCTTTGACTCCAGAAGAGGCGCTCTCCGGGGGCGGTTCTTGGCGTCCTGGAAGTACTCCGGAGTCCTCCCGCAGGGACAGGACAGGGACAGGGACGGGGTCAGAGACAGGGATAGGGACAGGCATGTGTCGTTGTCTTTGGACTGATTGCTCTATGCTCTGTAAGCTGGTATACTGGCCTGTAGATGCATCTATCCTGCAACACACTAGATCTTCCCCATAGCCCCATATCCCATATCCCATATTCCATATACTATATCCTATATCCTATATCCCGTCTTACACCAGAAAATGCATGCTCATGCCTCACCAACTTCTGTTTGGTGTCTACTCCGTACGCTGTGACATCTGTGGCAAGTCAGCAAGACTGGGACGGCTGCTCTTGGCAGTGGTGGTGGCGGCATGGGAGACTTTCCACTGGTTATGGACATGTATACGGACATACCCGTGGGCTTGGCAGGAGGACGAAGGTGGGAGTGGCTTTTCAAGTCCGTCCTTCCAGCGGATGCTTGCGAGTGCTTGGGCTTTCTTAACAATCCGCTTGCCCTTGGGCCCCTTGGCGAGCGGGCCCTGCTGTGCCAAAGGATTGCTACTTGCCCGCCGCCAAGCCCGACGGATGAAATGCCTCACCATGTGGTTAGAGGGGATGTAGTTGCCAAGTGTCTATCATGCGGCCCTCTCGAGATTTCGATGGCCCTTGGCTTGCCCGTCATAGTCCGTATACATGTGAAGATGTTGTCTCCCACTCATTGTGGTAGGACTTGGTGTGTTAACACCGTCCTCGACAGGTGTTGCCTTCTCGTCTTAACCAAAAACGCAAGTGGGGTATTAGTCAAACCTCAAATAGTGAAATTAAAGAGTCCTGTGTGCCTTTACCTAGGTTAGTGAATCGTGCTCTAACAAGTATGCTGTCAGATGCAGAATCTTCTGCTATGATGTCATCCTCCCTCGAGCTTCCCGATAGGGCAGCGGTATATCTTGGCAGTACAGGCCCGATGATTACCCGGATGACTCATCATCTGCTTAGTCACTACTCTCTCCCTGTTGATGCCATGTTGAGTATACAGTAGATCAAACATTCGCAAATCACTCAGGAAGACAGAGTCCTTCGAGAAGTCGGATATATACTCTCATTTAGAAGCATTGTCGGAATCAGTTCCCCAGGTAATAAGGTGAAGTACAACCATGCAGATTATATATTTTCAGTGGCCAGCATCCCGACACTACTAGCGTAGAACTATGTAACATTATATATACATCGCGTGTTCCATTCAAGCATTATTTGCGCAGGAGAAGCTGGCGCTACTGGGGTTATCATGAAGCGCCTTGCCTGACACGTACAGCCCCAGTCCACACTATATCCGTTAGCATCCACTCAATGCGCGATGAGAGATCCAGGCAACTTACAATACACGCTGCGATGCCCATCAAGATCACATTGAAAATCGTCAGTCCAATCTTCATCGGAGTCGCAAAGAGGCAATCCTTGTTGAGATACAACCAACAGGCGGCGCTCACTCCAACTACACACAGTTAGCGATGGACCAGGAAAGGTGGAGTGGAGGAAAAATACAGGTAAACCAGCTGGCAAACAGAGACGCCTAGTTATACCGGTCAGCTCCATCACAAAACAACAGCGATCAATACCCACAATTAAACTCAACAGGTTGTTGAAGACCGGAATGGCCTCGGCAATGACCCACGCAGCCACCCACAGAACAAGCCCGATCAAAAGCCACGACCCCGTGGCGACGAGATCCTTCTTGTGCATGCGGTCGCCGTGGCGGAAGATCCGCACGTAGACATATTTGGCAGCGACATGGCCGTTCACGACGCCGCCGATGAGAATCTGATAAGCCCGACTTAGCACTATCCAGCGTTTACTGCGAATCCACCTACCGTCGGAAGCGCAATGCCGTATGCAACTTTGGCAACCACAGGGCTGGCTGATCCCAGGGCGGGAGATGTGACATCCTGGCCGGCAAAGCAATAGATGACGACCGCCGTCACGGTGTAGAGAGTGACGTCTGTGCCTTGGAGGAGGAGTAGCGACTTGGGGTACTCATACGGGTCTTTCAGCTCGGCGATGAATCCGAAAAAGGCCACATGGCCACCTGTAACCCATTAATTCTGACACAGTGCAACACAAAGAGTACTTACAAAAGGAGAAGACAATGTTGCACACTGCAAGGAAAGCTTTATACAGGCTTGTGTCGACTGTCGCTTGCAGGCTACCCTGCCAGGGATGGGACACCCCGACGGCGATCATGACAATCAGGACGGTAGAAAAAACACTCAGGAAAGCTGTGGACTTGGTCAGCACGGAGACAGATAAGCTGGATGTTGTGATCGCACAAGCAATGGATAGATACGACACATTGGCCGAGGTGCGCGGAATGCAGAGAATATAGGAGATCACCATTCCCACCACCCCAAACACGATGGAACATGTTCCATGGTCCGTGATCGTGTTCATCGCGACTGTAAACGTCAAGAGATGGCTAGCCATAATGAAGACGACCAGAAGCAGCTGTCCAATTCCGAACAGTTCTCGCCCGAACCGGCCCATCAGAACCTCCCCCGCGTCGGCCATGTTCTGGATATGAGGGTACCGCCATCGAAACTACATACGTTAGCAAAGCGCGCGTCGGTGAATCCATCCACATACCTGTCCAATGGTATATCCTGTATAGGTGGCCATAAGCCCCAAGCCAATAAGAAGGACAATAGCCCTAGTCTCCTGTCAGCACCTGAATGACAGCACATATCATCAGTTGGCTGCTTACGGAACAAGCCCGAGTTCAGCAACGACCGCGGGCAAGGAGAGAATGCCGATGGAAACGGTTTCTGCTACCATCACTGGCCAAATCAGCGCAATGTCAATCATTGATTCCGAGATACTCACAGAATCCGCACTGCCTATAAGACTGCATTAGCAAGTGAAAGAGTGAGCCGTGTCGGGCTACATACCACCAGCTCAAAACCTTGTACTTGACCTCGGCGTGTTCCTCGTCACCAAAGACATCGCTGGACGAGCTCTGCACCTTTTCATCCTGCTTTTCCTCGTCGATATCCTGATATGGGTCCTGGCCACCAACCTCCATCTCCCGACCCAGGTCCGTCGAAGGCGAATAAACAGGAGGGCTCGTCATGGTTTCGTGGAAGTTGCTCAACTCCGCTTATCAAGTATCCTTTACTCCGTAGATTTGAACCTCAACGCAAGTGGAGAAGACCCAACAACAACAGCAGGAGCTCAATGCCAAGAAGTAAAATTTTCTCTCTCGCAGAGTGCTGCTGAAGGTTGTACAAAACTCCAAAGACGCTCAAACAGACAATGGTAGAAATATCGAGCTCCCCGTCCTAGCAATGGGGAAGAACTCCAATGCCGACGGCTCGGTCGATCGTCCAAAATCAAACCATGCGCGATTCAGATTTTTCCTATTATCATTACGAGTGGAATTCTCCAGCGGTGGGTTGACTCCCCAGCTATCCCAAACTGTTACCTAATCTCCCGGGCTCGTGGGTCTTTCCCGCCAGGCACGCCGCGCTCCGTGCCCAATGGGATCCGGCTGGTGGTGTCGAATTCCGAAGGAAAAGCATTTAGCGAGGAGCTGAAGCTGCTTCACGGCCCAGATATGGGGATGCGTGGGTGTTATTCGTGGACGGCGAGGAGCGTACTGCCGGAAAAAGGCTTTATATCGTCAAAAGACCCTGCTGGATCTCCACCCAGCCCAGATTAGGTTGTGCAGATCGTCGACTCCCGAGGAACTAGAGAGCAAGCATTACTCGGGGTGTCTCAGAGGAGTTCGTCTCGGTGTAGCCAAGTGCCGAAGTCTGAGGGAGGGAGAGTGGTATGAGGGTGGCGGATACGGATATCTCTGCAGTATAGGGAAGTCCTTGGTGATCATGCAATGACAGCGAATATCAGTCGAGTTTGAATCTGAGTATCTGGCTAGATTGAGGCCTATTGATTCTACGACGCAGTAGAGATCTAACAGATCGGCAAGATGAATCTCCAAGGGCAAATTACATAATAGTTCACGATTATTATTCTTCAAGTCGATGAAGGTATCATATGAGAGACACATTCCAACAATCTCTCCAACAAGAAATGTAAACGAGCGACCCCATCAAACACAAGTTCAAGCAACTGGCATTCTCCTCGTCCTCCGTGCCACCCTTCGGAGGCTTCTATACCCACTGCCGGAGCAACCACCTACTTCACCGGAAGGAATTTACCACGAAGCATTATCACTATCAAGCGACCAAGGACAACCTGCACTTATTCGTAGTCGTATAACAGCTTCTGCGGTGGCACATCTTGCCGCAAAATATACTTCTTCACATACCACGGCAGCATATGACGATAATGGTTGGCATGGGTCCGCGTGGGCAGCGAGAAAACCTGGTCCAGTTCCTCGAGGGAGAGCGCCTTTGTCTCAGGCAGACAAAAGTAGCAGAACACCCAGCCGAAAAGATTCCACGCGGCGTACCAACAAAAGGCGCCTTGCACAGTAAAGGCGTCTCTCAATGGCAGCCAAGTCAGGGACACGATGAAATTGAAGCCCCACGTTGTTGCTGTGGCGAAAGACATGCCGATGTCGCGAATGTACAGCGGCTACGGCATTGTTAGGGCGATGTGGGTGTAACTAGGGGAATAAGACTCACGAATGCTTCTGCGGAGTACGTAAATGGCACAGGCCCTTCCCCTGGTGAGTAGACTATCATGTAGAGGTAGATACCTGTAGCCACACATGCTGTCCGAGCGGTCTGGTCTGGGATATAGAATGAGAATCCGGTGAACAGGAGAAACAACGACATTAAAGGGAAGGTCGTGAGGAGGAGGTTTCTCCGGCCAAAGGTGTCAATAGTATAGACCGCAGGGAGGGCAAAAATCCAGTTAGTGATACCGCAGCCCAGAGAAACAACAAGAGCCGTCTGGAGGTCAAAGCCTGCCTCTACGAACATGGAGGAACTGCGCTTGTTAGGAATGGGCAATAAACAGGCCAGCGCAGATGATCATACCTGTAGTACATGATTGCGTTTACTCCGCAGAACTAGAACTCAGTTAGCCGGAGATGATCTGAGGGAGTCCCGACATCTTTAACGTACTTGCTGCATGAACATAACGAAAAACGACGACTGCGCTGCACGGCGGTTCCGAGGAACGGTGAACATCTCTCGCCAGAGATGCTTGCCCTCGCGGAGCTTCTCTTCCACTTTCAGCGCGGCATGAATATAGTATAGATCTCTAGACGCCTGGAAGGTTGAAGGACGCAGCTGGCACAGCGCCTTGTACGCGTCCTGATAGCGGTTCCGCATCATGTACCATCGGGGTGACTCAGGACAGAAGTACACCTGCATACAGACGAAAAACGGACTCATATAGATGTCAGCTCCATTCGAGCCAACGATTCTCCAATTGAGCGAGGATAACTTACGGAATGGCCGTCGACCCTAACATCAGCCGCCAGTTGAAGCCGGGGATAGTCGAGTGCGTCACATCCATGAACGCAACAGACGCAATGTACCCCAGCATTATACCAAAAGCCGTCCACATCTGCCACATCATGACGAGCGCGCCGCGAATATTGGCAGGCGAGCACTCCGCACCGTATACCGGGGTGGTAGTAGATTTGGCACCGACGGCAAACCCCAGGAGGAATCGACCCAAGAGGAGATTCCACCAGGTGTGAGCGGCGGCCATCCAGAAGGACGAGGCAAAGGAGATAAAACACGAAATGAAGATACACCCACGCCGTCCGAACCAGCGATTGAGGGGCGCGGTGGTCCAACATCCGATCACTGCTGAGCAGAGGTACGGGGCGCCGTTCAGAAGACCTTGTTTCCACCTGTTGGTCAAGCCGAATTCCTTGAAGTAATACCTTGTAGATGTCAGTTCATGCATTCCATAGCAAGCGAGAAGGGCGTAACCTACTCCTGTGCCCCGTTCACAGCAGTCTGATCCATGCCCTGTACAATGGCAGATCCTGCGCAGAGGACTTTACCAGCGTCAATGAATGTTCAACCGACCCATTGGATGTCCTATCTTACTTGTCATAAAGTACATCATAAATGGCTGGCTCCATCTATGAGTCTTCTCCCGACGGAGCAAGTCCTTCTCATCCTCTGACAACTCGGTCAGCTGCTCGAAGGCCTTGGGATCCTGAGCTACGAGAGCTCCCCGTTTGAGCTCCTCCACGATATGCTCCAACTGCTTCTCGCGCGCGAATTCTTCTATATCGCGAAACAACTCCTCGCGAGTCAGGCCCGCCAAGGGATTCTTCTGCTTTGTAGCGGAGGTAGTCGGTTCGGGACTACTCTTTTTCACATCCTCAGTCCATTCCCGAGCGGTCTCCCCGTTCGAGGAGGACCCCTGCTTGTCGATGGAGCCAGCCGACTCGTCACGATGCGAAGTCAGTGCCGGGGCTTCGGGGTCAACTGGTTTCTCACCCATAACGGTGGATCACTCGCGCAGCACGAGGCAGATCAGGACACCAAATTGTGGGGGACAGGCTTGTCAACACAAGGTGCAGGAGACAACACACAAATAAGAATCAGGAGAGCGGAAGATCTGGGTCTTTGGATCTGAGAACGGCGGGAGACCGATGCATTTTAATGTCTCCTGGGGCTTAGGCGACCCTCCTTTCCCCCGTCCATGGACAGGGATGGTTGCATTGCCATGAAACTATCCCCGTGCCGCATGGTATCCCCGCGAAATCACTGGCTGTCTCCGGATTAGTGAGCCCTCTCTCCACAAGTGTTGCTTTCTCCAGTCATCCATGTCCACAAGGCTACCAAAGCCAAGAGGCTTGGGTCCAAAAGACGCACATGTGGCGGTCTTGGAGTGCCGATGAGCCCAAGGCTAACGGTTAGTGAATGGTTTATCTAATATGATCTGTCCAGCCCGGAGCCAGTGGGTACTACGCCGAAACAGGCTGGTTCAATCAACCTGGACTTTGAAGCCTGCATAAGACAAAGATGGCAGGAGTCGAGAAGACGCCACTGACGAAACGGGGTATTGAGTTGCATCCGAGTCTGAGCCTCAATTATCAAGTACCCCGAAGTACCCCGGCTGTGCCCTCCCTCTGGATAACGGCGACTCCTGGGGCAGCGGTCAGAGCGAAAGGGAGAAGACATTCAGTAGATGACATATTGCCAAGAGTGGCTATATAGGAAGGCTCATGATCCCGGTCCAATGATGCTATTAAATGGGATGGTTGGGAAACTCTTCCTGGGGACTATCTTCGTGTGAGATGCTACACAACACTCATCGCCACAACTGATGAGACATTGACAATAAGAATCAACCATGACTCAAACCCGGAACGTGCCCATGGCTATACTTCCCCGCTTTGGACCGTCCGACCAAAGCCCCAGAGTCCAACTGATCTCGAGCCAGGCAACACTTCTCGGCGGACCTTGGCGCCCAGCAGACTCGGCCAATCCGCCCATCTTCCTCCGCAAGAGGGTGGAAATGGCCAAGAAGATGGGCAGCAAATGTTGCTGCGTCATGCGGTTGATCCCAACCGCGTCCGGAAAGATCGTAGCACCCAAGGCCTGTTGTCGGAGGAGGATGCCGTGTGTTCTGACTTCTTCCGGCTGCCAGCAGGGAGGAGTGCTGATGTCAGATGTTGCCCGGTATAACTAGTCCAATATCGAATTCTGGTACCTCGCACGACCTCCGGCACCGCGTTCGTGCAGCCTTCAGTCTGGTATCTGGCCGCATTGTTTGGGTGACTACATGAGGAGGAGCTACATCCCTTCTCATACTTGCCAATCTTGTCCAGATTGGTAGAAAACAGACCTGATGACAGTCTCGCGTGGGTTTATTTGTGTGTGTTACGCCACACAATCGGGACATCTGGCGAGATGCTTCCTTTGGTGTTGTCTTATTACCCCATTCGACTCATGGCCGTCGCTTGGTTGCGTGGTATTGCAAACCACTACCGAGGTCTTTCGTTGAGGAATTTCATGGATAACTCGGCAAAACAAATAAACCCCTATCTGCATATCGTACAATATATAGTAGTAAAGACGTTGACAAGCTGGTTAGAATTGGCCCAAGGTCTGCTGCAATAGGTCTCAAAATTGATAATGATCCATGTGACACCCGTCCCTCGGAGTAAATCTGGGTTACTACAAACATCAGTAATAAAACTCGGGGTAGTTCAGAGCGCGCAGATTCGCCTAGACCTGACGGTGGAGTCTGATCGAGCGTTGTAGCAATAGTAATATCGGGGCTCATATTTCTTTCGAGTCACTACTCTAACCCAAAAGCTCGATTGGTCTATCCCACAACCGCATGCTTGGACTCTCCCAGTCTTAGTCCAGAGTATAATAGGAATATGTCTGATATCAGAGATTTCATCTAGAGTAATAATCATCACTAGACCGATGACCGAACTGCCGGGCCTCCTTATCTTCGTGATTGATGTTATCATATTCGTGCACATATACTCAGCTAACAAATCTCCAGCCAACAATCCAGCATATATTACTTGAGACATCCCCTCAACAGTAACCAAAACCATTTATTTATGGCCAACTCAATCCATTTCGCCATGTAGGTATCTACAAAGAGGGTGAACAGGACAGGAGACAGCCTTGCAGTTCCAGGTATGCTACGGACATGTCCGGCATGCCTACAGCCGACAGGACGTATGATGAAATCCATTAATCATATTTATTAACAATCTAATAAGCGCCTGTTATCCATATTTGGCCCAATGCTCAATGAGTGGTCTTTTCCATCCTGGCCACGGTGTTGTTTCACTCTGAGTCTGGGTCTGTTTCAAGTCCTGCGTCCCCTCCGCTCTCCCTTGAAGACCCGAGTCAGCCAGAGCAAGATCACCCATCCGATGGCCTCCTATGTTTTCATGTTGTGGGCCGTGCTCATTGTCTCGGAATAATAAACTCATGTGTCCACCAGGTCGATTTGGCCTACACTGTCATTTTGCCAGGAGAGATGAAGCACTGCTAGACCAGATGGCCCAACTGTGTGGCGTACACCCATAAAGAGACCCACACGAAGGTGTCATCGGGTCTGTTCTCTACCGATCTGGACGAAATTGACCAGTATGCATCAGCTGGCGCGTGTTTATCATCTTTGCGGCGCTGAGTTTCTTCTGGATCCCTGCCCTGTACTTCTTCTCTGAGACGAAGGGTTGGAGTTCGGAATGGAGGTGCATGGGACAAAGCTTAGCCCTCTCCTGACAGCATCGTTTGCCGAATATTCATTTCCTGGGCCATTATTATTGGTGTGCTTAGTGGCTTTCAAACGGCCGAGGGTGATCGGTGTCAACTTGCAACAGGCCCCTGCCAGCACTCCTGTTCGGACCTTGACCGGAAACACACAAAGGATCCATCATCTCCCTATTATCTAGTAGATTTACTTGATTGTAAATGTACATTGGCTATCTGGAACCGTATTCGGCCCTAATGACGCTATTTCAGCCCCTGTTGAGTGCCCGTGAAGAACCCGGTGGTTTGGGATAGAGTGCGGAAAAGTCATCCAAGGAGTAAGCCTGTTCGTTGCCAAGGTATAAAGCAGTGAGCTTGGCACGTACAAGCTTCGATCTGTAGCAACCTCAAACGGCCTGTTCTCGTCTTTGCTTTATTCGCATCGTTCACTGAAGTACTCTGTTCGTGCGCTGGCTCGCTGACTTCCCATTCTTTCCACTCTTTTTTCCTCTTCGATATCGACTACATAACAATTGTCTTTCGCTGCCCATCATGCATTACCTGCACTCCGCTTCGCTGATCGCACCGCTGCTGGCAGCTACTAAGGTGGCTGCACATGGCCATGTCACTAACGTGGTCGTCAATGGAGTCTACTATCAAGGATTCGACATTGGGAGCTTCCCGTACATGGCCGACCCTCCAAAGGTAGCGGCTTGGACCACGCCCAATACGGGCAACGGCTTCATCTCGCCAGAGCAATATGGATCTGCCGATATCATCTGCCACGAGAACGCTACCAACGCGCAAGCCCACATCCCTATCAAGGCCGGAGACCGCATCAACCTCCAATGGACGGCATGGCCTGAGTCTCACCACGGCCCTGTCATCGACTATCTGGCTCGCTGCGACGGCAGCTGCTCCACCGTCGACAAAACGAGCCTCGAGTTCTTCAAAATCGACGGTGTCGGCCTCGTTGACGATTCGGATGTCCCTGGCGTCTGGGGCGATGACCAGCTCATCAAGAACAACAACAGCTGGATGGTCGAGATTCCCAAGTCCATTGCGCCAGGAAACTACGTGCTCCGGCACGAGTTGATTGCCCTACACAGTGCACAGACAGAGGGCGGCGCGCAGAACTATCCCCAGTGCTTCAATCTTCAGGTCACCGGCTCCGGGACGGATCAGCCATCCGGTGTTGTCGGAACCAAGCTGTACTCCGAATCTGGTCCCGGCATTGTGGTCAACATCTACTCCTCTCTTTCTTCCTATACCGTGCCCGGTCCAACCATGTACAGCGGCGCCGCCTCCATCACTCAGACCTCGTCGGCGGTAACCTCGACTGGCACCGCCGTGACCGGGACGGGAGGCGCAAGCCAGGCTGCCGTGGCTGTTCCTACGTCGGAGGTGACGACACTGCCGGTCCAAGTCCCCACGACCTTGATGACGAGCGCCGCCACCCCAGTGTCATCCTCTGCGATCCCATCCTCGTCGTCGATCGTGCCTTCCACGTCCCCTACTTCGTCTCCTTCCGCGGGTACATATGGCACGCAGAAGCTGTATGGACAATGCGGTGGTGAAGGATGGGTTGGTCCCACTGCCTGTGGACAGGGTGCCACTTGCCGTGCTTATAACCGGTACTATCACCAGTGTGTCTCTTCCACGAATTAGTTGGCATTGACAGGAAGCCATGGAGTGGTCTGCATACAGCTGTTTCTACCTGAGGAGCCATGTATCTGTATCTACTTCAATGCTATTACATTCCCACCATCATTGCACGTATGTTTTCATGACTCACAGCATTAGGTGAGAGCAGTCGGTGTAAAGCCTCCCGAGAGCCCTAAGTGTACCACCCAAACCAAATGCCCATCACCATGGACCATCTCGCTATTCGAGATGGGACCAGGTCATAATCGGGTCTTCCCGATCGTCATGACAGTCCTCGTAACCTCTTCCTGTCACCGACTCCTCCACACTCATTCTGCCTCGCCTGGCCTTGACCGAGACCGGGCCCCAGTGGAGATGCCCGCGGGGAGGAAACAGCACCCTCTGATGTAGATGAGGGGAGCTGACCTAGCTGAGGTGGCAGTCATTTGAGATATGTCTTTTCATACATCGCCCTCGATCGTTTGATCGATTAAGGGTCCAATTGTTCTTACTTCCCTCCACTTCTCAAGCTGTAGACCATGTAGAAGCACAATTCTGGCCTGTTCCCTAGTGTAAGTGGCCGTATCTTGCTCTTCGGTGTCTCTCCTAACTGAAGTAGAAAACATCAGCTGGCGCGTGTTGATCATCTTTCCGGCGCTGAATTTCCTCTGGATTGCATTTCCCGTTGTGTACTTCTTCTTCCCTGAGACGAAGGGGTTGATGTTGGAGGATATCAACCTGCTCTTCGTCAAGGGAGGTGTTACAGGTGGTGTGCTCTCGTCTCGTGGACAGATAGTGCTGCCGCATCAGCATACCCGGGAGGCGGAACTGGATGCAAAGCAGGAGTCGACGATGATTGAGGATGATTGATATACGGTTATGAATAGACTCATAGATTTATAGACGACAGACAATGATGATGACAGATTATGACCTCACGCCACGCTCGCTTTCTCAGAACGTTGCCTCCCCCAGGTTGGACGCAAAATTGCCATCCTTGAAGGGCACATTGCCGGCACCAAAGTCCGTGTTCTGCAGCGCAGTTCGTGCAACCTCCGGGAGACTCTCCCACGCAATGAGAGGCTGACTGCCCCCTACGGTCGAGGTGAGACCGCACTGGTGGTCCACGGGCCACACACTGTAGTACTTGATCAAAGGCTGGGTGCCGTGGAGGGTATATCCGTCGGTGGAACAGTCCCACCCACCATGGGCAGACGGACACACGGCGAGGATGTTATCTGCGGCCGTGGACGAAGCATCGGACAGCCACACAATCACTCCCTCCCAGTCATGTCGGTGGCCCAGACCCGTCGACGGCTCGTCCTTGGGAAAGTACCACGAGTACATCAGGGCGTATTTGTCGCCCGAGCTGGCTCCGCGGACGTATATCTGTCCAGTGCTGCTGTCGCAGTCCGCGCTGGAGCCGCCGCTGGGGTTCAACCCCGCACTGAGCTGTCAGGTTCGCGTCTTCCAGAGTGATAGGCGGGGACTTACTTGGTGTTACCCTCGGCGTCCACCGCAGGGAACGGAACGCATCCGTTCACGACATACAGCATTGGCTGGTACGCCAGATAGACGTCCCCGGTCGTGCCGTTGGGAACCGTCTCGGGGAATCCGACTACTTTATCATGGTCGATGCTGGCACGGGGGAGAAGAGCGGCGTGTACAAGGGGCAGCAACCCCGTCAAGAGAAGCCGCGAGGATCTCATAGTGATAGGGATGGTGGGAGAGGATGGCCATATTCCACCCCCTTTGTGGGATTTTATACCTAGCGGATCAAGACTAGATACGGAGTAGACTACGATGCATAGATGCATACGATGTTTGCTCATCAGCATTGGTGGGTCATCAATTCTGCCGATGTTCCGCCGCTTCTCCTGATGATCGTTGCTGCTTGGAGAATGTCTCTCCGGCCAACGTGCTGAAGATCCAGTTCCTAGTGGCCATGTGCTACTATAACGGGGGTCATATATGACTCCTATTGACCTGCATATGGAGTTCTCCGTCTACTCCGTAGTCACATTCCGGCTGAGGGGTAGATACCTAGATAGTTGTGTACATGGCTACAGCCGTTTGTTTCACTAGCGCACAGACAGCCAATTATGCTGACAGCAACGGCCACGCATGGCGCCTAGTTAGCAAGCTAAACACGCCCCGTCACTTTCATCCTCCTCCTGTTCCACCGGAGCAGACCCTCAATTCGGCAGACAAGTCAGCAGGTCGCCCAGTTTGTCCAACACCACCGCCTGCATGGTCGCATTGGCATCCCGCTTGTCGCCAGCATTACCCACGGAGATACTCGCATAGCACCCATCGCGCAACACCACCGACGTCTCCGACGGCAGGCGTTTCTCGCCGCAGGTCTCCACATCATCAGGAGTCACCACCGGAATCGCTCCCAGAATCCGGGTCAGGATGAACTGGAAATCGTCGACGCTGGTGCAGCTCGAGTCCGTCACCCGGGGAAAGTTCACGTTCAGCCAGATGTCCTCGGGCAGATACGGCGTGCCCGCGGCCACGAGCCGGTCGGTCACCTTGGCCGCCAGATCCGCGTAGATCGTGCTGTACGCCGGTGTGCTCTCGTTCCAGGCGATGGCGTCGCCCGTGAAGCCCGAGAAGGCGATCGCGGGGATCTTGGCCGTGTGCGCGGCGTAGGTAGTCGCCCCGACGGTGCCGGAGAGAAACACGGCGAGGCCGATGTTAGCGCCGACGTTGGGCCCTGCCACGGCGAGGTCTGGGACGCCGCCAAAGAACTTGGGGGCGAGGGTTTGGATGCCGTGTTTCATGGAGGTGACGGGGTACGAGTTGACGTAGTTCCAGTGCGGCTGGGAGGCGTTGTATCCGTAGGCCTGGCCGGGCGGGCAGCTGTTGAATTCGCACGCCTCCGTGAGGTTTGATGGGGGCTCATCGCGCGAGCCTGGTCGCATTAGAGTTGTATAGAGAGATGGTGAGGGTATACGGAATACATACCTTTTCCGCTCTGGTTCTCCGCCGGTGCGGAAATCACCACCTGATGGCCGGCTGTCGTCAGGGAGTCATATAAGGTGCGAATGTTCTTCTCGGCCCAGCCGTCATCATTTGACGAGATGATATTGACGGCCTGAGCGGCGAGGGGGAGTAGGGCCAGAAGAAGATGCATGGCTTCCTACGGAGATACAGATGGTGCAGGTGGTGCAGGTGGTGCAGATGGAGCAGATGGATACCGTTCCGAGAGGACATAATCTTTATATTCTATTCATAAGAAGTATCATAAGCCAGCGAGTTTAGAAACAGCCGTTGTGCCGATCATACACTGGGGCGAGACAAGTATCAATCTCCTCGTGGAACCATACAACGCCCCACGTGCTCGGGTTTATAGTATATTAAGAGTTCGCTTAGTTCTGACACTGATGGGGCTTCTTCTGTCTCAGTTGAGATCGGCCGCATGGGCTGCTAGTCCTCCTACTTTCTATAAGCGAGGGGAAGGTCATGACGACGATCTACCACGGAGTACAACAGACATCCGACTACTCCCGTAATGACGCGTCAGGATCTCCGATCAGATAATCAACTCCATCGACAAACATGGTTCAAGCATATGGAGCATTCCAGCTCTCAGACAGGCCAAATCTTTCCGGCCAGTGCCTGAACCAGCTGCAGCTTCTCCCACATCCGCTCCATCGTCATGCCTACTCCATGCCCAGAGCTCATGCTAGCAAACCCGCACTGGGGGCTCACGGCTAGGGACGTTGCCAGCACCTCCGCACGACTCCGGCCTTGTGCCTGGGCGATCACCTCCGCTGCCTCGTATACCCGTGCCTCCAGGTCTTCCAGCCTTTCTAATTCCGCCACTTTGGTGGACACCAGCCCCAGGACAACGTTCTTGCCCACAGGCAGATGGCGCAGTGGCTGGAAATCCCCGGCCCGATCCGTGTCATACTCCAAGTAGAAGGTATCGTAGTCCAGTTTCCGGAACAGCTGCTCTGCAATCCGCTCGTACGATCCAGTCGAGACGAACCGGCCTTGTGGCATGTTGCCGCGACACAGGTGGATGCCAACGTGCAGGTCCGACGGGCGTCCGGCCAGACACTGGTTATGTGCCCAGATGTACAGGTCCAGCAGCGCATCGGGGTCCTCGCCGTCCGCTGCACACCCAGCGCGAAACTCATCCGTCACAAAGAAGGTCAAGCATGGATCGTCGATCTGGATTGACCGCACCCCGGCGTCATACAGCACCCGAAACTCCTTCACATAGGCCGCCGCAAGATCCTGGAAGTACTCCCGGTCCGTAGCATAGCCACTAGACGGGGTATAGGCTGCACCGACCGCCAGATGCATATGATCCCAAGTGATTGGGGGCATCGTGAACTTGCATTCCTTCCAGAGACTCCCGGGGACGAACTTTCGCAGCTGCAGCCATTCTCCCAGGTACGGGCTCTCGCGATGCTCGATCCGGCCGACTGCCACTGCCGCCGGCCGAGTAGGGACGCCCAGTTTCTCCATGAGGCCGATGGTTGGGTGGTAGGAGCGAAAGCCCTGGGGCACAGGGACGTCGGTCACTGCAAACCCATGGAGCTTCTCGAAGAACCCAGCATAGAAGATGGAACGGCTGTATTCGCCGGATGTGATGGGACGGATGGACCGGGCCAGCTGCTGCTGCACCACTTCGGCCACGGCCTCCTCTGTGAGACGTCGCACTTCTTCTGGGAGTGAGTCTTCGAGATACCGCGATCCTGGATTGGCGGCGGTGCGTGCGGCGACCAGCGGAGCCGGCCTGAGCAGCGAGCCGACTTGTTCTGTACGGAAGGGAGGGGCCATCTTAGGATTTGGGTGTTGAATGTCACATACTCTGGTCTGAAGCTGTCTACCTCGGGAATTCATCTTTATCGTGTTGCCGCGTGAGGGGTGAGGGGTATCTAGTATACTACAAGGATTCGAGTGGAGGTAAGGATAGGTGCATCGTTCTAGTGACATACTCCATCAATAGGATGCTATTCTTGTTGGAGTAGATGTCTGGGAAGTGTTTAGGCCGTCCAATAATTGTTGTCTCACAGGTCGAGGGATACAGGAGATATATATCTTTACCCGGAGTAGTCGTTGTATCCCACTACGAGGCTCGGTCTACCCAGGTAGTCAAGCAAATGCAATCTGATATACGATGATACTGCTAGTCTATAGTCACCATCTACCCTGTATACTCCAGACTGTCTATAATCAACAAAAGCTGAAGGCTTCTTTATCATCTTGATATCCTTCCATTCCGCATCCGGAGACTTCCGACATCCCTTCTTGGACGATAGGGGGCGGCAGATATGTCAGGTAATGTGAAATACAGTAATATACCTGCATTCCACAAATCATCACCCGAAAATCTCCCTCGAATACGGTTATACCAGGTCCATCTGGCCCTGCACTCACTCGGATACCGGGCGAGCAGAGCCATGGGACTACCGAACACGAGAGCCCACAAAGCCGAACACTATTCGCATTAGCAGCACGATGGGCAACGGATTCCTCTGCTGATTGGAACCGACTGCTCCATCCACAGACTCTTCCCTGGGCCAGTCCAGCAGTGGATGACGTGTGGCAGCGAATCGCTACTGCAACCAGCTGAGAACACGCGAGAAAAAAGAAGCAAAAAAGACAGAAGATCGGTTGCTGGTGCTCTTTTTTTGCGCCGTCTGCCCTCTCCACCCGCAAGCACCAAAACTCCGCTCATCTCGTGGCAGAATGCGAAAGCTAGAAAGACGATCTTCCCCAGACCCGTCGCGGTCTCTATCTTGATCGTGCCTCCTTTTCGGTCTCCAGCGTGAGATCTTACCCTCTTTTTATCCTCTTCGAGTGACTCCTATTTATGATGCGTTCTCCATGCCACACTTCGTCAACGACCACGGGGGTGGTTTGGATCGGAGTCTAATCAGCGACCACGTCGCCCAATACCTCTACTCTGTCTTCATCGCGTTGGCCTGGTGTAACGCGATCGAACTGATCGTGCTCTGCTTCAATACCTTCAAGAGATATGTCGGCTGCTACTTCTGGAGCCTCCTGGTGGCGTCCGCCTGCATCATCCCCTTCGGCCTGGGCTACATCCTGAAGATGTTCGACATCACCTTCACCAACAACTTCCTCGAGCTCGCCATCGTCGACCTCGGCTGGTCCGGCATGGTCACCGGCCAGAGCCTCGTGCTGTGGTCGCGCCTGCATCTCGTCCTGCAGAACAAGAAGCTCCTCCGCTTCCTCCTCTACCTGATCATCGTCGACGGCATCCTCCTCCACGGCACCAGCACCGCGCTCGAGTTCTACCAGAACGCCCGACCCCATTCCCACGCGGCCAACCTCAGCTTCGGCATCATCGAGCGCATCCAGCTGCCCTGGTTCTGCGCCCAGGAACTCCTCCTCTCCCTCGTGTATATCGTGCAGACCGTCAGGTTGCTGCGGTTGGATCAGGGGGGCCTCACGCGCACCGTGCTGACGCAGTTGATGGCCGTCAATGTGGTTATCATCGTGCTGGATCTGTCGGTGGTGGTGGTTCAGTACCTGGGGCTGTTCACATTCCAAGTGACGTTCAAATCGCTGGTGTACAGCATCAAGCTGAAGCTGGAGTATATCATTCTCGGGCGGTTGGTCGAGGTGGCTCATATTCGGACGCAGCGCGATACCCCGCGCCTGCGCCTATAATACTGTACATGGTTGATACTAGACTTGGTTATATTATAGAATATCCTACTCGTTAATATGTCGGCATCCACATTACCCCAGTGACGCTGCTGACAGGACTAAAATCTGACATCCGCCGCTTCCGACATAAATAACCTCGACGTGCTTCAATCTTTCCCATCCATCGTCAGCTCCCTCCTCTCTGTCAATCACCATGTCCTCCCTCTACACCGCAATCGGCCTCACCCAACCGGCCCTGTCAGAAACAATCCCCAACTACGGCCCAGCCTGTCTGATCGCCAACTTCGTCCTGTCCTACTTAGTCCTCGCGCCCCGCCACCTGAAACAATACCACGGCATCGACCACAATGTGTCGCCGCGCGAGGACCTGACCAAATACGGCGAAGCAGCGGTGCGCGCAGGGAAAATCACCCAGAAGCAGCTCAACATGATGCGCCGCAATGAAGCCGCCCAGGCCAACGCCGTCGAGAACTTTACACTCTTGGTTGCGGGCGTCGCCATGGCCTCGTATGCGGGCGTCCCTCGAACCACTATCAACGCCGCCGGGCTTACCTATACGCTTGCGCGGTTCAGCTACGGGGTGTTCTATGTATTTATCGAGCGGCAGGAATGGAGTCTGCTGCGCAGTGCGGCGTGGTGGGTGGGCAATTTGAGTTGCTTGCATCTTCTGTGGCAGGCTGGACGGTTGTTGAGTTCATAGGCAGTTGATGCATTTGCTGTTGTATAACTAGTATTGGAGACTTATCTGCGGGGTTGCGGAATGGCCAGATAAAGGAGATTAGCTGTCATCTAGACGTCCTTCATCAACGCATCACGGAGTCACTTCGTCGTTTTCGGTGTACTGTCAACATGGGAGCTGATACAGTAAAAACCTACTTTGGAGACCTCCAGGTCGAAGCAGAGGTCGTCCAAGGGGACTTTGACAACCTACCCATTATCGACGTGGCGTCGCTCGACAGTCCTGACATCGAGGACCGTAAGCAACTCGCTGCACAGATCTTCGACGCCTGCACACGAGTCGGTTTCTTCTATATCAAAGTATGTGTCTGTCCTCTGTTTGAAGAACGCATGTAACTCGTTAGAATCACGGCATCCCATCGACGACCATCGACGCCCTCCAGTCCGCCGCGCGCCAGTTCTTCGCTCTCCCCGAAGACCAAAAGCTGCAATGCTTCCTCGGCAAATCCAACGTAAGACTCATCATCTTCTTTCAGTTCAGAAGACAAGTTAACGTTGCCCTCAGCGCTTCCACGGCTACAGCCCGCTCGGCGGCGAACACAGCGACAAAGAGCTCTTCGGCGAGCAGACGAACCTCTCCGAGTCGTTCGATATCGGCTACGATATCGAATGTGATCCAGACAAGTCTTGCGCTGATAGTCTCCCGCCTGACCCGTACGAGTTGTACGGTGGGAATCTCTGGCCCAGCCCGGAGGTCCTGCCGGGGTTCAAGGAGACATATGTCGAGTACTTCAAGGCCTGTCTGCGTCTGAGCCGGAAGCTCATGAGGATATTTGCGTTGGCGCTGGGCCTTGAGGAAGGCTATTTTGACCAGTTCGTCACCTTCCCAGGCTGCATGTCGCGCATCCTCCACTATCCGCCGCAGCCTGTGCCGGGCGAGGAGAAAGTCGGTATTGAAGCACATACGGTAGGATATTCCTCCCTGTCTGTGAGGGCTCAGACACTGAAGGTGCTAGGACTACGAATGCTTCACTATACTGGCCCAGGACCAAGTGCCGGCTCTGCAGGTCCTCAATACCCGTCGCCAGTGGGTGAGCGCACCGCCGCTTCCCGGGACGCTTGTGGTTAATATCGGGGACTTCCTGGCTTTTTGGTGCGTTTGGACGATATATAAAATTTAATCAGCCTTGCTAACGGCTCAGGACCGATGGGAAGTTCCGATCTACCGTCCATCGGGCTACCAATCTCACGGGCCAGGACCGCTATTCCATTCCGTTTTTCTTTGGTGTCAATTACGATGCTACGATTGAGGTTTTGGAAACGTGCCGCAAGGGCGATATAGGGAAGTCAGTGAAGGCGGGAGAGGTGAGTACGGAGTATCCATTGTATCTCGCGATTCTAACGGTAGTAGTATGTGCGTGAACGGCTGTCCAAGTCCTACATCGAGTTTGGCCAGAAGCCTCCCGCGGCTTCAGCGTGACCGTCTTTCTGGAGGTATTGGCATATACACGTCGAGATCTCCTACCTGAGCCAAACTGAATCTTGATGAGTACATAACTATATACATGCTCGCTAATAGACGTAACCATCCCCACTTCTATCACATTATGATCCTCTATATACCCCGTAAATCATATCTTATGCCGCCTTCTGGCGTAGCACACGGAGTGAGTACTCTCATTGAGGAAGGCAACGCAATCAGCGCCGGTTCACGCAGCACAGAATACCCGATTTACCCAAGAACCACAGCGACCCCAGGAAGCGGAAAATCGACAGACCAGCTGTAGCCCACAGGATAACCTGGAAGTACCACGAGGTGCGGGTGGTGGAAGTATTCTATCCAAGTCAGCAGATGTCCACACACTGCAGTGAAGTAAAGGGAAACATACCGTCAAGCACATTCTATCCACCCCCGTGCTGGTGATCAACAACGACACAATGAGGTTACTAAACACCCACAGCAGGACGAGCACCGTTCGGAAATTCCGGTATCCATCGTCGAGACTCGTCCCGGAGTCCTCCTCCGGCTCAACCCACGGCGCCAGCGCCCGCTTGACGGTCGCCTCGAACTGCGAGTCGATGTCCGCCTGCGGCTTGTCGATTTCCTCGATGAAGTTCTGTTGCTTGTTGTCGTCGCTCTTTTTCGTCTGCGCTGAGGGCAGGTTCTCCGCCTTGTCGGAGCCCTTGGTGCCCCACGACACGTCGTGCCAGTTGCAGAAGGCGTAGACCATCAGGATGTTGATCGACGTCGTCAGTCCGAAGAAGTACGCCCACGAGCTCGTGAGGATGTGCCACGGGTCCATGTAGAGCAGACTGGCCACGGCGTAGATGCCGTAGGTGGAGACCAAGGCGATCAGGACGATACCTCCGCCGCTGGAGCTGAAGAACGACGAGAGGAACGCGCCGACGCCGTTGTCGAAGTTGAAATCTAGCATGCCGCCTGTGAACGCGTTCGCGACCAGGTAGAATGAGAGGACGAGCACATAGATCTGGACGAGCGAGAAGTACAGGAACGAGAGGGTGTATGGGAGTCGGGTTCTGGTCCGGTCAGCTGGGATAATGAGGCTTTATGGGGCAGGCTTACGCTTTGGGTTTGTTGCCTAGCGCCAGAATGAACTGCAGCATGAGACAGAAAAGATAGCCGTATTTGATAAAGTTGTTGACGATGGGCGTCGCCTCGTTCCCAAACGGCCAGCCGATGTTCTTGTTTGTTTCACTCGGCGTACCGACCAGATCGATAATGACCGAACTCGTGAGCCAGTAAGACGCTGAATGGGTTAGCATCGATGCATTTCTCTACTGCAGCCGAGTATTCACTTACCAAGAGAGAACCAGGTCATGATGAGCTGGCAGAAGTTGTAGATCATCTGGATATGCAGGAAGAACAGCCGCACGATGTTATGTCCACTGCGATAGATCCGCCCGAAATGCATCATCGCATACAACCCAGCAGCAAAGGAGCCGTTGAGCCAGCGTCGTCGTTGACTGATATACTCCGGCGCGCCCTCAGGCACATCAGTCTCGGCCTTGGAGGCCTTCACGTAGGTCAAGTGCCATTTGAACCCGGCCTTGGCCACCAACTCGAAGCACAGAATGCGGTCCTCTGCCAGGAACATGTTCTTTTTGAAAATATTCATACCCTCGATACCCTTCTTGCCGAGGCGCTTGGACAGGGTATGGTCGCCATGGAAATATTGTTCCAGCGGTCGGCCCATGATGGCTCGATAACGGTAGGCGGAGAAAGCACCTGGTAGCACGCTGACGTAGCCAAAAGCGCTTTCGAGCGGTTTATCCAAGATGTTGGAGATTTTATATTCAAAGTTCTGCATGGCCACGAGCGGGTTCAGGACCTTCCGCCATCCCGCGCCTAACATGGCGTGGATTTCACCGCAGGCGCCGCCGAGCGTTTTGTCGTTGTAGAAGGCTTCCCAGAGAGCGAGAAGAGACTTGCGTCCGGGCTTGGTTCCGGCGTCGATCAGAATGCAGACCTCGGGGTTGAGGATCCGGCTGAAGGCGTTGAACAACCAGCGGTGGGAGTTGATCTTCTTGCTGTTCTTCTGCTTCAAGCAGAAGATCATTTGGACGGGAGGAAGGTTGGATGAGTCGTTTCCATGTGGTCGGATCAGCTGTTGGTTTGCGGTGACGGAGAGCTGGGTTGTATATTCGAACTATCCAGAGTTAGTGAGATCTCGACAGAGCTGCGCGCAGATTCAGAGCCAGCAAAATCTTACGATATGGGCGACGGTCTCGCGGCCATCCACGTCCTTCTTCATTACCCCATCTTGATAAATTCCGATCGTGGCGAGCACGTCGAGGGTGTTCTTGTCGCAGGGCTCGATCCCATCAAACACCAGGCACACGACTATCTTCTGCCAGGCCGGGCCTCCCTTGTTCCAGAATTCCGACTTTTTCAAATTGACGATATCGCGCACATTCTGCATGACGCCGTGCAGCGTGCGGGCGGTCAACACCTTATCTTCATTGTAGTAGGTGATGGCAATGAGCAGCTCGGTGTGGCGGTTATAGATGGCCGGGCGCAAATTATACCCGTTCCGCAGGGTGAACTCGTCGGGGTCGCAGGTGGCCGCGGTGTCTGGGACATGTCAGTCGAGATGCATCGCGGGCGCAGACAGGGTGGGCTGCAGCCTACATCGCATATGGGTGAATTCCTCCGGGAAGGCCTCCTCCGCCTCGCGGTACTCGGGCTGGATGGCATTCTGGATCGCACTAGGCACGGGGTAGTCGACGCTCAGCACGGAGCCCTGCACCAGGTTGATCTTGCGGGTGCCATAGCGGCGCAGGCCGCCCGAGCGCCCGCTGACGCTGGGCTGCTGCCAGGTATTCAGATTGATGGCGTCCTTGTCCGACATGTGGGCGTCGTAGACGTCGGCCGACTCGGATTCCTGGTACGGGGGCGCGGCGAAGACGGTGACACCGGGATCGTGAAGGGTGTAGCGACGTAGAGAGTCGGTGGAGACGCTGGGGTCTTCATAGGGCGTGCCGTAGGGACTGGCCATGCTGCGGTGCAACAGCGACTGTTCTTGGTCATCGCGATCGGAATGCCCGGGGGTTTGCTGAGCCGAGGGCGATGATGGCATTAGCTCCTATTCGGTTCAGTCTGTTTGTCCCTGTTTCCTCCTGCGACCCCTTCATGGGCCCTTCAAGGCCCCTTGCGTGGCGTAGGAGGCGCAAATCCAGTGGCATGGTTCCGGGGGCACTTACGGTGCGGGAGGGAGAAGTATGGGAGTAGTTGCTGCTCCGGCTCTGCTGGGCAGAGTGCAGGGAATAGGGTCTGCGTGGATTAGACATGGCGAGTCGGTCGTGGATATAGATATGACGGGTTTAATTAGATCTTGTTAGATCTTGTCGGATGTATGGAGCCTGTCCGCCAAAATCTGTCTGTGCCTCCCCGGGAAGATGAGCGAGAATCCGGCAAATGGCGGTTATGCCATTGAAAGAGAGGAATGAAACGAGCGACCAGGTAGTACAGAGAACGAGAGACGGGGTCGAGAGCAGCAGAGCAGCTTCGAGCGGATGGGACGAGAAGCGCGGGAAGAGATGTTCCAAGTTGATAATAATGATGAACGAGCAGGCAATCGGATTCAAATGGGAATGCTCGAGTGGAACCATGGAGCAGGCCTACTATATATAGGGTGGATGCTGGATGAACGACTGATCAAATCAGAAACCCCATGGCATCCAGACAGTGTTTGTAGTCTTCAAATAGGTCATCGGACAGATCTACAGTACAGTACAAGTATCTATGTGTGTGGTATTTATGGAACAGTTGTGGCATTGCTGGAGCTTACTTGTACTTAATAGGTCCGCTATACTGACGACGCTGATGATGATAGTAATAGTAATTATAAAGATAATACTAATGTTGGACGCAGATTGATCCACAGAGAATATTATCCTAATAACATAGTCTATTAATATTGAATAAGCCGGAGCTTTTCTCCCCGATCGATCATCCTTCCATGCTGTATGCAAGGCAGCAGTACAGCAGCCAGGCGACGAGGGATAGATGTACCTACGGAGTACAGAGTATTCTTTACTCCGTATTCCGTACCTTGGTGTTTTCTATCCAGGAAACCACGGATACCCCGTTTATAGGATTTTCTTCATCTCAACAGACAACCAGTCCATTGGCCCTATTCAAGAAAGAGCTTCCGTAAGCTCCCACGATCGAGTGGATTTTCTAGCGTCGAACGCCACCCGTTGGATCAGTCGACGCGAATCGAGTGGAGCAGCACACCTTTGGCTCCTCTTGTTCCCTTGGGTTGGTGCGCAAGCGAGCCTCTGCAAGGCGTGATTTGTGGCGGCCAGAGCGAGATCCACTAGGCTGGTCCACCCATTCGCAAGGCACAATAATTGCACCCTCAGGCACAGGCAGGCACAGGAGACGTCCGAATATGCAGGGGAAGGCAAGCCAAGGATTCAATCCCTTTCGTCAGGTCGGAGGAAAGGAGCATAGGAGCACAGGAGCATAGGAGACATGATGTGAGATCATAATATGTCTGATGGTGGCTGGCAAGAATGAGGGCATGTCCGGTCAGGTGATCCCTCCCATCCCTCTCGTACATGGACATACGGAGTGCTTTATCCTCCTGACTTATGCATATCAACGGTGTTGCAGAATAGACTCTGGATGAACCGGTTGAACAGGTATGCACCCCGTGTAGAGGAAAAGATGTGCAGCTGATCGTGATATCGGCGTGGACATACTCCGTACCCCCTTGGAGTGCAGATCCCTCGGGCTGCTTCTTCACAGGAGACGATGCCTTCTAAAACACGACCAGATAACTATTGTACTAACTATATTCTGGCGCTGGTGAAATCCATGACCGAACTAGCAAGCATAGTAGTACAGATTAGCTGCTTGGGCTGTGTTAAATACTCCGTACGTCCATGTCTTGACCTGGGCGAACAGTACTACTGCTCATCACCCTACGTTGGATATATATTCCACCGACAACTCATGGAAATTCCAATGCGACATGCAAGCACTACAACACACATCTCGATGCCACATCTTCAACCGCAGCAACCTCCAACCCCTCTAGCTTCCCTTCGCCCCTCCAATCCTCAATCCGCTGTACATAACTGGCAATCCCCTCACCCCAGATCGCCATGCGCGCGCTGCTCATCTGCTCCTCAATCCCACCCTTGCCCGCCTTCCCTTCTCCATTGTAGTACCCTGGCGTACACGCCACAATCGCCCCCATGGCACGGGCACGCGCCATAATCTCCATCGCCCACGCCTCTTCCGCCTGCGCCGACGGCTCAATCGTGACTCGGTTTGCCCTTCCGCGCCCCTGCTGTCGGACGGCTTGCGAGACGATATACCCGACGTGCGTCGACAGCTGATCGAGCACATACATCTGGTTGGCGCATGCTGCCGCCTGGCTGGGTCCGGGAAAGAAGAGATTCGGAAAGTCACGAGTGACAACCCCATGCAGCGTCGCCAGTCGCTTATGCCATTTGTCGGCCAGGGAGGTTCCGTTTCGACCGATGATGGAGATGTCGCCCCGGGACGCTGGGTCCACACGAGTGGTGGTGTACCCCGTGGAGAGGATGATCACATCGAATTCATGCTCCGTGCCGTCGACGACAATCCCTCTTTCAGTAAACTCCTCAATGCGTCGACCCCGGATATCCACCAGCTTGACATTCGGTTTGTTAAACGCCTGTAGGTACTCGTCGTGGAAGCAGGGGCGCTTGCACCAGCCTGGATACCAGGGCTTCAAGCTCTCGGCCAGCGCGGGATCTTGGACGGTCTGCGCGACGCGGGCGCGGATTCGCTCCTGGCGATTGACGTCGTGCGCGCTCATCTCCTCCAGATAGCCCGGATCCAAGCTGCGTTTCCCGCCGGTCAAGACGCTGAACGATTGCATGTTGGTCCAGCCATCGCCGACCATGTTTGTATCCGGGACGACAGGGTCGTTGCAGGTGAACGCATTGAAATTCTCCATGCGGTGGCGCTGCCAGCCAGGACCTTGGGACAGAATCTCCTTCTCCCACCATATCGGATCGGTGGGGCGATTGTCTCGCTGGTCGACGGACGACGGCGTGCGCTGGAAGACGACAAGTTCCTTTGCCCATCGCGAGAGCTGAGGCACGGCTTGGATGGCTGTCGCCCCGGTGCCAATGAGCCCGACACGCTTGTCGCGCAGGTTGACTAGTTCGGGATTCTCGGGCGTTCCGCCAGTGCATGCATAATCCCAGCGAGAGGTATGGAACATCGGGTTTTTGAAGCGCGCGATGTTAGGGAAGTCCGGCATTTTGGGACCGGCAAAGGTACCCGAGGCGAGCATTACCATATCAGCAGTTAGCTCGATAGGAGCGGGCTTGTCGGTAGAATCATCCTGAGACGCTCTTGCTGTCCACAGGTGCTGTTGGTCATCCCACTGGAGTGATTTCAGCGTTGTCCGGAAAATCGCCCTGTCCGCCAGGCCCCATTTGCGGGCGATAAGCTCTGCGTACTGGCGGAGCTCGTTGCCGGAAACATACTTCTCGCGCGGCATATACCCCGTCTCCTCTAGTAAAGGCATATAGATGTAACTTTCAATATCGCACATCAAGCCGGGATATCGATTCCAGTACCACGTGCCTCCGAACCCTCCCGCGGTGTCCAGAAGAACGATATCGTTGGCCGTATAGACGCCAGATTGGATGAGCTTCACGGCAAAGAGGAGGCCGCCAAATCCTGCCCCGAGGACAAGGACACGGTGATGTTTGACTTGAAGAAGGGTGGACTCGTGGGCATGAGCGGTTTGGTCATCTACCCATGGGTCACGCCCAAACGCCTTGAACTTGTCACTGGTTGTGATCTCGACATTGGCCACGTCGCGGCCCTGGAACTGTTTGGTACGCTCCGACTCATATCGCTGCTCTACCTCAGCGCGGGCTTTATTATCCAGAATACTACCCATGGTGGATGTCTCACCTGCTGTCAGGCCAAGTTATGTAACGAGTCATCGTGCAACCCGAGACTATGAGGAGACGGCGAGCCAGGGTATATATAGACAAGCCGCCTGGCTAGAGCAGGGCTCGACCGTACTTCCTAATCATGTATGCCTGGAGGCCGTCTAATGTGGTACCCCACATTCAAGCGCAGGGGTCCATCGTATTTCGTATTGCGATGATACCGCTATGCGAGACGACCTCTCTTGGCGAACGGAGACGGGACAAGCCGAGCCAAATGCATCTCGGGTTGTGACCAAAGCATACGTCTAGGTGGTGCAGACTATCGTCTGCTGGATATATCCACGCTGTAAGGTCAGCTCAGGATGACCATCTCAAGCTTCATCCACTCCAACCGGACAAGAAGGATGAAAGCTTTCCAGACGACCGATACTATAATAACATGCTCTATATCACACGGCCTTATGCCTGCGTCATGATCACATCGACCTAGCAGGGAAGAGCGGGATGGCGCCGTATTGCAGGGGACGCACTGGTCACTGAGGGGTCCGGATAGCCGTCGATCCGGTCCTGATTGTCTGAGTCTGGTGAAGGATATCAATCTCTGGGCGCCTATTCAGGGCGAGATAGACAATTCTGGCGGCTCATCCAGTCACCTTTGAATGTTGCTGGAAATCCGTGTTGGGTGGCAGTGGTTGCAATCACAGACGCGGTTGAGTGCAGGGACATTCTGGACACAATGGGACGGTCCATTAGGTCGCAGATGGTGGGTTACAATTGATGGATGCATGTCTCTCATCCAAGAAAGTAGTATCAATCATGCTAAGTTGGTGTTGGCAACCTGGGGCTGTTGATGCCCGATTAAGCGGTTGTGTAGGATAGGTTACGTAATAAAACATAAACTAACTATGCTGCACAACACTCCCAATACGGCATCTGCCGAGTTCCCTCAGTTCACTCCGACTTCCTTCTACCACGCTCGGCCATGGAACTCTCTCGGCTTCTCATCGTCCTTGCAATCTATCTCGGTATGAGTCTCTGATATTTGACGAGAAAACAATCTAACGCCCATAGCCTTCCGCTACTACTTGACCCGCAACAAATCCGGCTCTTCCACCACCATGGCCCACGGCAAGGTAGTCGAAGTGGACAAGTATGTCGCTGTTCCTGCATTTTGAACTGCCATAGCTGACAATGCATCGATAGTCCCGTCATCTTCAAGGCCCTCACCTCTTCCGGCCCCGTCGTCGTCGACTTCTTCGCCACCTGGTGCGGCCCCTGCAAGCAGATCGCTCCCCACGTCGGCAAGCTCAGCGAAACCTACCCCAATGTGCGCTTCATCCAGGTCGATGTGGATAAGGTCCGCTCCGTCGCCCAGGAGATGCAAGTGAGAGCCATGCCGACCTTTGTGCTCTTCAAGGACGGTCAGCAGTGGGAGAAGCGGGTTGTCGGTGGCAATCTGAAGGAGTTGGAGGATCAGATCAAGGCCATTTCTTCCTAGAGGAACGATACCCTGGAGTACACTTTGGGGAATTTTCAGATCAATGACACCTATACATTATCCCTTTGCGGCGTGTCTATATCCTCATATGAGCCGTCTTGCAAATGCCCAACTCCAAGCGCTTCTTGTTGCTGATACACTTTCGATAGCGTCAGCATGGTGTACGGCCCATCTATATCTCTTTACGACAGTATCTTGAAACCTGTTATCGACAAGGGGACCGTCTTCAGAATGAATCTAGAATGCGGCCTGGATTCCCATGCCTGGGTAACTAACACCTGCATGCCAGGGTGACACAGAATCGCGACGCCCCTATGTTCGTTCGTCTCAATTCAATAACCAACGGGATCAGCTGTTCCGCAATACTCGGGCAGGTCAATGCGTCCCAGGCACTGTAAATGTGCAAATCATTACTCTGAGGGATCGTGTCCACCATTCTCACCGTAGTCGATCCACTCCAAGAGTCCCAGTTGAAAGGATTCAGAACCCGAGCCCAGGGCCCTAGCCATTTACGGTGTATATTTGGCGTTCTGACCCGAGTGTTTCCCGGCGCCGTCTCTCAGGCCCCCCAACTAGATCCTGAACTCTTTCAGCTGTCTCCGACCCCATATTAGCTAGTGACTGTCATTGCTGTACCCGCTCTAGCATGTTCCCATGGGCTGCATTCCTCCGCAATATCTCGACGGGGACGGGCCCGTGGTGATTGCGGTTAGACCCAACTGGCGTGTGGGGATGCCCCCATCGCCAATGATGATGCTCATCAGAGCTATCGATATGGATCATAACATGGCCTACCAGCCGATGATGTGGCTTGGGATTCTATGCCATCTGGGCCATTCTGACAAGCATACATACGGTATAAATGAGAATCCTCCCCGGCCGGCGTTTCGACCAAAAAGTCTACGGGACACGCGTTGAACTCCATCTCCCGCCATGACTATAGAGAATGGAATTGCGAAGGGTGATTACTCCCTTGCTACACAATACACGACGTTTCCACTGACTGACGTCGTTAGCCATCTATGTGGACGGCACCAAATTCGTCCTAAACGGCCGACATGTCTCCTACTGCTTTCACGTGGATGACGAGACTGGCGACCTACGCACCGATCATTTCGGTGGCAGAGTCACAGGTGCGATCCCCGTCGACCCGTCTCCAGTGGTTGATGGCTGGACAGGAATGCCTGACCGTGTGCGTCGGGAGTTCCCCGACCAGGGCCGAGGGGACTTTCGCATCCCAGCACTGCGAATTCGTCAAGCAGAAGGCCATACAGTGTCTGCTCTGAAATACCAGTCCTATACCCTGCTTCACGGCAAACCAGACCTTCCTGGTTTACCGGCAACGTTTGGCACAGAGAAAGACGTCTCTACCCTCGTGGTGCATCTTCGGGATGAGTACAGCTCTGTCACGGCCGATTTGATCTACTCAGTTTTCCCAGAGTATAACGCTATTGTCCGGAGTGTCAGCATCACCAACAATGGATTTCAGCCCATCTCGATCGAGGCCCTGGCAAGTTTTAGCACAGATCTACCGTACGAAGACCTCGAGATGATTAGCCTGCGCGGCGACTGGGCTCGGGAGGCGCATCGTATGCGACGCAAGGTGGAATATGGCACTCAAGGGTGAGTAATGGATTGTTTCCCGATCATCAAGACTGTACAAAAACCTGACGCACTGCAACAGGTTTGGGAGCACCACCGGGTTCTCGTCCCACCTGCACAACCCCTTCCTGGCACTTGCACATCCATCTACTACGGAATCCCAGGGCGAGGCATGGGGCTTCTCACTCGTCTACACCGGTTCCTTCGAAGTGAATGTCGAGAAGGGCTCTCAAGGCCTCACACGTGCGGTGTTAGGCTTCCATCCAAACCAGCTCTCATGGCCCTTGTCCCCTGGCGAGACGCTGACTTCCCCGGAGTGTGTTGCAGTCTATTCCAACCATGGACTAGGGGGCATGTCTCGCTCTCTCCACCGGCTATTTCGCGACCACCTGATCAAAAGCAAATTCGCTACTGCCAATCGGCCTGTATTGCTCAACAGTTGGGAGGGTTTGTATTTTGATATCGACGAGACCAGTATGATCCGCATCGCAAAGGAGTCTGCTGCACTCGGCGTGAAGCTTCTGGTTATGGATGACGGCTGGTTTGGAAAGGATTATCCCCGTACATCGGATGCGGCCGGCCTGGGAGACTGGGTTCCCAACCCAGCGCGGTTTCCCAACGGACTCGCTCCTATGGTGGATCAAATAACGTCCTTAAAGGTCGCCAACTCGTCAGCCAATTTGCTTTTCGGCATCTGGGTGGAACCAGAAATGGTCAATCCAGACTCGGCTTTGTATCGGGAGCATCCCGAATGGGCCCTTCATGCTGGCTCATATCCGCGTACGGAACAGCGTAACCAGCTCGTGCTGAACCTAGCGCTGCTAGAAGTCCAAGAATTCATCATCAATTTTATGACGGACCTCCTCAGCAGCGCGAAGATCAGTTACGTGAAATGGGACCTCAATCGAGGAATTAACGAGACCTCTGCCCCTAAGGCGACGCATGCCTATATGTTAGGCATGTATAAGGTGTTTGACACGTTGACCAGCCGATTCCCCGACGTGCTCTGGGAAGGATGCGCCGCTGGCGGTGGTCGATTCGATCCGGGCATCTTGCAATACTTCCCACAGATTTGGACGTCCGACGACAGCGATGCTGTCGAGCGCATCTTTATCCAGATGGGTTCCTCACTGGCTTACCCAGCCAGTGCCATGGGAGCACACATCTCCGCCGTTCCAAACCACCAGACAGGGCGTACGACACCCTTGAGCTTGCGTGCGCATGTCGCCATGATGGGCGGTTCGTTCGGTCTGGAGCTCGACCCGAGTCAAGTTTCGGCGGAAGAAAAAGCTCTCATCCCCGAGCTCATCGCGCTGGCGGAGAAGGTGAACCCGATTGTCTTAACAGGAGATATGTGGCGGCTCAGTCTCCCGGAGGAATCCAACTGGCCTGCAGTGCAGTTCATCTCACAGGACCAGTCGCAGGTCGTATTGTTTTACTTCCAGCTCAGCCCTAACGTAAACCATTCGATGCCACGAGTGAGATTGCAAGGGCTGGACGAGGACGCCATGTACCGTGTGGACGGAGCTGGGCCGTACTCGGGAGCGATGCTGATGAACCTGGGATTGCAATATTCATTCCGCACGGAGTATGGAAGCAGAGTTGTGTTTTTGGAAAAGCAATAGATTCCATCCAGAGTGAGTGAGCAGGGAATCAGGTCGCGGTTCATCCAGCTGTTTCTCTCGATATAGATTTGAAATCAAACCCCACGACGAATCATCGAGGTCATGCAACAAACTCCCCGCCAAGGCACCTAGTGGTACGTAAGATGCGATATATGGCCGTGGACATTGCGCCACCTCGTGTCAGCACGATCGAATGCCCGTCAATCGGACATCGGTCTTTGCGCATCCGATCCCGAGGCCGCTTAGAAATAAGAACTATCCCGACGTTGAGTCGGACATCGGTGCTCCTGCTGCCGAACGACGCAATATAAAAAACGACGCATGTTATCCAGTCGACTCAACATCATCAACATTCAACTCTCATTCAGAATCAAGTACCCCGTGAACAAAAATGACATCCCGCTCAGTGATCGTTTTTGGACCAACCGGCGCAGTCGGCTCTGCGACAGCCCGCGCTGCTCGTCAGAACGGCGCCAAAGTTGCTCTAGCCATGCGCGATACCTCGAAGCCCATCCCTGGTATCGACTCCCCGGAGAAGACAGACGGGTACCAGCTCATCCAGGCGGATCTCTCACAACCCGACACCGTCCGCGCGGCCGTCTCCCAAACTGGCGCAAAACACGCCTTCATCTATATGATCTTCAACTCATCCGACCACATGCGTGCGAGCATCGAAGCACTCAAAGACGCGGGAATTGAAACAGTTGTCCTGCTCAGTAGCTTCGGTGTGCAGGGTGACCTGCGTGCCATCTCCCCGGACGACTTGATTTCGTACGCTCACGCGCAGGTGGAGATCAACCTGGAGGAAGTCTTTGGAAAGGAGAAGTTCGTTGCGGTACGACCGGCGTTTTTTTCAAGCAACACCTTCTGGTGGGCGCGTCCGATAGCCACCGAAGCCGAGGTGCAGGTTTCTTTCCCTGAGGTGAAGTTCGACTATATCTCGCCCGGTGATATTGGCGCCGTGTGCGGGACGTTCCTGTCCGGTGCTGCGCAGTTGGATGAGCAGGACAATTTTGTGTATTTGGTTGGGCCGGAGATGCTCTCGGTGCGCGAGGCCATTGGGACCATTGCGCGGGTCATCGGGAAGGATGTTACTGTTAAGACTGTCAGTGACGAGGAGTGTCTCCAGGCTTTGATCACCAAGAGTGGCGTTCCGGAGCCGCTGGCAAAGCATTTGATGTCAAACTTCATAGATATGAGAGAAGGGAAGGGTATGTTTGGGACCGCAGATCTCTCGGCGTACCAGGCGAATATTCAGAGATATCTTCAGCGGCCGTCGGCGAAGTTTGAGCAATGGGTCGAGGAGAATAAGGAGAAGTTTACTTGATGGGAGAATTATTGGCAGTGGTCGTCTCAATGCAATGATTGTGTACTTAATAAGTATGGTCCAATAACAGTTTATCACAACCGTTTAGCACAGAACTGGATCGAATATGTCTACAACAAGCCTGTGGCGGAGTAGACCATCCTTGAACTCGCAGATAGTTGTACGGATTCCCCATACTTCTGCATAAACATCGTTCACATCAGATTGACCATACTCAAACAGTAAAAGACCCATCCAACCGAATGTCCCGACTTGAAGCCCCCACATAGACTTGAAACGAGCCCTCTGGAACCACCCATTTCTGCTGACCAACGTCCCAATAGCTGATGTCTCGTCGGGTCAGTTCAAACTCGGCCACGCCATCTGCACCGCCCGCAAGAGGGAGCTTCTGGAATCCTCTCAGTTGCTTGGGGGGCGTTTCTGGTGCTGACGATGGGAATCCGATGTACAGCTGTGCTACTTCAGCGCCAGAAACGCCTCCAACGTTGGTCACAGTTGCACTGATCGTTCCGACGGAGTCATAGAGATCAGCAGCTCCTCCGACATCGACGGCTCCGGAGGTGGGGCCAGAGGTGGCGTCAATGTTGATGGCTAGATTGCTGAAATTGAACCGGGTGTATGCTTCATGAAAGTCAGCTGTGGCCAGGAGGGAGGGTCCAGGGCGACGTACAAAGTCCAAACCCGAACTCGTATCTCGGTTCTATCTCATTCTTGTCAAAATGACGGTAATCAATGAACAGGCCCTCGGGGAAATCGTCGTCGGCCCCGTTGGCTACCCAGGTAGTCCCGTAGTCTGCTTCCGACTTGCCAATAGTGTAGGGGAGTTTACCGCTAGGCGAGACATCGCCATACAACACATCTGCCAGGGCGTTGCCGCTTTCTTGACCCGGGATGCCAGCCCACACGACAGCAACCACGTTCGGTTGGGCCAGTATGGTCTCGAGGACCACCGGACCGGTGCTGTGGACGACGACGATGGTCTTCTTGTTGACTGCCGCTACGGCTTTCACCAGATCATTACCGCCATGCCACGGGTCGAGGTTATTGCGGTCACCCTGGTGGCCTTCAACAGTGATATACCTATACGGTGTTAGATGATGCGTATTGCAAGACACAGAGGAAGTGCAGACCCTTCTCCGGAATCGGAGCTGATAAAAACAATGGCAATGTCCGCGGATGCTGCAGCGTCTGCGCCTGCGGTAGCATCGTCCGTCGTGCTAGTCACCACTTTTGTCCCGTTACCGGACGACCTCTCTTGGATAGCATCCAGAGGCGCAACCAGATACTGCGGTTATCAGCAATTGTCCGCGTCGTGGATACCTGTGACTTACCGGAAACTCGGCCGTGCCACTACCCCATCCCTGTGCCAGGGTACCGACGTTGCATCCTCGATCGGTGCAGGCGTTGGGACCGTCGGGGTTGACAATCGCATCGGACCCAACAACCGCTATGCTGGATGGATTCCGCAATGGAAGCGTGTTGTTGGAGTTTTTGAGAAGAACGATGGAATCTCTCGCTACCGTGCGGGCGATGTCTGCATGGTCAGCGGTTACATCGACGCTGGCCTTTCCACCGTTTCGCGAGTCGAAGGCCACCGCTGGATAACCTTGGTCTTGCTCGAGGAGGTACCACGCAGCGAGAATGCGGGTGACCATGTCGTCGACACGGGCCTGAGGAACGGAGCCATTGGCGACGGCCTCTGCGAGGTTTTCATTCCAGTAGATACTGCCGGGTGGCTGACTGAAGTCACTGCCGGGCATAGTCATGTCCAAGCCGGTATTCGCACTGGCGACGGTGCTATGCTGCGCGTTCCAGTCACTCATGACATATCCACGGAACCCCAGTTCCTGCTTCAGCAGAGTATCCAGAATGCCCTCGTTCTCGCACGCCCAGGTGCCGTTGATCTTGTTGTAGGAGCACATCACGGAGGCGACGTTGGCCTTGACAGCGTCGTAGAACGGCCAGAGATAGACTTCGTGCATGGTGCGATCATCCACGTTCGAGCTTATCGTCTCGCGGCTGTGTTCTTGTTCGTTGAGGATGTAATGCTATACGCTGTTAGAATATGCATACTTGCTAGACCAAACTGATATACTCACCTTGGCACACGCTTGCACGCCTGATCCCTGCATACCATGGATCGTCTCCGCCATAGCTATGCCGCTCAGGTACGGATCCGACGTGAAGCCCTCCCAGTTCCGTCCAGCACTGGGTATCTTGCCCAGCGCTCCGGCGACAGGAGCCAGCTGCACATGCACCCCAAGTCCCTTGGCTTCCTCCCCCATGGCGGCGCCTCTCGCCCGCAGCAGCTCCCTGTCCCAAGTCGCGCCTGCATTGATCCCAGCGGGGAAGGCAGTGACGGGGTTTGCGAAACGAATGCCTAACGGGCCGTCTTGGAGACATAGCGACGGGTAGGCGATTGATTCGGGGGCGTACGTGTTGCCCACGCAGGGACCGCCTTCCCAGGTGATGCCGGAGACGACTCCGACTTTTTCGCTTTGGGTGAGGCTGGCCAGGTCTGCGAGTGCTTTTTCGTACGCCGCGTCCCAGGTGGTCAGCGCCTGGGTTAGGGCGGCCATGGCCAACGCCGTGGCCTTTAATGAGGGGACACGGTAGTTCATGGTGCCGTTGCAGGGATTCCAAGGCGGCTGTCTTTGGAGAGGGGCGGATTGACTGGTCTTAAATAGGCAGAGAGTGGCCATTGCTTCTGTTGCCCTATGTGCCTAGACGGAGAGATGCTAGGGCCGCAGTGCCCAGACATATCGAGACGGGGAGAGATTGTGCCGGGGCACTATCATGGTTGGTTAATGGCTCTTAGAGCACGGATGTGCTGGAGTCTTCAGCTTCATGGAACGGTATAGAATCCCTTGACTAGACTGTCGAGGACTTTTACAGGGTACCCTTCCCACGCCAATACTCCTATTCCCCCTCGCAAAATGTATGCACTGAAGAAAGACCATATGACTGGATATAGACCGGAGCGTCTCCTGCTCTTGGGGAATCTTACACACTCCGTCTTGGCGACAAAACAAGACGGAGGTGGCACCGGTTTCAGTTTAAGGACATGTTTCTATAGGCTGAATCCCCATGGGGAGTGTCCTTCCAAGGCCGAAGTAAATAAGGATCGACATGGGAGACTGAAGAAACTGACGATCCTTTCAATTACCTGTTGGTGTGGTTCTCTACTCGGAATTTGATAGTCGCGAGCCATCACCATTAGTACAGCTGCATAGCAATCAATGCAATGCCAAGGAAGAATGTGGCGCATGAATCATGCATGATAAGATGATGTGGCTGGCTGCTTATCGATAATCCTGCAACGAAAGGGATGATCATGATTGCATCTGACTTGGCTTCACTCCAGTGAGCATGTCCAGACCCTATACCTAAGTTAGATATGGCAGCATCACTCTCTGACACACTCAGAGACGATGAGCATGATCTCCTGCTGCACCAACATGATCCCTCCCTGGTTGAACCACCCACTCAAGGTGGCAGACACCAGTCTAAACGCGACCTCGGGTTGTTGTCAACCATCTTCTTGATGTATGCACACTGGATGTCCAGTGATAAGGAAAGCCAACAATACTAACCTACGGCCAGCACGAACCGAATGATTGGAACCGCGATCTTTGCAACCCCATCGTCCATCGCCGCCTCCGTGGGAAGCCCAGGGGCTGTGTTATTGCTGTGGCTGGTGGGCTTGCTCCTGTCCTACTGCGGGATGCTCATCTGGATCGAGCTCGGCTGGATGATGCCTCGCAGCGGCGGTGAAAAGGTCTATCTGGAGGCTGCGTACCCGCGGCCGCCGATGTTGGTGACGACGATATTTGCGGTGCATGTCATTGTCCTGGGGTTTACTGGTCGGTCTTAGCGCTGCTTACCTGTTGAGGGGTGTGACAAGCTGATTATGACCATGCAGGGATTGGAAGCGTCGTCGTTGCAGAGAATTTACTCCTGGCTGTGCAGGGGTCCGCGAGCGATGGGGTCAAGAGAGGACTTGCCATGGCGGTTCTTGCTGGCATCGCTGCCATTCATATCTGTTCGCGATCGTGGGGAGTCCGAATCATGGTGAGACCTTCGACTACAATCCTGCGCATGCAATGGACAGCTAAGACGTACAGAACGCCCTCGCATCGGCGAAGATCCTTGTTCTCGTTCTTATCATCCTCTCCGGACTGAGAGCGCTGCGAGGCGACCTACCCCAGATCCCCTCTCCAGGGAGTAGTTTCAGACATCCATTCGCCGGATCGCCGACGACCATTTCCAGCTACACAACGGCCCTCTTCAAGATCCTCGCAACATACCAAGGATGGTCCAACGCGGCCTACGTTCTGGACGAGGTGAGAGACCCACGACGCACACTCAAAATGGCGGGCATTGTCGGCGTGGGCACCGTCGGTCTTCTCTACCTACTGACGAACATCGCGTATTTTATTGTCGCGACGCCAGAAGAAATCAGTCAGACGGGAGTCACAGTCGTGGCGCTGTTGATCGGCAAGGTGTTTGGCGAGACCATGATGTGGCTCACGGCGATTCTGGCTGCGTTGTCTTCCCTGGGAAACCTCATGACTGCGTCGTTCACCATGTCGCGCGTGGTCCGACAATTCGCGCAAGAGGGTATACTCCCCGGGGCTACGTTGTTTGCATCTACAGCCGCGTCTGGGTCGCCGACCTGGGCGTTTGCCCTTGTTTTCCTCTCTTCGACGGTGATGATCCTGTTTGTCCCCTTCGGTAGGTTTATCGGCCCGATGGGTGTAAACGAAATGCCGACGAGAAAAGGCGAGGTGTACAGCTTCAACATCGACGTCGGGCAATATGCCATCGCACTAATTAACCTGTTGGTCACGGTTGGATTGTTTATCATCCGCAAGCACGCGGCACAGCGAAAGACCTTTCGGGCGTGGAATATCGCGGTCTTCTTATTTCTCGGGACACAGGTCTTCCTCCTCGTGACGCCGTTTACGCCGGCTACCTGGGGAGGAGCGAAAGCCCCTGCCGTTCCATTGTGGCTCTCGCCGATAGTCGCTATTCTAGTGTTTGTTGGCGCTGGTATCTACTGGTATGTATCGTGGGGGGTACTACGGCGACGTCAAGGACTACGATAGATCGGATGGCAACGGGAGAAGCAATTAGAGAGGATCATGCAATGTGCGGTTAATTTTTCACTCGCTATTTTGATGCAACAAAGTGTTGATAACGACTCCAGGTCATCATCCCAGGATTAATATGTATAGTATCAAAGAGACAAGCTTTTTGGTCGTGAACTTCGTATGCAGATGCCCACAGGCATTATGAGGCGGTTAGGGGCGTATCCCACAACGCATATCCGCATTCCCACCCCGGGGAGTACCCAAACGTATATGCGTTGACAGAATTGCCAAGGTGATCTTCAGTGCGAGGGGCCAACATGACGTGGTCAACCGACGCATTCCCATACCAGTGCTGTTTCCACGCCGGCGCGGGCTGGTTGAGGGGAGGAAGAGTCGGGAGGATGCATCCGATGTTCTGCACTTCATAGCGATCCGCAGGGGGGAGGAGCGGCAACGGCTGCGACACGACGCGGATCAGGTCCATGAAGGAGGATTTTGCGGGGATGGAGTTGCAGGCCAAGAGGCGCCGGCGGTCGTCTTCGGTCTGCTGCTGGAGGACCTTGGCGAGGAAGCACGGGCCGAGGGAGACGAGATGGGTTGCAGTAGTCATCGTAGTCGGCGATGCTGTATTCGTTCTCGGGGTTGTTGAACAGCTCACTGGGGTCCAGGGGCATGCTGGCTGGCCGCAGAGCGCGCCATTGGGGACTGTTCCGGGGGAAGTCTTTGGCAATGGCGGAGAACAGATGGACGTATTGTTGCCGGATGAGCGTCCAGACGCACCCGAATTCCTCGACTTCCCATGGGGGCATGGTCCGGAAGAACAGGTCCCACACCTCATCGATGGTGAACTGGCGATGCCAGGTAGTCGATCGGCGTTTGAGGAGACTTGGGTCGAGAACACGATCCTGCATGCTCGGCTGCGGTTCGACCCATTCGCGGGCACCGAAGATGTTGCAGTAAGTTTGGAGACGGCATAGTGCGCGCAGGATGCGGCCTCTCTCTGGGGCTGTGAGGCTGGTAGTGGGATTCTGTTGCGGGAGCTGAGAGTAGCAGGTCTGCAGGACGAGCTCGAGCTTCTTGTATAGTTGCAGCAGTTGGATGGATTGGCTCTCCGACGGTAGCCGAGTCTCGCGGGACTCCTCCGGGTGGCGACGCCGACGATCCAGCAAGGCGATGATGGCCTCTTTAGTCCCCGGAGCTTCGGCATGAAGGCCTTCGGAGTCTACGGCAGCCAGCGGCTCTGCTAAATCCACCAAGCCATATTGTCGCGTGGAGAGTTGGTGGAGGATGGTCTTTCGGGTGCGGAGGTATGTCGTGCGGAAGGCGGGCGAGGCCTCAACGAGGCTGTGGAGGGAAGAAATATCCGGTATCTCTTCGAGGATTTGGATGCGGAGTTCAGCTGGTAAGGATTCGAGGGCCTGGATTGTTAGCTGGGGTGAAGATATAGAAGGAGTGAGTCATGCCTACCATGGTGAAGATATAGTAGAGAACAAAGGGGATGAAGATCTATATAGATGTTATGTCACGGTAGAGGGTCCATCAGATACAGACGGTCGATCGCATCTATCCAGGGGTATAGGCTGATGGAAATCATATCCAGCACCGGGCATCGTCATGTTATATAAGAAAAACTATGAGACCGTGTATAAAAAAAGCATCGAAAACGCTCGAACAGCGGCAAAACCGGTGAAGTCATGGGATTCCACTCTGCCCACAGAGTCTGCTTGGCAACCCCGGAGTTTCCCCTGCTGATCGGGCCGCTTATTGGCGCCCGCTATGATGTGCTGGGTTGCTCTTAGGTAAAAACATCCATCTCACGGTCTAGACGGTGCGGCATTTGTTCGGCGGTGCAGTATGGTGCATTCCACCACGCCGATTGTGTAAAGAAAAGGGGGAAAAATCACGCATCACGGGATGATGTTCATCAGGTGTCCATCCTAGGTACTCCATACTCCATACTCCGTATTGTACTCTGTGAGGATGGGGCAGAAGAGACATTGGTATTATTAGTTAATTGCTGGGGACAGCTGACGTCAATCTCTGCGCGGCTGTTCCACGGAAACTATCCCGAGTCCGGATAGCCGAGGACAGTTTCTTTTCCTTACAGTCTTGCCGCCAGAACTAGTTAATCGCGACATTTTACCATATTTTTTATGCCAAATATAGATGGAATTGCCACTGCTGTACTCAAGAAGCTTCTACGATTAGTGTGTTGATATTTTCAGCGCTGTTCGGATAGAATGGATTAGGATGACTGCGGGTACTGGATGGGAGTCGAATACCCTGTGATGTACAGATGTTTACTCTCCTTCACGATAGAAAGTGATAGGTCTGTAGATGATCTACCTGGGTTACTCCGATGTATCACAGCAGATGGTGTCGATGGTTCCCAAAACAGACAGACATAGGGCTAGGGCAGCGTTTCGCACATGACACCCCATTTGCACCATCCCCGGTATCTATCCCTTACTATCACCTCCACCTAGCCGATGAACAAAGAGGTAGGACGCCTTATGCCTGATTCTAGACCCCCGGGTCACGATGTGAATTCCTGGGCATACCACCCCTGCAAAGTGCCGGGTAAGCCGGGTGAGTCAGGAAAGGTCCGCTCTGTCACGGAGCTCCCGTGTTCCAGGATAAAGGTAAGCATCCACTGATCCATCCGAAACGATTTATCGATGGACCGATTACATGCATTGTGAAACACCTGTAACCGCGACAGTGCAACGTCCAAAGTCGCCCAGAAACTCTGCAAATCAGTCAGGATCTCGAAATTCAGGGCCAACCGCTGCCTGGCCAAGGACACTTGCTCCTCCTGATCACTGAAGAGCAAGATGTGAATATATATTGTAGAGGTAACGACAAGCATGTGGCCCACCATGCCGTACAGACACTGGCACTGATCGATCGCCCGAGTCCGGTAAAGAAGATCACAAAATGCCAGTGCATGTTCTTCACATTGCCGGCGATAACCCCGGATAGATGGATTCTCTGGGTCGGATCCTGCGCCCTTTGCTAGGAACCGGTAGAAAAGAACCTCAAAATAATAATGATACCCCAGGTGTAACGCAGCAAAGGCGTTTCCCAGGCCAAGCGCCGTGTACCTCTGCAGGTTCTCTGCTGTCTCCTGAAGCGTGGAGGGCAGAGCAGCGGCCCAGCTGTATAGTTGCCGAGCCAAATCGTCCACTGTGTGGTTGAGAGCATCACTGTCCATATTTGCTCCAACAGATTGCTTGTTCAACTCATGGATCTGGGCCCAGATCTGCGACAGAACCGCCATTTCAGCCCATAGCCCGCGCCCATGAGGACTGGCAGTGAGCTTTGCGCCATCACGAAGAGAGAGAAACGTTTCCTCGTCTGCTGGAAGAGGACGACACTCTCTAAAGCTCAACTGACGGGGCAGATTCAATCCAATAGAGCTCCAGATATCAATCATATATAGTGATGACCAAACTGCCCTCTCACGTTGGTTAGACTGCGACAGGATTGCTGGAAAGGTTGCACCAAAATTACGGCATTGACTTACTTCGCAGGTTAACTTGCCGCTCGATTTCACCCGTACACTGCCGCCGCGGTAAATCAAGGATCAGAGCGAGGCGGATCGCAACGGAGTAATACAAGGCCTCTGATTTCGTTTGTGCATCCGCATAGCATATCGTCCCGAGGAGGATACATGATTGAATCGTCTCGACAGAGATGTTTGTGAGGTCGAGAAGCTTTCTCGCATGCGAAGCAAACTTGTCTCCGCGTCGTCGTCGTTCGATGGCGGAAAATGCCTCTCTCATTGAGAACCTCATGATCCAGTCAGCTATCTGGAACTCGAATTCGGGAGATGGGTAGGGCTCTTAATACCTCGCCCCCAGCGCCATCATCCCATAGAGAATGATCTCCGGCAGATCTCCGCCACGAAGGCGACGCTCCACGGATGGTCGATGGAATATAGAGTGATGTGTATCGTGGACATGCAGGAAGTACAGGCCGATGAGCTCTTGTTGCAGGCCAAGAGGTGGAGGTGGATTCTCTGGACCTTCATCCCCAACGTGATTCTTGCGCAATGTTCTGAAAGGCACAGGTTCCTTCCGATGAGCTGTTGCGCCAGCCTGACTTAGACTGCAAGCCAAATCGAGGGTTCGACACCGCGTGCACTTGGAGCTTTCTTTGTCCAGTCGGCATTTCCGCTTATTTGAACTGCCCCATGTCGTACACGATTAGATCGGAAGCAGCAAAAACCGACGAGAAACAGTCCACTGCTTACCGACAGGCTTCACATGCAGTGACTGGCCTCATTGTATGCAATTACAGCGAAGTGTCCGGGAGTTGGCAGAGAGAAATGACTGAATTGATAGACTGCGGGGAGAAGATGCGGGGGCGTTGTAGTACTGCAATGGTTTTCCACCAACCCGAGGCGTCCATTACCGCAGGCCCTCCATCTCCAAAGGAGAACGGGGGGTTGCGAAGGTATATAGCTAGAATGATAACTCCGGTGGTATGCTCAATCTGTGTCCAGTGATTCATCCATCGATTACCCAGGAGACAAGCAAGATTGAGTGACAAAGACAACATGTCCAAGACGATCGAACTCCAAAGCAAGGCTCTCCGAGTGACTGTTCTTGTCGATCAAGACGGCACAGTGTTTCTACAGGAAGTTGCACCTCCTGATAGCGTGCCCAAAAAGTCGACGTCGAAATACTTCTCTGATTCATATACCCCTCTGGTGGAAGTCCGCCTGGCTGGCGAAGGAACCGCCAAACACAAGTCATCCAAAACACTGCTGGGGGGATATATCGGTACTCGGTTGAAATACAAATCCCACCACATTCGTGTAGGAGAGGCTAGCCAAACACTTGATGTGAACCTTGTCGATGATGTTATCCACATCATCGTCACTGCTCATCTTACTGTCTACGACTCAATCCCCGTCCTGCGTGCAACAGCTACCGCGCAAAACAACGGAGCAGAACCCGTTGTTCTCACTCAGGTCACCTCTCTTGTTCTAGGCGGACTCACGCTCGGCTCTGAGAAGTGGTGGTCTGATTATACACTCTCTGTACCGAATAATTCCTGGTTTCGGGAAGCCCAGTGGATTGAGCATGACTTGCCCAGCCTCGGAATTGATGACTACGGAGTATATGGGCGTCCTGAAAACCACTGGGGCACTTTGGCTCACTACGCCGTCTCAAACAAGGGGTCATTTTCCACCGAAGGACATCTTCCCATGGGCCTTCTGAAGCGGCGTGACAACTCAGAATCATGGCTGTGGCAAGTTGAGAACAATGGATCCTGGCGATGGGAGATTGGGGACTGGAAGGACAGTGTTTATCTTGCTGCTGGTGGACCTGTCGAAGTAGACCATGACTGGCGAGAGCGACTACGTCCTGGAGAGAGCTTTACCACGGTTCCAGTTGCTCTCTGTCATGTCATGCAGTCTTACGACGCAGCATTTGCCGCAATGACCGAGTATCGCCGGCAGATACGGTGGAAGCACCCCGACCATGAGCGTTTACCGATCATCTTTAACGACTACATGAACTGTCTGATGGGAGACCCGACGGATGAAAAGATCCTCGCTCTCATAGACCCAGTTGTCCAGGCCGGCGCGGAGTACTTTGTTATCGACGCGGGATGGTACGCTGACGACTCCGGATGGTGGGACGATGTTGGCTTGTGGGAGCCTTCAAAGAAACGGTTTCCCATGGGCTTCAAGCAGTTACTCTCCACCCTGAAAGAAAGGGGACTCACGCCCGGGCTTTGGATCGAGCCTGAAGTAATTGGCGTACGGAGCATTGTCAGCACTCAGCTCCCAAACGAAGCATTTTTCCAACGCGACGGCCAGCGTATTGTGGAGAAAGGGCGGTATCAACTGGACTACCGGCATTCAGCAGTGCGGGAGCGCATGCACGAAATCATTCGCCGTCTGGTGGAAGACTATGGTGTTGGATACTTCAAGTTTGACTACAACATCGAGGTTACTCAGGGCACGGATGTCGACTGTTTCGGTCCCGGGATGGGCCAGTTGGGCCACAATCGAGCGTATCTCAGCTGGGTCACAGAGTTGCACAAGAAATACCCTGGGTTAGTTATCGAGAACTGTTCCAGCGGGGCTCAACGCATGGACTATGCGATGCTTGCTGTTCACGCGCTGCAATCTACCAGCGATCAACAGGACCCTGATCGGTATGCTGCCATTGCAGCTGCACTTCCCACCGCTGTTACTCCGGAACAGGCCGCGACATGGGCCTATCCCCAGCCGGACTGGGATGACGAGACTAACGCCATGACCGTTGTGAACAGTCTTCTGGGGCGGATTCATCTCAGTGGTCGTCTCGATCTCCTGCAGCCTCACCAATTTGAACTTATCAGACATGGGATGGACGTCTATCGGTCTATTCGGACGGATTTCCGGATGGCGGTGGCATTCTGGCCATTGGGTCTTCCACAGTGGCACGATGACTGGGTTGCATTGGGCCTTACTGTACAGGGGAAAGGACGTCACTACGTTGCTGTATGGAGACGCGGTGGTCCGGACTCGATGGAGCTGAAAATTCCCAGTTGTCCGAGCCAAACCGCTCGGAGCGAATTATTGTACCCCGTTGGCTTTCCGGGAGAAGCTGTCTGGGCTGCATCGGAGGGGAAATTAACAATTTGGCTTCCGTCAAATCTGTCGGCTCGTCTGTTTAGATTGACTGTGTAGGATGTATGAAGGTTGAAGTTGGAGCGACGCCCTATCGCCAGTCCATTTGATAGCTCAATATGAATGACACTATGGTCTCCACATGCACTGTTCATGGCACCGACAAAACGGGTCTTAGAGGCAGTCTTAGGCTATACTAACCAGGCTATGGTCGAATGATTACTGTATCCGATGGTCGTCCTACCCTATACCCCGCATCTTTGTGTTCCATCGACTCTCTGCGGGGAGAATCTGGGGAATAAAGGGTCGAAATCCACCACTCACAACCCTCCAAACCCGCACTCTTTTGGAGGTCGTCAGATCCGCTTGCTCAACTTGGGAGTTGGACGACGTGGATAATTAACCGGCGTGACTAGTAGAGTAGACATGATGGAACAAAGCGAATCGAGCCAATTCAAGGGCATCGATAGGATTTAAAGGGGTTCGATCCCTTGCAGTGTGAACTACACGCCCCTTGATCCCTCGGCAACTATTGAAGGCCCCAATCTATTCATTGTCTATCTCCGTTTGCTCCCAACTGTGATATTGAGATTGGTGCTGGCCAAATATGGCAGAGAAACACCCCGAGGATCATGTTTCTGCAACTCATAGCGAACATGCCCACATGGACATAGGGTCTGCAGCCGGCAATGCCGCATGGGACAAAACAATCCAGGAGGCAAAGGCCGCTAATGAGTCAGAGCATGCCATGACGGTACGCCAGGCCTTGCGGTCATACCCCTGGGCTGTGATGTGGTCTATCATAATTTCAATGTCAATCATTATGGAAGGCTATGATACCAACTTGATCGGCAACTTTTACGGATACCCTGCGTTCCAACGTCAATTTGGCCGGTACTATTCTGAACACCATGGCTATCAAGTCCCACAATCATGGCAGTCCGCACTTGGGGCTGGTAGCAATGCCGGCAGCATTATTGGAGCCTTCCTCAACGGATACCTTATCAAGCATTTTGGGTTCAGAAAGGTATTCATGGCGGGGTTGTTGTCGATGTGTGCGTTTATCTTTGTCTCTTTCTTTGGAAAGACGGTGGGGATTCAAGTTGCTGGCCAGGTCCTCTGTGGGTGAGTGAGGCAGTGACACGGCCATTCCAATAAAAACTAACAGACTCAATGGACAGAATACCATGGGGCATGTTTGCGACTATCGGGCCAGCCTATTCCTCCGAACTGTTGCCGATGACGCTGCGCTCGTACTTGACGGCCTATACAAATATGTGTTTTGCAATCGGTCAGTTCATTAGCGCCGGGGTACTGCAAAGTCTTCTCAATCGCCCCGACGAGTGGTCTTACCGGATCCCATACGCAGTCCAATGGGTTTGGCCCGTGCCTCTATTAGCCATCGCATTCTTCATGCCAGAATCTCCCTGGTGGCAGGTGCGCCACAAACGTTATGACGAAGCTGATAAGACCCTACAACGGCTGCTGGCGAAGCAGTACAAGCACACCTCTCGACAGATGGTTGCTATGATGATCCACACAGACCAAATAGAGTCGGAGATTGAGGCCGGAACTTCATATTGGGACTGCTTCAAGGGGAGCAATCTCCGACGTACTGAAATTGCATGCGTGGCATTTGCCGGCCAGGTCCTGGCTGGCAGCCAGTTTGCTTATTCTGGGACGTACTTCTTTGAACAGGCAGGAATGAGCCCTACTAATGCATACAAACTTGGACTGGGAGGCACAGCCATTGCCTTCATCGGGACCGTCCTCTCATGGTTCTTAATGAAGGGTTTTGGGCGCAGGTCCATGTACCTCACCGGCATGGGGCTGATGGCTGTCTATCTCATTCTCATCGGGTTCTTGACGTTGGTGAAGAATAACAATAATGTGGTCTGGGCCCAGTCCGCATTATGTATTCTCTGGCTGTTCACATTCTCCCTCACTGTTGGTCCGATGGGTTGGTCCATCGCCCCGGAAGTCTCGTCCACGCGACTACGTTCAAAGACGATCTGTCTCGCGCGGAACACCTATTACATCGCCATTGTGGTGGCCAACAGTATTGAGCCGTACATGATGAACCCTGCCGCTTGGAACTGGAGCGGCAAGACTGGGTTCTTTTGGTTTTCATTTGCTTTTCTAACGTTTGTATGGGGGGTTTTCCGTTTGACTGAGACGAAAGGTCGGACTTTCGAGGAACTCGACATCATGTTTGCCGCCGGGGTCCCGACGCGGAAATTCCAGGCGTACCATGTGGATGCGTATGCGGAGAACCTGAATATTCGAGATCGTGCAGTGGAGAGGCCGGCGGATGAGAAGGTGTGATGCTTGGAGCGAGGGGAGTTGTACCTGCAGTGACTTAACAACCTTTGCGACTAAATCGCGCTTACTGTCTACTATCATTGTAAGACCTAAAGTGCGCAACAGTCTGCATTTTTAGAGAGTACATGGAGCATACAGAAAGATATAAGGGCCGGCCGAAGACACATATTCCAATATCCCCCTTAAAGTTCGTTTCATGGAGCTGCTAGCAACCCCCATACAGACCAAATAGTCCAAGCCGCCCTCCAAGCGACGACGTACCAAAACGGTCGGATGGTATACTCGTCAGTCCGGATAGCACTCCACGAATACAGCGTGGCGAGAGTGGCATTATGCAGGGCGAAACATGCTCCCACTACCCTTCCGACCTTGGAATGGCGGATGTGGTGGTTTCTCAGGAACCAGCCGTTCAGCAAGAAAGGGAGGGATGAGACGCCCGCCACTCGCATCCAGAAGCGTGTCAATGGATGGGCGAGCTCTGTGCGGTTAGGAATGACGATTGGCGACACGAACAAAAATGCGAACGCATCGAAGCCTTGAACGGCCAGCGCTGAGCCGTACATGAGACGGATGGACAAGGGTTGAGGCCGGTCCTATGAAATTGGCATGTGCCTAAAAAATACCATAGAGGGCATACGCTTACCATAATAGGTTCAACGCAACACTGTCTGAACACAAGAAGAGTGAATAATGCTGTGAATACAGAGGAGCCCCAGAACACTCCGTGGCAAGACTCGGAGATTACGAGTCATGCGGATAAGAGATCATCCTGCAAGCTTCACGTGGTTCTCGGGGATCGGAATGTATGCTCGTGTTGGCGGTGGCTGAGCAGTAGTCGGATACGATCTTAGTGAACAAGCTGACGTTGCCCTTTATTCATGAAGAAACTTGGTTGGGTATAAGGCCATTCTTCTTTCAATGCTGAATCCTAGCAAATAGTCTTGTCCACCAGACTCCTATGCTAGACCCCACTATTATCTCCGACTGTAATCTGATGCCCCGAGGACCACCAATAACAAATTGATATTGGAAAAGCGGGACGACAACAGTATTATTAGCTGTTCTATGTCCGAGGTCCACACGGCCACGTATATTGGAGACCATTTTAGGATGTATACTCCGAGAAGACTATGTAACCCGTTGCTACTTCAGTGCACAGATCGACTAGCATTCGAGGAAGCACAGACATCCATGAACCAGGGGCCTGCATGTAACTCGCATACAAGTGGTCGAGTCCCAATGGTTATCCCTAATGGCTGATAGGATCGAGATCAAAATGTAGGGTGAAAAGTGACCTCGGGGATAAGCCGTGCAAAGGGGGTCCGTGGACCTCGCTAGATATAAAGCGATAATAGAGCAGGCCGATCTTTTCAGGAGGAGGCACGGTGACAATATAGGTGATTCAGTGGCCAAACAGGCTATTGATGCATGTGCCGCTGAGGGCCAGTCCTCTCCACGCCGTCAATGCCGAATGTCTGTTTGTACGTCCCGTCCGCCCCTAGGTAGAAGCCTAACGAGTAGCTAGCTCTATCCATTGAGAAGCCTAGACCGAGTAATGGCAATATCACTGAAACAACATGCAACCCCCACGGCAAATGGATATAAACTATTTTAGCCTCAGCACTGTACCCATATGGGGCATTGTCCGAGGTCACCGTAGGGGGTACGTAACTGCCGATGATGGACGGTTTTGGATACCAGCTTGTAGGCTCCACAAGGAGACCATTATCTAGCGAGATCGGAGGTAGTGTTGTTTTATATACCATCCGTGGATACCACAGAACTTCGTGGGTCAACTGGTTCTCTGAGTTTCTCATTTCGTTCTTCAGGCTTCCATTCATTGTACCCATTTTGCTATCAACATTCATTCCACTCATTGGTCTCGCCCTTTGAAACCTTTCGGTATGCGTCCATCAGCCTGTGCTGCTATTGCAGGCTTGGCGATGACAGCCACCGCCACGTCGCTCGTGGACCTGTGCACTGTCTCGCATGTCCAGGCTGCCATTCCTGCCAATGGAACCTTACTCGGAATCAACCTGATTCCTTCTTCAGTAACAGCCAGTCCTGTCTACAACGCAACCGTCGGCGGTGGCATGGGTTCTACCACCTCGAGCTCCGCAGCTACCTACGACTACTGCAACGTGACCGTCGCCTACACTCATACTGGCAAAGGAGACGAGGTTGTCGTCAAGTATGCCTTCCCCAGCCCGTCCGACTTCAAGAGCCGTTTCTATGTGGCCGGTGGCGGAGGCTTCTCGCTGTCGAGCGACGCCACAGGAGGTCTGAGCTATGGTGCTGCGGGGGGAGCTACTGATGCTGGCTACGATGCCTTCTCTAACAGCTATGATGAGGTTGTTTTGTACGGCAACGGGTCCATCAACTGGGATGCCACCTATATGTTTGGGTACCAGGCCCTTGGAGAGATGACCAAGATCGGAAAGCCACTGGCTAGAGGATTTTACGGCCTCTCGGGTGACACCAAGATCTACACCTACTATGAGGGATGTTCCGACGGCGGCCGTGAGGGCATGAGCCAGGTCCAGCGATGGGGCGAGGAGTACGACGGTGCGATTACCGGTGCCCCGGCCTTCCGGTTTGGTCAGCAGCAGGTTCATCACGTGTATCCCTCTGCTGTGGAGAAGACTCACGACTACTACCCACCCCCATGTGAGCTGGACAAGATCGTGAATGCGACAATTGCTGCCTGTGACCCTCTCGATGGCCGCACGGATGGCGTCGTGTCACGGACTGATCTGTGCAAGCTGAACTTCAACCTGTCCTCCATCATCGGCGAGCCATACTACTGTGCCGAACAGAATTATACATCCCTTGGCTTTGGCTTCAGCAAGCGCGGATTGAACAAGCGCCAGGCACCGGGGAGCTCCACCAGCTATCAGCCGGAGCAGAATGGGACTGTCTCTGCGGAAGGCGTGGCTGTCGCCCAGGCAATCTACGACGGACTGCACAACTCCAAGGGCCAGCGTGCATACCTGTCCTGGCAGATTGCCTCGGAGCTGAGTGATGCAACCACCGACTACAACTCCGACACGGATTCCTGGGAGCTCAGTATTCCCTCTACTGGTGGCGAGTATGTCACTAAGTTTGTACAGCTGCTGGACATCGACAACCTTTCCAACCTGGACAACGTTACCTACGACACCCTCGTCGACTGGATGAACATCGGGATGGTACGATACATGGACAGCTTGCAAACCACCCTTCCGGATTTGACAACTTTCCAATCATCTGGTGGAAAGCTACTGCATTACCATGGTGAATCGGATCCCAGCATTCCCGCTGCCTCGTCAGTGCATTACTGGCAGTCTGTTCGTTCCGTCATGTACCCCAAACTCACCCCGGCGGAGAGTCTCAAGCAGATGGATGATTGGTACCAATTCTATCTCATCCCCGGTGCCGCCCACTGCGGTACCAATGATCTGCAGCCCGGACCTTGGCCCGAAAGCAACATGGAGATCATGATCAACTGGGTCGAGAATGGCGTCAAGCCCAGTCGTCTCAATGCCACTGTTTCTTCTGGTACGTACGCTGGTGAGACCCAGATGCTTTGCCAGTGGCCGACTCGTCCCCTCTGGCATGGAAACAGTTCCAGCTTCGATTGTGTTCATGACAAGGAGTCCATTGATAGCTGGACCTACTCTTTCCCTGCCTTTAAGGTTCCCGTGTACTAAGTTTGTACCACTATTGTTTTTTGGGGCCCCGGGGGAGAACCTCATCTATGGGTTGTTTCCCCTCTATAGTGTTGACTGATAATATCTATGTTGTACCGAAAATACGCTGGGGGTGAATACTTCCATCACTTGTCAATACTCTGTTTCTCTTCTACTCCATGCAATGAATGACTTGGAACTCCCCATATACGGTTAGAATATGCGATAGAACTGTTCTCATCTCACCCTACCAATAGATCAACAGAGTGGTGCGATGCTTACATCTACCCACTCCATTGCTTCCACCAACCGCCAGACGGGGCTGACTGCGCGATCAAATCGTCAAGATTATATCTACTATATTTAGTTAAATTTAATAGCCTTGGTGGTTGAAAAGTCTGGGGAAGCAGATGCTTTGGTGGAAAGGGGTAGTTGAATGCATTAGTTATCCTATGTTTGGTTATGTAATCTATGCACAGCCAAGTTTTCGCCCAGCAACAATCATCACCATCTCCCCTTGAGCATCAACCGGTGCAAGTCAAGATGGGCCTGATTGATTTTCTCAAGGAGATTATCCGCCCTGGCAATGGGGTGGATTATCCCAAACCGGGCGACAGTGTCACAGTGCACTACCACGGATATCTTTACGACCCAACACGATCGTGGAATCGAGGATATCGGTAAGTGGATGTTACGGAGTTCTTTTATCGCAACAGCGTCCACTACTAACGACTATTCCATGTGTCAGATTCGACAGCAGCATAAAAAGAGGATACCCATTCACCTTTCAAGTGGGCGTGGGACAAGTCATCAAAGGCGAGTCCATGAAGACCATCAGTCTCATTTCGGCTTTTTACTGACGCAGACACAGGATGGGATGTCGGTATCCTGGGAATGAGCTTGGGCGAAAAGGCCCTTCTCACATTTGGCCCGTAAGATTTTATTCTTCTCCACCATTACTGCAAGGCACTCTGACCATTGAAATTATAGCCATTATGGGTATGGGGCCAAGGGGGCGCCTCCCTTCATCCCTGGCAATTCCACCCTTGTTTTGTAAGTTCTCTACCCGTTGACCTCAGTGCATGCTTTGATACTCATTTCATTGCAGCAACGTTGAACTTTTGGCCATCAATGGTCGGACGCTGCAAGCTAGTTAGTGTGATTTGGCATTGGAGGTCATTTAACATGCGCCAAACGAGACATCCCCTGGCTGCTATGCTGTGTGTACGATAGTAGGGTGCCTACCTAGGTGGTAATCAATGCTTTATCAATACCATTTATATGGTGTGTGTAACCGAGAAACAATTACAGGTACTACGTAGGGAATAAAGGGAATTTCGCTTGTCTTGCAGGCATCAGCGGCTATACATGATGCGGGAGCAAAATATATATCTTCAATGGAGTCCACGGTTCAAGTGTCAGTGCAGACACTATACCACCGGATTCAAATATATCATTCCATCACCAATCTATGCTACTAGTCAGAATGAATCCGGATTGGCAGTCTCACCTCCCCGATAGTGCTCTGCATAATGCCTCGATCTACTCCGGAGGCCACTATGCTCTATCTGCCGCTTTCTCCGGGGCCCCGCACCCCTGAGGATGTTCATCGGACTCTTGTGCGCTCGGAGCCCGCGTAAATAGTCTTGAATAGTCTCCACTAGTGGACTACTCCGGCGCCACAATCCTACGCTGGCCCGGGCTTGTTTACGTTCAGTACAATGATAGGCACTCTATTCTTCCACAGTCCACTGCTGCCGACGCTTAATTATCTCCTGCCGAGTACAGAGGGGAAAAATCCCGGCGGCACATCCATTTACTTCGCCCTAGAAGGGTCGATTGGTTTCTGCATCTTGAGTCCTCATATACCCATGTTACCTGCCACCCTGCGGGGTGTCTCGGAGATGGCCTCCTAACCCCTGTCAATGAGGACTGTCTCTCCGCAGTCTTGTCCGGAGAGGCCCTTGTGACCCATGTGAAGCCCCTCACCGGCATCAGAGGTGGAAGAAAAATTCCGTGTAAATGAGATTAGACAGTAAACAGTATACGAACTGAACAGTCGACTGGGCTAGTGTAGCCGACTCCGAGATCTATGCAGAAATTCCAGTCCGAGGTAACTCCATCCGCCCAGACCCAATACTTGCATGGGATCATAAAGCTTTACGAAGCTTTCCTGAACACTAGTATCTATTTCTCCACTTCCGAGACAGTCTGACCGCGTCTTTTAGTACAATACGCACTCAACAATATAAATCCACTTATTAATTGGAGGAAAATCCACCCCACTTGAGTAGAGTGTGGCATTGTTGACCTAGCAAGCGGACATCGTGAGAAGCGGGTCAAATCATATAAAAAGATGGCATTCTTCAGGCCCGATAGTGCACACAGTCAGTCATCAAGTGTGCCTGTTGTGCAAGTGGCCGCTCAAACACCTCGTGCCTTTTAGACTGCCCCCAGTCCAAGTGATCAAACATGTTGTTACCACGAGGGTTCAACCGTGCTGTCGTAACGGCTTTGGGTGTTGTTGGCACGGGCACTCTTGTTGCTGCTGGTCCCTGCGATATCTACTCCTCTGGTGGGACGCCCTGCGTCGCCGCCCACAGCACCACTCGTGCTCTGTACAGCGCCTATACGGGCCCCCTCTACCAAGTGAAGCGCGGCTCCGATGGTGCCACAACCAATATTGCACCGCTTTCTGCTGGTGGCGTCGCGAATGCGGCTGCTCAGGACTCGTTCTGTGCCGGCACGACCTGCCTCATTACAATCATTTACGACCAGTCCGGCCGCGGTAATCATCTCACCCAGGCTCCCCCCGGCGGTTTCAAAGGCCCGGAAGCCAACGGTTATGACAACCTGGCCAGCGCCATTGGCGCACCCGTCACGCTAAACGGCCAGAAGGCGTACGGCGTCTTCATCTCTCCTGGCACTGGCTATCGCAACAACGCGGCCAGTGGTACGGCCACAGGTGACGCGCCAGAGGGTATGTACGCGGTCCTGGACGGCACCCATTACAACGGTGGTTGCTGCTTCGACTATGGAAATGCCGAAACCAGCAGCACGGACACGGGCAACGGCCACATGGAGGCCATCTACTTCGGTGACAATACCGTTTGGGGCTCAGGTTCTGGCAGTGGCCCTTGGATCATGGCGGATCTCGAGAACGGCCTGTTCTCGGGCTCCAGCACTAAAAACAACGCTGGAGACCCGTCCGTCTCCTATCGCTTCCTCACTGCCATCGTCAAGGGCAAGCCAAACCAGTGGGCTATCCGTGGTGCGAACGCGGCGTCTGGCTCACTATCGACATACTACAATGGTGCGCGCCCAAACGCATCTGGCTACAACCCCATGAGCAAGGAGGGTGCCATCATCCTTGGTATTGGTGGCGATAATAGTATCGGCGCTCAGGGCACATTCTATGAGGGCGTGATGACTTCCGGCTATCCGTCGGATGCAACCGAAAACTCGGTCCAGGCCAACATTGTCGCTGCGAAATACGCCGTTGCGCCGCTGACCAGCGGCCCGTCGCTGACTGTGGGCTCCTCGATCTCGCTGCGAGCGACCACATCCTGCTGCACCACGCGTTATCTCGCTCACAACGGCTCGACGGTCAACACACAGGTTGTTTCGTCCTCTAGCAGCACCGCGCTCAAGCAACAGGCCAGCTGGACCGTTCGTGCCGGCCTCGCCAACAGCGCCTGCTTTTCGTTTGAATCCAAAGACACCCCCGGCAGCTTTATCCGGCACTATGACTTCGTGCTGCAGCTGAGCGCCAACGACGGCACGAAACAATTTTACGAAGACGCGACGTTTTGCCCGCAGTCCGGTCTCAATGGCCAGGGGAGCTCCATTCGATCATGGAACTATCCGACCCGCTATTTCCGCCATTACAACAATGTGCTTTATGCGGCAAGCAATGGTGGGGTTCACACATTTGATGCGACTGGGTCTTTTAACGATGACGTGAGCTGGGTGGTTAGCACCAGTTTCGCTTGAAAGCGAAGCGCTGGCTGGGAAAGAGCTCTCTCTATCTGTGCTGGTCTTCCTGGATGATGTTGTTTAGGGACCTAGATGGTGGTTGACTAGGATAGGGCAGATCACGGTGAAGTTCTAGCTGTAAATAGCTGTTGGCAGTAGAAAGGAATTATCACGATGGCAACCCTTGGCGATTGTTTTCTCCCAAGTAAAGGTGAATGCTATACTGCTCACAGCGCCCACCCTATCTTGCATCAGATCATTGGGAAGGACATGGTATTGTGCCACTGTATTCATTTCAAAGAAGCTCTCAGGCATAGTGTACCAGTAAATGACATAAAAAGGCTGCATCCTGGTGGCGCTCCCTCTGTAAGAATGTATAGCTGCCATGGTCTTACATCGTCTCTGGTGACAATAACCGAATCAACTGGTTTCTCGACTTGCCAATCCTTTCGTCCTCTGACGCAGGGCCTTCCTTGGCCTGCCCTGCTCTTTTCAGTGCCTCGTTCATAATTTCCCACTGACGATACCGACGGGGGCCCCACGGGTCAAGCTGGCTGATCTCCTCATCCTCTGCTCTGGTTCGCACTGACCAACCATGCTGCATATCACAGATCATAATGCTGCCTGTGTCAAGGTCGTAGGGCTTCGCATCGGGCATCGGTGGAAGTCCATTGGCAAACCGGATCCAACTGCGCGCCATTTGCTCCCCTTGGTGCCGCAAGAAATGATTCCGATGCGTAGGGAGGCGCCTCGCCAGTGTCATAAACTGGTACATGAGTTCGACAAAATGGTGGCCCGTCGTGTAGGAGAACATCGACCCAGGAAAAGGGTTCGGAAGACCAAACTGCCATCGGTAGATACGCTGTCGACCTGTCGCAGCCACTGCGATGGCGGTAGAGTGCGCTGGCTCGGAGAAAACCAGGTCCCCAAAGAAGACTATCGCCTGTTGCCAGAAGAAGCCTTCGTCCATCCCCTCGTGTATGTCGTACGCCCCTAGCAACCGAGGGGCGTGCTCCTCACCGAGAACGGCATAGACCTGAGCAATGAAGTCGCTAGGGTACATGTTCTTCAGCAGGGGCATGAACTGGTGTCCTTCACATGAGTCGTCTCCAATCATTATCTCATGGATCCAGGGGCAATTGGCTAGAATATTGCCCTGGGTGGTCCAGAAGGGCTGCTGCGGGAAGAACCCACTCTCTGGGCCAAGGAAAGGCGGCATCACCGTGGTATTGGTCTCTCGAATGAAGTCGATCAAGCGTGAGACTTCCACCTCACGGAGGGCCTTCAGCCGCTCTGCGCGCGTCGCTCCTTCGATTCCGAGATATGACAACAGACGGTGATAGTGTGCATCACACTCATCGAGTGTCCAGTTAGTGGTGACGTTCGCCGAGCCACTCTGGATGATGACTCGGCGGAACACAGGCACATCGGAACAGGCGTGCATAAAGAGCGAGGCGGCTCCTCCTGACTCGCCAAACGCCGTGATGTTCTCTGGATCGCCACCAAAGCCTGCGATATGTCTTTGGACCCAGAGGAAGCTGTTGCGCTGGTCTCGCAGCCCATAAATAAATGCAGGCTCCCCATTTTCCCTCGCCTCTTCGAGAAGGTCATAGCAGGTGATAAACCCCTGCCAGTTGAGCCGGTATCCAATCGACACAATCACAACATCATTGCCCTCCTGTGCAGCTAGTTCAGCCATCTTGGTCGTGTCATGGAGGGCGCTCACATGGCCTTTTCCTTCGACGAAGCCACCACCATGTACATAGACCAGCACTGGGATAAGCCCCTTGGGGTGCGATCCATTCCGTTCCAAGGCCTTCGCAGAGACAGAGATGGTCAGGTTGAGACAAGTCTGCTCATCGTATTTGATTTCCTCCTCCCCAGGGACAAAACCCCCAGTTGCACTGCCTCGTCCTGTTGGCTGGGGCACCTGCGGACACGCAGCGCTGTACTCAGTGAAGTCTCCCCGAGGCCGATTATCAAAGTCGTCAGGGATACGATCTAGTACTACACTTTGCCTGAAACGGCCCGGGATGGTGGCATAGGGGATGGAACGGAAATGAACCACAGGCTCGGTCACCGGCAGACCATCGGCGTGCTGTTGATCGACCAGGCGGCCAGTGATACTGCCGAGCTGTGGATGGCCAAGCGTGAAGGTGCGTACTGTCATGGCGGTGAATTTCTGGGATCGAGCCACTGGATACTTGTCGCTGGTAGGATGTCGGAGAAATACTTGGGCAAACCGACATTGGGAATCTCTTCTCATAATAAGAGCAAACCTAGAGTAAGGCTCCAGCCAACATCGTCATCCTCCAGTGTCAGAAATTAGTGCTGATGGACATACCCCCAATTAGGGACATTCCTTCGTCGCGTCGGGCACCTGTTACGGCCTAGCAAATGAACAATAGGTAAACAATAGGGCGGCTTTTCGGGCCGTCTGTCCCACCAAGCCCTCAGCGTTGCTCCCTTACTCTTATATAGAGAGCCTAGTACTTTCTTTACAGTTCCCTGCAGTGAAAGGTTGAATGAACCACTGGAATACGGAAGCTGTGAAATCTTTTTAGTCCGCTACTTTTGAAGAAGTTGGTGTGCTGACTTCCGATTATCTAACTGCCTTCGAATGGCACTGTTTCATACCAGACTTCAAAGACAAGGACACAGAGTTCCGTTTGACGACAATCTGGAGCTCGATACAATTTGGCACTCCCTATAGTATTCGCATGGAGGGAAAAAATGTAGGCATACCATATCAGAACGCCGCGCATGCATGGGCCACAGTAATGGGCTTCTTTGGAAGCTCTACTTAACACTATATTTGATTTGTATCTGATCCCTATACGCATATAGAGTCTGGATCGTCGGGAATGTATAATAAATGCTCATAATTTCACCAACAATTGCGGTAGACGGGCGAGTAGAGCGCTTTGAACGTCGCTTTAGGTGCTTTTAATAAAAACGAAGAAGTTGGAGTTGCCTTGGTAAAGTAAATGAATATTAGCCACAATATGGTCTGTCCAACTAGCCACGTATGCCGTAGACAATAGGTACATTGTTTAATAATATATTCCACCGCGGGGATTGGAACTCTTGGAAATATGCGGGATGATGCAACAATTGGATGAATAAGACAGGTTGTGCAGGATGAAGCTGGTGCGCGAATGTGCCTAATTAAGTAGTTTGGCCAACCCCTCCCCGTGGATGAACCGTGTGCGGGTGGTCAATCATCCCCGCCCTAAAGGCCAACTGCTTGGATATTTAGCAGTGAATGCCCTCGCGGAATAGACACTACTTGCAGTCTCGAAGTGTTTGATTATATATGCATTTTGTTATACGATCGCAATGTCCACGTACCAAGCCAAGCCCTCCAAAGATGGTCATGTCTATACCAAGCGAGATGGCCTGGTTGGGGGTCTTAACACCTATGCTGTCATTCAACCCGAGAGGAAAGTTCGCTCCGCAGACAAAGGTCATGTCTGGGATGTCATCATTATTGGTGCTGGCTACGCTGGCCTGGTTGCTGCCCGAGACCTTGTCAAAGTTGGTGAGTGATGGTCAGCATGGTGATTAAAGCGGGCTTAATCTGATATTTCTTAGGCAAGAAGACCTTGCTTATCGAAGCCCGTGATCGTATCGGTGGCCGAACCTGGAGTGCCGAAGTCGATGGAACAACATACGAAATGGGCGGTACGTGGGTTTCGCACGTTCACGGACGATTGTTTGCAGAAATGCAGCGATATGGCCTCCAGGACGAAGTGACTCTAACGCGGACCGACAATGGTGGATGCTCCTACTTCATGCTCGATACAGGCTCAGGATCGCGCAAGTTCAGCCTGGAAAAGGCCGCACAGATGTCAGCCAGAGCCTGGAGAATCTTTATCAACATTGACGGTAATGAGGGCCGGGATATCTGCCCTCTTCCGCACTCCTCCCTCGGCAACGTCCGCATCTCCTTTGACAAGGTCAAAGCCGTCGACCAGCTGTCATGCCGTGATCGCATCGAGCAAATCCGGCACCTCCTAACTGCCGATGAGCTTGCCTTGATCGAGTCTCTCGTGCCTCATTGCGGCGGGGGCTCTGTCGAGAATATTAGCTTCCTAGAGATGATTCGTGCGCAGGCTCTTCAGGGCTACAGCCCTGAGACTTTCGAAGATATCTGGACACTCTACAAGATTCGTGGGGGCCAGTCCACCCTTGCTCGCCGGATCTTTGACGATGCTGTGAAACATGGTCTGCAGTACACATTCAAAACGCCCGTCAAGTCGATCGTGGAGAAAGATGGGATTGTTTCCATCACCACAGCCGATGACGAGCTCTACCGTGCTCGGCGTGTCATCAATACTATCCCCATCGCTGTCCTTCCCACAATCTCGTTTGACCCACCCCTCTCCCCTCTTCGCCGGGAGGCACTCGAGATTAACCAGGTTTGCTACCTCACCAAGATCCACGCGGAGGTTGAAGGTGACCTTCGTGGCCTCCGCGGATGCACCTGGCCCGGTGACTTTCTTTACATTTACGGTGATGGTTTCTGCGCTGGCGGCAAGTCAACCCGCATTACCTCATTTGCCGGCGACAATCGCGGCATCCTCGACCCCCTCAAAGAGCCAGAGCGGCTGGAGCTGACCTTGCAACGATTCCACCCCATGAGTATAAAGAAGGTCATATTCCATGACTGGGTCAGTGACCCTTACGCCAAAGCCGGTGCTGCATGGTATCCAGCTGGGTTTCTCACCAAGTACCTTGCGGAGCTACAGAAACGTCACGGGAATGTCCTTATGGCTAGCGCTGACTGGGCTCGCGGATGGAGGTCATTCATTGAGGGTGCCATCGAGCAGGGTGCCCTTGCTGCCAACGTGGTGATGGATGAACTGGGTGTTCTCGGCGCGAATACTCCTCCGGGATCGTTCGAAAAGATCTAGCTACAACTTATCGCTGGCGGGCAGAATCTGGCAAGAAATGGCAGTGGAATGAGCAAGCGATAGCTGGGAGAAGAGTGGACAATAGTGGGATCCGAAAGAATAAGCATGTCTATTGGAGGATGCCACTCCGCGGTTTGAATTGTTATCCGCCATGGATGGACTTCCAACCCCGTGGTATTTATGACACCAGTCAATTGAAAGTCAAATCACATCTCCCGAAATAGACAATCTAGAAGTACCTAACAAACCCCCCTTGTCGCTGTGGACCAGCTCGTTGTCATAGACGGGGTATTGAATTCATCCCCCTCCATGGTAAACTTTCGGCTGGGACTCGCAACCACCTTGGTGTAAAGAGCGGCCTGAATGTCTTCTTTGGTCCGCTCCCTCCATACAGGAAAGCCATCCTGACTGAGCGGAAACAGGACAAGGTTCTCCTGGCGAACCATAAAGTCGTCTACATTTGGAGGCGGGGTGGCTGTGATGATATCGAGTTCTTTGGCAATCTGGCGGCAGTAAGTGGTAAGTGGGAGATCATTGACATCTTCGCCAAAGGGATTCTCTATTTCACTGCCAATAGCGAGCAGGCCAATAATAATATACGCGGCAACTATGGCCAGAATTGTTAGGATCACGCAGCAGCAGACGTCGATACCACCGCCAGCTTACCAGTGGAGGCAGGGATGGTGACCCAATGTAAGAAGCTGTATAGTTGAAAGGGAAGAAGCATGACATATATCCAGGCGATTTGGGATATGGCAATGCTATACGCCGCGGGTAGAGGGGTATCTAGCACTCGCTCCGTCCCAGTCAAGATCTCGGTCAGCGTAGATATCATCGTCACTATTCACCCTAATCAGTAGTAGCACCTTAGCGTCTCGTCATTCTGTAACCTACTGGCTTGACCTTGATATTGAGCGGGGGATAGTGTATCATTCTCCACGCATGAATGGATATAGGCTGACAAATGGTTAATGATCTCGAGCGGAAGATGTCCCAAAGGCTTCTTAGACCGTTTAACCAACTTCCGCGGGTTCGACTTGGCGAATGAAACTCCGAGATATTCTCCTACAGCCTTCCACCGTGTTTTTGCTGGTGGCTCCAACACTTCTCGGCTATGGGCCTGGTAGGCGAAGGTGTCCAGGTGGCCGATGAGGCCTGCCAAGTCCTCATAGGCGACATCGGGCTCAAAGCGTAGCTTGTGTTTTAGTGCAACTGCGAAGGCAAGGATAAGGTTGATGGCAGATCTATGACACATGTCTTAGCCATGAGAAGGGGATATGATGGTCAAAACATACAGTTTCCTTAGAAGATCCACCTTACCATGGTCTCCCTCCCGTTCGTTGATGTGCACCCATACGAGGCGGGCCAGATTCCGCGAGGTCTGCACGAGCTGGGCCCAGTACTTCCGCCCATCAGCCCATCTTTATCCATGTCAATCAGAGGAACTGCTCAACCGGCTGATTTTCCTAGGCATATTTGCAAGGGACCTACCTCTCGTACGCAGTTGAACCGCGGAATGATAATGACAAGCCCACCACGAAACCCAACACCGTAAGAAGGATATTATTGATACCAACTTTTGCGCCGGAGAAGACAGAATCCCAAATCAGTGTGAGTTCATCAAGTATCTATTGAGCCACTCACGGTTATGATAAAAGTGAGAGATGCAAGTAATCAGTGTTGCCCAAGCCCCAACAATGATCAACGGTAGAATCATTTGGGGCATGATACTCCCTTGGACTCGCATGACAATTGGCCATTTCGAATGCCTTGTCATATTACGTGGCCCGTGCTAAGTAGGATCACATCCCGTCAGTTGGAATTGACCTGGCTTATCTCTCGTGAACTTCCCAGGTTCCACATACGAAATACCGCTCCAGCTGACTCCTGTCCGGCCCGTGGAACTGTGACTCGCGTGAGTCCGCCAGATGCTCCTCGAAGGTTGGCCACCGCGAGAACCGGTCTATATCATCACCTTCCTTCCAGTCGGCGAGAGAGGAATTCGGGTCGTCCTTAATCTCGTGTTGCGATGCGTCAGATGGTCCAGGACAACTGCAGTCAGCCATGATCGATGCCAGTGCAATGAAAAAGATCCAATATAGTTAGGGACGCAGCTATGAAAGACACAAGTAGTGCCATATGGGTGAAATAGAAAGCCGTGGGGATAAAGAAGAGATGTTTGGCGACAAGAGAAAGCCGAATACAGTGTACGTCATTTGGCCAAGGCGAAGCTGTCACGGACCTGGACCTGCGCCAAAAGTTGCCATATCGGGCAACGGCTGCATCCCGGCAGCAGATCATAACCAGATCGCCCGGTCAACTGACTGGCATGATAACTCCGACAAATCTGACTGGGATACCCCGCATTATCTGCATTTACCAGTATCATATTGGCTTAGGATTGTGCTCACAAGAGAAGGTAATTATGCTGGCCCTGTGATAATATCCCTCTTGTCTGCGCGAGTCAGTGGGACAATCATTGCATAAGAATCCTCTTAACATTGCTTTATAAGACCAAATCGATTAAGATATATGGAAGCAACTCCAAGGAAAGTATTACAATGGGCTACAAGGAATTCGCTGCGCTCCAACATCAATAGACATCTAGCTCAACGATCCGATAGACCCATCGGTTGTCGTTATGGCGCTGTATAGGACCAGACTGCTGTGGTGAGTCGTCAATGAACCAAATATCTGTGAGATCCAGAGTGTTGGATGGTTATATTTGATGTAGTTCTTCTAAGGGCGGGCGTCCGGAGGAGTCACAAGTCAGTGAACCTGCTGAGACGCTAAGGTCTTTTACAGGTGTATTCTAAGGAGGAAGAACAGAAATAAGATCTTTTTAGAAGTATCAAAGTTGATAAAGGACAGAATTGTGTCACCGAATTTAATACAAGTTGATCATATTGTGTGGATCTATGGATCCATATACCACACTATGGGAGTTGCTTAGATAGGTTCTGAAATCATTGAAAGCCATCAGTTACCCATACGAATGAACATATTTCATATATATACGACCGTCGACCTTATTTAATTGTACCTGGGATACGACTGGTTTATAGTGGTGACATATCGGCCGATATCGATAATGCTTATATTACTAGTCGCCTGGGAAGGGGTGTCTTTCATGGTACAATAGTGGATGTTGCATCGAGACTAATTCAATACGATAGCTCAACATGAAAATTAGAGTCTGCCTGTACATATATATTGTAAGGTACCCATATCAAGCAAGGGATACATGGATGGACATGCCATAGGTTCGGAAAATTGACATATCTGGGGACTTTGCGTGAGATACGTTGGGAGAAACTCCGCAACTGGGTTCGAGCACTCGCTTCAACCTCCCCCATAATTCCGGTTGCTTTCGGAATTGACGTAATTTACACAAGATTAATTGTTCTTCATAATCCCGAGGTACTATATACATGATTAATATCAATTCCATACAGATTAAGTGTTGTATATGAAGCTCTGTTTTCTTTGTGGTCGAGCATCGACTCGCATCACCCTATTGTATGAATACGTCATGACAAGTCTTTATATCGCGATTCAAGCCAAGCTAACTACCTGGTAACCAGTTCATAAAATATACTTTAGTCGTTGTCGGGAACGGAAAAGCTTCTCGAGGCGCGACTAGCAGGTCAGTGCCTAAACAAGGCCATACCATTCTGGTTCGCGGCCCTCGTGGTTTTGCGGCCAACTGGGTGAGGGTCCCGACTGCATCATTTCTCTGTTTACCGTTGGACAAGAGCGACTATCTGGTAGTAGTCGCAAGGTGTTCAAAAGTGATCTCTGGAGAGTGGGATCGCCAGGTTGATGGGAACCGTGGTAGGGAGTCAGAGCAATTTTATGGGCCAAATGTAACTTCAACCTGCGGATAGGGTTGCAACAAGGAATCCAGCAGCTACCTTAGCGTTTGATGGATCCCATCTATTAACATCCGTTGCGTATCATCGGAGTGAAACAGCAGGGTGGTATGCAGCCACTACATGGAGATACTACCAGCTAAAGTGGCAGGTATACAAAGGGTATATCTGCCCCTTTTACTGGGTCATCTGCGTCTTTTCTTCAACCCTACTTTCTGTCAGCATTATTTGCACCGGATTATAACTCTACTTTTTAAATACATGCCGATAACGGCCTAAACCAGACTACTAATTTTGGGGGCTAACAAGATGCGATCTCTCACTGTGCTTTCTACTGCAACGCTGCTGGCACTTGCCACAGTGCCTGGCGCTGCAATCGACGACAGCACTATTGATCCTCAACAACAAAAAGAAGCCTTTAATACCACTGAGATACCCCGGGCTCCTCTTCCTTGGGGGATGGTCAACTTTCTGCACACAACGGATACTCATGGATGGCTTGATGGGCACGCGAATGTACCCAGCTGGGGTGCTGACTGGGGCGACTTCGTTTCCTTTGTCATGCATATGAAAGACAAAGCCTTAAAGAAGAAGGTAGACCTTCTTCTTATTGACAGTGGTGCGTTGTTTCGTTCTCAGAAGAATATCCAATGCTAAAGTGGTCACCTTTTCCTTCCAGGAGACTTCCATGACGGTGGTGGCCTCAGTGACAGTACAAGCCCGAAAGGAGCCGTCTCAGACAGTATCTTTGAGAACGTTGACTACGATATCGTGACAATTGGTAACCACGGGGTCCGAACCGGGGCAGAAGCTTTGAACATTCACCACAACCTATCGAGGGTTTATGGTGACCGGTTTCTCACCAGTAACGTGGACGTAAATGCCAACGGGATACTTGAACCAATTGGCAAGCGATATCGCGCCTTCCAAACGAGAAATGGGCTACGAGTCGTGGCGTTTGGAGTTACTGTCAATGACCCTGTCCTCAGGGATCTAAGAAATACAGAAGTATACAGCGCAGGCTGGATATTCCAACAAACGTGGTTTGAAGAAGCTATGAGGAAAGACGCTGACCTGTACCTGCTTGTTGGTCATGCGCCTACTTACGCTTCTTGTCTGGATCCTGAAAAAGATAACCCTCTGGTGTGTCTGCGCGATAGGATCAGGAATTCCACAGATAAGCCTATCCAGCTCTTCGGGGGCCACGCCCATCATCGAAACTTTACGTGCTATGACGAGAGATCCTCAGGTATCGAATCTGGCAAGTACTGTGATACCGTGGGCTGGGTGGCCTTGAACAACGTGTCATCACCGGCGTGGTCTGGTGCGAAGGCACTGACGGGTGATGAGCCCCGCCCCAGCAAGTCCTGTCCTGTGAACAGTCAAGGGAATATAAAGAACATCCCCTATCTACTTGATCGCCGATACCTGGACTGGAACCGCGTAACGTTCTCGTACCATACGGTCAACCTGGAAGGGGACGCCGACAACCCGTCCGTGCCAGCATCCTTCGATACGCCCCTGGGCCGCAAGGTCACCGACGATATCAACAAAGCCCGACACTTACTCAACCTGACCCACTTCCTGGGATGCGCGAAGGAAGAGTATTGCTTCAATTGCAAGAAAGTGGGACAGGACGGCAATATCTATGAGCTCCTCAAGGATGCCCTCGCTGACACGGTTGTCAAGAAAGAACGTGCACACCTGGCGCGGGTCGTGCTCTCCAACGACGGTACAATCCGGGATAATATTTACCAAGGTCCTTTCATGACAGGGGACGCCTATGCTGTCGTGCCCTTTCCGAATCATTTCCAATATATCGCCAATATGTCATGTCATTATTTCAGGAAGATGACTTCAAGTTTGCAGGCAAAGCAAGGCGTTTCCTGCATCGATGACGGCGATGAGAATAAGTTGCCTGTGATAGACGAAAATGATCATGGATCCCGGCCTGAGTCACACCTGGAACTCCGGCGCATGTTTGGTGGTCGAAAATTTCAACTAGCTGCTAGTTCTTACAAGCACGCACAACAAAAGGAAGAACAGAAACAACACAGCCCGGGGTACACAACGCACGACGCTTTGGGCGACGACGGAGACGACACTCTACACTCGCCTGTTATCGAGAACGAAAGATACATGAAACTGTTCTGGGCAAATGCCAGCTTCCCGAACGCGTCTCATTACCCGCCTTCATTTGATGTGGTCTTTACCAACTACCTCAAGAAGAGAATTCTCGATGCTCTTAATAAAACTGGGGCTCCTTATACAGACGATGACGTTGCTGATTACCTGCCCCGAGATTATACTAGTAGAGAGGTGCTGGTTGATTATACTGCGAGGAATTGGGGCCAGGATAGGGAGAACTGTCCTATTCGGAGGCCGGGGGACCGTTAGCCATCCAAGTACGGGAATTGACTACCTCCGCACCGGGGCAGAGTGATATATTTGATTTCGAGGATGGAAGTATAGGTAGTGAATTTTGCTGAACTCTCTTGCTCTCCTCGCAGCCCAGGATTTTAGAGGTCTTTCCTTTTTTCGAAGTTAAGGGCGGTATGGCACAGCCTAACAGTGTTACAATTGGATCACTACACTGGTAAAGCCCGACTGGTAATAATATTGATTATATTCAGAAAATATGATTGTATCATGGTCTGGATCCTGGTTAAGCCGGTTTATTTACTGTGTTGCTTGCGATTAACCTGCTCGCCTTCTGTCCTCAGGATGCATCCCTTCCACGATTGAAATCCACGTCCTCTCGACCCGATGCAAAGAAAGGGCCGGCACCGTGGTAACCATGCCATCTATTGAGACCATATAGTTTAGCACTTATCACCTCCCCGTGAAATCATGGTGATACCGAGACATACCATGGTCTACACAGAACTTATCTATATCCAAACCAACATTGATACCCTAAGCTCTATTCCATAGATCGTGGCGCGCCGACCGAGAGAATCGACCGCACCACGGAACTAGTTCTCTCTGAGCGCTGTTGGTGAATAGTAATACATATCGACTGCGACCAACAGCACAACAAGCATTCCATATAAGCCGTCCGACTCGGCCAAGTTATATCTATGAACCCCTCGTTCAATTGTAGGGGAGGGCTGTTATCTGAAAATTATGGTAAGCCTTAGTATGGGGGGGGGGGGGGGGGGGCCTGGACTTCGCCAGGGGATAATGCACAGTGATTTACCCCCTCCCAGTACCGTGCCAAGAATTCTGGGTCGGCGGAACCTACAGTCTCCGACTCTCCCAGCTTCCGAAAGCCTCCTCTCCACGTCGGGAACGGATGTTCGCATCTCCCGTCGGATCCTTTTCACCGTAGGTAGAGAAGAAGCAAGATCCTCCAATGACATGCCTAGACGCAGTCAAATTAACGCATGCTACGCCATGAATAATCGAACTATAACCTGGTTGTACGGTGTAGTAGTCGTTGTCTATCCGCTGTTGATGAGGTATATAAACCACCTCCGATCTCGTTCCCAGTGTCATATGAAGGCCAATCGTCCGTTTCTCACTCCACTTCCAACTTTAGCATTTAAACAATTGACATGTCCCCTGCAAAGAAGCTCAAAGTAGTTGTCGTCGGTGCTTCCGGCGAGACCGGCACCTCCATCATGAACGGGCTGCTGGCATCGCCGGCCCAATTCGAAGTCATCGCCCTGGCTCGTCCCGAATCCGTCACCAAGGACATCTACCAGGACCTCGGCCAACGTGGTGCTTCCGTTAAAAGCGTTGATTTCAGCAATATCGAGGCGCTTACCCACCTCCTCATGGGTACAGACGTCGTCATCTCCTGCGTTTCGATGGCACAGAAGGAGGTCCAGGACGCTCTCATCGATGCATCCTCCAAAGCCGGTGTTGGTCGCTTCGTGCCCAGTTTCTTTGCGACGTGCTGTCCGCCGCGCGGGGTGATGCAAGCCCGGGACGTGAAGGAAGACAGTCTCGACCAGTGCAAGCGCTTGTATCTCCCTTACACTGCCATCGACGTTGGCTGGTGGTACCAGTTCAGTCTCCCTCGCGTTCCCTCTGGCAAGCTGGATGCGGTCGTTTCTTTCCCTGATACTGTCATCACCGGCGATGGGAATACCAGAACGGCCCTGACAGACTTGGCTGATATCGGGAAATATGTCGCACGCATCATCGCCGATCCTCGCACTCTGAACAAACTGGTCTTTGCCTATAACGAAGTGACTACCCAAGATAGGGTCTGGAGAACGGTGGAGGCAATCACCGGCGAGACGATCCCCAGACAGTACTTGTCAAAGGGAGAGGCGGAAGAGATAATGGCTTCGGCTGGCCAGGCCATCGTTGAGGACCCAACCGATATGGATGCAATTGTTACGAAGGCCATGATGGAGTATAGGTACAGCCGCAGCATTCGTGGTGACAACACCCCTGAACATGCCGAGTACCTGGGCTATCTCATTGCCAAGGACCTCTACCCCGATATCAATGGCAAGTCTGTCGATAACTTCGTTCGCGAGGTGGTGGAAGGGAGCAGGGGCGCCAACCTCTACATCGGTAGAGATCATCCGCTCAACAATCTGGGAGAGTATAAAATCTAGTGGTGTGTTGCCTTCGTGTGTGTCAATATTGAATGGGTTGTATCTAGCAAAGTGTTCAACTACACCGAGGAGGGCATATGGATGGAGATGTTGATATATATATATTGCACCATCTGCTTTTTAGCTGCTGCTCGTTCATGAGTCCTTCATATGCGTACAGGTTGCCTCACACCCGAATCTGTCAATCCCTTTACCTCAAACCTATCGGAATCAATGTGTTAACAGGTCTGTATATTTCCAAGGAGGGAATGAGTGAATCGATGCTTGTCTTTAGTGATAAGGACTGCACTGAGAATCCTTCGGGGCCTCTTTAGCAAGGAGCCCGTCGGCGATTTCATCGAGCGCGATTTTGCCCATAGGAATCAGTCCTTTCACCGAGCCTGCGGGGATACCGGACATTAGCTTAGACATAATCTGAAGGTAAATTGTTGTCCAGCATGAGTAGCGGGAACAACCGTACAAAGGTCAGTGGCGACAATATCGCGTCCAACACCACACAGGCCAAAACGGTAGCTGCACAACCGCGGCTGACCCGGCTCTGTAAGCGTCTTCCAGCAGCACCGTCCATACATTACCTAGCTAACGAGCTCCAGGTGCTGACTGCAAGAAGCACAAGGCCAGATATTTTGTGCAGCCCGGCAAAACAGCATGCAATAAATGCTGAAGGCTGGGCGTTCAGTGCATCCCATACAACTTTGCCCAAAAGCTTCTGGACGAGAGTTGATATTGTCCTCCTAACGTGACTAATCCCAACATAGATCTACGTAGGATACACTTGCATGTAAAACCTTCGTAGGCTAAAATACAAATCTCTCACTGACTGCCGAAGGGTATTACGCATACGAAGGGTGCTAGGAACCGAAAATTGCGGCGGAACGGCAACATTGATAAATGCTAACTAACTGGGAACGTGCAGACACTTAATCGCTTCTGTATATACAACTTCTGCAAAATATCAAAACAAATGCATATACTACTCAATCCACCTGACCCTAGTCGGAAGGCCCTGTGACGGCTTAGCTGTGACATCCAGGACCTGATACATGAACGTCCCCTCTTCATAAACAATTTCGAAATCAAACGTCCTCACCGTCATCACCAAGGCAATCTTGAGCTGTATCAAAGCCAACGTTTGGCCCAGACACATGCGTGGTCCCTTCTCGAATGGTCTCCACGCGTCTCGCGGCACAAAATAAGGATCCGCGGGATCGGTGACGAGGTGCCGCTCGGGATAGAACCTCTCTGCGTCCTTGAAGAGATCTTCCCGACGCATGGTGGCGCAGTTGTTAACAAGAACCGCGAAGGGGTACGTGGGCCATTCTTTGCCGTCTGCGAGGATAGATTGGTCTGGTTGGCCGCGCCGGAGACTGACGCCTGTCGGAGGCCATAAGCGGAGGGCTTCTTTGATGACGGCAAGGGTGTAGGGCAGGTTGTTGACGAGGCTGGGGTCACTGCGAAGGGTATTTGCGGCGGCGGAGGGCTCAGCGCCAAAGAGGGCCTTGTGCTCTTCTCGGAGAGTGTGGAGGACCTGGGGATGCTTGCTTAGGGCGGCGTAGGTATACTGGCTACTGTTAGGGGTGATGATGTAAAGGCTGTGAATGACTTACGCAGAGTGTGCTGGCGGACGTGTCGTGACCAGCGAAGATGAGCGTCTTGACGGACGCGATGAGCATGTCCCGCGTGTCTTTATCCATGGAGGTGCTGGGTGGGATCGTCTTGTTCAGGATGCGGCTGGTGGCAATGGCGTCGTCGATGGCGTAGTATTTGGCCTTATCACTTGGAATGCTCGTTGGACCGCTAACGACTCGTTGGTCTACCAGCTGACCAACGTAACGGTCTAGAGCACGCCCATTATTCCATTTCTGATAGTATCGCCGAGGGTTGACGTCGTAGAGATACCGTGACCAGAAGTCCTGGGGTGCCAGGGCGGCCTGTCTTCGGAAGAGGTCGAGGAATTCATCGTCATCCCTCTGCGCGTTGCACTCAATTCCTCTATACTGTGTCAGTTCACGCTGGGTCAGCCACAAGTGAATGTGTAGCTTACAGGATTACACGAGCCGAGATGTTGAATATCATCCTCGCACCTAGATCTTCCATTCTGAAGATGTCATTCCTTTGAGCATGTTCTCTAAGGACACCAGCAAAAGCCACCGCTTCATCCACAATATTCGGAACATGCTGGAGCAGCTTCCGCGGCTGGAAGCCCGGAGTGAAAGACTTGCGAGCGATGAACCAGTCATGACCATTCGCAGAGACCATGGACTTCTCGCCGAGGATCGGACCGGTCCACTTTTGCATAACGGCCGACTCCTTGGGAAGATTCATCCTGTGGACAATCTGCGTGGCCAGTTCCGGATGGGCAATGACAAGCTGTGGCGGCGCGAGTGGCCACAGATCAAGGTAGAAGAAATCACCGAGACCGTACCGCTGGCGCATCAGGTGCGCGAACAGCTGTGGCGTTGCGTCCGGGGGTAGAGTGCTTGCGATGTCGCGCATAATCAAAAAGTGACCCCAGATAGCGTGATGCGGCGGCCCAGGGAGATTTTTGAACATGGCGCGTTGCTGGCGCAGTCTCACGAGGAAGTAGCTCACTAGAGCGACTGGGATGAGAAATAGAGCGAGCATGGTTGTATTCGGGTGTTGAGGACCAGGAGTCAACGCTGGTGGAGTAGATACAGAGTTGCAGTGGTGAAGAGACGACAAGGTAGGCCAGGTATTCAGCTTCAAACATACTGTTGAGCACGATTCTGTTCAATATGATGTGTTAGAAATGAGTCCGCTGAGGTCTTATATATTCGTTTCCAGGAGGCCAAGGCTGATTCTGTGATAGTTCTTTCGTGATGTTGAATCTATTTCTGGGTTTCTGGGCCCGAGTTTTCGTATACTAACAGTAGTAACTTGCAGGCTGCAGACCCTCCGAAACCGACCCTTACGAGGCTGAACTATTAGCCCTGGCAGCTAATTTCTTGGTATTCATGGCAGTGCTTCTTTTGAGTGTGGATTCTTCCCTAGACCCAACTACGAGATTACGGCTGTGCAGGAATCGGCCCCATCTCGTATCACTCCATGTGCCTTAGTATATGGTAAAATTCATGAGTCCATGGACATCGTATAGATCAGCAGACCGCATCTGCGTATGATTTTAACTCAGAAGTCTTTGGGACGCCTCGTATGTGACTAATTTGCCTTTTTCTCTGCCATGTATGCCGTATGGGGGCCATGGGGCCGCTGGATGAATCTCACGCCGCGTAAAAGGATGATCGAGGATATCCCGGTGCCAATGATTGAAGCGATCTGTAGTTATAGTTCTTTACCGTCCTTTTGATAAAACTGGATTTACGAACTTGTCTAGAATCTCCTCAACCTCAACTATCGCGCGCATCAACTAATGATCGCTTGACCATTTCCAAATTCACCATGTTCGCCCTGCAAGACGCAATTTACCTGGTCGAATTGGCATTCTATGCCCCTATCGTTCCTGCTATCCTCTTCATAATTCTACTCCATGGCAATACGCACCCCTACACATGGCGTCCCGTCGTGATTCCCCTCATCATTCTGTCCGGTTTGCGAATCGCCGCAGCAGGGCTCGGCCTAGCTGCCATGGACTCAGCCAAATCCAATCTCCTAACAACTGCCACCCTCCTGGACACCATCGGCCTCGCGCCAGTCCTGTGTCTCTTGATAGGGCTTCTGATTAGAGCGTAAGTTGACTGACTGCCCTAGCCGATGTACATTCTAACATCAATTGCAGGAATGCTCCTGTATACAAAGGGCTTCCGCTCTGGGTTTTCATCCCGCTACAGATGATCACCATAGCAGCTACAGTGATGACTGCATACGGTGGCAGAGACCTCTACACAAGCAAGGATAGTCAAGCGAAAGACATCCGCTTGATGCGCGCCGGTATCATCCTCTTCATCGCCCTTTTTACCGGGGTCGTTCTCCTCTCCGTCGTCACTATGCTCAAGGTCCGGGTGAAGTTCTACCGCACTGAACGTGCAGCTGTTGTGTGTGCTTTGCTCTGTGTGCCCTTTATGAGCGTACGTCTGGCGTTCTCGGCTGGGTCATTGTTTTCTGGGGAGCAGTCCGTGTTGAACCCGATGGCGGGAGACGAGACCAGTATTTGGCTCCATTTCCTTATGGTCATTGTTATGGAGTATATAGTCACACTTTCTGCCACGGCTATTGCTTTGACTGCGAGAAAGGTGGTGGTTCTGACGGCGGGAAGAACTGATTCTCTCAAGGACGAGGAAATTTGAGACATGGTGTTGATGTTTGTTTATGGCCGGATGGTGTGTCTAGCGACAAGTCTATGATCGTATTCCTGATTGTTCATGTCTTTACTTTGGTTGGCATTTCTTGTTTAGTCTTATTATTGTTGAATATGCTCAATGATCTCCTACATGAATCTGTCCACATGTGTAATCTAGACCACACCACCGGCGATGGAGATACCTTCTTCAGTAACTACAACTCATGGTGCCGCAGCGTACAGCTATGAGATTCGCTAACGTAGCGAATTTTAGCGCAATATGACAGCTATTCAAACTACATTAGATGTATCTGAGTATGGGGTGTGGATCAGTTCACATGCCCTTCTTCGCATCTGATCACACTAACTTCATGGTGGCAGCAGAGTTCTCCGGTTGGAGAATAAGGGCCAGAAAACGCAAAGACCTCCATCTGGGAGGCTTATCTCGAGGCATACTACCATAAACCAGAACGTTCACGAATAGCTAAAACTTCTAATTATGGCACACGCCTGGAAGGGTCATAGACGATGCAGGCGTAACACTAATCGTGACTAATATTAGATACGACGCTGATGCACCATTAGATACGAAGAGAACTGGCTCGGACAATCATCCTCGATGCTGAGCAGTACTTTAGCGGCCAAGGAGAGAGGCCGATATTGAGAGAGCCTTGCCCTTTTGGCCCCATATTGGTGGGGTTGGTGGGAGGGTCGACTGACACGAATATTCTACCACCTAAGTAGTCATGAAGATCTTCCACAGGAGGCACGCATTGCTAGCTTGACCTAAGAAGTCAGCCCTAACGCTGTTTGCTTTGACTACGGAGTACAGACTGTCCTAAGCCGAAGACCATGTGGGGATGTTTCACTATGGGGGCCGAATTCTTCCTGCAGAGCCTCGTGTGGATTGCCGATCGGAAGGAATATGCTGAGAGGCGCAGGTCGCATTACGAGCTAAAATTATCTAGGTTAAGGTTATCCTTTCAGGACGCCTCGTGTTGGGGCTGCCCTTGGCTCGGGCAAGTCAGGATTGTCAAGACCCCTTGGCGATGCTTGCGATGCTTAGTGGATCGCCAACGGCCCCAACCGTCTCATGTCAGGTTGGATCTATTCACGAGCAAGCCAGGCACTCACTCCATGGAGTGAAGGAACCAGACTACCTCTGCCAAGATGTTGGTCTGTTAAACCATCAGTGGCAGTGTTTTTGCAATTGGGACCAAATGGGTATACGAGACTGTATACTGCAGTTTGCTACGGGTCAAAAACCTACTAATACGCACTGAATGCGCGTCAGAGTCGATCACTCCGCACTCATCACTCATCTCAACTACTCTATAGTATATTTCACAATGGATGTCACAAAGCTACACATGGACATGCACAAGTCCAAACCCTGGCTGTATTACCAGCTCAGCATCCACACTCTAGGCCTTGTCCTTCGGTCTGGTGTGACAATCACCAGCCCCGACCCCAAGGCAGACGCGAAGCTTCAAGTCACATCCGGCGTCCACCATGGAGGAACTATCAAAGTCATCGTGGTGCGTCCAACAGGCCAGAAAAGAAAACTGACAGATGACTGACACAACTTAGGCTGGCCTCCCGCGCACAGGGACAATCAGCATGAAGCGAGCCCTCGAAGAACTAGGCTACGGCCCATGCTTCCACCTCGCCGAGCCCCTCTGTCAATTCGATAACCTTCGGCAGAGCGCTGCCATTGTCCACACAAAAGACACGGCTCTTCGGCGGCGCAAGCTCGCCAAACTCCTCCAAGGCTGCGAGGTTACCCTCGAGGTTCCCGGGAGCGCGTGCCTCCCCGATCTCCTGGAAATGTACCCTGACGCAAAGGTCGTTCTGACAGAGCGTACTTCCGCGGCCGTCTGGCTGCGCTCATGGCGCGGCTTCGGTATCGATCTGCGGTCTGAGTGCTTCCGCTGGGTCGGGTACTGGGTCCCTGGCGTGGTAGCGGCCAACGATCTCTACCGCGGGTGGATGCAGCTGTCAGCTGAGCGGTTTGGGGTCAAGGCCGAGCCGTCAGAGGAGTTGTACCATGCGCACAGTGCGTGGGTGAAGAGCGTTGTGCCGCGGGAGAGGCTCCTGGTGTTCAAGTGTCAGGACGGGTGGAGACCTCTGTGTGAGTTTCTGGGGAGGCAGAGGCCGAATCCCTTCCCGCATGGCAACGAGGCAGGCTATTTGCGGTACTATAAGCGCGTTGCCATGGTTTTGGGCATTTTCCTATGGCTGGTTGTTCTTGCCATGTTTGTGTTGTCGTTATTTGTGATGTCTTTGCTCGAGTAGATTGCGTATGCACTGTTCCTATCTGTTTTCGGGCCTTTATACCTTGGTGTTTTGTGGAACATGTATTCTAAATTTCTTACGCCTAGCCATGTTTCTGTCGCGAACAATGTTGATTGTTTTTATGCTGCCACTTTAGGAATACACGCTTTCTATGCATTATAGGGATGTACTTGTGAGGCCCTGCTATAAGAGGGCGTGTCATCGAATAAGAGAAGACATGGCCTGCACTATGATATACTTTCGGGGAGACATTCAGGCATGACAGCAACCACGGCTACAACAGCAAGCGCCGTTAATGGCGACTGGAATCGAATCCGCTTCTCAGGGCGGGGTGCAAAGGAATGTAGTATAGTAGCAGCAGTCTTGGATACATCATTGCCAACCCGACGTTAGAGGGCAAGACTATCTAGTTTAGTAGATAAATGATGATTTATGCTGATCTATATTGACTAAGTGAAGCACACCCCGAGAGCAATGTAACCCTGCTGTTCCCCGTTATTCAGGGCAATATTCCATAGACCGGCTGGGATCCGCAAGTCCCCAGCAAGGGACTTTTCCATTGCCTGCACAAAAGATGATTTCGCGAAGGCATCTGTGCATTTAAAAAATGCATGCGTTATCGAATTCAATTCCATTCCACCGACAAGGGAAGGAACACGACGACTAACAGAGCACAGGCTATGGAAGAAACAGACAAATCAATTAAGCTCCTAATTTGCAACCTCACCCATTAGACCCACTAAACTAACAGTCCAATCTACTCATCGTTGACAGTACAGCGCGAGAAAGAAGCACCAGCGCTCTCAATCATCACTCCAACAAAGCTGTTCTTGTAGTCGGTCACAACACGGTACTTGCCGGGTTCGCCGCCTGTTCAAATAGTCAGTGTCAATCCCAGAACCATGATTTTGATCACTGACCAGTCCAAGTTCCACCTTGAATGATAGGATACTCGCGCAGGTCTTTGGTGACGCCCTCGAAAACCTGGCTGTTGCCGCTCCTGTTGCCAAAATTGTGCGGATAACCGCCAACGCCATAGTCATCCCACTTCTTGCACTCTTTGAACGCGTTCGCAACATCGTCTTTCGATAGCGTCACACCGTCAGAACAGGTAGCGCTGCCGATCTTCTTCTTGTTGCCGCGGGTGGTCAGGTCGCTGACAGTGTGGCCGGTGGATTCCACGGTGGTCACGGTGTCAGTCACCTGGACACTGCGCTCCACGTTATCCTTCTTGTCACCTTTTTCCTTGTCACCTGTTTCCTTGTCATCTTTGTCCTTGTCATCTTTGTTCTTGTCGTCATTGTCTTTGCCAAGCTCGCGCTTGGTGTTTGTGACGCGTGTGCAGGCCGTATAAGCACCGCCCACAGTTGCGCCGGTATGTTGCATCACACCGCGGAAGTCGCCACGGTTGTCCTTATAGTCCGTGACCACCCGATACGCTCCCGGTTCGCCTGCAGTCGTCAGCTTGTGTCGGTGTCTCTGCTGTTTGGGAAGCTTACCGCCACTGTACACTCCATCCACGATGATGGGGAATTCCCGTAGATCGGTGCCATCCGGAATATTGGCAAATACTTGTTGGTTGTTGCTCCTATTGCCAAAGTAGGCCGGATACTTGCCGATGGAGCCGTCGTTGAGTCTGCGACACTGGTGCAGTGCCTCCCGAATGTCATGTTCAGACAACGTGGTGCCATCGGGGCACTGGAAATCGGCGAGTTTGGCGCGTTTGCTAAGCTGAGGAACGGGAGAAGCATGGGTCAGGACCATCAGTCCGAAAAGAATGATAGACTTCATATTGAAGAACATTCCGAGAGGCTGTGCTTCGGGCAATGGGTTTAGAACGGGAGAGAGGATTCTGAATCGGAATGGATTACTTTTGATGCCGTTAGTTCTGTCGATAATAATGATGAGAGGACCGGTGATACCCTTATGGCTTTATATCTTTTGATTAGTTCAAGCCGTCGCAATTCCAACATGCTTCTAATATCAGATCACTCTTAGAGGGCCTCATCGTCAGGCTGAGAAGGGTGCCCTCGATGGCCAAGGCTGAACTGTCCTCTATGATTTGGCCCCAGGTTTTCGCCCTGTGCATGGTTTGTTCTGTATATAGATCATTGTCTTGATACTGGGACCAGCCCTCGAAGATGAATCATGGCCTCAGTGAAAGTAGAGATGCTAGGAGTGCTCGATACCTTACACCCTTGGGGCCAAGAGTGGGGGCCGGGAGTAAGCACTACAAGCTTCTGGCCCTGCAGCCAAGATGGGCCGTGTCAGGTGTCAATCACACATCATTCAACACAGCCCCTTACGTCTGTACAGCCTCATCTGCTTCTGCAGATCTTAGTTGTCCCTCATCCTTCTTTGATCAATCAGTCAGTCGAAGTTTCTACTTTCCACCTTCCCCAACTCGCTTTTTCGATCTACGCAAGAACACCTACTTCTTTCTTACCTGCAACCCTTCAAAATGGGAAAAGAGAATTTTATCCTGCAAATCGAAAACTCCGTTGAGTTCAAACTGCTCGACAAAGTAGTCAGGAACGATGTCACAGCGCAAGATGCAGTCCAAGGCGTTATCGACATGACTATGACTGCATTGTCCATTCATGGTCCAAACAAGCAAGGGGGTATCGGTCTCCCAGACTACAATATCTCGCTTGCGGTGTTGGAGCTCGCTCAACGCCTAGAGCCATCCAAACACACCACGCTGGTCGAGTTTATAACTCGGCTCCAGAAACAGATTGCCGTTGATCCATCCACGAACGAGCCACTGAGGGTCCAGGGGGATACCCTCTGGACAGACATGCCGTCATTCGGCTACACAGAGCTTGAGACGTGGTACGAGTTTGGTGGCGATTACAAAGGTGATGGTTCTTCTCCAATTCAACGGATCAGGACGCTAACATACCCAGATCCATGCAATGCAACGATGGACTCTGGGCAACGGGATCGCTGGGTGAATCTCAACGCTTTCCTCGCGCAGCTTACTCAGGCTGCAGATATTTGTTATCCACCTCCCACGGAAGAAGTGCGATTCTCTCCTCTGGACAAGTCCCTACGGGCCATCTGGACTATCGCCATGGCACTTGAGAATGAGGGCCCTCTCACGTCGCTGGGAGATACAGCGGCGATGGAGGCTGCCTGCCAGTGGTTCATCTACGCTGCAGAGCGGCTGTGGGCGAATGTGCTTAATAATCGCACATATCCTGAGGCGGCGGGTGCTGGGCCGGGAAAGAGATACGCAGAGGAAGGGTGGTCGGGGTATACGCGGCAGCGATGGGCAATTTGGGAGGATGCGCTGAAGGGGGCCAGGACGTCATGCGAAAATGATCGGATGGGGAAGCTGATTGATGATGCTTTGGGGGGTCTTAGAAGAGCGATGTTGGATCAATAGTAGATAGACTCTCCCTCACGCACCTCTTGCTTATTAGCCCTTCTTTTCCTCTATTCTATACTACCGTAAAGTACCATCTTCCACTCTTCACCGACATAAAACAGCTATGAGCGAGCAAGGAATCCATCCCTGCTAAATACAATGATATTGCCTGTGCTTCTGCGGGCTCTATCATGGCCCAGGTAAAACATAATATCCAGCGGCGGGGTCATCCGGTCGATTGTCTCCAAGTAATATTCCGTTTGTAAATACATCAATAATAGTTCCTCATCCATTCTCTCTGCTAGTTGAATTGGTCAAATGCATGGGTGACCATGTTGTTGTCGGGAAGTGATGCTCGCAGAACCTAGCTAAGATATATTTCCTCCACACTGGGTGCTTCCTGCAGGAAGGCCAGCATTACTGGTGCATCCGACCAAATCACGTCACAGCCTGACCCAGACAGTGCTGATGGTAGACCTATACAATTTCCCCTAAGCTTAGTATCATTAAGGACTTGATCTTGCAAACCGTACGTTTGACAAGGCTGTTTTGATGGGGTGGGAGTGGGCACCGTTTATTTCTGCCTTATATCTAGGGTCCCCACAATAACATCGCTTCTCCACCGCCGAGGGGCCAAAGGCTCGTGTCTGCGGCTCCTTTGATCTCTGGCTGGTCAACAGAGTGGACAAGCTCGCGCCCAGCCTCTCACAGGAATGCTTGATACGAGAGTATGTCGATCTTTGTTCTGTTGGCAACATGGCGCAGCAGCGGCTGACAGATCGACAAGTGCTATACCCAACAAGGCTGTCTTGCCCTAATGGCCCCCAAGGCCTGTTCGTCTTATTTATCGCTCGTGCTGCCTTTGTGTTGCGCCTCCTGTTCTTTCTCCTCAGTCAAGATAGGAAGAAAGCAGTGGCTTTTCAACAAAAGTGACCTGCACAATGACCAACTCTCTCTCTGCGGCCACCTGCGCGATCTATGCAGTCCTCGCCATACCGGTCCTCTACCTCCTTGTCCGACACGGTCGCTACGGTCTTCTAGGATGGCTTTTTCTGTTCTTCTTTTGCACCCTCCGCATCATCGGCGGCGCGCTCGCAATCAACGACACCAGCGGCGCCGCTAATATCATCTCCAGCGTCGGTCTTTCTCCTCTCCTTCTCGCAACAGCCGGCATTCTACATGAAGCGTTAGTACTCAGTCCCCAAATCCGAGAATTATGCTAAATCCAACAGTCGACACTATCGCATTCAACCCGTCGATAAAAAAATGGAATGGGTCTTCGTCCTTGCCTACCATATGCTGGTTGTCGCAGGCGTCGCCTTAACCGCGGCCGGCTCTGCGAAACTCCAGCAACACGAGCAACCCCTCGACAAGGCCGAGAGGATGGCCAAGGTGGGTATTGCGATTCTGGCTGCCGCGTGGGGGGGTTTGGCTGGCTGGACCGCCTTCTCGTTTATTGTTCCACGGGGAGGGAATCCCTCTCTCGCGAGAGCGGGGACAGTCGTAAGTACTTGGCCCCCGCATACATCCGAATGCTATGTTAATGTCTTGCGAACAGCTGCTTACGGCCATCGCCTTCTCGCTCATTTTAATCGGCATCCGAGTCTTCTACAGTGTTGCGGCGCTGTGCACGCAGAGGGCGTCGCTTAACCCCATCACTGGGTCGCTGGCTGTCCGTGTGGTGCTGGGATTCCTGCCTGAGGTGATTGCCACGCTTGTATATCTTTTTGCGGGGATCAGGACGCAGAGTGCGGCGCTGTTGGCTCGTGAAGAGGAGATGGTTTCCGTTCTGCCGAAACGGCGTGCTCAACCTTGGGTTTAGCTGCTTCAGAGTGCATGCCTTGTTTATGATTGTTTTCTGATATATGCCTAAAGAATGAGACATTGAAATGATTGAATTAATCATAACAGACCGCTCGGACCACCTATAGGGGAACCTCTTAGTAGGTCCGGACGGAACGCGGTTTTCCCTACCAATGCCTTGATAAGATTAGGATCGTTGTGTTAGATCCTAGCAGCCTTAATAAAGTTCTTAGAAGCCGACGCGCTTCTAGAATAAGTATCGTCACCTCTTCGGACTAGTAAGTTTCAGTCAATCCCATGCTTCAGCTACTACGCTGGCAGGTTGCGCAGCTTAGGTGGATTCCTAAGATTTAACACATTTAACTTTGCCAGTAGCAGTTATTGACTCCCAGACGCCCATATTTAGGATAATACATGTATCCAGCGCATAATAGTTCTCTTATTATATGGTTTATTAAAATAGACCTAGATCAGTACATAACCATATTACTTCTCCACAACGACTCAACATTATGCCCTGTGATTAGTTCCGGATACGCGTAAAAATTAAAACCGAAGAAATCAAACAAATATTAAATCAAATCAGAATTAAGTGATAGCCCAATACGACCCGTGAAAGTCACTGTGAAAAAGGCACCATAGGATATTCTTCATTAGTAGTCACCATTAAAATGGGTAAGATCATTTATATGATGCTGTTGACCCATCTAGAGGGTTATAAGTATAGTACCTAGCGATAGAAAGCTTGGGAAGTGTGGATCAACTTACAGCAGCCTTTGGGCTCATATTTGCCATGAATGTATTATCCTGGACTTTGTAACAGCACGTTTGGATGAAGTTAGCGCCAGTTTGTAGCTACCACATATGCTATTGTTAAGAACTCACTTAAGAACTCACTTGTTTGCGGCAAGACTAGATGAATAAGTTAAGTTTAGCCCTGCCAAAGAGAGCTCTGGCGCGACTCGGAGCCTTGTCATGCCAGAATGGTCTAAAGATTTGAGTGCTGTTTTGCCCAATTCCAGTACCGTTGGTGCTACTGCCGCTAATGGCAGCGCCGGCAACATCTGTTGCATTTTTACCACTAGCGGCGGAATCCTGAGCAGCAGTAACGGCGCCATTCCATCCGCTACCACCAGCGGCAGCGACAACAGCGGCGACGGCGGCAGTATTCTCACCACTAGCACCAGAGTCGGCGACAGCAGCAGCGGCGGCAGCGGCAGCAACACCTCCTCCGCTACCACCGGCGGAGGCAGCGCTGGCGGCGGCGGTGGCGGCAGCACTCTTTCCACCCACGGCAGAGGAGACAGCAGAAGCAGCGGCTGCGGCATCCCCTCCACTAGCGCCGGCGTCGGGCGACGGCAGCGACGGCAGCAACTACAGCGGCATCGATTCCATTAACCCCACCGGAGGCGGCAGCGGCAGCGGCGGCGGCGGCGACACCACCTCCACAGGAGGAGGCGGCTGCAGCAGCGGCGGCGGCGGCGGTATCCCCTCCACTACCATCAGAGGCGGCGGCGGCGGCGGCGGCGGCAACTGCGGCAACATTCCATCCACTAGCGCCGGCGGAGGCAACGGCCGAGGCGGCGGCAGCAGCAGCACTATCTCCGCCAGAGCCGGAGTTAGCAGCAGCAGCAGCCGCAGAGACATCCTCTCCATTAGCACCAGAGGAGGCCGCGGCCGCAGCCGCGGCAACAACAGCGACATCCTTTGCACTAGCCCCGCCGGCGGCAGCGGCGGCAGCGGCAGTGGCGACAACAGTTCCTTCACCAGAGGAGGAAACCGCAGCAGCAACAGCAGCCGCTGCATCCTGCCCACTGCCACCAGAGATGGCAATGGCAATAGCGACATTAACAATAACGGTAAGAGGAGGTGGGGTATTCGGGATAGGGACCGGAGTTGGGGGGCTAGTCGGCGCGCTTATAGTACTGCTGCCCGAGCCCGGCTTGCTTGTAGTAGGAGTGGTGCTAGTTGAGCCAGGCTTGCTTGTAGTAGGAGTGGTGCTAGTCGAGCCAGGCTTGCTTGTAGTGGTGGCCTTCGTGGAGGAGGCAGTCGTCTTAGTGGTGCTAGTCGCGGTGTGCGTGCTGGTAGTAGGGGTCTTAGTGGGAGTGGCAGTCATACTAGGGGCGGTAGTCGGTCCAGGCGAGCTTGTAGGGGTCATCTGTCTCTCTTCCAAAGCAGGAGAGTCGGGCTCTGAGTGTGCAACTGGGTTTGCTCCTGCTAACTGCATCGTAATATGCAGCAGCACACTGATGATATAGAGCGAGCACTTCATATTAAAGGTAATTCAGCAATTTTCTTGCGTATTAAGATCTGGATTGTTACAAGTCAGGGAGGTCGGAAAGCCCCATCTGCACAGCTTATATATTGACAAGCAGCGAGTTGAAATATGTCATTCTGATCAACAATAATATCCATCTATGGAGTCTAGAATCAAAGAAGAGCCCAAAAGCAAATGTCGCACATCGTCTGACGCTTTCTTGGCATACGACATGCTTCTCGATATAGATATCCCTTGAGCTTAAGCTGCGATTTCCACCAAAACCGCCCAATCGGCGGTCTTCCCGCGCCCCGAACCTAAACTAACCCCATACCTACCATGATTCCGGTTCCTTCACTTCTGTGGGGTAGGCTTTCTTTTCCGGGGGTTCGGGTGGTGGACTTTCCGAAAACGGCCAAGAAATGGTGTAGAAACGGTCGAGAACGGGGAACGTTTGATATAGATCGGCTGATGCGGGGGCCGCTGGTGAGCTTCCCCAGTTGGAGCTACTTTGTTTATAATTTAGGTTGTAGGTAGTTTGGTCGACGGTGGCGAAGCTTGCATCACTATGTTGCTGGAGTGAATCAGGAGTATTGGAATTAAGGTCACATTACTAGCCCAGGGTTGCCCATCCCATAGCCAGGCTCGCTTCGCGATGGCCACGCTGCATGGCAGCCACTCGAGAGGCAGGCTAGTACAGGTTAATCAATACTAATACTACTACTCCTGCTTCCCCAGAACAATTATATTCTAAACCCTCACAGGTACATGCAAAGGAAGGGCATTTCAGATATACAAATCTTTCGAGGTTGAAATTCTAGACAACCAAGGCTACGTCAATATTACCATTGGTCAGGTGTTCTAATAGACAAAGATTATCTTAATTATTACCACAAGGTTTCCGATCTTACAACCATGGAATCAAATACTGGCCGTTCCGGGTTGTTGCTGTTCCGTATGCAATGTAAATCAGCATGTTATAATCCGACCTTGTATAGTCATACGTATCCATCTTACATTGCGGTTCAACGGGGTCTATCCCAAGCGGCATCAAGCCAGCAATACCAACCTAGATACTATTAGTGCATTATCAAAGCCCATAGCCAGAATTCAGATAGTGGAGCAATAGGACAATTGTTTCATAAATGGTACTGGGCCGACTAATGAATTGCATTTTGGGAGGAGGCTAGACCGTTCCAAATTGAATGTTCCAGAGCTGGCCGTCTAGTGCTACCATAGAAATGTTTGCTACGTCCTAATGTAGGAGATATGTAACCAAATGTGGCTCCCCTCCAGTAGGATTTTGATTAGCTACTTCATGTCAAAGGTGTCTGATGCATTAGGCCCACCAATAAGTCGACCTCTTTCGCATTACCCTCTTACAGTATATTATATCACCTGTGCTGTTTGCAGCAAGCATTCCGCCTAGGCCTTATGTCTAGTTCCTATCACGACTCTTTTCAACCTTCGCAAGCAGACTACTGTCTTTTGTCGCCGTCTATTAAATTCTGTCATATTCCCTGTTTGGGATAGCAGTTCGGAACTCATCCACCATGCCGGGCCAGCGGATTATTTGGATCATACCACAAGTATTCTCCAGGCTGAAAGCGCAGTGAACCTTGTCAATCCCTTGTGGGCTAAACAATGATTTAATGACTCCACAGACGACGAGTCTAGCCACCTTGCTAGGGAAGCAGCAGACAGACTGAAACCAGGCCTCTCAGCACTTCGTTTAGTAGGGAGAATGTTTTATCTATGGAAGAATCTAAAAAGAAAGCGTCTCTGTTAGATCAACGACACTCTACCTATTACACTTAGAATGCGAGGTGTAAGCATGTTGCATTTCCTCATGTTTTGCAATGTCGTCGCCTGACCGACATATATATATTGTTCACGGACCCAAGCCCGCTGTCTCCACCTCGTGACGGATAGATTAGACCTGCAAGACAACTTCGTAGAAGTCTTCTCTGTATAAGTGATCCTTATCTAGAAGGGACCTAAGATACCAGACTTGTAAGGTCTATAATCGCATAGATTTCCCACTTCGGAAATTGCCTGGCTTGTGATATGCATGGAGTCCTGCGGGAGAATCACGATGCAGTGTTGTTGTGCCTGGATTCTGGGAAAAAGCTCCCTTCTTCCCACTCGCTGGACACCATTCTCATCCCCTCTAACCTTTGCAATAAACCCAACCGGCCAGATGTTCACGGTGTTAATCTGCTTTACATCATGTCTGCATGCTCATAGATCCATGGGACTACAATGGTGCCCCGAATGCTCCTTTACAATCCAGGAGAGCCCTATTAGGGCAATCAATCACCGTAACACTATTGCTACTGATAAATAACCCATGAATTTCAAAACTGAAAATGACAAATACTCCTTCTGCTAACCTCTGTTTAATGTCTTGAGCCAATAAATACATTCACTCCATGCTCACACCTCCTTCCACCACCCATTGCTCTCTGCAGAACACAAACACAAAATCGAGTCCTTGCCCAATACCAGAATCGCATTTTCCTTTGCTCTAGCCTAATCAACGACATGGGTGTATCTGTAAGGCTTCGCCGTGAAACTGCCATCCTTCCAACCAACAGGGCGCTTGTACGCGACGCAACCATATGTGCCGCGGCATTCCAGTGTGTTGTACTCTTTCTTCGAACTGTCCGCCCAGGAATGGAACAAAGTGACGTGACCAGCTGCACCACCAGTGCCAGGACCTAAGGTGCCGACAAGGTCACCAGGCTGAAGGTCGTTCCAGGAAATAGGTTTGGCGATGTCCGGGAGACTGACAGTGTTGTAGCCTGGCGCTGCTGCATGGAGGGCCATGCTGACAAAGCCCGAACAGTCTGTGCGGTATTTGCGGCCCTGAGGGTCCGGATACTCCTTGTTCATGGAGTAGGGAACGTGACGCGAGACCCAATATTGACCACGAGAGATGATCTCCTTCCGGCTGATCTTGCCCTTGTAGGACGAGCTGCCACCACCGGAGCTGCCGCCACCGCACTCTCCAGTGACCATTCCGCTGGTGCCCGTCTTCACGTAGTAGTCGGCCACGTAGCATCCATCAGTTGTCTTGTCCCAAATAGTGCTCCCCTGGATGCTTTCACCATATGTCTGGCACGAAAGCTTCACATCGTCACCCTTTTTGTATGTTTTGGTAATCCCATCGTTCGTTGAAGGACCGGTACGGCAGTTGACTTCACTGCCGCTAATGGTGTACGCATTGGCCATTGAAAGGGCCGCAGCTAGGGAAAGAAACAAGTTGGTAAGTTGCATGATGCCAAACCGAAATAATGAGGTGACTTTGTGTGTAGGTGATCTTGCAGGAAATATTGTGCCAATTGTGCGAAGAAAATCACAGAAACAGTGGGAAGTTGGATGACTTTATACCTTTGGTGGAAGCCTCATTCATCAAACCAGAGCGAGTGATTTGCTTTCTTACTACTAATCCTTCGATCTTTGCCATATGCTTTCCTCGGCTAAACTGGGATCTAATTAGGACAATGTTGGCCGTGGCGCCTATTTCCAAAAGGCTGGGAAGTGTCGGATTATCCCCGTCATGCCATGCGATGTAACCACCGACGGGCCGAAATACGATGAGCGGATATTAGAACTACGACCCTGATCTGCAAAGAGCTCGTAAAGAAGCTTTCTTCGTCGTAATGTCTCAGTATACGAAGGAACGTAATTACAGTGCATTTTGCGTGATTGAAGCTTCTATTCACCTTGGGGTTCCATACACCGACGTTCCATCGCCTATAGCCAGGATATTACTCCCCAAACTGCAACCAAAAACCTCCTGTAGTACTGAAGTGTACGCGTCTGGAATTAAATTGGGAAAGCTAATCTGCTATGTGGTTGTCCCCTTCGCTTGCTTGACCGAGACCACTTTAGGCTCACACAATGTGCCGTACTCGATAGCCTCGGTCTGGGTCACCTCTACATGGAGACGGGAACATCGGAGTTTCATAGAGTATCATGAATTCTACTTTGGGGCGAAATGATCATGTGCATCAAACAACGGGTCGACAGTGTCAAGTAAAATCACCCAAAGCAGTATTGTTTCTTAAACTTGGTTATAGCCTATTTTTGACTACTCGTGCCTCGGTTTGTTGCTAGAGCCTGTAAATCATCCACATCCATAAAAAGAGAGTTTTAGGGCTTGACATAAGCGGCGTAGGCTGTAGGGAGAACATTCCAACCAGATATCCACAGAATCAGTGGTTCTAAATTAAGCTGATTACTCGCCGATCAATACGAGATGCAAAATTGCCATCTATTTTTGGTGATAGTGTAACTGGCAGTCCAAGTGGAGCGATACGAACGCTAAGCTTCGTATCGCGGTAGCATCCGAGATCAGCCATTCGGACCGCCCCAGAAGAAGTTAAGCTGGACATATACTGAGGTAGGCTAGACACTCGACCGAGTAGTTGGGCCTTGTAAATATGGGGGCTATTGTTCCTTATACGAACACGTGCTGATTGATGTAATTTCCGAGGCAGAACCGGAGCAATTCCTGATTACGCTTACCCTTCTATACGAGGAAATTGGCGCCTCCGTGTTCATAGTTGACTATGGGGATTTTACCCTTGCTGCCTATCTACTTCAAGAGAATACGGAGAAAAACTGGTCTAGATGACTCCCCGAAATCATTTATAGCTATTACTGGGTACTCCAGCTCCATTATATAAAGGAAGCTCCTCCTCTCAAGTCAGGGTGGTTCTAATTTGTACCGCACACAATATTTTCATATCAAGGCAATCGTTCAAACATTATCCTTCTCCAGTCTCTTCAAACAATCACCGATCATCATGTTGTATCATCTTGTCACTGCCCTTTCATTTGCTGCCACGGTACCCCTGGCCGCCGCATACCCTATTACCGGCGATGGAGTCAACTGCCGCTCTGGTCCCGGCACAAGTCATGCCGTGGTCAAGTCTTACCCCAAAGGACATGAGATATCAATTGTCTGCCAAGCTGCTGGCACCGACGTCAAGGGAGATAACCTCTGGGACAAGACGTCCGACGGCTGCTATGTCGCTGATTACTACGTGAAGACCGGTTCCACCGGCTATGTCACTAAGCACTGCGATGGGGGCAGTGATGGCGGAAGTGGCAGTGGCAGTGGCAATCTTCCCGGACTCACTGCTACTCAATCCTCTCACGCCCACAAGATTATTGACGAAGCAAAGAAGGAAGGCCTCGGTCGTCAAGGTTGTCTGGCTGGTATTGCAACTGCTCTAGTGGAGGTGAGTAGTCGTTCTGAGCTTCTAGAGTCCTTAGTCATAGTCGGTACTGACGCTTACCCTTTATAGTCTAACATCTTGATCTATGCCAACAGCAAGGTCCCCGCGTCCCTCAACTACCCTCATGATGCCGTCGGCCACGACTACGACAGCGTCGGCATCTTCCAGCAACGCGCTGTCTACTACCCCAATATCGCCGCAGATATGGACCCTGCACGTTCCGCCTCCCAGTTTTTTGCCAAGATGAAGAATATCAGCGGCTGGAAGACAATGGATGTCGGCAAGCTTTGCCAAAAGGTGCAGGTCTCTGCGTATCCTGATCGGTATGCGCAACGTGTCCCAGCTGCTGAGAAGATTTGCTCTGCTGGGGGACTGTAGGCTGTATGCCATAGCTTTCTATTGGTTTTCTGTTCTTTTGTCTGGGTTGGATAGCAGTTTCTCATATAGAAAGTCAGAGACCTGTTGAGTCGTATCACTGTTCTACCGTATTGGGCATCCATAACCTATGCTTGATTTATCTATGTGCTGTGTATTCTGTTGTTTGCTACCTGCATTTGTTGCGCAGTTTGAAGCCCTTCATCGAGGAATATTGTCCCCAAGTGTCCTGCAACCTCACCCATGCCCGCCCCCGCCAAGCCGGCGTATAATCAGGATCACTTCCAGATCCGGCACTAGAGCCCCGAACTCATCCCAGTCCATTATGTAAAGGTAAACTGCGGCTCGGAGTCAAGCTTTGCGCGACCGAGCATGTCTTCAAAGGCGCGAAAGTGCGTGCGGAGTGTTTTTTGTGCTGCTGTCAGAGTGTCATTGGGTTGCTAGGGGGCGATGCGGTGCGTGATGGCGGGTTGTTCGTTGCCTGTGGACAACATGTGCATGGCGCTGATAGTGAAAGGAGCCTCTGGGCACCTCCCATCTGTGTTCAACATCCATCCCGTCACTCAGTTCGGAGCGGTTGTACAGCTTACAGGGATTCGAGGTGGAGCAATCAAGGAACATTTGGGAACTCAGTAAACAAGCGTGACACTGAGCTGGATGCGGTGGTCGCAGGATGTCTGTCGGCTGTTGTGGGTTTTAGTTGATAGGATGGGAGCCGGTGGTTTGATACCTAGGTAGACAACGGTTGCGGCACTTTCAGCAGGGTATATTTAATGGCCTTTGCATTCGTATGAAAGTATGGGGGAAACAGTGTACACCGAAGAAAACCCTATACTAAGGCACTTCACAAATATGAATAACTAAAAATATAACGCCATATTTACTAGAGCCATTACCAATAAATCACGGGCCCTTAGGTCTTGAAGTAAATTTCTATATTATCGACGACTCCTCCACAGCCATGAATTTTATCTCTGCCCTTTGCTCTAATTCAGTCGCCAGTCCCCAGGCGGCTAAGATAGTTAACTTTACCCTCCTTTCCACCAATGGTATAGTGGCGGCCCTTGTTTGTATCGAATTCAAAGCAATTGACAAAGCCTTCGCCATCACCAGCATAGAGAATCATCTTGTTTATTCTTTCACCGCCTTAAACTTAAATCCACTGTGGATATTGGCGTTCTTGTGACCGATGAGGTGGCCCTGGTAGTTGTCATCCCAGGTAAACTGAAATCCGTTCAGAACATCGTATCCCCTATAGCTCCGTCCCCAAGCATCGATCTACTTTATTTTATGTTCTCCATGCTGTTCATTGTAGTAGACGCCGCCCATTCCACCATATGGGCCGTTCATAACTTTGCCTCGTGGAGCGGCCATGATGTATTATGCTAGTTCTGAGCAGCACAAGAGATTGCTCGAAGGTCTTAAGATATTATATTATCTCCAATTTCAACAACAAAAGGTCGTAGATGCTGAGGTACAAAGAGATGGTTGCACCATTATATACGTAGATTCATGTGGAGGATATTTGACTGCTCTATCCTATAGGAAGCCCCGGGAGTAGAGTGTATCACTACTCCGTAGGTTTCATATTTGCACGTCCCCCTTTCCCTATTACAATATGAATATAATATGTTTGCACCACACTATCTGGTAGACGTATACAGTACATATGAAATCAACCATTATACTCTTAGTGATATCACAGGCTCGGTTCTAGGCCGGCCCATCCCATGAGATAGAGACAGAGCTAGAAAGCTAGAGACCGTCAAAGTTCTAATCTCCGAGAGCGGTTATATCTGGGCAATTACCATTGCACAAGTGACGTTATGATTCGTTGTCGCGTTACACAAGCCCGAGAACCAGATTTGTAGGATATCCAGGATACATTTGATAGTTATTCTATCCAAGTACTACCAACATTAAGAAACAGTAGACAATGACATCCCCCATAGGACTCCCATGCAACTCTGACATATTGGCGGCTGTAATCATCGTCGAAATCGTCGGATATCGGTTTGACGTACTGGCTTGGCCTGCTCCATTTGTGGTTGGAAGTGCGGAGTTAGTCGTATACAGTGGGCCTGGCCGGGGAAGGTAGTACGGAATGAGGGAATCGAAAGAATGAAAACAAGAAGAATAAGACTATAGCCTGGATCTGGTTAGCCTAAGCCATGAAAATTGACATCATCATGGCTGCTATAAATAAACAACAGAGCTTATGATATATTTTGAACTAATCAGCATGAGCACGTATCATTTCTAGGATACGAGGGGGCTCAGGGAACACGACTCAGCCACGCTGACTAGGGCACTACCTTTCCCTGTTAGAAGCCCAAGCCGATTCGATTTAGGTCAGTTCTACCCGAGGTTACATCGCAAAGCACATACCCAAGCTACGTATCGGCTGTAATAGCTCTATATATGTGTTAGCTGAGGTTCAGAAACTGGGCACAATGAGCTCGTGTTTATGGGTCGCATTATAAATGCCAAGGGGCGCCCGCAGAAGCCCTCGCGCCATGCCCCTAACACCGGCTAGGTCCATGTGTAAAAGCAGTATAGCCGCTTGGAATTTGCATTGGCTTCAGCTTGCGTTACGTTTAACGAGACTTTCCGCCGGTACTCCGCCGACTTTTGCTTACGGGTTATCGTCATTGCATTGAGTATCTTGAGCCATGCTCAGAGGATAAAAGGCCGATGGCCCCGTCGTCATGATGTCTAATGAAACCCAAACAATACGACAACGGCTTCCCAAGTGTTCATCTTCAGAGATATTCTGAGCAGCTAGGACTAAGTCAATATGCGCGCTGTATACTTGATCTCCACTTTCTTGGCTGCTACTGCTTTCTCCTCTGCAGTTCCTCAGACGCCCGCAGAGGATGCCGAGCTTATCCCTATTGACGACACTTTTGGTAATGTCGCTGAGCCCCGTCGCCTATGGAGCAATCCTAACGATATAGGTAGATCCGGCTGGATACGAATCTGCTCCCTTCGCATCTGAGGACGAGCAGGGCGACAACTCTCTATTTGCCGAAGACAACGAAGGTAACCGAGCCTGGTATAGCTGTTAGATAACTGAGACTAATAGATAAATAGAAGACGATGTGACCGCCAGCCATATTGAAGAGCGCGGAATTTTCGACAGTGGCGGTCGAGTTTGCAAGAAAAAGAATCAAAAGAATTGCTATCATGTTAAGTCGAACGGACGCTGCAAGAACCTCGTCTCCTCGAACGGGAAGCCGTTCATCTCCGGCTCCGCCGACGGGGGAAGTCTCTGCACGGTCTATTCGGAGAAGGGATGCCCATGGATTAAGGGTAAGAGAACCGGGTTTGATGAGCGCGGTGCGAATTTCGGGTTTCACGCAAAGAGTATCGAATGCTCCGTTAAGGTTTAAAGACAATAGTTGTGAGCTTAGGACCAGGATCTTCCTAGCACGGATCCAGCAGACTAAGAGTGGCTTTTTAGATGTATGTAACTAAGACCTCAGAACCCCAGACTTTAGTCAATGGAGAGACCAGTGGTACCCTAGATTCTTTGGATATAAGGTGACCCGGGCAAGGGCCAGCCAATGCTAGTTTATTGTATCAAATATTTCACACTAAAGAACCCCGCGATAAGGCTTACATGCGATCTAGAGGTCATTCAAAGTAGGCACAAATACAAAAAGGAAGAAGTACATGATCGACCAAGAAACGCCATATTATCAGATCCCGGTAAATGAGGCTTCGAGCTGTAGGTAAATGTAATATCAGCTCATCTCCCTACGCACGAACAGGGGATCTATATTCTAGATTGAGCTTATCAGCAGGACAAATCCTCTCTCGGTCATAATATATACTTTAGAAGGATGTCAAAGTTCACGTCCGCGAATAACTTGTTCAATCTTAGAACGAATCCTATCCTGTGCATGCGATGGACGCCATTCCATCCGCTGGTTAAGGTTGTGCCTACACAAGCGAATGTAGCCGAGAGATATATTACCGGTGATTACAAGTAGGGCCTCCAATGTATACGTTGCTTCGGATGCTATTCTTGAGGCCAGCATGCAAGATCTCATCATCGGATCACCAATACCAGGACATATAATATGCTTCGCCTCTAGGAATTGCCAATTACCTCCCTCGGAAAGCAATGAAATCGGACGAAGCTCCTGCCCCATCCTATTTCTATCGCCAACGTCCACCGCGTCTTGCCTAGCTAATATGTAAGTAGGCTGCCATGCCTTCAGGGTTGTGACAGACTTAGAGGACGGTAGTAAATTAAGCTCCCTTGGGGTTTTTTTTCTCTATCTCTTCGGGGACGGTTCTCCATTCTGATTGCATGCTTCCCCCTTCCTACCCGGCCAAGTACATGCACCTTTTTTCAGCAAGTGAACCACAACGTGGGGATTTTCTACCGCACAATTGGAAGCTGCTCGGTTTCGTATGGGAAGCGTTTCTGCCTTGCCTGCAACTCTTCAATGTCCCCTCACCGACAAGCGCGGTGCTAACCAGTGAATCAATACGCCGCGACGATTTGTAACCACGGGATGCCTCGAGTAGAAGAAGTTGGTAACGGCTGGATTTTATTGCTATAAATTACCGACCAAGCAAAATCTTTGGGGTCGGTATTCGCCTTCCCCGCAGATGGCAGTTAGCATTTGCATATTTTCGCAACGATTCAGGTTCCCACTTACGATCTTCATGGGAGTTTGATCTGGGCGAAGTGAAGAAAAGCAACTTCCAGTTCTTGAGGGCAGCATCACGGTGTTCCAACACAGCTGGTGCGAAGGTGTCACTGCCGATAGTGTTGCGAAACGTCCCAATGTTCGCAAATTTCACCAACGCCACAAAATCCCATTTTTCACTTCCAATAACCCTTGAGACAGGTAAACCTTGATATACCCATTCAAAGTTTCCAATCCCTCTTGCAATTTTGCTGATTTCTCTATCGAATCTCCCAATCCAGGCCTCTTGACCACTGCAGGGCGGATGTGGGCTTCCTTCGGGATATTCCGCTTGCTCGTTCCACTGTAGAAGACTGAGCATGAAGACAGGTTGGTCTTCCGGGAAGTCTTTTGGTATCAAGTTGAGCGGGATTCTAGAAGTTACCATTTTGCTGTGTCGGGAAGGAGCGAAGATATCTAGTGGTATGTCTGAAGAGACGGATTCAGTGCGAGACGAACTTATCGTGGCCGGGGGCAAAAGAAGACGATTATAATCAACTGGAAACGGGAACACAGTATTGGATTGGTAACGACACGGCAACAGTTAAGTCCTCCTGTTAACGGCCGAGTGAATTAAGGACTGAGTTAAGCCAGCGTTGGTGGGGACCAGGTATCGAATTCAGATCATTCTAGGCCGATGTCGTAGACCGGCGCGGCGCAATTCTTCTGCGGCCGATCCACTATCCCTGAACTTACCAACTACTTTAGTTCGGGGATTGCTAGAGGCACCCCTGACATCTGTAGGGGCACCCCTTTGTAACTCTGCCCTTGGCCGTCCCCCATCCCCTCTGGCGCGCGAGGCTCCGAACCTGAACTGGGGATCCGATCCTCGGGTAACATCTATGTCTAATTACCGCCTCAACAAAGACTCTGAAGCAATATCAAATAAGTCCCCAACGGAAGGTAGCGACTCCCTCTATTGTCCCCTTAGCTTTGTCTTGGCGCAGAAACCTGAGCGCAGGCAACTTGTTCTTGACTCTACTCCTCAAGTGTTAGGAGTCAATTGCGGTTGTAATCTCGCATTAAGAAGCGGTAAGCGGAGCCCCGCACGCCCACCGATTAGGTCTAGACCACCGCCTTGGTGACCTGTCCAGAATAAGATGTAGGCGGCTAGACATACCCAGACAGGACATTCCAGTGAACCCAGGACTACTATGTAAATTGTGATTAAAAACAGAGATACAGCAGCTGTTGTTGTAGCTTCAATTGGAGTAGCAGTTGACAAAGAATTCCAGGATCTGTGCCGATCGACATAATGGGTGAATTGACGGTGACGTGGAGGGAGTCAGAAGACCGCCAGAATAATGTCAAAGGTCAGTAGAGCTTTGTAACGTGGATTATTGATCAGCCCGACTGACTATCAGCGGGTGTGTGGGGTAAGTCTGCCCCAGCAATTCAAGTGGGGGCAGTGGAGAAGTAATCTGAAATAGGCCAAGGCTTCACATTATCATAACAGCGAGAGAATCAGATCCCCCTAGTCAGTGATTGTTGCATCGGTCTCTTCCGACCTTGCGAGTTGGCATCGATAATAAACCGATCCACCAAATTCATGTTACCCGGGGGTCAACGTTCCAGGGCGGCCCTGCTCGGTTAACGAGAGTAGCTTAATTTTTATGTGGGTAATTGATATACGGGAGGAGCCGACGCTGATAGTTGAATAATTTCGTCGGGGATCCGTGAATATAGAATATGCCTGGGACCGATGGCAGGGTTTCGAAGGCGAGATTTGCATGAATAATGTAGGATAACGGGTCTGATGAATGCATTACGAAAAAAGGCTTATTGTATTATGACAATATTATGATAATTCTCTAGTCTGCTGACGAACTGGCCCAACCTCTCAACTAGCATGCAACGGCCGTCGCAAAACACTGAGGAGTAAATATCCGAAGTCTAGTAGTAATCGTTGGACCGTCCATGTCAAACGGTCTGCACGATGAGCTTAACGTTTTCTGGTTATCAATGATTTTCCGGAGTTGCCGGAGTCAATGTTTGTTGTTGCTATACTCGGAAGTAATAGAAACAATCCCAGGGATGTCCCTGCTGGCAACCATGTAGAAATCTTCCGCTACTTCTCATCGGACGATCCCATCGGCCACTTTGGGATTAATATTGTACAGTATTCATGGTTGCCTCGTTGCCCCTGGATCGGTCTATTCTGAGAAAGATCCATTCGAGCTACAGCTCAACAAAACAGATAAACCTCTTGCGAAGCGGTAATTTGTGAGTGATGTAAACCTCTTCATAATGATCGACATAAATCTGGCTGGTCTATTTAATTGTTCGATTACTGACGGCAGCAAACGTGCTATACTTCTCATACGGTGTCAACCAGTACCATTATAGGCTCAATACCAACGGAATATCCGCATGCAACACAAGCGTGATCATTAATCAATATCATATCCCACCTTGCGATCACTAATACTGACCGATGCATCACGTTCTGCTGGTTCAGTGACATAGGCGTTCTGTCACCGGGTTTCTGATCTCTTTGCTTTTCAAATAACCCTGGAATCACGTCGGAATCACAACCACACGACTTTCACCTACACTTTAACCCTCTTCGAAATGCCGGTCTGGAGCTTTAAATACTCTCAAGGTGCCTTATCCGAGCAGGACAAAGTGGATTTGGCAAAAGATATTACCCGACTATACACCGACGCGGGCTTGCCGGCCTTCTTTGTCAATGTTCAATTCTTCGAAATGGGGCCGACCGACATGCTTGTTGGTGGAGAGAGTCGGCCAAACTTCGTGAACATCAGCATTGTGCATATCGCGCGCACTTTCAAAACCGAAACCGACAGGTGGGACTTCTTGAGGAAGTTTGACCTGATCCTCGAACGATTCAAAGCCAAAGGCCTGGACTGGGAATATTTCGTCGTGGATGCTTTGCGCCAGCAGTGGAAAATCAATGGGATGTATCCCCCACTGGCGGGTTCCGACCAGGAGAAGGAGTGGGCAAGACTCAACCGCCCGGTCAAGCATAGCAGGGCACATGTACCCTCTCTACTTTGAACTCTCAAGTTCTCGTCAAAACCATCCTGAACAGTGGTCGATGGTTACATTGTTGTACAAAGCTTTGCTCACGACCTTTGGATTTCCGTGTTACGTGGTGGCTTGCAGTGGGTGGTAAGACTAGCTGTCGTTTGTCTCTACAATTTCAGGGATTTATACACCATACCGATACATACCTAGGTACCTAGGTACTCTCCTTCAAGATCCTACCGTAAATATGTAAATATGATCTATCTATCCAGGAAAACAGTTATTTCAGATATAAGCATATAATGAGTATAGAAAGACAGCGGCAAAAAGCAGTAGCTTTATCTAACAATTCCATTAATGACATTCATGTACTCGATCATATACCTGAGTTCTGGTCGCTACTAGCCTGGTACCCACCTACCTTGCACATGATCGTTCGTAAACTAATTCAATTTAAGAGAATTGGAAAACAATATCCTATCCCTGACTAGAAGGTCCTCATCCTTCGCCATAAACTTCGAGAGAGTAAGTAAAATTGTTTTTAACAGAAAACCGAACATTGTTTACAAACAGAATACTTCGTTGGCAGCACAATGCACATAGAGTGATGACAGGGAATGAGGAATGAACCGACATAGATTCCCCTTCCTATTTAAGAAGATAGCTTTCCAGGAACTTGGCCTGTACTGGAGCATTTTCATCAAATAGATGCCCGTCATATGGGCCAAAGTGCCCTCCTGGGAGCAAATGCAATTGTTTCGGCTCCTTGGCCTGCGCAAACGCATCAAGAGCAAGGTCAGTAGTCGTGACAACATCTGCATCTGCCACGACCATCAACAATGGAGTAGGGGAGATACGGCCGATGAAGGCTACAGGTTCGTATGCCCGGAATGCCTCAAGGCTTTTGCACGGTTAGCCTTCGTATCACCGCAAGAGTTACCCAAAAGACAACAGGCACAATCAGCATGCATACCTCTTCAGCGTCACGTCATTCTTCCATCCTGCTGGTATGGCTGCGCTGTATCCGATATAGCTATCTTCTGAAGGAAGGACAGAGAAGGCGTGAGGATCCTTGTCCACAACAGGCACCCGAGCCGGCTCCTTTCCATTGGCACGAGCATGGCGATCTACATCCCACGTTTTGAGCCTGTCAGCAGGACAAAACTGGGCTCGTTGACATTTGATGCGTGCTAGAGAACTGCAGGCTGACCGTTTTCAAATAATTTATTCAGTCTTGGTATCAAATCCGACCTGTTTATACGGTGAAAGGTTTCCCACCCACTGACTAAGGGCCTGTGCATGTACAAAAGTTAAGACTTTATCCAAAAGCTGGACAATAGATATGAGGGTAAAAAAAGACTCACACTTGACTGATAACCGCCTTAACTCGACGATCAATGGCGCCAACGGTGAGGACATGACCTCCGCTATATGAACTGCCCCAAATGGCAATTTTGTCAGGGTTGACTTCTGGTAGAGATTGCGCAAACGTGATAGCGTCCGAATAGTCATTAATTTGCAAAGAAGGAATGATTTCACATCTTGGTTCGCCATCGCTGGCGCCGATGCAGCGATTGTCGTAGGCTAGGATGACGATAGGTAGGTTTGATGAGAAGTACTCCGCGAATTTACCTAGGCCCATTTCTTTATGGGCTCCAAATCCATGCGCCATGACCAGACATGGCAATTTTCCGCTAAAGGAGAAGGGGGAAAATGGCCAACCTCGGAGGGTGAGGTGGTCAGAGGATTCAAATTCAACATCTCGACGAGGCATAATGATAATGGCTTATATGGAGGGGTTTTTACGTCGCGACTATCTGTCAATATAGGTATCTACTGGAGCGGGCGGAGGATGATGCCGCTTTATAGGCATGTTGGGCTTCCAGGACCACTATTACACCAGCTGTGTAGGATGGGTACAAGAAACAGGACAAAGTAAAGTATAATAGCTCCAAAAAAATGTTTTCATGTCGTCCATCAAGGCGGGATTAGAAATCCTGGGGGACGATGTGTGGTACTGGACGCTCAACCAGTTCAATGCGATTACTGATCCCGCCCGCAACACCACTTCTCCATAATCTTTTCCCCACACTTTATGTCCGACGTGGATAGCTGTGTTGGTTGAAGCTGGAAAACATAGCCCAGCCCTGATTAGTGATCCGGAATATTCAGTAATCTTGACAAGTAATCAATGCCCGCCAGTGAGCATTTTCATTTCTGAAAACATACCAACGCCACGGAAACATCATCACTTGGCTCTAGCGAAGAGAAATAAATATGTCGCATCCGTCCGGGCGATTGCTGACTCCACAACATATCATCTATGCGCAACAATGCCTAGTCCCCTACAAGTCGATGTCTACGTTGCGCCAGCGATTCAGGCGGTAACCGGCCTCGAAGAACCGTCGAAACAACTGTGGTCACCAATTTGCTGCACGCTTATTCAGGGACCGACATCAGCAGTCCTTGTCGACACTCCTACGACAGTTGAGCTTGCACGAGGCCTGTCTGACTGGGTGAAGAAGACCGCTCCGGGGAAGAAACTCAAATATATTTACACCACTCACGCCCACGGGGACCATTTCTTCGGCAATCCTATTCTTCTAGAAGACTTCCCCGAGGCTAAATGCGTGGCGACGACTTTTGTTGTCCAAGGAATAAGGGGGACTCTGACCAAAGAAGGAATCGACTTTTGGAAAGCCATGTTTCCTAATGGCCAGATACCGGCTGGACAGTTTGTCTCTGAATGCCTTCCGACGAGCGGTGAATTTTCCATTGATGGCCACAGCTTCTTTGGCAAGGACGTGACCTTCTCGGACACGAACTATTCTTTCTTTCTATATGTGCCCGATTCGGATCTTGTGGTCGCCGGGGATATTGTATACGGCGACTGCTTTCAGCATTGTGCCGAGGCCAATTCAGCCGAAAAGCGGAGGCATTGGTTGGATGCCCTGGATCAGATTGCACAGCTGAAGCCGAGCATAGTTATCCCAGGACATAAAAGGGCATCACAGGTGGACGGTCCTTATCTGATCCAGATGACGAAAGACTACATTATGGCGTTTGAGGAGGACCTGCAGAAATGGGACGATCCGGTGAAGGTTGAGGAGTCGATGAAGAAGCGCTACCCCGTTAGATGGAACAACTTCATCTTGGACCGAAGCTGTGTGGCCTCTGTCGCTGTGAGATTGGAAGCCAAGAAGAAAGCATCGATTTGAGGAGCTCTACACTGGAAGTTAAGTCTAGGGCTCAAGGTTACTCATGTTATCTGGCGGTCTGAGGGTCTGGAGAATATCCCAAGCTTATTACGACCGCTTGTCCAATGTCAAGTCATCAGTATTAGTCAATTCTAAGAGCATGACCCAAAGTTCACTATACTCAAGAGACTTAGTAGCCTTTGAATAATGTAGCGCAAATTACCTAGTAATCTCCCAGCACTCTCCTGGAAACAGCTAGTTTGATTTTTGTTGATTAAATCCTGGCAGTCAGTCGGAAATACAACTCCCATATTCTTCGAAGACAGGCCCCACTGCATGTGTGTCCGACCAAATGTTTGGACATTGCGCTTGAACGTAGAACTGAAGTATATTGAGCATGAAGACAGGCTGGTCTTTAGTGTTACATTAGAAGGCCACATCATATTCGGAAGGCAACGATGCTCCCCGTGCACGCAAACGGCCTGTTGCAAGTGCTGTCCTGATTCCACCGTAAATTCAAGGAGAAATAAATGGGAGCGCTAATGAAGGCGCTAACTGCGTATATTGTTTAGATACGCACTTCACAACACGGGGCTATAAAGATAGGATAAGGGGGGTCAGGCACCGATCGGAGGGCCATGGCTGTTAGGGAAGCCTTTGTATGCTAGCAGCAATGGCGTGTCCCTTCGGTAACACGGAACAATAAAGCCATACAGTTCGCTGGTCGAGGCGCGGGGGCTGATCTTAACCCCCCGTCCACTCTCCTCTTATCCTTGAGCACTCCAACGCGCTCTTTCTGCTTAGTAGCTTCGAGGTATCTACGAGAATCCTACCAACCAAGAAAAGATTTAGAATAGCTAAGGGATCCCGTTGTAATTAGGAGTTAGCAGAAAAGATGCAGATCGATTTGCCTCCCGAGTATACTCTCCATATAATAAAAGAAACTTATTCACTTCCAGAGCAGAAACTACAACAATTATCTAATTCATTTACCAGAAAGCCGTATTCCAAACGAAAAGATATCCTTAGATAGCACATTCACGTGCCTTCTGTATCCGCTAAACCTTATGGTTACTTCAGGTTGGTTGATCCCTTATTTAAGGGAATACCTCCCTGGGTCGTAACCGATTTAAGTTAGTCGCTGATGATTAGTGAACAACCCGTCACTTGCTTAATAAGGTTCGGTATCCGGACCCGAAAGCATCCTATATGAAGTTGACAAGACCATATAAAGGAAGCCTTCAGCTGTCTCAATAACATCCATGGATAGCAGTTCACCCTTTCTTCAGCAGAATCCTGCAGACTGATATTGTACTTCACTAAACGCCGAACCCATACTGTCCAAGAACAACACGAGTGTCATACATTATGGCAAAACCTTCTGTTCTCATCACGGGGTAGGTCCGGGAACAATCGGTACCGAACATGTTCGAGGCTCCTGTGCTGATGAGTTCATCCGATGTAGATGTTCCTCTGGCGGGGTGGGACATCATATTGCCCTAGGATTTGCAACCCGCGGATGGCGTGTTTTCGCAACAGCCCGGTCCACCAAATCTCTCTCTACTCTGGAAGAGAAGGGAATTGAGACCTTTGATCTTGATGTTACGAAGGCAGAGAGCATTGGTGTCTTGAAAGATGAGATAGTGCATAGGACGGGCGGTAAATTGGACATGTTATTCAATAACGCTGGGATGAGTACATACCACCTTGCTCTTTGGCGCAGTCACTATTTCGCTGCTGGTCCAATATGCTCCTAAAAACCTACTTACAAAATTTTTTTCTCGCTAGTGTATGAAGCCCCAGCAATTGAAGCAGATGCTACTTGCATCCGCCGCATGTTTGATACCAACGTGTTCGGTTTGTTCGACATGGTCAAAGCATTTACTCCACTTCTGCTATCATCCAACGGAACCAAACACATACCTATGATCATCAACACAGCATCAGTGCTCGCTCGTCTGCCGTTTATATTTTCATCTGCATATAATGCATCGAAAGCGGCCGTGGCCACTTATACGGACACCCTCCGAATTGAGCTGGAGCCTCTGGGCATCAAAGTTGTGACGTTATTCATGGGTGAAGTTTCCACTAAGCTCATGTCTCCGGATAACATCTCTTTTATACCGGGGAGTCTTTACAGCGATGTGCTGGAGCGGACTAGGGAGAGAAGTCGAAACCATGCCCAGAAAGGCATGTCGCCGGAGAGCTTCGCTAGACAGGTCGTCGACCAAATACTGTCCCGATCTTCCGAACTCAGAAATGGCAATTACATATGGAAGGGCACTAACGCGTGGGCGGTTTGGTTCCTGAACGCCGTGGGATGGAGAAAGATATTCGACGGCCTAGTGAAGGGGATGGTCGGTCTCGACAACCAGGAGATCCGGAGGGCCATTTCCCAAAAGGGCCGTGCCTCTGTGAACGGGGCGACAGAGGTCTAATGGGTTTTTACATCCGCTTAATATATATAACGTCTTTTCCCTGTTTGTGTTCCTGTCCTTATGCAGTCAAGCTTTTTTTTGTTATCAACCTCGAGCAGTATGAGTGGCACACTAGAGAGATAAGGTCCGTGCGACAACTGCATGACCTCATCAGTGCCAAATAGAATGTACAACGTAACTCGTGCGTCAAGCCTTCCGACGATATTTTCCACCCGCAGAATTCTAGTCTCTGTATCCATGAGTAGAGCGAATCCATCGTTTCCAGATCTCTTCGTCTTATCTCATGGAGAAATCATGCTTCTATCCAGGATATATTACCCTTATTTCCAGCCCATAGCGGCATCCCCAGAACCCTTAGACTGTTGCTACTTAGAGCGCGTAATCTCTGCAAATGAAGACAATATTGAAAGTGTTGAACATATTTTCATTAACGAGTGATGAAGCATAGTTCTTTGGTTATGCACAGACGACCCTGCCAAATCCAACGACGTCTTTAAAGCACTTCTGAGTCACCTATCCTGTGACAAGTACTTCTTCAGGAAGGAGCCGGCCACATTTTAGCCCCTCTCAAACTCTGCCTTGCAGTGCGGATCGCTCAAATCGGCTCTGCAATCAAAGTTCAGCATACGATGGGTGTTGATTATATCCAGACAGATCTCAACTTACCGCGCAGCCATCCACCCGTGAGCCATGTCTGTGAAAGTCTCGACGTTTTTGTCCACTTTGAGTTTGTCCGCGAAACTACTGCATATGTCCTAGTCCTCATCCTTCGATGGAAGGATACAAAAAGGAATCGTAATGGTAGTCGCATCATCAGGAGACATGAAGGATGGGTGTGCTCCAGCTGCAGCAACGAATGGGGTTTTGGCGCCGGATTGGCTTGCAACAACCTATCAGGAGAGAGATTTAGTTTTGTTGCCCGACATAAACAAAGTACAAGCCCAAGAGATGTCAATGCAATCTGGAGCAGAAGAATTACCTTGTAACCCCAACAGAAGCTCAGCGCGGCCTATTTCGTGATCCTACCGCCACTTCTCTCCGCAGCATCGTTCAAGACCGCTGGAATCTCGCATAAAGCGCTCGACATAGACGCTGGACCCTGAATAAAGGCACTGAAGGCCTTCATCTTCTCCTCTGTATCGGGCGGTACCCATGAATGATCTGCAACCTCCCCCTTCAAGAAGTCGGGCATGTAGACTTGGGCATTGGTCGCTTGCGCGAGCAGGTCAGCGCTCTGGAGGATCTGTGGGCAAAAACCGAAGATGTCGTATACAATAAGGATCGCAGCGGTGGCGTCGACAGGGCCGGTTTTGTCTGACGTAGTTGGCTTTGGCCACCCTTCCAGCTTTTAACGCGGGACGCGGGGAGCATACATGTTTTCAAATCCCCCAAGGTTTCATAAGTTCCAATGGGTGTGTACTCCGCTTTTACGGGTGGTATAGTGCAACAAGCCTGTGACGACCATCAGCCAAATCAATTATCTTCCGTAGTTGGCAGGTACTTGAAAGTCGACGTCCCGAAAACGGATCCGTCTCATGGCAGTAGGATGTTATCCATAAATCAGGTGAATTGGAGGAGGATGCTTGTGCCTACTTTGCTCAGAAGCGCCATCTTCCCACCGTAGATTGTCAGAATGATACTGTTGGGCGATATGACGTGTAGGGCCTTTCTTTAAAAAGTCCTGGAGGAAATTGCTCCCTGTGACCGCGTGGATTGCGCCCATTATTTGGCCGGGACGCCGGGCGCTTTATATATTGCAAGGTCTGCATCAATTCCCGTAAGGAATAGAGCCCGGTACATTCCCCTAAGGCACAAGTATTGTCTCCGGACTCGTCCTACCCCTCTTAATGACGTATGCAGAATGATACTGAATACTATGTCTAGACTTCTCCACTGCGGATGAAGGTGAACAGTAGCTCAACTTCTGCGGAAGCTACCTCACACTGCGTTCCAATTTCCCTTACTTCCGAGGCATGTTATGGGGTACAGTAACTGGGCTCTGAATTCCATATTATCGCAGAGAGCCGATTCAGGATGCGTATATTATACCTCCCATGTAGTTGATGTATGTCTGTCATGGTAGAACCGGGTAGTTTCTTGGGGTTCGCTAGTTAGTAGCAATGCCGATGACAAAGAGACGTCAAGTGGGCCGCAGGCTGGGACCTAGTTCCCTAAACTTAAAATAGACTCCCACCCCACCCCCCGATGCGGAGATGATTAGTGATCAATATACTCCGAGTAGTCCATTGTTTCCACAGCTCCCTCCGCCCACTATATCCGGCTAATGTCCACCTTATGTCCCCTAATATCCGTCTAATGTCCGTCTACCCTCAGCGGGAATCTGTCACGGGTATTATAGAGGGCCGGCTGGGTTTTCATGCTATCTATCTCTGCGTTTATGGGTCGCTAGGAACTATTTGGAGGCTTCTCGCGGTGTTCTTTTCGCAAGGGTCCCATCTTTCTTCCCTTTGCTTTATCTACGGTGACACAATGATGGCTTTGTTTTGTAATAGGAGCGATGCGGTGGATGCTGGGGAGGGGATCTAACCTAGAAACTCAGGTCATGGCGACGGTCCTTGTTCTTGTTCTCTCAGCCTCTTTCGGTCAAAGAACATTGCGAGTATATTCACTGTGATGATGAATAGTAAATTTCTTCCATTGCAACTCAAGACTAGTAGCGGCTCAGTAATACAGCGGACTAAGGAACGAACTCCCTTGGCTTTTTTTAACAAAATTTTTAATCACCAGGAGAACCGTCTACCTAGCGGTTTCCAGTGGTGCTAGATTGGAGTCAGGCGGACTAACCGTCGGCGGGCTCAGCAAGCTGAATGAAGTTGGAGTTTACCCTACATCTAAGCCGCCTATTAGTGATCTTCCCGCATCTGGGCATGTGATTTATCCCCCCTGCGTTGAGATCCCTCCACACCCATGACCATTCTTCAGGATGAAGCAGTCAGATCAACATAGTGCAAAGGATCACCATGACTAGATGGACTATATCCTAAAAACTCCAGGTTGGCATATTTAGTCCAGGGAGGGCCTGGATCAAGCCTTAGGCGCCAGCATCCCATATTCGAACAGGACAGCACCTCGATTGATCGACATTCCTTCGATACTCAAAGATATACTAATCTGCTTAATGACGCTTCGGGATACTACAGAGCAGCACACGAATATATCTTCACGTTGCGCTACGCATGTGATTATCACAAGTTCAGACTGTGGATCATGAGCCCCCTTGGGATACTTGTGAAGGCAGTGGGCCTATCCATGAAGCGACGATCATTCAGATCGCACAGGATACCTCTAAAGGATGTTGGAGAAAGGCAACCTCAACTTTTAATTTGTTGAGCACTGCCTTTCACGTGCTGTGAACCCTGTCCAAGGGCGCATATATAAGAAGCATGAGTTGGATCTCTGGATCTGTTCGATATCTTGTTCTCATTGTGAGGTCAACAACCTCAGGGCTTAACAACATCGTGGCCCCTTCTACACGGAGTTCTCGTGATTCGATCAAATCGAGCTGGCGCGGGTGGGACCGAAAGCATTGGCATATAGGCCACTGGCTCCTGGAATCGCTCGGCGTTCATCATGTCGACTTGGACAAAAGAGTTCCAGTACATCGAAAAGCAGACATGGTCCCATATGCTCCAGAGTGGCAGTTTCACGTTTGGATTCTCATCCACGCTTCAGTCCCACTCGCCATTCATCAGGCATACATCGGTTATTTTCATCGCAACTTGTCAACAACTGCTGCATATGCGCTATATAGTCTATCTTTAAAGGCTATTGGCGTCCATCAGCTTCACGTACTCCGCCGTGTAGGTCAACGATATGGCTTCTTTGACGGCGATAAGCATGAGCGTGATGGCGTTCCAGATGTTGGCGTCTGGAAAACTCTCGAGTCTCTTCTTTCTGCAATCGCTTTCCGGCCGATGGTAGCTACTATATTCGCCTATCGAGTCGACCAGGGCCCTTTGTCGATTCAATGGATGTGGCTTCCTTTTACAATTGCCGCTTATGCGATCATACTCGACTTCTGGTACTATTGGTACCATCGTCTGATGCACGAAAACATCAGGCTCTGGAGGTTCCATCGCACGCACCACCTCACTAAACATCCGAATCCTCTGTTGGCTGGCTATGCGGATACTGTACAGGAGACTTTTGATATTATGGTCATCCTCCTCATGGCTTTCGGCAGCATGAACCTTCTTGGCTTTCCTATCACCTTCTATGATTGGTGGATCTGCCAGCAATATGTCATTTTCACGGAGCTGCTCGGACACAGTGGACTGCGTGTTGAAGCCACCGCAGTGAATCCTACGACTCGGCTGCTAAGAATGTTTGATATGGAGCTTGTCATTGAAGACCACGATCTTCATCACCGCAATGGTTGGAGACGCAGCCATAATTATGGCAAGCAGTCTCGGGTTTGGGATCGACTCTTTGGCACAACATTTCCCCGTGTTGAGGGTTACAAAGAGAAGATTGACTATGTCAATACAGCCAAAATTCCTCTGTGGTAACTGGGTTTTCAATCTTGCCAGTCTGATTTAATTTTTGGCTACTGTACACCCAAGAAGTGAAGATGGACCGCTGCGCAACTAGCACTCCCCGTGAACCTTTTGATGGAGCTTTACGACTACTAAATGTCATTTTAGTTATACCGCCGTAGTTTAGCGCCTATAATATGACAAATGGATATGATGAGTAAATAACTGGAGGAATAAACGAAGCCGTGCATGTACATGGTTGTTTATTTAGGGCGTATGACTTCGAATCTAGGTTTGGAACCAATGCTGGAGAAAAGAATGCGAAGCACGTGAGCCATGATATATTTTAGCGAGGCCCGGGAGAAAAAAGCAGCAACGATCACCAACAGATCCTCAGCCATAAATTGTCGCTCGCCTGTGCGATACAGTAGACTGGCTGAGACAAAACTGGATACTTTGGTTTTATCTATAATTCTCGTTTCTTGTGGGGGGGGGGGGGGGGGTGGTAGAGCCTAGCCCGCGGACAAGAATCACCAAGTCATTACCGCGATATATCTGACGAGAGTGTTCTGGCGCCCTGCGATGCGCTGTCGGAGCAGGCTAGTGAGCGGTGACATAAAGTACTGTATCATCCTCCATATCATTCACCGCCTCCCCAAAATGAATAACATGTTTCACTGTTTCCAGTTAAATATTCCTAGCGAGGGAGCAAAAATGATAGCAGATTGTCTGTATTATCTATACTCTATTATCTACACCATTCTATATCCTTGTAACATATCTAAGTGGTCGCCAACTATCTTCCAAGCTCTTTGTAGTTCCACCGCAAGGCAATATTGACAGCCTAGTGGATATTGCAACCATCATCCCTTTCTTCTTCGCGCCTTAGGACTCAGCCTTTTTGGTAGCCTTGGTCCTGAGTTTCATCATAAGGAACACGAGCCCGTAGATACCGACCACAAATACAACGACAATCCCCGCATTTCTCCATCCGTAGTATTGTTCCTGCAGGTTCAGTGTACGGAGGTAATCTCCGCCTTCAGTATACTGGCAGACTTGGCATCCGAAGGTGTCATCAGGGTTCAGAAGGTTCGTGGCTATCCCTGCGCCGCGCTGATAGACATCGAGGTATTCACCGCAGGTCAAATTAGGAGCCGGATCGAACACTGCTAACTCCTCGGGCTGGCAGTGCACGGGCTTGTCCCAAGTAGTGAACACCAGCAGAGAGCTCATGAGGTAGTTGAAGGGGTCGAGGTAGTACATCCTAGTAGAAACGGTCAGTATCATTTGCAGCGCCATCGTATGTGCGGGAACTTACCAGTATCGCCAAAATGATACGATTTGGCTATATGGTACCATCACTCCGCAGAAGGAGACGAGAGTGGTAATCACCAGAGGGTTGACCAGAGAGGCAAAGACGGCGTTCGGTGTGTAAGCGGCGATCATCTGGCCTATGCCCGTGTACAGACACTCGTACATTATCTGGGAATCAGCTAAATTTCAGGTTCGAAAAGCAGGGAGGGCAAAAGCCGGGAGGGCAAAAGCCCGGAGGGCGGGCTTACTGCAGCGAAAAAGACGCTTCCAGCATGGCTAGCGGAGGTGGGAAGGCCGCTGGTAAAGTACCAGCAAACGTAATACAGCAGCGCACAGACAAGCAAGTAAGGGAATTCCGAGACTATAAGACCAGTCACGAAGGGAGCCCAGTGGTACATCTTGCTTTTCTTCTCTCGCGCCTCGAAAATGTCCCGGCGGTCAATAAAGAGCGGCTGCAGCTGGGAGATGACACCTGGAGCAACAGGATGAAGTTGAACACAGTAAAAAGGTTCTGCTGTAGATCGGCAAGTGCATCTCCAATCTGCCAGAAGGTAAAGCCATTTAGCAGCGCTAGGCTGATATGCATGGCAAATTTATTGTTGAGGTACTCGGTGTTCCGGAAGAGGGAGACATTCATGCGGTGCGTCACGAGCTTGGTTTGCGTCCAGAGCGAAGCGGTGAATTCGTGTGGATCATCGTTTGCAGTAGTAGGTCGACCTCCAGCATCAGCAACCATGCAGTCCAGTTCGTTGGACAGTTCCTCATGTTCCGGGGACTCCAGCCAGACCCGGGTCCAGTCAACACTCGCGCTTGCCGACACAACATCAATAATATGTTCAGCAGGATTGGCTTCAGGCGGGCAAGGCGCGCCGTGGTGTCCAAAGTATTCCTTGACGGTGTTCGCATTCTGGCCTATATCCCCAAAGTACACAGTCTTGCTGCCGGCAGCCAACAATAAGAGTTTGTCGAATTGCGCAAATAACTGCGCCGATGGTTGGTGGATAGTGACAAGGATCGCCTGCCCTGCTTCGGCAAGCTTGCGAAGAAATCGAACAGTATTGTAGGCCGCCTGACCATCAAGCCCTGACGTGGGCTCATCGAGGAAGATTAAAATACTCGGCTTTGCCACGAGTTCAACACCGATAGTATGACGCTTACGTTGCTCCACCGAGAGGCCAGCTCCAGGCCGACCAATGAGGGTATGCTGAAGGTCATTCAGCTCAAGAAGATCAACAATAGTATCCACATATCGCAGCTTTTCTTCGGTGGGTGTACCCCGAGGTTGGCGCAATCGCGCCGAAACCTCGAGGGCCTTCCGGACAGTCGCATATGGCTCGTGAATGTCCTACTGTTCGACATAACCAGCGGAACGTTGAAATGAAACAGGAAGAGGACGCCCATCCACTAAGACGGATCCATGGATCGACCCCGAGGTTTTACGTTGTGCGAGAACGTCCAGTAAGGTCGTCTTGCCAGCTCCAGACGAGCCCATTAGAGCTCCAAGCATACCGGGTTTGACATATCCTTGAACATTGTCAAGAAGGATACGGTCGCCATCGGCCGTTTGGACGGTGTAAGTCAGGCACTTCCATGTGAAAATTCTCTTCTTGCGGAGCAGATTATCTCCGAAGCTCTCTCCTGAGGCATCAGAGCTGGGACTGACACGCTTCTCTGTGGACTGCGCTTCCTCGTCTCGGGCCTGCAAAAGGTGTTTTGGCCCATGCTGCAGTTCTCGAGGAATCAGGATTTTCCGATCTCCTTCTCCAAGTAGCCTCCACCTGGAGGTGAAAATGATCGTGAGCACAACGAAGAGGGCCCACTAGGCACAGATTATTCCAAAGTTACGCCATATATGGCTATGGCTAAAGGACATGGCTGCAAGGTATTCATCACCTGTCAGGCTTGTCGCGCCAGGTGCGGCAACAACAACACCGGCACATGATTGGCCTCCTTCGCCCACGTAGCCAGGGCCGCTGGGGATTAGATTGGGTCCGTAACATGGAATCACCTGGCCATAGAATTCGTTTCCAAGAAGAGCTTCGAATCCGTACGCCATAGGGTTAATCCAGAAGATCCACACAAACCATGGATGCATCTCAGGCTTGATAATCATGTATCCCATGTAGACAAACAACGCGACGATCGACAGTCCTGAGACTTTGGACGCAGCGTCGAAAGTAGGGAATGCGGCGCCAACGAGCCGAAAGAAGGCTGTCACGGACATGGCAGTCATGAAGTTGGTGACCAAATAAGTAAAGAACGCCCCGGCTGTGTTCTTCAGGCCAACCATGAAATATAGGACAAGGCCGAAATGCGTAACTTGGAATAATAGGATCGGTAGGTCGGCAGCAACCTGGGCGATGCAAATGGCCGCCGGGTGATACAGTGCGAAGGAGCGGTGTTTTGCGAGAATTGGCCGACCCGTGAACGAGTCGGTAACCTCTGATAGGACTATCAGAGCATTGTATAAAATAGAGGAAAACAGGGCACCACCCTTTAGGGAAAAACCGATAAAATTGTCAGGAGCTGAGTAAAAGAGAGAACCACCCAAGAGGGCCCGGATAACGGTAGCGCCTTGCTTCATAAGTAGAGTTCCCTTGTCACCCCACATGAGTTGGTACTGCCTGGTAATGGCAGCAGTTACTTGAGTGACGAAACCAGTTGTGACGGAGGACCTTTTTGACACACCCCTGTGCTTTTCACGAGCAACCATTTCTTTGAATACGGTTGTGTTGTCAGCCGCTTCTTTGGTTGTCGCGTAGTTATGGGCCTCTTCCAGCATTCTGGGCTTGATATGGGACTGCTCATACGCAGCACGGATCTCGTCGGCTGTGCGTGGGAACTTGTCCTCATATCCCGGGGAAATGACACGCTCAGTAGGGACTGTCACGCCCGTTAGGAAATCACCCCGATTGGAACCCGAATCGCGCATGAAGCCCAAGCCCTCCATAAACGGAACTGCGTTCTTTTGAGGTCCGTAGAAGATTTGCTTGCCGTCATCAAGAAGTAGAACCTTATCGAAATGTTCGTAGATGCCATTTCCCGCCTGGTAGAGGGTGACAATAGTACTGAGTCCGAGGAGGTCTGTCATCACCCTGATAGCCTTGATCCACTCGAGCGCTGTGCTGGCGTCAAGGCCTCTTGTTGAATTGTCCCAACAAAAGACGCTAGCACGCGTCGTGAGACACTCCAGAATTGAGACACGTCTCCTCTCTCCTCCACAGACACCCCTAATAAAGGCATCCCCAACCTTAGTACGTGCGGTATGAGAAATTGCAACCGACCGCAAGAGAAAATCCTCGTAGAGCTGAACGTATTCCTCATGAGTTGTAATCCCAGGCGGTAGTTGATACGGGACTTTCATGCGAGCGGCAAAATTGATTGTGTCGTCAACAGACAGCGTCGGAAAGAAGATCTTCTCCTCCGTGTTCATAACAATCTGGCCACGGTATTGTCTGGCTTCCACGGCAGACATGTTTCCATAGCTGACCTGGCCGGTGACTTCTTCGTAGCCGAGGCGATGGTTTGCGATTACGTTCAGCAGCGTAGTGCAGCCCGCTCCAAGTCGACCCAAAACGAGCAACATCTCGCCTGGCTTAACGCATCCAAATGAACTTCCAATGATAGTCCTGGTTTTGCTACCCTTGCCACGCCTATGGAAGGGGAAAAGCTGGGAGAGAACGTTCTCGTTGAACATTGCGTCACCGCCAACGCCTGTGACGGTGAGGTTGTCCCAAGCGACACCGAGCATTTTGGGCTTCTCTCCGCCCTCTTCGTCTCGTTCGCTCATCTGGCGCAATTCGTGTGCCATGTGCCATGTCGTTTCCGTACGATAGATGGATGAATTTTCTATACCGGCCTTGGCATCCACAGATCGCACTCCATCCCCAGCAATTATCGACTCGAGGCCATGTTTGGGGACGGACGGGCGTGGTAGGGCTGCTGGTGTTATGGATACTTGTGGGGGAGGGGAATCAGTAATTGTCCACGAACATATAAAGAAAACGAAAGAGAAGGGCTTGACGACCAAGTTTCCATCCTGCGCTGTACAATATCTTCGATATAAGTAGGCATTGAATCTTTTCCTGACTGGGTGACCAATATTTATTCAATTACTCAACATTAAACTCCTCGCTATATGATGAGTTAGCGGTGCCGGTTCAAGATGAATTATGGAGCAAGCTTGACCGGAATGATTACACTACATTCCATTCCAGTCTTTCCACTCTTCGGAGTTATTAGTAACGGAGCTTTATCGCAGGAACCCGCCGCCCTACTCTAAATCTTATTACAACTCCACTTTGTGGGTCCCAAGCACTTACCCATTTCAGAGTTCGACACAACACATCGTCGCCTCCATATCTTGGGTGTATGTCCAGACTTTGGGCTCAAGCACCAACAGGGATATCCAGAGTATTATCTGGGTGGTTATCCACCGTGTTGGCCTTGGGGCCTGCTGGTGCACTTGGCTTTGGAGAAGGATATGCACATAAAATACACCTAAGTCGTCTGTTCTCCTTGATGCCGCTGGCAGGTTTACGGACGTTGCCTGGTATAGTTGCAAAATGACAGGTCAAAGAGAAATCTTCCAGACGACTCTGATCATGAGTCACGGCCTTACTATAAGGCTTTTTGCTGCTGCTGTCGCTGTTGCTGCCAAAGTTTACAACCTACTGGCAGCGTAAGCGATGATGGATAAAGATCGTAGGCAAATGATAAGAGTTACTACTAGTACTTCCGTGTGAATGAAAGCGGAGTGGCGATTTGAAGAACTTGGGGCATCATTCGCTTGTGTACCAGTATGTCGAAACACTATGGAGAAATCAAATAGAAAAGGTGTTTGTTCTGTGCGTCCCAAAATGGAACATGACATGAGCCACATTATATTGCGAGTCTGGTCGACAATCGATCCTTGCGCATCATGCATATGATGCGACAGTTAAATTTATAGCTTATGGTTGTATGCCCTACGTTTACTACATAATACACGAGAAGCCCGCAAGCAAATATCCGCTACAAACATCATCTTGCTACTATCAGGTATTTTCTAGCTTTTATATTCTGGGGAAAAGGAAATATACGTCTTGCCTGAAGTGAATTAAAATTGATTAATTTGTTCAAGGGTTGTGCATGAGGTGTAGCAAATGAGTGTGTACCTAGGTATGCTAGGGAATTGGGAGGGAAGTGAAATATATCTCCGAACTCTGGCCAGACCCTTGGTTGTTCGCTACCCGTCCCAATGGAAATACATTGATACTCAGGTGCATAGCAAACCTATAGAGTAACTGCGATGTGATGTACCGCGGTAGTCAAGAATAGTACCCTAACAACCGGAGTATTAGCAGCTGTGGCATTAATTCTTCTGGTAGCGTGTAGAGCCGAGTAGTTTCGGTTTCCTTGGGAGTTAACATTGTGTACCATTCAATTGTCCCGAAGAAAAGGATCATTCGTGACGCAGTGCAACTGCGTATATCACAGTGATTTGGAGGCAATATTGTAGCTAGTGTAAGAAAGCCGACAAACCACAGTATCATTGTAGTCCATTCTACTGACAATATGACAATGCGATGTACTATCCGACGGGGTAGTTCCGTTTGTAGAGCCAGAACGGGTGTCGCCAGGAAAGCACTCCATATTCCATTGGAAAACATGGGGATGATGATGTAGTCGAAACGTGAAGTAAGCATAACTGCTCAAGCGTCCGGGGTCAGAACCATCGTAGTCCTATACGCGAGACGTGGTACCAGTAGTGACATACCATAAGCACTTAGACCGAAGACCACAAGAGCAACGATAACCTGAAAGATTCGCGCAGGGTATATCCAAAAAATCGGTCATGGCCACTCGTGGAAGTCTGAATTTGGAATACTCAACATGTTTTCCGGCAATCATTGCTTTGTATCCCGATAATTGATATTGTACAGGGTCGACGACACCTGGCGTTTAGTCTGTTAAGTGACTATTCAGCAGCAGATCGACAACTCCTCACATATTAGAATGAAATATCTTCAATCGGAAGGTAGAGTATTAAATGTATGCATTTATTCAGCTGACTTGTAACAACAATTACTGATATAGGTGATACTTGAGAAGTTACTGGGCCCTCAGTTCGTAGATCAAGAGGCTAGTTAGGAATATCGGGTACCGATTACTACCTCCAGGGTATTCAAGTGTTCGAGGCAAGGGGAATAATAAGCAGTGCCAATTTTGCGTCGGAATCGTCATGGGACAAGGCCCCTTTGGAGTCGGGAATGGATAGTAATCAAACCGATTTTCCTTCTTTGACCTGTCTATAACCCGCAAACACCTTGTAAGATTCTTCTACTTAACATAACAATTCATGTTATTCATCCTGCCACAGGCATCACAATAAGACTGAATACTGCACTCCCACATCTTTTACTAATATAGAGGCCCCAATAATCATGTTGATACCGATTAGTCTTCTCTTCCGGTACACTCCTTGGCCGTTTGCTTTCTATTTGTTTGCCAATTATCGCGAGCCCAAGCATATGTTGAAAGCGAGCAAAACCCAACCTACCTTGCAGGTCGGCAAATCTTGCACTATGTTTTCCAGGAGAGGAATGCGGTATTATTAACGAGCATAAGCCCCTATTGCAAAACCACCTATCGGCAGATACTGAAATCCATACTTACAATACACAATGTATGAGATTAAATTTATTGACCGAGCCTTAACCCTATCCGGCCGGATGCTCGGCAAGGTAGGGAAACAGCTTGCCTTGTGGCAACGGGCAAACTATTTTATAATACTCTCCAGGGGGTTGTACACGGTTTGGATTATGTTAAACCAGAATGTCACCTTGGCAGTCCACAGGCGGGGATGGCTGAGCTTGAAAGAGGAATGGGCCCGCCCCCGACCCTCGCCAATTAATGACGGAGACTATACGGCTATCATCCATAAATTAGAGAAGTGAATGTCGTTATGCCACAATGTCGGGCGAATGAGGACGGGCTCGATGTCTATCAGGCAAGGGGCACTTTGAGATAATTCTCTAGCAGCTGTAGATGCGCTTCTGCACTGGTTTGGGCCGGTGACACCAACGTAGCGTCGCTCGGTGGTTTTGGAACGGCGTGATTTCTGATCTACTCCATTTCGCGCTGGCCAACACATAATGTTTAATCACCGGGAGTTGACCCTAGTCACAATTAGCCAGTTAAATCATTATATGGCCATATAGAGATACTTACAGGGACCCCTGGAGATGTCCATTGAAGCACGGCATTATTAGGCCTATGTAATAGGTTCTTCTGTCGCGGCGAAGCGAGCGACTTTGGGAACAGCGTTAAAGATAATAGATATTATTTTGCCAATGTTAGAGCAAACTCGTTTGCTTACCCTACGAAAATGGCACCGGTGTTTCTCATTCCCCAGTGGGAGAGGGGGGGGGGGTTCTCGTGAAATATCGCAGTCGTCACCATCGAGGGTCGTCATGCCAACGTGTTTCCAAGTCCTATGCCATTTTCGTATTGAGAAGCACATTCTATCTCATTTCTCTGGCAGTATTCTCTCTGAATAGCTTCATGCGGTAGGTCAGTTGATTAATCGTAGAATTCTAGTAGGAATAAAGTGTATGAATTGTCTGATCAAGGGTATAGCAGCAGAAAGTAAACGCAAATTGCCGTCTATGCCAATTGGATTTGGAAATTCAAGAAATTCGAGATATTGCCAGACAAATTAGCTTGTTAACCTGGCCTGGTCTCGCCGGGCGCTATCGTCCGCCATAGTGAAGTTTTGGCCTAGGGTCACTGAGCCCCAGGTGCGGGAGTCCGCATTTGTCTACCAAACAGATATCGGAGAATGATATTCAACACCAAAAATGCAGCACCTGGATGCAATTGAGAACACTATAGAATATCCATGTGGAAGTAGAGGAGCAGATTAACCATGTATGCAGCTTAGACTGTCTTTCTCCCAAGAGCTACCCTAATTCACTTCCATTCAAATTGCATTACTTCATACACGGAGGATAAGCGGCTCTATATGATTGTCAGCAACTTATATCAACACAGTGTGGTCTTGGGAACGAAGAAATTTAATCACGACTAACAACTGGGAGATCAGGAAGACAAGGCATACCCGCATTCCATAGGAGCTATATCAATCTCTCCCGTGAGGTTCAGAAAATCGTTATAATTCCCAGCCGCGTTGCCTTTGAGGGGTATGTTCTGCTTCTCGCAAATTTCCTTCATTGAAAGCGGGATATCAGGTTGTCCCTTCTGGATCGCCAATGGATCCTCAACGAAGATAACATCCATTCCCTGGTTCAGGAGTGGGTCAGTCTCTAACGAGCGTGGGAAACGGTTTCCTCTAAAAATGCAAAGAAATGCAATCATCCTTACCGCAACCAAATGCCACTCCATATGGCAATGGAAAAACCACACGCCCGGGTTATTCGCTTGAAACTGGACCACCGTAGAGGGATGATTGGGGTCTGACGAATTCCAGCGCGGTTCCATCCATGTATCACGTCTCATTGGGATGGGGCTATTGCTGCAGGTGCTATTTGTGCGAGCAACCAGTTGAACAGCATGACCGTGGATGTGGATCGGATGTAATCCAGTATCTTTACAATAGTTTAGGTAGGTGCCCGGAAGTAATGAAGGGGTCAGAGATAATGGATGGCTTCACTAACCATAATTGTATATGACAATCTCAACGAGGTCGCCCTTTTTGAGAACAACTGGCTGGAGGACAAATGGATTCGAATGATTTCCATATACACTGTGTTATGTCAGGGAACATCACTTAGGGCTTCTTTTAAGAGGGAAGGGCAACGAACATCGGATTCAGAGCATCTTGTTGACCTGACAGAGCAGTGTATAGGGATGGGACCTTCTGTGATATATACGTGATATTATTAAATCCACCCCTGTATCGTGGTTAGTAGAAAACACCTCTTGTTAGACACAGGCGAAAGAAAGACCGTTCTTTACCGATTTTGCTCGTTTCCTGGTACTAGCTGGGAGAATACACTCAAATTGAGGACAATTTGTCGATCAGGTGGTCCGAGTAGAGGCATCTGGTCGAAAGGAACCAGGCAGAAGTCATCAAATGTCGTAAAACTTTCCACGGACGGAGTTGATGGGGGAGGAAGATTATCTGAAGGGCATAAGCATAAATTTCATGTAAATCAGAGGTGTATAGCGAGACATACTGTTATAAACTAGCACTCCTGTCACGTTTGGGTTAAGTGGCGGTGGTACAGATCCTTCAAAACCTTTCAGGTCCATTGCCCCTAGAATTGCGAAGTTCCGGTCTGCAGTTGGCTTTGTTTCTAGGAGGACACCATAACGCTGGCCAGTTGCAATGTAGAGATCTTCAACAGTCTGAGGCACAGAATAGACACCATCTGCTTCAATGATAGTCATATTATGTGCATCAATATGGAAATAGAATTGCGCGTATCCGGACATATTGATGATCCTCAGATAATAGGTTTTGTTTGGTTCGACGGGAAAGGTGGGTTCTTCCTGATCATTCATCAGAGCAGAAACAGGTACTGGCTCAATAGCATTTGGGTTTCCTGGCAGTGCTATTTATGTTACCAGTGACTCGTGAATGTAAACTCTAGAAGACATACAGAGATAATATTGTTGCAGGATTGCTCCTTGTTCTATAAAGCTCTTAGTATTTAAGTCGCAAAAAGTTGTACCGCAATATTACCATGATACCAATCAGAAACAGTCATAACCAGCTCGGCATCGAACTCTTCAGCATAGGGAGAACAGGGGTCGCTAACTATGAGAGGACCACGAAGGCCATCGACATATTGGCTCGGGGAATGGCCTATGTATCAGTTCAGTTAACTGTGATTCGCAAATTTGGTTGGACAGAAAGCATACTGTGGTACCAGTAGGTTCCTGGTTGATGCAGCTAGATGCTCTCTCAGGGACTGTGCGAGTAAAAAAGGATAGATTCGGACAAACATGAATTGTATATGTATATGATGTTCCCGGGATGATAGGACATTGTGTCACCATTGGAACACCATCATCTTTATTGTTGCCAGTCATATGAATCCCATGCCAATGCAGTGATAAGGATTGGTTTCCGAGGTCATTATGAACATTTATTATGAGCGTGTCGTTGATGTTACCTCTGAGGACAGGAGAAGGCCACTTTCCATTAATCGCAATAACAGGACTAGAAAAGTTAGAACTATCCAGGTTCACAGGATAATGTAGTTACTAACCGTGGCTGCAATGCATCAGGATTGGCAGTGATCCAACTCACATGCCAATCATACTTGATGGTAGCAGCGGAAGCCAGGTAGATAAAAAAACAAAGACAGAAAGAAGTAATGAGGGGAGGCATGGCTGTTAGAGAAATGGTATACTGGACTAGGGTATAGAAATACTCTGCAGGGGATAGCACAGACATTATATGTAGTTTAGCCTTGCTACCGATAGACATGGGTTGAGAACAATAACCCGCCTACATTCCAGCAACAAGGATCCCTACATTCCAGTGTAACTATTAATATTAATTAGGTAGAGTTGTGAACCTGAAATAAAACATCTAGGCTAGTCCATGGCAGGACGGGTCGATCCAGCCAAAGATAAGTACTTGACAATGGCTCATGGTGATGTGCGTTTCCTGCCGGGCTCAGAATGCAGGGTGCATTGTTTCATATTACAGACAGTCAACGGAATGCTGATCATGTAAGTCTTCAATGCTCAGACATGAGTGCTGAACATGATTCCTGGCACTTCACTTTCTTCCCTTGCGCCAACCTGATTGATACACCATTCATGAAAGGTGCTGAATCCCTGAATGGGAATCTTCTGCGTATTAGCTCCTGTTACGTTTTATAAATCCTTTCAGCTCCAAGAACTCATCAATTGGATTCAGGTCTGGTGAATATAGAGGCAAATGGACCAATTTTACTTCCTTATCGGCGCACATCTGTGAAATCCGTTCGGTGAGGTGCAATATTGCATTATTTATAGCCAGAACAGACTTCGGCTCTGGCCATCTTCCACAATGGTGAAGAAGCTCTTCAATAAAGCCTTCAAAGTAGGGGTGCACGCAGTGCGAGTTGGATACAACCCGCAGGGTTAAAATCTAACCTGCGCAGGTTTGCAGGCTTTAGAAATATGATCTAGACCATCACCGCAAATATATATATTTCCTATAAACTACCGTTCAAGCCACTAAAATATATAAATATTTATAAAAATATATAATTTTCTTAATTTTATAATATTATATATTTTTATAATAATTTATGTAATTTTATGAGATTTTATATATTCTTATATAGCCATGCGGACTGCAGCCTTCGCAACCCACGCCGCACTGCTGCGGTGCCGGTTGACCACCCAAACACATAGGCATTGGTTGAGCCACAAAAGACGCGAGACAGCACAATACCATGTTGAGAGTACGCAGGCAGAATTTAATACCTCTCGTCGCAATGGAACTGTGCCACTTGTTTTGATGTTACACCGAGTGGTTACCAACAAATCCCGTCGGAACCTAATCCGCTTATCACATCGAGATTTATCAACATAAACAAGGTGATATAACTCATAGCCAGAGAAGGTATAAAGATATGTATCTTACATTTCCATGCTCTGCTCTTCAGCCTTTCGTTCAGAATATTCTCTAGACTAGCCTGTGGATATAGAGATAAGGGGTCTTTGCAGACTGAGAGATGCCAGGGTAGGAATGAAAATGGCATGGAGGGGCGTGAAGGCAGTAATAGGAAATACATGTAATATACGGTGCTTTATATTGCGCCCTGTTGCGCGACATTATTCAGTCATTCAATTTTTTGATAGGTCTATTCTTGGGGAACAATTATGTACAGCTTGTCCTGATACAGACTAGTGCATACTCGGGTGCGAGCCGAGAAACAAAGCCATTGTGTCCAAGGAGTGATCTGTTTTCGAAATCGGCTGTAGCAAAAAGCGTCGAGAACAGATTCTAACTGGGATCCGGGAGTAAAAAAGCTCTGGCTGATATTAAATCGGCTGTTAATCGAGATTGCGGTTGTGTTGTATGTGCCGCGCGGTAACTAATACCGGCCTTATGGCGGTTCCGCCTGCGGGTAATCCGGGTAATCCCGAGAACACCCCAAGAACTTCAGAAAACTCTGCAGGGGTTGGTGGTGAGGCCGCACCCTACCAGTCAGAGGACGATCCACGCGGATATAAACTAAGAATATAACTATTCTAGCTATCGAATTCCCTTCTTTTAAAGATAAGAAGAGCAGTATGACAAAGAACATTAGTTGAGGAGCTTGCTGCCAAGCGGAGAGACGGCGTTATCTAAAAATACTGGCTTTAAAGATCCGAGATGAAGAAGCGTTAGCAGTAAATATTATTCTAAAGATTTAGACGCGGGCCGCGGCTAATATAAGAGCCATTGTGGTCCGCTTTACCCTTAAAGTGCCGGCTAATAGGTTCGGATTTTCTTTTGTATCTAATTCTCGGAGCGCGTTGCAAACGGACATTGTCACATTGTCTATATTAAAGCTCTTGCTCTACCAGTAGATCTAGAAAAGTATATATAAAAAGAGATATTATTAGAGCCTATTTTTAAGAGGAATCGGCTAATTTATGTTCTTGGAGCTGTTGCTTAAGCTAGGACATTGCCGTAGCGGAGTTAAGGCCTAGCTATTCTTTACAATAGCCCTGTAGACAACCCTGGAGGTGCGCAGCTGAAATAGCACAGCTGCAAGGGCTGCATATCAGTACTTACTATTCGGAGAGGTAGCGAATGCCACTAAATTTATTTCACTAACGGCTAGAAGTGCCCGGTCTACTACACGCCTCTATTCTCTATATCTAGTATGGATTTTGATGTCAAATGTGAGCCGTATTATAATAGGGGTTTCCCCTACCTTCGGCTTTTCTAGGAATAGAATAGGTCTATAAGATAGATACTTAGCCTATAAATAGTAGATTAGAATATAATACAATCGTTAAGTAATAAGACTAAGAGCTTAGCAGAAAACCCGATAACGCTATTGATCCTACAGTATAATAGGGCAATGTCTCCTCCGGTTTATGTATGTTTACTATAAATAGAATGTTCTTCCGATATGTAATACAGTAGATTACCCCGAATATTAATATCTCTTAGTAAATTATTCTATAAGATAGAACTATTCTGCCAAGTATGTTATCTTTTAATTAGTTTTAATCTGGGTGCTGCGTTTAACTGCGCAGACAGTGTAAATAACTCGGACTGAATTAGCTCTCTACAATCAGACGACTTATCCTTGTAGTCCGTTAGTTGCTCACATCTAATATGGCTACGGGCGTGAGCCAAGGGACTGCCAGATAACTTTGCTTGGACAACTGCGAATGGTCTATCGAGGCATGGGTAGAACTGCATTTTAATACTCTAAACTCAGCTTAGACTTCATATACTGTAAAGCTCCAATCCATAGTTCGAAAAGGCTGAGTGCATTAGCAGTTTATCTATAGCCGTGATGCAGGTCTTATAAAATTCACTTGTCTTGCCGGAAACAGGACTATATGTTAAACTAGAAAACACTTAATATACATACTTAAGCCAAAGAATATTTTAGCAATACGGAAGAGACGCAGGAAAAGATTTCACTGTCCAACTAGATAAAGAAACATTGTGCTTTTAAGGTTAGAGGTTGACTATTTCCCATTTCAACAAATTGTACAGCACCGGACACTCAAATATTTGGAATCAGTTTCAGCAAGCAGGGGCCAGCCTAATTCGAATGAAACGAGAGCAGTCAACCACCTGGCAAAAATAGAAAATTATTAGGGTTGGAACTTGCTAGAGTCTGCGTCTGCCTCAGCGCAGTCCGCGTGAGGTTACCATCATTTGTTCAACTCTTGGAAAATGATCTGCCAAAGTAAGGCGAGGATATCGAGTGGTCGACTGATTGGGTGACATGCTTCCAAGCTTATAACAATAGATATAAAGGCTCGAACAGCGACTTAGAAGTACATTAGCATTGACGGAACTGCGGTGAATGACTATGCAAGCGTGATGTCTCGGGACCACCGAAAAAAACGAAACTTATTGCCGTCGATCCGAAGCCGTTTGTACCAAAGTCGTTTGGACAGTGATGTGATGTCTTGAAGTGGTAGGCCATGCTTCAGGATATAATGCCTCCTGACTGCTGCTGTATTGGATAGAATCCTGAGGCAGTGGAGACAATACGATATTAATCACGCCGCTATTACCATCGTGCCCAGTATGTAGGCGCCCATGGCTTGGGTCATGAGAGCCCTTCAGGCCCTCGGTTTTGTGGCCGGAGAGCGGGTATTTGCCAGAGTCTATTCTGGAACTGCGCGCATGCCGAACGTAGGATAGGTTTTCATCCAAAAGCCAGCGGAAGAGGGGACGAAGGGTCACTAGGCTGCTTGCTGTGATTCCGAGACCAGTCTCAACAACAGACCAGATGGCAATTTGGTAGGTGGAATCTTTAGCCATATCAATCACAGTTCGTATTCTTTTAAGATGGCTACCGAACGGGAGCCTAGCTATCTGCTTCTTGACTTACGTAGGAAATCAGAGTCCGCATAGAAGTGCAGGAATGGAAGTCGAATTATAACAGCAATACTCGCACTAGTTCTGAACTATTAGCCGGTCTAGATCGGACCTTGAGAACCACAAATATGAATATGATCACTTACATAGCGCCCATGCTGAGAACTCCCCCAACCGCAATTTTCGTTCTATAATTCATCTGAAGCTTCCAGACGAGGAAGATAGGTAGAATTCCAAGTGTCAAATCACACACTATTGTTAAACAGCTGTAAACGTACGCGATTTCGACTAGGGTCCTCTCGGACATGCAGGTTCCTGATTTCGTTGGATCCGCAAAATCCCAGAAATAGGAGATTGGACGGCAATCCAGAAGCAAGACAAGCCAAAACATGAGGCCGATAGCAATGGTTAGGCCAATACTGACCCAAAGGACCACGCGATGAATCTTTTCCAGTGCCAGTCGAAGCAGCGAGAGGGCAATGGATATTTTGGCAAGTGCGGATGCCCAGACATAGAAAATCTGGCTGAGCCACCAATACTGCGAAGTCACGATCCTCCTTAGCAATCATGTAATTGATCATGTTCCAAGGCTGAATGATCTCAGTTCTTTCTTTGGAGGAATAGACACATTCAATACATACCAACAATGCATTTCTATAGACCTCCATGCTTGTAAAGTCTGTCCTTGAGCGGCCAACACCGTTCACTGTCCCCATGAAACAGCACACACTCAATGCCACTAAGAAAGCCTACAAAATGATAAGCGAAAAGATATCCTTGCCTTATCCATGGATAACCTACCAATGCCGACAGCATAAAGGCATCATCAAAACCAAATGATTGAAGGATATATAGTCGTACAAAGGTCCTCAGCAAGACAGCCACAGTGGAGAAAACCATCATTACAACAGAAATGATGAAGATAGCCAGACTTGGGCCTACAAGAGGCATCTGAGAACTCATTTTTTGGGTGCCTGCGTGCCCTCTGCTTGTGCTGTACCCAATATCGAGTAAGGGAGCTGGAAACGCTTCCTGACTACCTAATCAATAATTCGATGCTGTCAGGATTGTAGCTTCCAGATTCTTCAACGGGGAGACCCAGCGAAATGAAGAAAAGTAGGAAGAAGGCTTCCTACGAGGGGGAAAGCTTGGGAGGATAAAATCAAGAGATGCACAATGGAATCTGGGATTGAGACTGTCGAGTTGGATACCTTCGAAACAAGCGTTTAGGTGCTTCTAGAATTAAGTTCCCCGCTTCGATTAAATTGCTAATCCACAGATTAAGCTACCGAAGGCGATACGAACACCAATACTGCCGAGGCACCACGATAGTGATCGAAATGAACTGGACTTTCACATGTTTTCCTCTTAGATCAGTGTGGTATCGTCCAATGAATACTTTCGTGACCACTGAATTAGGGAGGTAAACACGATCTTCTTGTCTTCGCCAGCATAATAGAGGTTGGCTTTCTTCCTTGAAGGCCTTCCGGGGAGGGAGCGGCAGCCAAGGGTAACATCGCAGCTCATCTGAGGCGATCGACTCGACGCTAAGGGGATGGCTTTAGACTTTACGCTAACTATCCAGATTCGTGTTAATCCCACAGCTAGGCGAATGTCGGCAACGATTGGCGCTTTTTCAGGGCGGGGAGTTGGTGGGCGAACTCATGAGCTAATGAAATGCCGTTTCATTAAAGGGTCCGATGGAACTGCAACGTTTCGTGTCTGGAGAAGGATTACAAAATAGTTCTTGAGGGAGTCGAAGATTGAAGATTTATCGAACGTTGGCTTGCAAAAGTAAAACCTCAAAGTAAAAGGATCCTAGCACCACACTAAAGATCTATTTCTCTAGAGTGATATCGTTGAGGATACAATCGATCGTTTTCGTAGTCCAGAATCGTCATCAACCGTCGTAGGCTCCGCTTTGACGGTGGATCCTCGCGATCTTAAGGTTGAGATACTTTCCATGCTGGCACCAACGTCCCGTTCTGCATTATTAACTACTCGGGAAGTTGTCAAAAGTAGAAGGAGTGTACACGTAATAATTGCCGACTGAGTCTCCACCCGCTACTGACCCTCGACTACGGAGGTGCTACGGAGGATTGTTGCTACCGAGCGGAGTATAACATAAAACTCTTCGATCAACCGCGGATTCCGACGGTGCGGCAGTTACAGATCTACATGGTTGCCCGCAAGGAAGAAGAGTCTTAACTTTCTGCATGAAAATCTCTCTATCAGTCTAGAGTTTGGCTCGGTAAGAAAGGTCAAGCAGCCAAGGGTAGGGGACCCGTAGTATAATTGCTATGATGCATGTCTCGCAGATTTCTTCCGTCTGTGTGATCCCTCGGATTGGATAGTAGTTCGTATGGCGTGTTTGAGTTAAGCAGACGGACCCCACCACGCGATCTCTTTGTAACTTGCAATTTTGATCGCAGCCATCAAACCCATGGATGCGAGTATGCAATACGGCCTTTTCTCCGGCTTGATGCGGTTGTTGCCGTGGGGAATCGAGGGGGAAATAAGGGAGGATGTATCGACTCGTTACTTCATCTGGATTCCAACCTTCTGAAAGGAGTCTACTGCCTCGCAATCCTGATGATGTACCTCCAAATCGATCAGCATGACATGGATATCTGAGCAACACGACTCCAAGGGCTGCACTACTGGCCAATGCTCGTTCCGCAGTTGATGCTGGATGGATCTATCATGCACGAAGCAGCCGGATTCCACATAGTCCCAACTGGGAGCGGGATGCATGCCCGCCCACCCACACACCAAATGTTTTTCTTCCCTCTAGTACATATCAGACCCAACGAACGAATTAAGATTTCGCTTATATTCGATGCTAACCAAGTGTTGATTCTATATGAATACATGTCATACCGACTTTCTGATTTTATCTGACTGTACTTCTACTCCTGTCTACCGCACCTTACAAGCAGCCAAGATGTACAATACTGCATCCCCGCTGGACTCGAATTACATAGAGTCCCAGTATCCCCCTCGATGCTACGTCTCCAAGAAAAAGAAAATAGCTGCGTCCGACCAAGGGCACCAGAAGAAAGAGCTTTCCCTAGTTGAGTCCTACAAAGCGCACGGGACATGCAAATGGGACACTAGTGCCGACAAGGTGTCCCTTACAGATGAGGCAGACAGAGTCGCACATATTGCTAGATTACCGCCTCCATATTCGTCTGCTGGCATAGTCACACGGCCTGTGTCCATGTATAACGCCAATTGCAGCAGCGGCATGGCTTCATAAATAATACTTATATCTTCGATCATGAAGACGACGGCACCATCGAGCCTCGCTGGGCAGGTGCAACCTCCCCTATGCCATCACCAGCCTCCTTGCAGCCGACAGTGCACGTGGCCCCAGAAACCCCTAGGTCTGGGGGGCCGTCGTCTCAATCTTCTTCGCCTACCTCAATGCTGCCCGACGACGACACCGACCTGCTCGTCGCCGAGCAGGTCATGTTTATAAAGCCGCGGGTTAAACCAAACCTAATCCTGGTTAGCCCGGGCCCATAGTATGCGGCCTCCTCGCTTGACCCTACGCTTGCGGTGCAAACGGCGTTCCTGCAAAATGGCCTGTACCGGCCGGACTCGTCAAACAAGGGGCCGATCTATTCCGCCCACGCGACCCGCAAAGTGCCAGCCTAGATTGGGCAACTACCAACGGCGCCCCCAAGCAAAGAAGCGTGGCGACCTACAGCTCTCTGCCCAGCTACAAGGAGTGGCCGATAAGACCGGAGATCGGGGTCATCTCCAACTTGCTGGCATCTCTGGCCGAGGTGTTTACGCAGAGTCGCCCGCTGTGTATACGCCAGTAGTTCGTCTCGTTTCCGCGCCTAAGACCGCCTTCACTTCTTGTAGGCGAGCTTTTCAAGCTGGCCTCTCCCGTTGGCAGACACCTTCTTGCCGCCCTGGCTGCCAAGGCTCAGCAGCGTCCTTTACTCGCGCCATGTGTCCATCTTTATCACGACGACTCCCGCACTAAGTCTCACCTTACAGGCACACAAATGCCGTGTCCAGGTACTCGGTCCCCTCTCTGATCACAGCCTGGATGTTGACCACCCACTACAAATGCTCTGAACTACACAAGATACCGGTCTGGCCCGCATGCAGTGGCACCAGTTCCCCCGGCCGCTCCCCGCCCGCAACTCTATTATGGAGAGCTCGACGCCTCCAGCCTCGACTAGAGCAGCAGCCACGACCCGAATGACGTGGCTGAGACCGAACCTAAGGCTCATAGCCTCAGCAACAAGAGCATGCGAAACAATAACCTCGGCAAGACCGATGGCAGTTAAAGTTTTGACGAGGAAGGGATTCTTAGTATCTATGTTCTGGGAAAGCGAAGGCCATCTACAGTAGCAATACATTAATGTCTTATACTCTAGAGGATAACTATATAGGTCCTTGCCCTCTTTTCTCGCCTTCTAATTCGCCTAATTTTAATATTCCTACGTGCTCTTATCTATTATAATATATGCCTGTAAGGCCCTTTACCTTATCTTATTCTTACTTATTCTATTATACTATACTATATACTGTTACTATACTATAGCTATACTATATTTTCTTATAGCTTTTATTGAAGAAGTCTTCTTTAAAAAATATCTTTTTCTTAAATACTATTTTTAAATATATATTAATTGATTTGTTATATATTTCTGCGCGTTACTAATATATTATTACGGCACCAACGACGGTCAATCATGTAATAGCAGTTTAACCAGACAAAGCTCAGGCAAGATGACAACCAACCAATACCCAGCAGGAATAACTACCCAGTCATTAACTAATAATCACCTTACACCGGTGATATTAGACCTAGGCAAGCACGATACAAAAAATAGCCAGACCACCAGACACTAAGTTAACACGTAACCACATAGTATACTAATAGTAAGTATACTAATTGATACTATATACTAATATACTATCTACTAGTATACTAACTACCAGAGAATATAAGGACGCTTATTACTATATACTTAGATAGTTCTTGTTTAGTTCTCCGCGTTCAATACAACTATTATTAATAACTATATTATTATTATTGCTACTACAATTTATCTATATTTTTATTATAAGCAGATATATATATTCTTTTAATCTTACTTCTATTTTTACTGCTTCGAATCTTAGAATCATCGT